TTGCTCAAAACTCATTCGCTCCAGCACCTGATCAAATATGCCTCGTTTACTTTGGGCTTTTGGTGTCTTTTAGAAACATATGCCTATTAACCATAGTACGAATTGTGCACATTGATGTTTAGTTGCCCGCGTTTCAGCAGCGTTGAGATTTTGAGCTTGGAAGACAGGGGCTCAATCGTGACAGAAGCGTGATGGAGTAGCACAGCGGCACGCGTCGGCTTGAAGTTATTCAACTATCAAAACATCGTGACCAATGTGACATAACCGTTATGGTCACAGGTTTCCACAATGAGGGTAGAGTCACAGTATCGGCATCCCGCTGGCATCTCTTCCAGGCTTCGAGAAAGTATGCAGAAATATTGAAAGCTACGGAAGACGCTGAATTACATGAATAGTAAGTTTTCAGAGGTTATTGGCTAGATAAAAGATTAAGGGAATAAACACGAGACGGAGGTGTTTCACAGGGGGTACATTGTTTCACAGGGGGGGGGCATCGATAGTAATACTATGGTCGTTCGGCTCGCATAGTAGACCTCTAAGAACTGCATCACGGGGATGACTCCACAAACTCCCTCACATGGCACAGACGACAAAACTAGATGTGCTTATCTATTTAAATAAGAGAAGTTCTCACACTGCGAACGCCGTTCGTGAATTAAGCTGGCCTTTTAATAGCACGGCGTCTCATGAGACCATAGACTGACGCCATATTGTCTCATCTTGACTATCTCTTGAGAAAAAGCACACTGGCAGAAGCAGCTTGGGTGACGCTTATCACCGCCGCCCATCCACGCCCACAGACGAACCCTTGATCATGCCTAGCACGACCGTACCCTACGTGCCTCATTACGAACCTGCCCCACTTACTCAGGAAAACCGTACGGTATATCCATTTCGTCCATGCAGCCCACGAGACTGAATACCACGTAGTGAAATGGGCCGATCTTGCTGTCATTGACTTAGCGAAAGCCGGTACACCGGAAGGACGGGCTGAGCTTGCTTTGGAGGTCAATAAGGCACTCAGAAACCATGGTTTCTTCTACGTTATCAACCATGGATACACTCAAGCTCAGGTGAGCACATAGCAGCAGAAATATTCCGAGCATAGACAGCTAATGTGATCAGAACGAGAGGATGTTTGATATTGCCGACCGAGCGTTTGCTGGCGTCAGCGCTGAAGAGAAACAGCTCTATGCAAGCAATATCAAACAGACCGGCTCGTACCAGGGATATAAGCTGAGAAACTATTGGGTAAGTCCCGATGAGCATGTTTTAGAGTAGCGATGACATGAACACTCAGCATATCGACAATGGAGTGCATGACCAGCTAGAGCATTATAACAGTAAATCCCAGAGAAAACCTAGGTCAATAATAGCATACTAAATCGATTTCGTAGTCAACCGTGACACCACGAAGAAACCCCACCCAGAAGCAGTTCGACCTTTCCTACCCGAGGTCGAGTCTTTTGCGCGCTTCAACCATCATCTGGTATTGCATCCCATTTTAAGGTGAGGGTACATCCTAGTACCTCGCAATATGGCACCATTGTCGACTTCGAGGCTGAATTACCGAACTTACAGACTCATAGCGCTAAGTCTTGAGTTACCTGAAGAAGAGCTGGTGAATACACACGGCTATCATGAGGTTGGCGAGACCTACGGTATGTGTGACGTTGGATGAATAAAATGAATAAGGTCAGAGCACCTAATGCATGCAACATGCAGTCAGATTTATGAAGTAGTGAGTGCTGTGTCCAATCGATCTGAGCTGATAATTAACTTCGTCGCCAAGTTACCCTCGATCTGACGAGGAGGAAGCAAAGACCAATAACGTCTGGCTCAAAGGACATACTGGTGAGCACGAACGATTGTGCGTTAGCCGATCTTGGAATGTTGAACGTTGACTGTCCGAAAGACTTTGGTTCGCTTACCATCTTGTGGAGCCAACCTGTGTCTGCTTTACAAATCCAGACAACGAACGGAGAATGGCAATGGATCAAGCACATCGACAACGCGCTCGTACGTGAACGTTGCATAAATCCTGTCTTATGCAAGATTCTGATGTAGTGACGCCACACATTGCCAATCCTCTTTGACATTTGACATCGACGACCTAACGTGCCGCACCCAAAGGTGGTGAATGCCGGTGATGCACTCGAGTTCCTGACTGGTGGCTATTACAAGGGCACGATTCACCGCGTTCGACAGCCACCAGCAGACCAACAGTCATACACGAGGCTTGGAGTGTTCTACTTTGCGATGCCTGACGATGCGGTGAGGCTGACACCACTAACGGCGAGCCCGGTGTTGCAGCGTGCAGGCATCCAGCGCCGCTTCGAGGACAATGCGGCGCCGACGATGGAACAGTGGAGAAGGGGAAGAACAAGCGCGTATGGTGCGTCGGAGCTGAAGCGAAGCAAGGAGGATGGGGTTGAGGAGGAGGTGATCAACGGCGTGCTGGTCAAGCACTACAACTGAGGTCATCCGAGTCGTACTATCATGCGCCAGGTCGAGGAGCGATGAAATCGTGCGTAGTTTCGGTCCCCTCTATTTGAATGGCCCAAGCTGGTAGATAGTCTGGCACTTTTGTACAACTGTGGTACTGGGCACCCAGTGCGCTTTATATGTCATCCATTTCTCTTGTGGATCTTGGGCTGCGAAAGGCGTCCTAGCGCTGCGTGGTCTACGTGAGGGGAGCTGACGTCAATGAAGCTGCAATTAACAACGAGGAGGCTTGCCGATACCCCTCAACTATTCCTGATCTCACTCTTACTATGCCCAGCCTCACCCTCCCCGAAATCCCTCACTACGTTGCTGATCCACCCACCCAGGAGTCACGTACGTGATACCTTCCGTTTACCGTCGCAGGCGTACGAGTTTCTGATGAGCGCTCCAGTTGACTTTGCCGACCTTGCCGTGATCGACCTCTCAAAAAGTTGCACCCCTGAAGGGCGAGTAGCCTTGACGAGGGAGGTGCACGATGCCCTGCGCATCCAGGGTTTCTTCTATGTCGTAAACCATGGTTGGTCGAAAGCGCAGGTCGACCGCATATTCGACGTCGCCGATCACTCCTTCACCAGCGTCGAACTCGAAGAGAAACGCAAGTTAGCCTTTCAGCCAGAACAGGGGTCGTACTTGGGATACAAGCTGCCTCGCTATTGGGTGAGTAAACTGAATTGTATGGAGAAAGGGGCTAGCGACTCACTCACGATGAACGTCGTTACACATAGGAAATCGAGTCGAAGCATGGGACACTCGATCAAGTGGAGCATTACTCGAGTGTGTCCTCGCATTTTTTTCCCGTTTTGAGCGCGCTGATATCGGAAAATGGTATACTTCCAAGTCAACAAGGACATGCACCAGCGCGCCCATCCGGAGCCGCTACAACCTCTGCTGCCTGAAATCGAGGCATTCATTGCGCATAATCAGAACAACATCCTGTTGCCGCTTCTCAGGTGGGCAGCACCAATTTGCAATGCATGCTAGGAGTGCGTCTCACCATGATGAGTGTAAAGATTACTCGCAGCGAGCTTGGAGCTTCCCGAAAACACGTTCGCGGACATGCACAAGATGGAGGACTACTCGGAGTCAGCTAGTAAGCGACTTGCCTGTAATGACGTACTATCGCTCACCATTATATTCCTTCATTCAGCGCTTCTTGAAGTAATACGTCCTATCTCTAAAGCTACCAACGTCAGTACCCCAACCTCCCCTCCCCTAGCTATCCCCGCTCCGAAGACGAAGAACAAAAGACCAAAAACGTCCGGCTGAAAGGGCACACCGACTACGGCAGCCTCACCCTCCTCTGGTCGCAGCCTGTCGGCGGGCTGCAGGTCCTCTCTTCGCACGACGGCAAATGGCGCTGGGTCCGGCACATCGACAACGCGCTCGTGATCAACGGCGGCGACGCGCTCAACTTCTTCTCGGGCGGCTACTACACGTCCACGATCCACCGCGTCGTACAGCCGCCCGCGGACCAGCGCGAGCGTGTCAGGCTCGGCGTGTTCTTCTTCTGCATGCCGAGCGACGGCATCAGGCTCGCGCCGCTGGGGGAGAGCCCGGTTCTTCGGCGTGAAGGACTGAATAAACTGCCTGAGGGAGCGGTGATTCCACTTGTCGAAGACTGGCGCAAGGGCCGCTCGAGCCAGTATGGGCGCGTGACGCTGAAGCAGTCGATGGAGGACGGCGTGGAGGAGGACGTTGTTGCCGGTGTTGTTGTCAGACAATACAACTAGATGCATTTTCCGAGTGTAGAAGTGTGTGCAGATTAATCAGTGTCCGTGTAGATGACAATGCGGAGAGTATATGTAGCTGTACCAGATAAGCACTGAAGAACAACGAAGGGAATGGCAGCTCGAATGATAATAATACAGATAGAATACATAACCTAGAGATTGAATTCTAAATCATCCTCCGACGATGACCACCAGGGAACGGGAAGATGTGGGAAATGAACAGGAGGTAAGGGGTTACTCTTCTTGCCAATGATCACGGCACCCTTAAACGGCAGGCCGGTCAATACAAGGGAGCTGTTTGCCGCGCCGGGGAGAGGCAAGCCTTCGACGTTGACGCCAACAGCAGCGACACCCTGCAGACCAGTCAAGGCGCCCTGCGTACCGAATATGACCTACATCGTAATCAGTCAGGATCGTTTGGTACAATGAGGCCTTATAACTTACCTTGCCAACAAAGTCGCTGAACTGCTTCTCGCGCCCCGGAAGCACTCCCACAGGGACCTCATCGATATCTGCAGTCACAATGAACGACGAGCCTTCAGTGTCATCTCCGCCCTCTTCCGGCACACTGCTGGCATTCAACCACTGCTCGGGTCTGATATGGCCAAAGGCACGGGGTGGCAACGGATTCGGGAGCGGAACTTCCGGAAGGTCGTCGTCGCTGGCACTCAGAGGAGGTATGGGTCCGAGTTCGGGCGGCTCGCCGTCGAATACGATGACGTCCGGGAAAACGCGGACGACGTCAAGCGATAGGTCCATGCCCTTCGGCAGGACAATGCGCGCGAACACGGTGCCGCTGGCGACAAAGCTCGTACCCAGCGGCTTGAGTTTCATGTTCTTGATGGTCACGTTACGCATGATATGGGGCTTGGGCTGCGGAGAAGGGAAGTCGGTGTGGAGAACGAGGCCAGGAAATAGGGGCGAAGAAATGGCGATGGGATTCTGGTCAACAGAGAGATAACGACCAACAAAGTTGGAAAGCGCCTTGGAGGCGTCTGCTTGGAGGGGAAGGACATTGCCTCCGATGGAGAGAGAGACATTGGGGCGCGTGAGGAAGAAGGGATCGGTGTTAACGGAGGCGATAGGCATATAAGTCTTGTTCTTGCCAGCTGGCAAGGAGACAATGAATGGCAATGAGGGAAGTGACATGTTGAAGTTGGATGGAGCCGGGTTGAGAACGGAGGCATTGGCATCGAGGTGAACCGTCTTTCCTTGAGAGGAGACAGAGAAGCCTTCTAGATGTACAAACTTGGACACATTGGGGAGAGGAGTGTCGTCCCCGGGAGTAGGGAGGCCAGGGAGAGGAGGGACTACGTGGGCGTCAGGATGGGTACTGGATACAAAGATGACATACACATACTGGTCATGCTCAAACTCGCCTGTACGTTCTGCTTCTCAAACTTGACTCGCTGCCTCCAACTCCCGTCATGAACTCCTCCACCGGAGACGAATATGCGGGGGAGTTGTGCGACGACCGACGCTGCGTGGTCCGTCCATGCATCTTGGACAAACTGTAAGAGATCGACTGAGTTGTTTGTTGGTCGGACAAGGAGGGTCGTCGAGACGTTGGTCAACCACGAGGAGTCTCGGGGAGGATTGGCTGTTATGGGAAGCTCAATGGGGACAGGTGAAACGGTGACAAGTTCCGACGACGGTTGACGTGCAGAGGACACCGTCAGAGGGGAGAGCTCCACCGAGACACGGTCAATGTAATGGATACCCAGACGACCAAAGGATTTCCACATATCGCCAAAGGTACCCCCGTCGTCGTCCGTGTTCACCCCAATGGCAGACCCAGCGTCTACCCCAACTCTCCCCTCCACATTAATCCATATCCCCTCATTCTCCGTCACATTTAGCACGTCCACCCTATACGGCCCGTCCACCACGAGAGCCCGCTCCATGAAGTCTTGCACGGTGAGGGAGGACAGCCGCGACGCATACGTGTATCCCACGATGATGAGGATAAGGAAAACGACGAGGCATAGAGCAAGGGAGGCAAAGAACACGAAGAACAACCTCGTCCAAAGCCACCTATGAGAACTCGCATCCGCGACGGCTTCGAGATCTCGGTCTCCTGCGACATTGACGCTGGACTCGGCCGCTGAAGATAGGAGCGGAGTGCGTTCGGTGGCATCATCTATGGATTTGGCTCTTGCTTTTCCCTTGGCTGTGGGCTGTTGGCCACCGTCTTGAGGCTGGGAGGCCATTGTGGAGGTGGGGAAGGGAGAGGAGGACAAGGAGGAGCGTCGTGCGGCAACTTCATTGCGCGTGGCTGCGTCGTCGCTGTGCTCAATCTACCAATTTGGGAGGGCGGTTTAGCTCCACAACAAATAACCGAAGCAACACGCCCCACGGCGGAACCAATCGCGATGACACTCAGGACATCACGCGCCGCACGTTGTCAGCTCTAGTTTTATCGTTAAGATTGCTCGTAAATAGTGAGTAGCTTGGGTTGTAGTTGTATGTCGCAGAATGTATAGAATGTGTCAAGGTATCAGCAAGGTATCCACCGCTGCTCCTATACAGAATGTAAAGGCTCCTTCGCGATCACCTGGGTAAAAATTGCGAGGGCAGCCTTGGGTTGAAACGCAGCCTGAGAAACGCCGTGAACAGGCTGAAACAGGGTAGAACAAAACTAGCGCTTACCACTTCATGCCCAGCACCGAACAGACGACTGAATCGAACTCGTCAGTACCCTTGCTCGACCGAGATGACGCAAACTACTCACGCAAACGTGAAGTTGTCGACGTTTTGAATCTGGGCGATGGGCTCGTCGTCGAGAGTCATGTTCGTCAAGGGGGTGTTGTGCAATGTTTCGTTTCCGTACCAGTCCATGGCAAGGATGGCCTCATGACCGCCGACCCAGTTGCAGCTAATAAGACAAAACCCCTGTTAGATTGCCCCTTGAACGATAAACGGCGCGCATACATAATGTCAGTGTCGCCGGCCCAGATCAAGATCCTCAAACCAGAGTTAGCCAGCGCGCCCAACTGAGGTAACAGAGTCTTGGCATCCTATTATACTGCAGGTAGGTGAGACGCTCATGATGAGTTCAACGCAATCCTTACATCTCCGGTGTTGTCCATCTCGTAGTACGGCGCATCGGGACACTCCTCATACTTAACCTGAGCACCAATCTTCTTCTGAATAGCCGGGTTCTGCAGATAAGTTACGTAGTACTCCGGCGGGAACGCCGCGGTCGAGTTCTGTCTCAGGTCGTACGGATCGTAGTTGCCCACAGCAGGGGAGAATACGTAGTTTCCCTGTAATTAAAGATATCATGCATCAATGCGAGTCCAATGTTTCCTGAAATAGACCTACTCACGCAGTAGTTGTCGGCGTTAAGGCATACAGTATCAGCACTAGCGTTCAAGTTTCCTGCGGCATAGCACGCCTTCTCCTGGTCCACACATCCACCCTCGTCGTAGAGCGCAGCGGAGATATTCTTGAGCGTCTCGTTCGACAAAAGCTGGCCGTATCCCGGTGCATTCTGGGCGAAAGTCAGATAAGCCTCGTTCTGGATCAGAGGGTCAATCCAGCCGCTGGATCGTGTTTCAGCACGTGATAAATAAAGAGAGACATGAGGAAAAGCTCACTTGTTAATCAACAGCGCGGCGACGGTGATGGGAACGCCCGTCACTACGGGCAAATGCGCTAATTCTGGGCCCGAAAATAAGCAGGAAAATGACCTGGAAAGTCATCATCTTCCGACAGATTTTCGGGCTAGGAACAACACGCGGAAAGTTATCATTTTCTGGTGTGCCAAGAGGCCTAAAAAGGCAGGTTGAAGCAGAAATTAAAACTCCGCTGCGCGTTACCTACTATAAATGGAAGGATAGCCAATTTTTGTCTCCAGAAAAGTCATTGGAACATGAAACTTTCTCAGCCTCTGTTATTCAAAGGGAAGTATCGCGGAAAACGTTTACTTTCCAGCTCATTTTCCTGCTTATCTTCGGGTCCAGAATTTGCTCATTTGCCCGCAGTGCGTGATAGTACCGCTCGCGATCTTAGCGTTCTGCTGATCGAAGTAGGTGGTGAAAGCGGGACCATAGTGGCCTCCGTAACTCTCAGTGCCATACACGAACCTAAGATGAAGGAGAGTTCCGTTAGAGCACTGCCTTAAAAGGCTAAGTAACGGTATAACGCACTCTCGGCTAGCATATTTGGAGAACAGTCCACTCTCGAAGAGAACTTGGAACGCAGTCCACACGGGGCCGGCGGCCGCGACAGTGCTATTAGCCGTATCAGTGCCATAAGAGAAGCCAGTGCCAATGGGCTGGTCGATATAGATCACTGCGAAGAACGACTAAGTCATCGAATCTCCAAGATGGACAAAAAAAACGCACTGTTGCTAACGTTGTTCCAGCTGTAGGGGTTGAGATATGTGCTATTGGCGTCGGCGTTTACGAGGCAGGGACCGTGCTCTATGGCAAAGAGATCAACAGATGCATGTGGGGGCTGGCCGGCTATGCATACCTTGGAACAGCCCGATCATGGACGAACACCCGGGGCCACCATTCAACCTACGGACAAATTTCAAGGGGAGAAGGTGGTGGGGGGCGGAATCATACTCACCACAAGGTGAAAGGCGCGGTTTCGGGCTCGTTCCTCGACTCGAAGAACCAGAACCACTACATCCCAAAAGCCGATCAGCACGCGTCGCAACCCCACCCCGTACACATCCACCCTTAATTCCACCCACAGCACGTATCAAAGGGAAGACACTCACCATCGACATGTTCGTCCCAACATCAATGTACCCAGAGATCTGCTCCACCCCCGGCGTCGTCTCGCACACGCCCGAGTTCTTAACATAGCGAATGCCCGTATCGTTCAACACCGCCGAGCGAAACTCCGTGAGCACCGAATCCGCCGTGTCCAGAAGCGACGACGTGAGCGTCGCGCCCGACGCTGCTGCGAGGCCCAGAAGGGCGAGCGAGCGAGAAAACATCGTGACAGTTGAGGTTCGGGTGATGTCGACGTCGATGTGGGACCTTCAGTAAATACCGGCGAGGAAAAAGATCGGCAGCGGGGCCGAACAATGATTCAATGCGCCTGCACTGAAGCTTGAAGGGTCAACAAGGGAATCCACACACGACATCGGGACCCGTATTTATACCGCGGCATGGGCAAGTTGGCAGGATACCAGTGATATTCCCAGTTGATTCCCAGCGCTAGCTCAGCCTACCGAGTCATCAAATCGTTCCTTGCGGGTCCGCCAATGCATATGTCCGCACATAGACGTTCGCTGGGGGGTGAGCTGGGGGATCGGGGTGGGCCGCATGAGAAGAAGAGCACAGATTGCCGTCACTGTAGGGGAGAGACCACATGCCGCGGCTGCGTCTGGCTGCGTTCCAAAGAGATAACGGCACACGCCTCACGCGACTGAGACGTTTTTTTATAGGACGCGGCCAATCGGATGTTGTACATGAGCATCGCGTCGGACAAAGTACCCTGCTTATGTCCTGCAACAGCATGGTGCTGTGCTGCGTGATCAACCTCCAGAACGGCAACGCATGACTTCGAGCGCTTCCATACATCCACACCATACAGGTCCCGGGAGGAAAAAGACTTTTATAAGATCTACTAATGTGAGGTACAGGCAATGCGCTTCGGATTATCAAGATGTAAGATTAGACAGAATGCAAGGGTTCGTAAGCAATGACTTGGCGGAAGATCGCCAGAGCTCCCTCAGGAATGAAGGCTGCCTGAAAGAGAGTCAGACAAACTATAGCTCGGCTTTACATAGAACCACTTACCACTTCGTGCCCAGAGCCGTAGACCCTCCTGTATCATACATGTCAGTTGATGTCAAGTGGGGTGCTACGCGGAGGTTACTCACGCGAAGGTAAAGTTATATGCGTTCTGAACGGCGGCCACCGTCTTGCCGTTAACAGTTATGTTCGTCATAGGGGTCGCGTTGAACGTCTCGTTCCCATACCAGATCAGGTTCTGCGCGACAGAAAGGCCGCCGAGCCAGTTGCATACAATGTCAGCGTCGCCGTGCCAGAGAAGGACCCTAAGACCAGAGTTGACCAGCTCCGACAGCTGCGGCAGCAGCGTCTTCGCGTTCTGGATTGCTCATTGTGAGAAGGGACGCAGACCCACGGAGATATGATGAAACACTCACATCGCCAGTATTCCACATGGCGTAGTACGGAACAGCATCGCACTCAGCGTACGGCACCTCAGCGCCAATCTTCTGACCGACCGAGGTCTCCTGGAGGTAATTCACGTAGTATTCTGGAGGGAATGTTTGGTTGGGACCCTGACGAAGGTCGTACTCGTCACGGTCGCCGATGGAAGCCGTCACGACGTAGTCGGCCTGTACGTTGGTAAGTCAGCTGTCGTTTCAGAGAGCATGACCAACACGTACGCAGTAGACCAATGCCTGGTAGCAAATGTCGTCAGAGGCGCTCGTCTCCAAGTTCCCAGCAGCGTAACATTGGAGCTCGAGGTCATTGCAGCCTCCAGGCATATACAGCGCATTTGAGATGTTTGCGAGCACCTCGTCTGATACAAGCTGGCCGTATCCCGGAGCGTATGTGGAGAAATTGAGCGCAGCATTGTTCTGCAGGTACGGATCATAGAAACCGCTAGAAAGCAATTCGTCGCGGGTTAGCGTTTCATTACGAGCGCGTTTTGATGACGTACTTGTTGATCAGCATGGCAGTGATTTTGATGGGCACGCCCTGGATAGCGCCGCTCTCGATAAGGGAGTTTTGCTGGTTGAAGTAGGTGACAAATTCAGGTCCGTAGTGCCCTCCGTAGCTCTCGGTGCCCAAGATGATCCTTCCGACAGGTAAGCAAATGTGGAGGTTGAATTACTGATAGGACTCACTCTCGACTTGAATAGTTCGAGAATAGGCCAGTCTCGAAGAGCATTTGGAAAAGCGTCCACACAGGTGGGGCTGCTGCTACCGTGCTGTTTGCTGTATCAGTACCGTAAGAGAATCCGGTTCCAATAGGCTGGTCGACATAAATAACTGCGCGGAAATGACTCGTCACTTAGAGGATGATTGCCGCATGTATAGGACGTACTGTTGCTAGCGTTATTCCAGCTGACCGGACGACATCATGAGTGATTGAAATACGCTTCGGATATGTATAACTTGCCTATAAGGGTTATAGACAGTTTCATTATCGGCATTGACCGTGCAAGGTCCGTTCTCTGATACGTCGTTGAGAATGCAATTCATTGACTGCATGGCCATCATACATACCTTGGAATAAACCGATCATTGAGGAGCATCCTGGTCCACCCTGTACCCTACCAACGATTTTCAATCTCCTTCGTCGCATTGTATAGCAAAGGAACTCACCAGATGGTAAAGGGGGCATTCTCGGGGTTCTCGCGCGCCTCGAAGAACCAGAACCACTGCAAAGCGTCAGAACACGACAATCTCGAACAAAGGTACGAAGACGAACCATGGATTGGTTCTGACCAACATCGACATAGCCAGAAACCTGGTTGACACCCGGCGTCGTCTCGCACACGCCAGAGTTCTGCACGTAACGGAGGCCAGTATCGTTCATGACCTGTGAGCGAGCATGGATGTGTGGGGACGAGATGCCAGCGGCAGCGGAGCTGATGGAGGCAGCAGAGCTGCTCGCTGCGAGAGCTAACGCTGCGATGGCCCAGGAGAACATGGTGAGCAGAAGGGGCTGTCGAGACGCAGCTTCCCTCCAAACGGACGGCGAATTGTTTTATATGCTCGCGAGGGATGTTCTCAGCCGCTGTTCGGACCAAGATCCCGTTGTGAGATCTGGCTCTCATAGCCCTGGGGACAGGTAAGCTAAATACCGCGTCTCCATTGGCTTGGGTGGATGTATGCGTGGGCAAAGGTGGGGAACGTGGTATTCTGGTCGAGAAAAGCTGAATCCAAGGCACAACCGAAGGTTCTAAGCTGGATTTGGTGGGGGGATTGATGCAAGTGGATGATACGAGGGAGATGAGAGCGAGCATCACTTGCCGGCAACTTCGCGGAAATGAATTGTTTACGGCGCCCTCGCTCTCACGCGACTTGGACGGTTGCAGAAGCGCCTATTCTCGTGAGGTTTAAACTTTGAAGATACGCAGGAAGACGTCAAAACCTCACAGCCACGCTCCTGATCCCAGCCTCAGAAAAAGCTTTACGGAAGTGTCAAATCGAAGGTTTCGTCGAGGAATGGTCCTGTCCCGATCGTTCTGTGCGACTAGAACGCAAGAGAGGAGCTCAAGGTCATCAGAAGCCTGTGAGAAAGCCAGGATCCATTTCTCCCTTCAAGAGCAGGGAATATTGATTAGGTCCGCAAATTGCGCTCTGGTTGCCTTTCAATGTCTATGAAACGGAAGCAACTCACAGACGCGATGAGTGCGTCCTTGATAAGGATTTGACATACCAATAAGAAAAGTGTCCCAGGAATTGATAGGACGCGTCGTTCCCCCGACAACGACGCTGGTATTCCCACTCCATAAGGCGAAGCACTCGAAACAGCATCACCTACGTTCTGCAGTGCTAAATTTGAGTTTGGTTGGACACGAATTATGCGACGGGCAGGAGTTCGCCGCATTCAATAACAAGCTTGCCCTTCCGGCGAGCCTTGATAGTATCAGTAGAAAATAAGCTCTGCTGCTTCTATACTTCCATTCGGACGGGAGTGAGCTGCTCCTTGCGAGTAGAAAATGGAATGAAGGCTGGGTCGCTGAAGCGCTTTTTGAGGCTTGTAAGAGGTGTGACGAACCCGCGCTATCGGGCGCTGCCGAGACATTGAGGCGGCGAATGAATTCTAACCCTCAATGCGTTCAGGCAAACATCCCGTCATCTTATCTTCTCGTTTCCTCCCGCCTTCGTTTCCTTGCATCCGCCGAGTGTGCAGCAGGCTGCACTCACTTGCATTCATTAACTTCACTCTTTAGTCGCCGTCGGGACGCCTGGTCTCATCTAACATGATCTTCAAGTTCTCTCCACTCGTGGTCTTCGCGTTCCTTGTTCCGCTGGCCGCTGGCGCTCTCTACCCTACAAAGCCTGTTCAGAATACACAATACGTGGCCGGAAGCACCGTAACGACTACATGGAAAGACGATGGCAAGTATCCTAACCTTGACGCCATGGGCTCTGTGGAAATAGGCCTCTTTCACAAGTCTGGGGTGAGTAATACTCGACGTAGAACGGAACAAGTGACACAATCTCCTTACTCCTAGCGATATTTGGCTACTCTTGCCACAAACGTGGATCCTTCCTCAAAATCTCATGAGATAGTCATACCGTTGGCGGCGATTCAAGGGTTGCCGTCTGGCCAACGCGACTAGTGCGTTTTCCTTGACGCAGTTCCCCTCCTCGCACTTATACCCTGCATTTAAAGTACCCTTCACTTCCAGGCCAGCAGCCCATACAAGTTTAGCATCTTTACTGGCGACTTTTCTATCGTCCGCCCCGAAGGGGACCCTGGGTCTCCGAACTCGTCTGCATCTCTGACCTTTTCGTCCCTTTGGTCTTTTCCGGGATCTCCTCAGTCGACTGCCTCTGCTCTCACTGCACCACCGTTTACTCCTGGATCTGTCCAGAACCCTTCAGCACAGCAAAGTCGAAACTCTGGCTCTTCTCTCTGGAACGTTGACGTGGAAAGGCTCGATTTTTGGCTCTTGTTTGTGCTCTGGCCGGCGGTTGTTGGGATAAGCATGGCTGCTTGATAGCCTTCTTCGTCTACATACATTTACACCACACGTCGATAATACACGCTCCTTAATCTTGTCTTCCGTGCCATCGCATGCATGACTATGTGACTTGCGGAACGTGTGCATGAGCATGGTGGTCGTCTCAATATCAGAGCTCAACCCTAATGTCACGGGTTGCCAAAGTCTCCGAGGTTCTTACCTGAAGATATCTGCCGTCGGCTCAGAAAGGAAGAGTCGTACTATTTTCCTCCTCCGCTCTCTCAAGGCCAGTATACACTCCACGGGGGATTCGCTGAATGTGAATGTTTGCTTCTCAGCGTTATCGCTGAGATGTCGCCGTCCCAGAGTACGTCAGTGGCGTCAGAGCGAACGGGTGCGAACAGCCCGCCAAAACAAGATTTCCGAACCCCACGAGTGAGCGTCTGAGACTGGGGAGTCTTGATGGCGGGCGAACGTTCACGCCACGTGGGTACGGCATCCACGCTTCCCGCGAAGGCGCTGCCTCCTGTAACTAACTTGGAGCTATGTACAACGATGGTGCATATTACACGGGTGGTGCGACCGCGCGAGCCTATCACAGGAAATTTCCTACCGTGATTGGATGTCTCGTCACTTCACGGGACCGTACGCTTCCCAGTTCTGTGGACTCTTCGAGTCCTTGGCATGATGCCACTTACCAATCACATTGATGAACGCTAACGTCCGCTTCCTTGCTCCATGAGAGTCCGATAGATTTAAATCTGCGTGTTGGAAGAGCCTCCCATACTGCGGAAACTATCCCTATCCCATCTCGATGGGGTGGTGACTGCTTGTGCCTTCTCACCCAAAGATTTCGGAGTAACTTGGGTCAGGCTTATTCATTGAGGCATATTTGCGGGAGTTGGCCCAGAAGCTACCGGCGAGCGGCCAAGGAAAGCGGTAATCTTCCGCCAGCGAGTGGGTGAGATTGCGGTACCTCAACTGACAATTGCCACCCGCAGGTCCCGCCTGTGCCTTCAGCTAAAAGCGCCGACCCTGAGGACACCAGCTCGGAACGAGTGTTCGACGCGGTCGGCCTTGCACATGACGCACTGAATGGACCCTGAAACCTCGTGTATCACTGTCCCCTCACGAGTTCGTTTGTTTATCCATCTGTCCCTCGGAAATACATAGTTCCAGAATGAGTCATGTTCTGGCACACTCATTTTCAAGAAACTCGAGCAACTCCCACGCTCGAGGTTGTACCGTACGTATGTCTCACCGGAGTTTAGGAAATGACGGAGCTTTTGTGAAGCCACAGCAATCAGACGCGCGGGCGCTTCCATTTTGACAGGTAAATTAATTCTGTCACGCGTACTTGTCAAAGAGGTGTCTAATAACCACGTTCCCTTTCTTTTGTTCATAGAATTAGGACTTAGGTACCGTACCGCGGACCTGCTTAGACGTTCCATCGACCTGACTGAATTGAATATTTGGTGCGTCGACGAAACTGCCAGGTCTCACCCTTGGGGAGATCTCTACCTCAGTAATGCAAGTTGAAGCGAAAAGTCGTCAACTGACAGTAGAAACTAGCTAAGCGACGTGTCTTTAATTCTATTACTTGGGAACGAGGTTTCAGAGATCATCGTCTGACGAGGATCCCAAGAGGATCCGCACAATTCATTACACCACAGCTAGTACTGCCCCTTCTTTGATCCCGGGAGAAACTGAAGGCTAACTACTCGGATCAAAATCGCCATAGCCCATCAAAGGTTTGCTAGTTAGAACGACACATTTCCATACATACATTTACGGCAAGTCGACGCGTGCGATGGGAGAGAGCGCCTACAACAGATACAGGGTGGCCACAGCAGGCCATGTTCTCGACCGCCGCTCGATCAATTCCCTTTTCGCGCTTTTGTCTATCCGGTACCAGGACAATGGTTGTGACGATTTTATTTTTTATCCGCGTTCAGCGGCTGGACGCTAGTTCGATGAACCCCCCAAAATTGCCCTGCCAATTGCGCTGCCGCGCTGTTCCATGACAGGATCTCAGTCCACCAGGTCTAAACGAGGTCGGGTAACGTCAAAGCTCCGCTTTTTTACGAGTCCACAGTAACAGCCCTGGTCTGTGCGTGTCCTTGCCTACTATAAAATGACGGCTACTCCAGGCTATCCTTCTCCCGTCCATGACCTTCCCCGTTTCTCGACGATCTCTTTCCTCCTCTTCGTTCTCGCTATCCTCGCTATCCTCGCACTTCAGAACATCATCCATGTCGACAGGTGCCACCGCAACAGTTATACTCACCAAAGTCGAGAACGCGAGCTCGGACTTCGACACGAAGTCGATTCGCCTTCGGGCGGGCCGGAGGGAAGCTCTGGGAAAGGAGGGCGGACCGGCAATGACCATGACCACTCAAGAGAATGGGATGTTCCCGCCGTGCGCGAAAGGTGGCTCCCGCGGCATCGCGGAAAATCACGCCTACATCTACTGCGACGACTCGAGGAATGTAAGCATTCAGAATAAAGTTTTCGGGGCCAATGCTTGGCTAATATCCAAAAATCTGTAGGTCTTTATCGAAGACAATGGCAAACACTACCCAACTCTGGTCTTCAGAGGCGTACCCAAGCGGTCCGAAGAAGACTTCGAACCAATCGCGTACGACACCGTAGGCATGAAGAGGGAGGAAACACTACTGTTACTCCGAAACGAAACAGCGCAGCTCTACTCTGGAGACATTATAGTGAGTCTTCGTTGTTCGTTCAAAAGCAACTGAGCGTGAACCGCCCTCATCTTAGCAACTTGGCTACCACCAGCCGCAATCAGCCGCGAGCAAGAACGCGAAATGTAGCTACTTGCCAGTATGTGCTCGTGTCATGGTGGTACCCTGTTAGTCTAGTTAAAGTAGGGCGCCGAGAAAACCAGAGCATCGAGCTCTCACTTTTGACTGCAATGCATTCTCGTATAAGCGACAAAATCCGCATTTAAAGTTCTGAGCTTTCTTACCGCACATCGTGCCCGCATTGTAACATTTTGTCGCCCGAAACGGTCTAGAGCGGACGGAAACGTCAACTCCAATTATTACATGAGAGTGAGCACCCACAGAGAAGTCGGGATGACAAAAGTCCGCAGTTGTTGGCCGCTCCGCGCGTCAACGCTTATGTTGATCCCTGACCGAAACGACGGCGCAGACAATTGAAGAGGTCGCGCGTGCCGGGTGCCACTCAGCTTTTTCGGGCCTCTCGTCCAAGCGATCGCCTGCATTTTTCGAGCACCGATGTCAGACGCACAGGCGGATGCTTCTTCTCGACAGATACGCACCTCGAACGGTCTTGGCGATTGTTCCATGGACCATGTCGTCCTCGGATTGCGGGCTCCTGTTGGCTTCGGCTCGACCCTGAATATCATGTACCTTTAAAAAGCAGCCAATGAAAAACTCACCGCCTCAGCTCTTGGTCCACTCTCTTCACAACCACTCGGCGCCTACCTACACCCATCCTTTATTTTCTTCTTCGTCCTCTCTCCTCTCCTCGTACCTCTTGCCTCCGAGACGCCGTAATCTATGTCCGATAACATCGTGGCGTACGTGAGCCTCCGGCCTATCGAAGGTTCGCAAGCCCGCTTCGAACCGAAACGGATCCCCATTGTCCCAGGCGAAACGGTCATCCTGGGGAGGTCTGGCGGGCTGCTGGGTCCGACCCCTCTTCCCAGCCCGACGAACGGGTGCTTCCAATCGTTCGAGAAAAGTAAGGCTGGGTCTCGACCTCTCGACCCTCGCCACGCTGCTCTCTACTACGACGAAGAGCAGAAACAAGTGAGTAGTGGCCCGTCATTACGCTTACAATGGTACTCACTGATGTCCTCTGCATCTAGGTCATCGTTCGAAACTTGGGCACCCACTATGGCAGCTTCGTGTTCCGCGGCGTACCGGATCATAATGAAGCAAAATTCATCACAATAAGGTATGACGAGGTCCACAAGCATAGGGAGGAGACGGTGATGAGGCTGGAGGAAGGAGGGGACTGGGCGGTCCTCAGAGATGGCGATATCCTCGTGCGTGCTTGGCTTAATTCTGTCTTAACCACCATTAACAGCGCCGCTGCAGCAACTGGGCTGCCGGCAAGGCGAACCAAGCTCGGATGAGCGCAGGAAGGGGACCCACCACCCTGTCTGCGCACGAGTCGCGGTGGAGATGGAGGACGACGAGGCATGGGAGATCTTATCCGGTCATGATGAAGAGCGCTCTTAAACAGTCGCGATCAGTAATTCATGGACACCTCTTATCAGATGCAATAGAATAACCTCGCCTTCTACTTTGGGACGGGATGGCGTTCAATCTCATCCTCAATCACTTATGGGTCCATTCGTGCTCGAGAACACGCCCTAGGACCTGAATTATCGCTGTCAGCTTAGAAATCAGCGTCCGATCGCGTTGATGAGAAACCCACGTAAGGTGATTGAGATGCGTGTGTATATAGGCTTCAACCGCCGTGCAGGGGAGCTTGGCATCGCACAGCACACGAGCGTTTCCGCTTGCGAACAGGGTAGGTGCGGACTCCCCTTGTCCGAGCAACGTATCTGAATGATGACGTAATATAGTACGAAGACTCCCGAGGTGTTCAGCCGGCGCGCGTGTCACGCTGTGTAGAGTCGACGAGTCTCAAGGGCAGAGTCTGCTGTCATGTGTCCATATGGACGTATCCCTCCGTTGCTGTCTGACAACAGCACCGTCTTTGCCCGTGAACGAATGGGACCAAGGTGAACCGTTGGTACTGCATTCAGTGTGCTTTCTCTAGCGCTTGCGAGACCGATTGATCTTGAGAGAGGGATACCGGGGCCTAGTACACGTTATTCCAGTTAGAAAGCCAGTGTATGGATTCATTAGGATAGGGAGCTTACTTCAGGATTTCGCTTTGATTAAGGCGTGAAGAGAGGGCAGGCGGAGGCAGTCGGACGTGCCATACCTAGTTTCTAAGTATCTGACAGGCAAAGATGCCCAAGCGCTCATATTTGTAAGCAACGTGTCCGAGCCTCAAAATCGCATATTTGGCGGAGAGACCGTCATGTAATCTCGGAAGTGCGCGTATGTTTCTGACTGTTTCTGACAAGGCAAAACTTGCCCGAGGAACGACCAGTGCCGTCAGCGATCGGATACCGGAACGGAATAACGTGGACCGGCTGTAGCGGACAGATTCACAGGTTCCGGAACCCGGTGACCTCATTAGCCTCCTCCCCCTTCATTGGCTCGGCCAAGGCTCGGTCATTCGTTAGCAACTTGAAGTACCCACCTCCTCACTTCTTCTCTTCTCTCCAACCCTCTCTTCGCAATTTGCTTTCTCGCGTATACAGCTTTGAAGGTAAATACACCATGAGCTACGATCTCGCCAAGGCCGTCGGGTACAAGAAGGAGGACCAGCCCGTGAGTTCTGGTGATCTAGTGCCACGGGGCGACGCGCTGACGAGACTGGTCGCCTTGTTCCCCGCTGCCCATTATGGCTCGCCTCTCTTTCTCTTAACGCTGCACCGTACCACCCCCAGGTCTCATGGACCAAGAAAGACGTGATCACGTACGCGGTCGGCGTCGGCGCCAAGGCCGACCAGCTTTCCTTGGTCTACGGTGCGCGTTTCCTCTCGACGTCAGGTCCATGTGTCGGTGCTCACGCCGCCTCCCGCTCGCACAGAACTTGGTAACAAACCCACCCTATACTGCGCTGAAGCGCGGAGCTGACGTTATCCCCTGTGTCGCACAACAGACAAAGCATGGGGCCCGCTCCCGACCTTCCCCGTCGTTCTCCCGCTCAAAGGTACGTCCTCCAACGCTCAATACTCACACACGACAACTAATGCGACAAATGCAGGCACGGACACGGACGTGACGGACTTCAGCGCCAAGGTCGACGTGCCGCCGCCCGCGCTGCCCAAGATGAGCGCAGACCGCGTCGTGCACGGCACACAGAGCATCGAGATCCTGCGCGACCTGCCCGCCGCGAGCGGGCCGGGGTGGAAGTTCCAGCGGCGCTGCGTCGGTGTGCACGAGAACAGTGCGTTTCCCCCTCCCTTTCCCTCCTCCCTTTCCCTCCTCCCTTTCCCTCCTCCCTTTCCCTCCTGTTATCCCCAATACGGCAAGAGCCGCGCTAACACGGGAACAGAATCGGGCATCATCGTCGACAACGAAGGCATCCTCGTCGACGCACACGGTACCCCCTATGCAAAACTCTACAGCTCCACATTCTACCTCGGCGCCACCGCCAACCACACCAGATTCTCCAAAGTCATCGCCGGGCCGCCCCAGAGCTCCTCGTCGTCCCCCACCCCGCCGAACCGCGCACCGGACTACACCATCCGCGACAAAACCACCCCAGAACAAGCGCTCGTGTACCGCCTCAGCGGGGACTACAACCCTTTACACATCGACCCCGCGTTCGGCGCGAAGCTCGGGTTCGGCGGTGTGATTCTGCACGGGCTCGCGAGCTTCGGGTTCGCGGCGCGCGGGCTGGTCGGCGCTGTTGCGGGCGGGGATCCGCGCGCGCTGCGGGTGTTTGGGGTGAGGTTTACGAGCCCGGTGAGGCCCGGGGACGAGCTGGAGACGCAGGCGTGGGAGGTGGGCGAGGGCCCGGGGGGCACGACGGAGGTGGTGTTTGTGACGCGGAATGTGACGAGTGGGAAGGTGGCGATGGGGAATGGGGTGGCGTTTTTGAGGAAGGCTGGGGGGAGGAGTAAGTTGTAGGTTGTGGGTCGCTTGCGACTATCAGCGTTCAAGTTTCTCGTGTGGATAGGTTGATCTAAGCTGTGGTGTTTTAAGTTGTACAATTGCATACATTCAAATAGCTAGCATGACTGAAACAATGTCCCAAATATATGAAGAGTGGAGATGGTCGCACAAGTTGTCGTAATTCTCGCAGGTCAAATCACTGCCCGAGCTTCGCCCTCAACATCCGCCCGCGATCAAGCACCGCGTCCGCCTCGAGATAACACCCCTTCAACCACCGATTCGTCTCTCCTTCGCCCTCTCCCTCTTCGTCAGCCCCAGCTTCACCCTCCTTTTCACCCTTGCCTCCCTCTTCGCTTCCACCCTCCGTTGCATCTTCCCCATTTGCCCCGTCCCGAGGAAGATCCTCAAACGCCGTGCGCGCATGCAACACGCGCCTGTTATCAAACAGCACCGCGTCGCCCTCGCGCAGCGTATACTCATACCGGCTCTCCGGGTCGTCCAGCAGCCGCACGAACTGCGCGAGCGCGTCGTAGAACGCCGGAGGCGTGTCGACGAGCAGGGGCGCTTGGAAGGGCGGGGAGTAGTTGATGTGTTTGATCGGCTGCTCACCGCCCGATGTCGATGCCGATGCCGCCGCCAAGGGGTCGGGGTCGAGCTGGATGGTGGGGTGCGCGCAGTGCAGATGGTGCCCGTCGTTGATATAGTGGAACGGGACGCGCGTGCGCGCGAGGAGGGCGAATGCGGCGGGGTCCGAGGCGCGCAGAGTGGAGGCGGCGTGGAGGCCGTCGACGAAGATGGAGGTGCCGCCTGCGACGCGGTTGCGCAGGCTGTGGAGGATCTGGTAGCGCGGGGGGTGTTGGAAGTATCTGCCAGTGTGATTTTTCAGTGGTGCATTGGTGGTGGAGGGGGGAGGCAGGCGTACAGGAGGTCCATGTGCAGCCCCAGCTCAAGATTGGTGTACGCGATGTTCTTGCTGCCTTGCACGTTCTTGACGTCCCACGTCGCACCGTAAAACGTCTCTCTGATCTCGCCGAAGAGGCCCGCAAGGCGGCGCAGCTCGCACGCCTCGTCAGAGGTTTCTTCGGGGGGCACACCGGTGACGAAGAGCAGGCCGTGGCGCGTGAGCTGGGTGATGCCGGCGAGGAGGCCGCGCGGGCTCAGGAGCGAGTCGAATGGGATGAAGAGGCCGTCGACGCGGGCGATGCTGGAGCCGTCCCATGGGGCCTCTTGCACGTCGCGGTGGAACGCGGAGCGCGAGTCGGGGGAGACGTAGCGGGCGAGAAAGTCGTGTGTGTATGTGGACTGGTGGCCGTCTGACCAGGTGATCTGCAGGGTGCCGTCCGAGGCGAGCGAGACGCCGGTGTTATCGCTATCAGGGGCAGGTGTGGAGAGGGGGCGGAGGTCAGCGGGGATATCGGAGGTGCGAAAGAGCTTCTGGTCGGTAGAAGGATGGACGCAGGAGGGGCAGCGGCAGGCATCGCGCAGCCAGCGGTGGGGGAAGGAGGCGTTGTTCAGGGTGGGGAGGGTGACGGCGATCGAGGTCACCTCTGGGGCTGTGGGCGGGGATGCATCGGAGGGAGCGGAGGCCGTCTTGAGCGGACGTCGTGCAGAGAAGACTGCGGGAGAAGGAGAGACGCATCGTAGGAAAGAAGATCGGGATGCGATGGACACTCGAGGAAATATCAGCGACATTAGAAGGAGGGAGATGACGTTGTTTGGTAATCGCCGTTGGGACAAATAATGTTCCCTTCCCGTTACCCGACTATTGCCTCCGACCATACCAACGTTCCCTTCCCTTGCGCGTCTTTCTCTGTCGTTTTCCTTCTTTCCTTGTTGGATTCAGATTGGAAGTAGACATACCCCATAGATGAGTTATTCTACATCGATGTCGGACATGGAGGGCTCCTTTGTCGTTCTCCATCGCGAGGGCAGCATCACAGAACACCAGCAACCAATCCAGCCCGTCGATCACGTCCGTCCCTTCCCTTCACTGCTTCAACTGACGCTGACATCTGTTGTATAGATACCAGAGCCTGCGACACCCAGCCCAGCACACATTGAGCCACCCCCGGCACCCCAGCCAGCGACCCACCCGTCTCTGCACTCTGGCTTCCCCGGCCAAGGCTCCTACGCCCACGACTGGTCAGACGCAGCCACGGGCGGAGGCATCCGGCGTCACGGCCGCCACTTTGTGGACGCGTACGGACGCGTCTGCAACCTCCGCGGCGTCAACCTCTCTGGCTCCTCCAAGGCGTGCGTACACCTCGCTCCATATTACGCTACGTGTCCTGACCGCGCCTTTCGTTTGACAGGCCGATCGACCACGACCACGAGACGTTCCCCACGAACCACCGCACTATCACGTTCGTCGGTCGCCCCTTCCCGCTCGAGGAAGCCCCAGAGCATTTTGCGAGGCTGAGGAGATGGGGACTTACGTTCAGTACGTTTCTTCCCGCCTTTTATCGCTCGCTACCTTGTGCTGACATTGCTGTCCTAAACTCAAGTCAGGTTCCTGGTGACCTGGGAAGCAGTCGAACACGAAGGCCCGTACGTAACTCCTCCTTCCTCCCAACAATCCCACTGCTAACGCGAAAACGCCAACAGCGGCATCTACGACACCGCCTACCTCACCTACGTCCGATCCCTCCTCACCCTCCTGCCCGAGTACGGCCTCTGCGGCTTCGTGTGCCTCCACCAGGACGTCTGGTCGCGCTACTCGGGCGGCTCCGGTGCCCCCGCGTGGACCCTCGAGGCCGTCGGCTTCGACCTGCACACCCTCGAGGACGCCGGCGCCGCGTGGCTGCTGGGCGTCAAGGGCGGCGGGCACATCGAGGAGGAGCGCGGGATATGGCCGTGCGGGTATCAGAAGCTGGCGGCTGCTACGATGGCGTGAGTCTTGTTCTGATGTTCTTTTCTTTACGTGGTGAATGTGCTAATGGATGGATGGACGGGCGCGTAGGACGTGTTTCTGGGGTGGAGATGTGTTTGCGCCGAAGCTCAAGATACCGATGCCGGACGGGAGCGAGAAGCCGGTGCAGCGGTTCCTTCAGGACGCGTTTCTGGACATGTTCGATGTCGTTGCGGCTGCGCTGAGCGATCTGCCGGGTGTGATTGGGTTCGAGGTGCGTCGACTCGTGCGGGTATGCAGTGCACCGCGTCGTCGCTGACGGCGAGCTCCGGCTAGCTCATGAACGAGCCGCACCGGGGATACATCGACCTGCCCTCGCTGCACGCGTTCGACTACAACACCGACCTGCACCTCTCCCACGTCCGTACGTCTGCACCGCTGCCTCCCCCGCTGATCCAACCACATACCCATATCCCCACTAGCCTCCGCGTTCCAGTCCTTCCTCCTCGGCGCCGGCCACCCCACCCCCGTCTCCATCTGGACCCGCTCCTTCCCCATGCCCACACGCAAAACCTCCTCCGCGATCCTCAACCCCCACGGCCGCTCCGCATGGCGCGCCGACGGACCGACGCGCGGGCGCTGCGTGTGGGAGGCGCACGGCGTGTGGGGGTGGGACAAAGTCAAAGACGAGGGCGTTGTGCTGCGGGAGAGCTATTTCAAGAAGGACCCGAGGACGGGGGAGGGGGTGGAGTGGTATGAGGGGTTTTATTATCCGTTTGTGAGGGTGTGGGCGGAGAGGATGCGCAGGGCGGGGATGGTGGGGAGGGGGAAGGTGTTGGTGGCGGAGCCGATTCCGAATGAGGTGCGTTTTTTGTGGAGGTGTTAATTGGGTTTTGGAGGCTGGGAGGTTGAACTGTTTTTATTTTGAAGTTTTGTCCGGCGTCGTGGACGGGTGAGAATCAGCCGCCGAATTTTGTGTATGCGCCGCATTGGTAAGCTGCCTGCTAGAATCGTTGCGATGCGGGGGACGCTGATGCTATCGCAGGTACGACCTCAACGCGCTCTTTGCCAAGGCGTTTGGCGATTTTACTGTCAACGTCCAAGGATTATCTCGCGTACGCCCCCGTTCTCTCGCCTTTCATCGCGCTTCGACGGGCACTAACCCGGCGTGGTACGCGTACAGGGCATGTTCCTCCCCAAGGCGCTGTACTGGGGCCAGCAAGGCGCGCGGGACAACTTTTCGCTGCAGATCCGCAACATCGTCGAGGCGGGGTACAAGGCGCTCGGCGAGGTGCCGTGTCTCATTGGGGAGTGCGGGATTCCGATGGATATGAAGTGCGTCGCGCGTCGCGTTCATTCAGGGAAGACTGTTGCTGATGTGCGGTTGGCGGTGGCTGCAGTCGGAAGGAGGCGTTTAAGTCTGAGAACTGGCATTGGCAGTACCGGATGATGGACGCAATGATGACTGCGCTTGAGGGCGCGTTGGTTGGGTTTACGTGCGTCGCGTTCCTCTCTCCCTGCACCTGCGCTTGCCCCTGCCCCTATGAATCTAACGTCATCGGCAGCCTCTGGAACTACAACCCAGACAACGACGACACGCGGGGCGACGACTGGAACGGGGAGAACTTCTCGTGGTTCTCGCGGCGGCGCGCGCTCCCGCGCTCGCTGCTCGACCTCGAGCAGACGTCGTTCACGCTCGACAACGGCGGGCGCATTCTCCCCGCCGTCGTGCGCCCGTACGCGGCCAAGACCGCGGGTGTGCCGCTCCGGTTCAGCTACGAGATGAACGAAGGCGCGTTTGCGTATGCGTGGGCTGTGCCTGCGCAGGTGGATGACGATGGCGATGGCGCTGGCGAGTCGTCGGATGCGCCGGCAGCGGGAAAGAACGGGAGCGTGGGCACGCCCCCGCTCGACGGACACCCGCCGATCAAGGCGTGGCAGACGGAGATATACGTCCCCGCGCAGCTCACGCACGGCCGCGCGCTGCGCGTCGAGGGGCTCCGCGAGGCCGAGGGCGACCGCTGGACGCACGACGAGGCGCGGCAGACGCTGTTCATCGTGCCCGGTGCGGCGCGGCGGTGCGCGGGCGCGCGGATGGAGGTGCGGGTGCGGGTGCATCCGCCGATTAGGCCGACGTTTGCGGTGAATGGGTTTTGGAGCGATTTTGGGGAGATGATTTGGAGTGGGTGTGTTGTGTTTGTGGGGGTGTTTTTGTTTTTTAAGTTTAAGGTGTTTGCGTGAGGTTGTGTGGTTAGTGTGGGGAGGGGAGGGCGGGGAAGAGAGGGTAGTATTTAGATGTGGGGTAATTTTGGAGGTGGTGGGTATATGATTTGGTTTTTGGAGTGCGGGTGGTTAGTTTTTCTTTGGCTTCGATAGTGGAGAGGTTTGAGCTTGGACAGTGTCAGTCTAATGCACTTGACTGAGACTGATGGAAGAATGGAGGAGCTTGAGCAAGTTTAAGCCTGTCGATTTACCCACCACCACTTCACGAGTTCGAACTCCAAAACCGACTATCGTGGTTCGGCTTCCGCTGCACCCCCTCGGACTCGGACATGTTCTTCGACAAGATCTACAGTATCCGGGTCGCAGATTTTGCTTCCGACTGCGCACCATGCTTCAGCTTCATTGGCATTCTCTGAAATGACTCGATGCTTGCCCTTTGGCATTTATTTTTCTCGATACGTCTCGGTGGCATTCTCTTTCTTTCCCTACTTATATGTGTGCTTTATGGCGCTGGACACATCGGCTCGAGCTCGGGCCCACCTCTCCTCATTTTTCTCGTCGAACATCCATCTCTATCTTTCGATCGCGATATCCAGAAATCCTATCCTGTACACGCGCTTGTGTGTTCAGTGCATGACCAAGAGGCCATGCAAGCAATACACAAGTGCTGTTCAGTGGATCCTCGCATCCTGTACCGTCGTCTTGATCGCGGTTTTGGGTCTAGCGCTTTTGCTTTGCTCGATGCGACAGGGTGATGGTTTGTTGCCATAGGTGTCTCTCGATTAAGTACGACGCATCATCTGGCCTGTCATATACATTCATTCTATGCATATTACAGGGCAAAGAAGAGAGTTCTGACGACCGCTTTACGAGTCTGTAGTTATCCAGATTCTGAAAGTACTTTAGTAAAAATTTGTGTCCTCATGATGCTTGTAGTAGCGGATGCGCTTGTTATATATCGCTTTCTCCGTCTTGGACCCTTGTGATATATCATTCGACGTTGGTTATTACTTCGCAAGTCACGCCGTTTCTTTCCCGATGGTGATATGCATTAGGTTCGAGTTCACGTATACAGTACATTTCATTTTTGACGACAAGGTTTGGTACACCAGGACATACCCCGAGGAGTGGCCGTCCCCTGTACCTGTTCAGTTTACTGATCAGGTTGCGCCATGATTGTACGATATTTCCCACGCTTCATACTTCCATCTTCATCTTGACCCGCTTGCACACGGGATGGCGGCTGATAGCGGGTGTCCCGACGCGCAGTCAAAGTTGCATCACCCTGTTGGAGGTCAACGATGTCTCTGATAGTGATGTGGAAAGTACGCCCTATAATCGCACTCACGGTCGTCGTTCTCCCCCACACCAGCCAATAGGCGTGGTATCGTACCCACATCGGCGGAGGAGACCGCCATAGCTGATCACAGTGAAGCCAGCTTCGTTGTTCTCGCGCCTTAACGATGATTTCGACGGAGAGAAGTGTCCGTGAGTCCTACATCAACACCAAGACGGATCGCTACTCACTTTTCTCTGGTGGCTGTCGTATCAGAGACGGGAATGGCAAGGACTCATGCACAGATACCCTATCTCACTCGTGTTTCTGGGCAGTGCGAAGTGCGTATTTGTATCATTGGAAGAGTAACTACTGACATTGGTTGACCGGAGATAACTCAAGACCTCCAGCTCCCTTTACTGGCTTTACGATCGTTGTTTCGTATTGAGAGAAACGATCTCCAAGAGGGATCGGGTGAGCTCGATAGACTGTGTTCGAGAAGGATACATGAACATCAGGGAGAAGTTGCTCAAACAAGCGGCGACAAACGAGCCCAAGACGAGCTTCCAAAGTTTTCCATTATCACCGTAACTCGGGCGAAAATGGGAAAGAAAGTTCCCTTCATGCCGGAATTACCCGACGTCGCCATCTCCACACCGAGTTGCTGCATCCATGCGATTAGTACTAGCTAAGTCATGGCTAACACAGGGACTTACAAGTACGTCGCCCGTCTTCAGCGCCGTCTCATCACCCTTGCTTCGAAGCCGAATTACCTCTACGGCGCTGGGCGCGTTTTCTGCGTTATGTTCTTTGGCCGTGAAGTATTCTTCGCTGTCGGGGGATATACCCCGGAGGACGATTGTGCCCTCGTCCCCAGGCACGAACCAATGGTCGTTGGTGTTGACAATTATGATCTAGGAACAAGCGATTTCCGGTAAGCTGCACCTTGGTGAAATAGGAAGACGGCACTCACTTGTCCACTCGCCGCGTCCAACCGTAGCTTTGCGTGTTTGTGCTGCAGGGACCGCGAGCCACCATTGCAAACGCGCGGGAACCAGCCATTCTCTGGTGAACAGCTGTTACTAGCCTCGCCGAATTCGGGTGGACCGCCTTCCTTGCCCAGGATGATGTCCTTGGACCCGGTGAGCTTCAGTCTCTTCGTCTGAAATCGCGACTGAGAGCCTCTTAGCTCTTCAAGAATGATGGTCGCGGTAATATGCTCGGACATAGCTGTGCAGGAGTGACGAGCGGAGGAACGTTGATTAAAGGATGCAAGGGGCGAATGGCGGCAAGGAGAATGGATGGAGGACAGACCCAGGTGAGCTTTGCTTTGGACGCTTTTTATACGTCCAAGGCACGCAGTCCTCAGGGTCGATCCGAAGCCAACAAGAGCCTACAAGCCGGAGCAGCGAGTCGAAGGCCTATGCAACGCTCGCCAAGGCCCTCCGAGGTGCGTGTCTGTTGAAAAGAAGCATCCGCCTGTTATCTAAAACGGAGCTGAAAAACATGCAGGCGCTCGCTTGGACGCGGGGTCCCGAGGAAGACGAGCGGCACCCGGAACGCGTGTCAGCGCACGATGGCCTCAATTGTCTGCGCCGCCGTTTCGGTCAAGGATCAACATAAACGTTGACGTGCGGTGAGCGGCCAACGGCTGCGGACCTTGACACCCTAGCTTCTCTGTGGGTGCTCGCTCTCATGGAAACATCGAGGCCAATGTTCCCGCCCTGGCATTAAACCGTTTCGGGCAACAGAAGAGTTCGAAAGCTTGGACGCGATGAGTTGTAAAAGGGTCGCAAAGGTCTGGGAGGACATATCGGTGCTTTGGGAATAAATGGGTGTCTAGATTGGTGTCACAATGCTCTCCGAGTCGTCGCATTTAATGAAATTCCGTTCTAAATTATGGAGCGTCAGTGAGGGGACATCTAAGGCAGGCGGTGCAGTCTAGAATCTAGCGGCGTTTACACTCTTGACATGTAGCGTGGTCAAATATTGTCATCATGCATGCTGCGTACTACAGCCAGTTTTTTAGACGAGAAAACATCACTTTCACCCCAAGATTGAAACTCATTGGCTTCAAGTAGGGGTTTCGTAGAGAATGTCAGGCGAAGGAGGTTTGAAAAAGAAGTGGTGTTGATATGCTCGGACGGCGGACAAGGGTAAACCAAGGGGTAAACAAAAAATGGACGACAGTGGACGACGCCGACGCCCGGCGGTGAAGTCATCGGATTTCGGAACCTAACAAATAGTCCCAAAGCTTCCGAGGCGCGAACAGACTCGTACGCGCTCTTCTGTTTCCGACACTTTCCAAGTGTTCAACCGTTGGGTTTCTGCCCCAACTCTACCTGAATGAATCCAGATACGATGTTCACATCCACCCACTCCTGCGCCTGCAACTTTGAATTCATCCCTACCGAGATCCTCGCCATCATCTTCCAAGAATGCGTGACGCTTGCCCACGCTCAAGACGGCCTCATGTGGTGCTATCACTCTTGCACGCGACGCTGTCTCCTCGACTGGGTATGCATCACCCATGTCTGCCGCCGCTGGCGCACAATAGCGCTTTCTCAGCCTTTGCTTTGGAGCCATCTCATCCTGTTGTATCCTAGCTGGGCAAAGACGATGCTCGCTCGCGCGAAGACAGCCCCTCTCACGATCTCCCTCGGCGGCGAACAGGGGCAGTCACAGCTATATGCTGAGCGCCTGGCGGACATGTTACACCCGGAGTGGAGACAGGAGATGTTGGTACTCGCATCAACGCTGGACCAGGTGTATCTTACGGAGGATCAAATGCAAGCCTTCGCACAGATAGAAAACCTACAAACCAAGCAAAACTTCAATGACCCCGCAATTCGCGAGGAAATCAATCGACGGACGCTGGAGCTGTCAGAGACTTTCAGGGTGGATAATTTGAAAAAGAAAGAGGAAATGAAAGCGGCCTTGAAAGTGCACAGCAAATGCGTATCAAAGTATGGTCCGTTGATCCAGTCTTTCTCCTCCCTAACCGATGGCGGGACCAACGTTATCGACTGCTTGACGTTCTCTTCGTGTCGCTTAACAAGATTGCACCTTGCGTCCGCATATTCATTGGAGCACCTTGGGAAGATGGACACGCTAGAGGAGCTCGTCCTTAACCAGTGTCTCGAGTGGACCACAGATCGTAATATGCTTGGAGTGCCGCTGGGCACTTCGAAGAAAATCCACCTACCAGCTCTCCAGTCTCTACATATCAAGGATGCACTTTATTGTGCCACTGACTTCGCGGCGGAACTCAAAACAACAAAACCTCTCCGGTGTCTTGCAATCGAAGATTACGACGATGACAGTAGAGACATGAACGTTCTCAGTCTGTTTCATCCTCCTGAGATCGCCATGTCCGTTCGGGAGTTTGTCACCCTCAGCACGGAATCCCCTAGGACAGGCGCGGAAAGCTCAAGCACCTTCCCCGACCATTACTGTGTTCTTCGCGCAAAGAGTCAATGGTGCCCCGGCTCGCGCTCTAAGCTTCAGCTGATCGCCTGGAGACGAGAGACGACAGAACCTTCGGATATTGTCACATGGGAGCGCGAAGGCAAGATACCTCACTTGCCCAGCGTCAGACCGTCAACTCACAGCCACGCCTCGGAGTCCGTTTTCTACAAGACTGACCCAGCGCTTCATTTTTACTTTCCGATAGTTGCAGATCCACCAGTCGACTCATGTACTCTCAACGCGCTCCGCACGGCGTTCTCTCTTCACTCCGTCGTTTTCGCGACAATCAAGGTGTGCGGTCACTGGCGCTTAATGGACGGACCTTTCGAACTCACGCGCGAGAGCGCGAGAGCGTTCTTCGCGGAGACGGCATCCCTCCGCGTGCTGGAGGTGTATAAGTACAGTGCCGCGCGTCTGGTTGAAGTGCTCACGCCGTACGATGGCCAATGCGCGCTCGCCTCTGAGCTGGAGGAGATCTGGTTCGAAGAGGTTGATTTCGCCGAGGAAACGCTTACGGACGCTCTTGTACTCTGCGTCACTGCAAGGACCGCAAGCGGATGTTCGCTCAAGAAGCTCGTTTTGAGGAACTGCATAAATATCGACTTGCAGGAGCTGACTACGTTTACTGGTCTGGACGTCGAAGCGAAAACGGCGCAGTCTGAGGCTGCACCTCAAGTTTGGGAGATAGCGGGTAGCTCCAATCAAGCATCTACCGGATTAAGAGGAAGAGGAAGAGGAGGCCGAGGGCGTGGACGTAGCACTAGCAAAAAGACGCCTGCTCGCGGTAGGAAGAAGCAGCAAAAGTAGGTGATGCACTCATGCCCCACTGTGACGGCTCTGTACCCGTTCCTGAGCTCGAGGAGATATGGCTTGAAGACATCGATGGACGCTTATTGACAATGACCATTATTCCGTGTCTCACTGCTCGGGCTGAACGTGGATTCCCGCTGAAGAAGCTTGTGGTGGATGTAGAGCGCACCTGGGAAGTTGAAGCATACGATGCGTTGCCTGCATTTTCTCATCTTGGGGTTGAAGTTGAAGTAACGACGTTTAGGTATTAGGAGACATTTACGTACTAGCGCACATTCAGCCTTTAGATATGGTAGCACCGCACCCAGTCATCAGTAAAAGTGCCAATTTCTTGCCCGCTTTGCCAAGCTTGTGAGCTTGCCGACAAGCCGACAAGACACTGTTTGCATAAAGGTCTATAGGCTGGTTGCAAAAACATTCTAGAATATACACTGATGGTGTTTGCGTCTCAACACTGATTTCCGAAGTCAGAATACGGCCTGTGGATGTCTTAAATAACTAAACTGAGGCGACTTGTTTGACTTGCAGGCGCTTGTCCACGTAATCTCCACGTTGCCGAAGATCGCCTTGTCGCAAAAATAGACTTACATTGTCGGGCTTGGCGTCTTGGGCATATTATTACCTTGCCGTCGCTTGCGCAGGGTTGCACAAGGTTGTACAAGCCCCGACAAGATTTTTTCATAGTTATTGATGCACTGCTCACTAGCAAGCTACTAATACAACCCGAGCACAGACAGGCAGATAGCTTGCGGTCACATTCGCGCTGGCCTCAGAACGTGGTTGTCTCCAGCCGAGTTGCTGTTTGACGTTTAGCTACGTTCTGCAAGCAATCAACGAGGCGACTTACTAAAATGTCCCCAGAATGGAGCTGCGTTGTCTCCCTGTCGAGTATTGTCATAGTCTCCTTTCGCTCCTGACCTTCAGTGCCGTATCCTTGCGGCTTGAATGTGGTCTCAGAGAACTCGGATACGCCTCTAAAGATCAGAGTTCTGTAATGCTCGCCATTGTCTTCAATAAATACCTGCATATTATGGAGCGTCAGCAAGAAATTATCAACTTTGAGTAGTTTAGTTATCCTTCCGTGATACGCACATTCTTGTTTTCATCGCAATAGAGGGCAGCGCAGCAATGAACAACGCTGCGAGAGCCAGTCTTTCCTCCTGCAAATCCTGGGAACAGGCCATTATTCTGGGTGCATGTTCCCTGTGTCGGACCGCCTTCTTTACCCAGAACTTCCTTCTGACCAGGACGGAGGTGAATTACCTTTCTCTCAAAATCAGAGCTCGCGTGTTCAATTTGCGTAAGAACAACGGTCACGGATCCGCGTTTTGACATGATTAAAGACATGAAGTGTGAAGAAAATGACGAGAAGGCGGAGATAATTTTAGGGACGGGTGAAAGATATCTCGAAGAGAATGTGACTTTATACCAAATGGCATGGACACGCATAGACCTAGGCTGTCGCGGTGGACTTGGCTCTTGCTTGGCTCGCATGGCTTGGACCTTGTAGGTTTAGGTCCTGCTTGGGCACATATAATTACATATGTAAAGAATACGGTTGAGTGGTGCCCACGCACAAAGCGCGTATAAACTATGTGGTCTCACAATGAAAATGAGACGAACAAGAGCATGGCGGAGCTGTCGTCCAACTGAAGTCGACTGTGACGCATTTCGGTAGGTCTTTGGTAGGTTTGACCCCATCCGTCGATATGAAAGATGTTTGGGAATCAAAGAAGGAAAAAATTGCCGCGATTCAGTAAATTATGGAGGCTGTTCAACGACAGGTTCTGTAACCTCGCCTAATAATATTATGAGCGTGCCAAGATGGTATAGCAGCAATCTGGTCGTAACTCTTAGCTAGCGAGGCTGTCGTGTAGTATGCGTTGATGAAATGGGAGATATGGGAGATATCAAGCTTAGATCCACTCTAGTAGCCAGGCCAACGCGGATGTCGTACTACGGTAGTACGATGGCAAGGGCAATGAATGTAAAGAGGGAATCGGCCAGACATCTCTTTGTTCTGAATGACCTACTCGTTTTTGATTCCACAGTCCCGGAAGTGCGCCCTCGAGCCAGGGAAGATCGTGGTTCCAGGCTCCCAGCGTGAGCGTCGATCACTGAAGGGGGAAGAGCTACATAGGACGAAGCATGCCAGGAAAGGGGGTATCACCTGCAGCACCCTTTCCGTTCCAGACACTCTACTCTTTCACCCCTGAGCTCAGCTTCAGCCTTTACATCTCCTCACATGCGCACATTGTCGTCGTGAAACCCCGAGCTTCGTTGCCGCAAATCCACCGGCCCTAAACTACGCGTCCGCCGTGAATTTATCACACGTGATCGTGTCGAGTCATACATCCATCTCGATGATCTCTAGCTAAGACCTCCGTCAGCATATCGATGCAGCTGGGAGCCATGAAGGGCTCGGTGGAGATGCATTAGGTATCCCCCAGTCTCCCGAGTAAAGGATTTCAACATGCAACATACCGAGGACATCCGTATTGCCGAGGAAGGAGACTTGTTGAAACGCGTAGAGGTGCGTGTATGGTTTAGGGGCTCGTAAGAGTCACAGACTTACAGTTGCTCGTTTCGCGGATGTGGCATCGACGATGAACCTCCTCATGAACAGACACTCGTATTCTCCTATCTGCAAAGGATATAAAAGAGCGCTCTTACGTTCTATCCTATCGTCACTCGAGAGTATTTGTTCGTCGTCCTCGATTATTTGGATCGACGTTCACAACTTGAATCACTCCTGTCCAAATCCCGATCTACACTCAACGCACCTCCTATCCTAATCTCTTTTACGATTCTTCGACCCTTGATTCTGCCAACGTATACTGTAAACCCACAACCCCACACCACCTCGAACGCACGATGCGCTTCGGCGGCTTCTTCATCCCCATGCCCGTCGTCGTCGAATGGGGCATCGAGCAGCCCGAACTCGCCAAAGTCCTGCCCAGGCTCTTCGTCCACCCCGCGTGGACCGACGAGGTACTCATTTGCACGAACAAGCACGCGCTCAACTACGCGTGCGGCACGACGCTCCTCCGGCGCCTTAAAACAGAGTACACGCGCGTGCGCGCCGGCTTCGGCGCGACGCACGTCCGGTGCCACATCCACACCCACACCCACGCCCATAATCGCGGGGAAGACCGCGACGGCTGCGGCGGCGGGGGGCGGTTCTCCGACGCGGACGGGCTGTTCATCGCCACGCACACGACGCGGTTCTCCGATCGGAAGTTTGGCAAGATCGGGAGGGACGTCGCGCGGATGAAGCAGTTCGCGATGGGCGAGCGGGACGAGGCGATCGCGGGGCTGATCGAGCGGGAGTTCCCCGGGTTCAAGGCCGAGTTCGTGACGACGTTTGTGCCGGATACTGTTGGGCGGGCGTGGTAGCGGCGGCGGCTTATGACATGCAGCGGTCTCTGCGGAGGGAGGCCGACGGTCGTGACATTATATCCTAGAGTTTGACGTTACCGATGATACACAAGGGCAGATCTAGAGACGGTGTACAATAGTTGTACTTCTGCTGTGCAATAGACATCCTATTGTTAACAAGTCTTTGTGTGGGTTTGAGCATCACTGAGTTCCATTGCCACTATCTAACCCGTCTCCGACTCGTCAGACTTTGTGGTTCTCTTGATGGTATACAGTGTTACTTACTTGCACACGATGATCGACAAAATGGATACAGCTGAGGTGATCGGTGTGCGTACGACACACAAGTGTACGAAGAAAGTATACGTGCATGGAGATGGAGAGTACAATGCCTAAACTAACAAACAAAATAAATGAAAGACAACAGCCAACTACCCGATGATCGAGGTGTCAGTAGAGCAGTGTGGTCAGGTAAATGGTGCGCTTGCCAAGCGCTATCGATCGAAAGAATGCGGAGCATCGGCATCAGCGAGGGAGGTCGTAAAGCATAGAATAAGCCCATACAAGTCATACAGTCATAACTGAATAATACAACACATCGAGTCCACAACCACCACCACACAAAAGTCCACCCACCCTTCACTCACCACTCACTCACTCACCACTCACCACTCACTCACCACTCACCCCCACCCGCACCCGCACTAACAACCCCACCAACCACAACCCCAACCCCAACACCCACACAAAACCCACCCAGCAGCGCAACATGCACACACCCGTCCCTCGCCACCCTCCCCGAAAACGCAACCACAGCACGCACGAGCCGCGCCTGCATCGGGCGGAGCAGGGACAGCGACATGAGCAGCAGCGAGGGGAGATGCAGCGGGTCGACTTGCGGCGCCGAAGACGACGGGTTCTTGGTGGGGTCTGTGTGGACTTGGAGGGACGAGAGGCGTCGGCGGCGGGCGGGGCGCTGCGCGGGCGGTCGTTGAGAACTGGAGGTGTAGTTAGAGTGCGTGCTCAAGCGCCGCGAGCGGTGCGTGCGGGGCGACTCGGACGCGCTCGGGGCCTTGTTGACCGCCCCCGTTCCGGCCCCGTTATGATCGCTCTGATCGCGCGCCTCCGCTTCCGCTGTCTTTGAATTATCCTCCTCCTCCTCGCGCAGCCGCCTCGCCACATCCGCAGAGAGCCTCTCGCCCCACTCGGCCTCCCACCGCGCCTTATCCCACGTCTTCCCACCACCCGCTCTACCCTTGCCAGTCCCAGCGCCCACAGGAAGCGACCGCCTCTTCCTCGCACGAATCACCGCCGATCCCGCCCCCGCCCCCGACCCCGCCCCCGACCCCGGCCCCAATCCAGACTCCAATCCCAAATCACCAGCACCCCCCGCACCCGCACCCTCATGCGCATCCGACTCATCCACATCCCACGCAGACGGCACCCGCACCGATGACAGCCGCCGCGCGCGCTTCGCAGCGCCAATCGCGCGCACAGCGCCCTCGACATCGCGCCACCGCAAGAACCGCTCGGCCGCCTCGTACCGCAGCCCCGCGATCGTCTCTGGTGCGCGGAATATGCCCGTGCGCAGGGCGCGTGCGGAGCGTGGCTGGAAGGCGGAGAGGTGCGCGTGCGCGTGCGCGTGCTGGTGCTTGGGCGCGCGAGCCGGCTTGGTGGCGGATGTCGATGGCGCAGATGAGCCAGATGCAGGTGGGAGACATATGATAGGGACGTGCGGCGCGAGCGCATCGAGCAGGCTGTCGTCCCCCGGCGAGAGGCCGCCCGCGCCGGGGAGGAAGAGGAGCGCGGTGTGCAGCGGCGAGGCGGGCGAGGCGAGGAGGCCCGCGAGCGGGCCCGAGGGCGGGCAGGCGGGGTCGACGAGCGCGGAGAGCGCGCGGAAGGGCTCGTGGATGATGGAGAGCGTCGTTTCGAGGACGGCTGGTATCTGTGTTTTCGAGGTTGAGTTAGCATGATTTCGCGAGGGCGAGATCGAGGCAAAGGGAAAGTGCAAAGGGAGGGGGAGGAAGACTTACATCTCTCGCACGATCGCACGGCAGCACGCGCACGATCTCGACATTGTGCGCCGGCTCGAACTTGTCGAGCCCGTGCGGATCGGTGTGCTCGATCCAGTCCGTCGACGCCCTGAGCACGCTTGTTCCCTGGCCCTGGTGCTGTGCGCGGTCCCACGGCGAATGCTCGACGACGTCCTCGTTGTCCTCCAGCAGCATCTCCTCGACCATCCGCTCCGTATCGTCGCCTTCCGGGCCGAGGACGATAAGCCGGACATCGCCGAGGGTCTTGCCGAAGGGGGTCGGTCTGCGCAGGGCGGGCGGGAGAGTGAGGCTGGGGATGATGAGAGCGTGTGTGCCTGCATGTTCGTGGGCGTGGTCCGAGTGGGGGTGGGAGTGGGGACCGGGGCTGGCTGCTGCGGAGGAGAAGAAGAAGGAGGAAGAGACGGAGGGGAGGGAGGAGATGGAGCCGTTGGGGCTGTCTGGTGGGGAGGGAAGGGCACTGGAGCGCGGGGAGGAGGGCTGGGAGAGGGAGAAGGTGGGCATCGGGGGTAGGGAGCGGATCGTGCCTGCGCTGGTGCTGATGTTGTCTTCCATCGTGGTGGACGTGAAGGTAATAAGGGAAAGGAGACAAGAGAAGGCGTGCTCTCTGATATCACAACACGTGCACACATGATAAGATTAGATTCCACTTCCCACTGCCGCCGGTCATTATCACTCGTTCCTGTCCTTACCTCACTTGTTGAAACATATCTTCTCTTACAACTCAGAGTTTCAGAATTATCCATGCCTCAACGCAAGTAAATTCACAGCGCCATCATCCACGTACATCTACTATCAGCCACGTGCCGACACCATTACCCCTCGTTGTCTCTACCGAAGCACGTCCATCAAAAAGCACGCCTTCTCCGACCTCGAAGCGCATCACGCTGACCTGCCCAATAAGTCCTCTTGCGGCACGAAAGCACTTCGACGCCGCCCCAACAGATTCCTTGTCGATCGGTCTGAGTAATCTGCCTCCGCGGTTCAGCCTTCCATATAGGGGCATGTGCGTACTGCGCTAGTGGCAGAGTAAACCCTGGGGCAACGTGGCTAGAGGATGCAGCTAGTGCAGGTCATGCCCGTATGACAAGAAACGGCTCCGGGATGTCCGGGTTCTCGTACGGCCCCAGCGACGTCTCCGTCCGCCACTCCCCCGACTCGGCATCCCGCGCCACGCTCCGTTTCACCTGCGATCAGTGTGTACCTCAGTTATCTCTGTCGGACGGGTTGATGCGCGCAAGGAGTACATACGTGCCACACCTTGGTGTTGCAGCCCACCTGCGAGACAGACCACGCACAGCGCTTCGCGAGCAGCAGCGCGTCCGCGGCGAGAACCTGCGGGAACGCGGCCTCGTTCATCGGGAACGTGACATGTACAGCGCGGAGACTGCGTGCGTGCGAAAGGTGCTCCGCCATCGTCTCCTTTAAATCACGAAGCCCATCAGCGAAAACACGCAACGTCAGTGCACCGACGCACGAGCTCATCCTGCTCCGCGACGATAAACATCCTCTCCAGCCGCGGACACCCCGCGCATATCTCCCTTACCGCGGCCAGCCCGACATGCACGCGGTGCGCCGAGAACCGCCTGAGCCGCGCCCCGTGTCGCGCGACGACGCCCGCCCAGAACGCGTCCGCCCCCGGCGCGCGGACGAACGCGCCCGTCGCGTACACCTGGAACGACTCGAGCGGCGCGTCCCACAGCAGCTCCTGCACGCGCGCTGTCCATTCCGTGAGCGGCGTGTGCGTGTGCACTGTCAGCGTGATGGACGCGAGCCGGCGCAGCGCGGAGGTGCGTGCGCATGCGGTGTTGAATGCGGCTGTGTCCTGTTGGGGCGCAGGTTGACTTGCTGGTTAGCGTTGTGTGATTGGGTGCGGGGAGGGGAAGGGGTCACTGAACGAAGGACTGGGAGAGGCCTTCGAGGCCGAGGCTGATGAGTCCGGCGGTGTTGGAGGCGACGAGCGCGATGATGCCGCGGTGCGTGACTTTCGGGCAGCCGGTGATGTACAGGTGTTCGAGGCGGACGAGCGCGGGCGCGATGGCGAGGAGCAGATCGTCCGTAACAGACGTGCTCGCCTGCGGTGCTCGTCAGCACAAGCCCCACCCCCGGGCGCAAAAAACGCACCTTGCATATGAGCGTCAGATTGCGCAGTGCAGCGCCTGTCCCGGCCATCCACACCGGCAGGACGTCGACGACGCCCGGGCTGGGCATGACGAGCGCGAGCCGCTCGAGCGCGGTGAAGTGGGTGAGCATGCGCGGGTCGTAGTACCCGCCGTCGTTGCCGTTTATCTCGAGCGCGGCGAGGCGCGGGCAGCCCGTGTGTAGGGCGGAGAGAATGGCGTCGTCGAGCGAGCCGTCGCGCGTCCATGTGCAGGCGCGCAGGTTGGTGCAGTGCGCGAGCGCGGCGAGGACGTGGGTGTGTAGGGTCGTGTAGGTGGATGAGGAGAGGGATTTGGGGAAGTCGCGGAGCTCTGGTGGGGTGCGGTGAGGATACAGTACGATTGGCAGAGGGGAGCGTACCGAGGGAGTGGACGTGGCGAGCGAGGTGCGGGTGCTCGGCAAGTGTGCGGAAGACGAGGCGAATCTTGGAAAGCGACGTTAGTGTCTGTGTACCAAGAGTGGGCTCGAGCTCACCCTCTCCTTGGCCTCCCTGTACCACGCATATATAACGACCCGCTCATACAGCCTCGCCGTGCTGACCGCATTGAACGTCCGGTCGACGAGGCACAGAGCAGCGAGATGCTGCGGCTTGACGACGCTCTCAACCACGAACGGGAGGAGCTCGATGGGCAGATCGACGAAGGAGACCGTCATCTTGCAACAATCTAAGAAACATACAGTACTCAGGGGGATACGACAAACCACACAAAAACCCCCGATCTCGCGTCCCGGCAAGGAAATACGCTGACTAAGCGACGGCCGAGCTCTTGCTGTTTTGGTCTCTTCAGCGCACTCCCATTCCTCTCTTTCGCTCCAACCACCACCACCACCCCCAGAGGCAGCAGCCATGTCGGATAGAGAGGAGGATTTTGACATGAACGATAACGACGCCACGCGCGTCGACGAGGACGAGGAAGAAGAGCACGAGCAGGCAGACCAGGAGCACGGGCAGGAGCAGGAACAGCGTCCCGCGAGCTCGAGCAAGCGCGTGTCCATATATGATGCCTTGGACGACGACGACGAAGACGAGGACGAGGACGTGGAGGATGATGACGACGAAGATGACGACGAGGACGAGGACGAGGGGAATCGGAGGGGGCGCAAACGCGCAAAGGTGCGCACGCCACGTCCGCTGCTGTGCCCCTGGAAAGCTCTCGCTGACGTGTCGCATTCGTTTTGGAATTTGTAGCACCGGCACAGGAAGCCCGCTGTGAACCGGTTCCTCGATGTCGAGGCCGAGGTCGACACCGAGGACGAGGAAGAGGAGGACGAGGAAGAGGACACGAGGGGTGCGTTTTTCCGTCTCGCCCATCACTCTACATAGCTTCCTACAATAATATACGACGCTGACGCCTGCCCTCCCCACTCCCCGCAGAATTCATCGCCGAGCCCGGGTTCGAAGGCGACGACTACGACATCAACCGGCGCGCGGCCGTCAACGCGCGGCTCGACCGGCGCGCGCAGGAGATGGACGAGCAGGACCTCGCCAAGATCGCGCAGAACCTGCACGAGCGCTACGGCCGCGCCGGCGTGCGCTACACGGGCGACATGAACGAGGTCCCGCAGCGTCTGCTCATGCCCTCCGTGCACGACGCCTCGCTGTGGCAGATCCGCGTCAAGGTGCGCTGTCTCAAGAAGAACAAGGAATTTTAGGAGACTGATTATGGTGTGACGCGGAACTGACAGCCCGGCCGCGAACGCGACATTGTGTTCTCGCTCATGCGCAAGGCGCTCGACCTCGAATACACCGCCGCGCCGCTGCAGATCCTCTCCGCGTTCCAGCGCGACTCGCTCCCGGGCATGGTGTACGTCGAGGCGCGCTCGGCGCAGCAGGTGAACGTCGCGTGCAAGGGCCTCGTCGGCGTGTACCCCTCGCGCGGGATCGTGCTCGTGCCGATCGAGGAGATGGCGAGCCTGCTGCAGATCAAGAAGCAGGAGCAGACCGTCACGCCGGGCAGCTGGGTGCGCGTGCGCCGCGGCAAGTACCAGGGCGATCTCGCGCAGGTGATGGATATCACGGAGAACGGCGAGGACGTCGGGCTCAAGTTCGTACCGCGCATCGATCTCAATCCGAAAGACGAGAACTCGATCGACGGGCGCAAGCGCAAGAAGGCGTTCGAGTCGGGGGGCGCGGTCACCGGCGGGGGTGGGGGCGCGGGCGGGTCGTTCTCGATGCGCCCGCCGCAGCGGTTCTTCAATTTTGAGGAGGTCGTGAAAGTGTACGGGCGGAAGAACGTGTCGAAGCGGAACCAGGTGTACGTGTTCCAGAACGACACGTACCGCGACGGGTTCATCGAGAAGGACTTCAAGCTCTCCGCGCTGCAGCTCGACAACGTGAACCCGTCGCTCGACGAGATCACCAAGTTCACGCGCGGCGCGGGCGAGGGCGGCGCCGCCGGGGGGCTGGACGGGGCCGGGGGCAGCGCGGGCGAGAACACGGTGGATCTGTCGATTATCGCGGAGGCGTCGCGCAAGGCCGCGATCGCGGTGCTCCAGCCGGGGGACCACGTCGAGGTGTTCGAGGGCGAGCAGTCGGGCGTGCACGGTGTCGTGGACTCGATCAGCCAGGACGTGGTCACGATCGTCGCGGTCGGCGTGGACGTCGACGGGCAGAAGGTGGATGTGCCCGCGCGCAGCGTGCGGAAGCGGTTTAAGCCGGGTGATCATGTCAAGGTTATGGCGGGCAAGAACGCGGACGAGACGGGGTTGGTGGTTGCGGTGTCGGATAATGTGGTCACGTTTTTATCGGATATGTCGATGCAGGAGGTGAGTGTTTCTTGGTCCCGCGTGGATGGGGGAGCTGATGGTGTGGGCAGGTTTCTGTGTTTTCAAAAGATCTGCGTGAAGCGGCTGAGGTTGGTTCGGGGACGAACATCGTCGGTAACTACGAACTGCACGATCTGGTTCAGCTTGAGTGCGTATATTTCCTCGATTTCGAGCAGCGGATTACTGGATCTATTTTACAGCATGCAAACCGTCGGTGTCATCTTCAAGACCGAGCGAGACTCGTTCCGAGTGCTCGACCAAAACGGCCAGGTCCGCCTCGTGCAGCCGCACCAGATCTCCATGCGCCGGGACTCGACGCGGGCCATCGCGACCGACTCTGAAGGCCACGAGATCCGCGTGAACGACAACATGAAGGAAGTCGACGGGGAGGTGAGCTTTCAAAAATTGCATTGCTTGGTACCACGTACAAACCCGTCGCTGTGCATAGGCCCGCAAAGGACGCGTGCTGCACGTGCACCAGTCCTTCTACGCCTTCCTGCACAACCGCGAGATCGCAGAGAACGGCGGCGTCTTCGTCACACGCACGCGCGCGCTCGCGTCGCTCGCGCCCAAATCGAGCATCGTCAAAACGGGGCTCGACGCGTCCAAGCAGAACCCGCTGCTCGCGGGCGGCGGCGGCGGCATGGTCGGCTCGGGCACGATGGGCCGCGGGCCGCGGGACCGCGACATCGGCGCGCCGATCACGGTCGTGCAGGGCTCGTATAAGGGGTACCACGGGCTGATCAAGGACACGAACGGGACGATCGCGAGGGTGGAGCTGAATACGGGGAACAAGGTTATTTCGATCGATAAGGGCAAGTTGAGGAGGCGGTTGCCGAATGGGACGTTGGCGCAGCTTGGGCAGCGGCCGCCGATGGGCGCGGGTGGCGGTGGGTTTGGAGGGGGGAGGGGCGGCGGGATGGGGCCACCGCAGGGGGGTGGCGGGCGGACGGCGAATCCGTTTGGAGGGCGGACGCCGAACAGCGGCTGGGGTGGGCAGGCCGGTGCGGGTGCGGGTGCGGGTGGGCGGACGCCGGCGTGGGGGACGTCTGGGCGGACGCCGAATCCGTATGCGAGCGGGGACGGGCGGACGCCTGCGTGGGGCACGTCGGGGCGGACGCCGAACCCGTACGCGGACGGCGGGAAGACGCCTGCGTGGAATGCGAATTCGCGCACGCCGAACCCGTATGCGGACAAGGATGGGGGCAAGACGCCCGCGTGGAATGTGAATTCGCGTACACCGAATCCGTACGCTGCGGCGCAGGATGGCGGGAAGACGCCAGCGTGGAATGTGGATTCGCGCACGCCGCGGCATCCCAGTAGCGGTGGTGGAGGGAGCGGGGGGCAGGGGAATGGGGCGAGCGACCCGTGGTCGGCGGATGGGGCAGCGTCGCCGCGGTGGGGGGCGGCGAATAACAACGATCCGTGGTCGAACAATGACCCTTGGGTGAGCACTTTTTCAGCCTGGTATTTCTAGAGTTTCGCGCTGAGTCGCAACGGTACAAATCGCAGGGAGCGCCTACACCGGCTGCGACGGCGCCTACGCCTGCGCCCACTGGCGCCGCTGCCTGGTCAGCGTCCACGCCTGCGTACAATGCGCCTACGCCCCGTGATTCGGGTGTGCAGGCGTATTCGTCGGCTCCGACGCCAGGAGGGCCGGGGAATTACAGCGATGAACCTGCGTCTGCGCCGACGCCCGCGCCTGCGGCGAACGACGGCGATGGTCACGCTGGAGATGGTAAGCTCTCTGCGGGAGTTCTCTTATAATGTCGTCTGATACAAATTTCCTCAAGACTCGTGGGTGAACACGTCGTACCTCCGCGGCAAGCGCGTTATGGTGCAGGTCAGCGGCACGCTCGCGGACGGGTGGCAGGGCGGCGAGTACGAGGGCAGGCAGGGATGGGTGCAGTCGGTGCTCCCGACGGGATTCGACTTGACGGCGCAGGTGTTCTGGCTGCCTTCTGGGACCGGCCCGATGACGGTCAAGACGAAGTACCTCGAGCCTGTGCGGCCTGAGGAAGGAGACCGCGCGGTCATGATTGGGGGCGAGCAGCTTCCGCTTGGGACGGAGGTGGAGTGCGGGGAGAACACGATTGATGGGTGGACGGTGCATAAGCCGCAGGACAGTGAGACGTTTACTGTGCAGGAGGAGGAGCTAGCGAGGGTGCATCGGGCGTAAAAGGCTGCCAGCTGTTGGCTGTTGGCTGGTTTCTCGGTTTTGTTCCTTCGTTTTGAGTTGATAATCCGTAGAGGACGTTTGTACTGTACACTGCATATGTTTTCTTTGCATGCGTAATCATTCCATTGTTGCTGTTTGTCGTCATTGCCATGGTTGTGCAATGCGTGCAAGTGAGCACGCGCTCGGGGATAGATTCGAGTTGACCTTATTCGGCTGACATCACGGCAGCCCCGCCCGAGTGTTTGTCATCCCACACTCTCCCTCTCTACCATTATGGCCAGCGAGGACTCCCCCCTCCTTCCCCAGCCGCCTGCAGCTCGGAACTACGCGCGCGGCGACCCCAAGTTCTTCGAGGCCCAGGAGGAGCACCGCCGCGTCCGGGTCCGCTCCGCCGTCTGGCTCGCCCTCTCCATCCTCTTCGTCGCCGGCATCGTCTTCGCGTTCGCGGACCCGGGGTATCTGCGCGACTGGGGCATGGCGGGGCAGCTTCCGCGCCATCCGGACGCTGCGGCGGAGCATCTGTTGAGCGTTGCGCCTGTTATCGTGAGTGGGCTGGTTATTTGTTGCGAGTCGGGCGAGAGTCCGTTGACGTATATATGGGGGCTGATCGTGATGCTGCTTGTATGTGTAGGATGGACATATTGGTGCGTGTCGCTCTTTGTTGTTCGCTTGTCGGCACGTAGTGTGGAGGTGTTTGAAAGTTGACCCTTGCGCTGTCGTGCAGACCTGCCTGAAGTCATTCGCATGGCGTTCGCGAACAACCTCAGCGCGGTCAACATCGGTAAACCCTTCCCTATGCATGTCGACATTCCCCGCTTGCGCAAGGGCCGCGTCGGCGGGTTCTTCTGGTGAGCGGACTGGTGTGCGCAAGGACTGGTATACGAACTTTCCCTCTGACATCTGAGTTAGGTCTGTCTACGTCGACTGTCCGAACCCGGATATTGAGGGTGCGGATTTCCTGAACTCGACTTGGCGAGTCCGGTGCGTCTTATCTCATACCATCACACATGATGTTTGTTTCTGATAGGCGGCATCCAGAGACACGCTCGAGCAGATCGACGTTGCGACGGGTCTCATTGACAAGTACCCCGATACATTCGCGTTCGCGCTCACCTCGGGCGATGTCAAGGAGGCCATCTCCGAGGGAAAGATCGCCAGTCTACTTGGGGTCGAAGGGTATGTTACTCGAGGACTCTTCCTAATCTCGCTGCTCACGCGGTCACAAACCTGCTCCACGAACACAGCGCACACCAGATCGGCAACTCGATCCACGTCCTCAGGCAGTACCACCGCCTCGGCGTGCGCTACATGACTCTAACGCACATCTGCCACAACGCGTTCGCCGACTCGGGCGGCTTCCTCAAGCCGTTCGAGCCTCTCCACGGCGGACTCAGGTTAGCTCCAGATCCACATTTCATACGGATCGGGTGTCCCCCCAGCACCATATGAGCCTAACGCTGCGTTCTGCAGCCCCCTCGGATTCAAACTCGTCGAGGAAATGAACCGCCTCGGCGTCCTCGTCGACCTCTCGCACACCTCGGACGACACCGCGCGGCAGGCGCTCACGCACACCAAGGCGCCCGTCATCTGGTCGCACTCCTCCGCGCGCGCGGTGCACGATGTCGCGCGCAATGTCCCCGATGACATTCTCGAGATGATCGGGTTCGGACCGAACCAGACGGACGCTGTCGTTATGGTGCGTCTTTCGCGCTGATCTGGACTGACACTGAGCTGCGCTGCTGTAAAGGAGGGACGATGCTGATTCCGGTGGTTGGTGGTGACAGGTCAACTTTGCGCCTTACTTTGTCGCGCCTGACGGAGAAGCGACCCTGGAGGCGGTCGCTAACCACGTCGAGCACATTGCGCGTGTGGCTGGGAAAGAACAGTACGTCCAAGCTTATTCGCTGAGACGAAATGCGGTCGTATAGCTTACGAACAATGTCGATAGCGTCGGGATCGGCAGCGACTACGACGGCATCGGCGCGACCCCTGTAGGTCTAGAGGACGTCTCGAAGTACCCCGGCCTGGTGAGTCCCCTTTCTGCAAATATCATGCTCGGCAGCTAGGCACATGTTGACCCAACCGCCCCAAGATCGCCGAGCTCTACCGCCGCGGCTGGAACAAGTTCGAGCTCGCCGGTCTCACGGGCAAGAACTTCCTGCGCGTCTTCGAGGGTGCGGAACGCGCCGCGCGCCAGCTGCAGGCTGCCGGGGCGACGCCGGCGTACGATCTGTATTCTAAGCGGACGGATATTCCACCGGCCAGGACGGAACTTTGAGCGTACGGGCTTCCTCTTTTATGTGGCCCTTATTGGTTGATACCCGTCTGGATGACGGTTGGGCATCACTGTCTCCGATCTACTGTACATACTATGTTTTGTCGTGTTGAATCAGAACTTTCCACGTTCGCTTGTTTGCGTGAGCTTAAAAAAAAACTCCGACGACATCCACCTCGTCTTCTAGTCATCTCCGTGAGCCATAGTACTCGCTTCCTTGTCCGTCATCAAGGGCCTAGTGACTAGCACGTACCGTCCGTTCCCGAGCATGCTAGATATTTCTTGCTTGAGCCCTCTGAATACATCGCCCAGATTGGTCGCCATCTCGAAGTATTGGCGAACATCGAGTGCGGTAAAGTAAAAATGCTTCCGGTTATGCAATGATTATGAATCATTTACAGTTTGAGCTCATGCCGTACGACTGCTTCTGATCTTCAGCCAGTCATCCGTAGATATGCTGACAAAACTCTCGTCCAAATCCACTTCCAGTGCCTCCAGATCACAGAGCTTTGTCAGTATTTCCTGTGTGATATGATTGCACTTGTTCAAGACGAGTCTCTTCAGCCGGAACCCCTTTTTGGCGCGAGTAGCGAGACATGAGGAAAGACACGGCTGCGACATCCCGTCCCTGTTGAAGAAGTCGACGTTCACCAGCCAGAGCTCCTGTAGCTCCGTTACAGGTATACCGTCTTTATGGTGGGCAAGCGCAAGAACAAGGTCCCTTAGATCAGTATTGACCGTTTCGAGGACCAAGAGCGACGGCATTTCAGTAAGGAACTGGTGAATGTCGCCCGCTCGAAAAGCACAGCGATGTTCGTCCTCGATGGTGGCGTAGACAGGCTCCATGATACTTGCGAACACGACCGAGCGTAGGGAAAAGATTCTACAGAGAGCGGCCAGTACGCAGCGGTCTGGTGTGCCTCCGATTTCCAACCTGGAGGAGATGTAGAGATCGGGATCTGTTTCGTAGAGAGTTGACATTCGGACATCATTGTCGCGTTGTGGAGGAGCGCTAGGAAGCATGGGGATCTCGCCCTTGCGTAGCCAGGAAATCAAGCCAAGGGACTCAACCCTCTGGCGGTCCCAAGTAGCCAATACGTACGTCGACGGATGCTCTCCAAACTCAGATTGTCCCCCCGCACGGAGTGCGGAATAGTGATTTGGGAAGTCAAGCTGCACTGGAGAGGCAGCCGTGGGGGAAATGCTGGTAACCGGGATAAGTCGTTGGAGATGCTCAATGGTTCGATCAACATCATGCAAACCTCTCGAGGAGTCTTCAAGGCTAACCGAGAGGAGGGGCTGAGAAAGCTCAAGCATAGCGATGAAGTCAACACTGGGATGCAAAAGGCCATCGAGATGTATGTGCGTGAGATGAGGCAGACGTAATGGTTGACGGCTTGGGAGGTCGATGTTGGGGATACAGTCAAACAGGACGAGCTCCTCCAGAGACACCATATCTCCAAGGTACAGGTACAGGCTGGATTTCCCGAAAAGATCTATATTGCTGAGATGCAGTCTTTTCAAGTGAGTGGGACAGAACAGCATAGTGCTCATAGCATAACCAGCGTCATTCTCGAGCATGTGGTTCAAAACCAAGGTTTGGATGGACGGATGGGAGACATAACGAGAGCCGACGGCAGACTGCTGAGGTAGACAGAGACGGGATGACTCGTTCGGTTGGAAGTTACCTTCAGTAGTGCGCGCTTTTTTCAACCACCACGCGAAGAACGCAATGCATTCATCCCGCTTACTCCCGGCATAGGAGATGGTTAGAGGAGACGTGCCCGCACGACTAAGGATCTCTTTGGCCCAATCTGAGGATAGAAAGACAAAGTGACTCCATAGCGATGGACATCCGAGAGCGATAGCGCGCCACCTCTGACAGACATGCGTGACTTGTACCCAGTCTAGGAGGCAGCGAGGTTGGCACTTGTGGAAGTACCATGTGAGACCGTCTTGAGCATGAGCAAGCGTCGTGCAATCCTTGAAGATGAGGAGGAGGAGCTCGGCAGGAAGGGAACTGGCGACCATCATGGAAGAGGTTATGCTCGATTGAAGCAACTGGGAAAGAGGCATAGGGGAAATAAGACAGAGTCAGGTCCAATGAAATTGATGAAACGTGATGCTGAAGTAGCAAGGTAAAGGACTCACGTTTAGCTGAAATGTGTGCGATTCATGTAGATGCAAACCTTGGGATAGAGTGAAGGGAGGCCAAGGCGCAGGGTGGATGCGTTCAATGTGTTGATGACCGTTGACTCATGAGATTGAAGCTGAAGTGAGAGCGCCGCGCAGCACCAGCTTGTCGGACGACGGAACAGTTACCACCGATCTTTTTTTTTTCCTTTTTTTTGCGTTACCACCGATCCGGATGTGGGTTGTACTGCAAACACAGCAGAAACCAAAACATTCAACAGAAATCCATGCCGTCGAAGATAGGCACTATGTATTTTCTTGACCCTGATGATAATACACAAGAGCTACACACGACAATAACCCCTAAACGAAACTAATACCAACGGAAACCCTCGCAAAATTGTATGACCATTAATCTCCCTAAAACTCCTCGAGAGGTGTGCCCGCTTACGACCACTGCACGACAGCCATGTCTGTGTAATAGTCGCAGGAGCCCCAGCTGACGAGCGTCTTATCGGCGGTGGTGCCGTAGTACTCCCAGTGCATCTGGGGGAAGTCGGTCAGTTGGAGGCCACCCTTGCCAGCGCAGCCAGCGTTGAGCACGGGGTTGAACAGGACTGCCGGGTCAGAATACGGTCCGGTGATGTCGCCGGTGGTCGAGTACGAAATGTACTGGCTGAAGTCGGGGCCACCGCTGAAGGTGATGATGAACGTGTTGAAGCGGTCGACATAGCGGACGTCACAGCCGAAGAAGGTCTAAGAGGGTAGATACGTCAGTGCTAACGCCGCAGACCTAGCAATGAAATAAAATACGCACATTCTGGTTCGTGAGGTTGAGCGCATTGCCCCCCGCGTCGCTGTTGTAGGTCAGGGGCTGACCGGTGACCCAGCCGCCGTTGCCACCGTGCCAGTAGTCCCACGTCGTGATGTCCTCGCGGCTCGACCAGGGCACACGGGCAACCTTGAGCCCGGTGGTGTCACCCTCCCAAGCATAGAAGTGGGCATACCCGTCTTCGCCATACCCGCTCGTGATGGCGCGGCTGCCGTAGCCAGACTGGCCCTGCGTAACGTTGAACAGCACCGGAACGGTGCGCACGGTGGGGATCGGCTGGCCTTGGGAGTTGAGCGTGTCCGCGTCGGCGAACACGTTCATCTCGAACATAGTGTTGTACACGTAGTTGCCCTCGTTGGGATGCACGGGCCAGATGTTGATGGCGCCGGTGCTGTTACCGGGGATGGGGATTGCGGCGGTGTGGGGGGCGGGCGCGAAGCAGGCAGCGTTCATGTTACAGTCGACGTCTTCGGCCATGACGTTGATGACACCCCCACCGGTGCCCGAGTTGTCAGGAGTTCCGTGCCAGAAGTCGGGGCTAGAACCCTTGAAGTTCCCGATGATGGTGATCTGGCTGGGGTTGGTGGAATCGACGACGGCATAGCCGGTATGAGCAGAGGGAAAGTCGACCGAGCCATCTGCGTTGACCACAGACGGGTCTGAGAGCGTCAAGAGGTTCATGCCATTGATGTTGCCGCCGGCACCACCGTCAGAGATGAAGCCGCCAAAAGCGGGGTCTGTGGCTGCGGGAAGAACGGTGGCGAGGGTGCCGGTGGGAGCGACGACCTGGGCTTGAGCGCCCTGGATGAAGAGGGCAGCAAGTACAGCCGCAAAGAGTTTGGACCACATACAGAACGCGAAGACAGGAAAGGCGACGGACAATGGTGCAAGACCGGGGGCGGGAGTTGAGACGTTGACTCGGCTAGTACGATGCGTCGACGGGCTACATATATACCTGCGCAGAAATACTCATAAGTAGTCCAGGTCTTCGATGCTATGCAACAACCACATGATTCGTGCCAGCATGAACTGTCAAAGAACAGCCTTCGCGAGTGGTGACGGTGAACTCTTCATTAGTCTTCTACTCACATGTCAAACAAGATACAACTCCCTTGGTAAATCCTGCCCAGGTAAAGGTGAATAACCAGATCGTTTCAATGCCCTCGCCCTACTTAGTCAGGTACAGAAGCTGGTTGATAGATGTCGAGTAGCATGCGCTGGAAGCATGCAGCAGTCGACGACAGCTATCGTGAACGAGGGCAACAAGGTACCGCCGGGGAGGACGACGACGACGGATCACCACAAGTAGACGCCTAGCGATAAGTCATATGTCCGGCATTAGTTGCTTCGTTCCGGTAATCAGAGGATAACCATGTACGCTTCTGCGAGGCACCTCAGTGCCGAAAAGTGCAAAACATCCCATGGTAGCGTTATTCCCTAGATCCTTTCAGGAAAAGACGAGAACGAGAACAGGTAAAGTAGAATCGAAAAGAGTTGAAGCAGCGCGAGGTCAGGTGAAGACAGTTGGCAGTCTTACACGAACGTCAATCTCAGGGGTGATGATCTTTGGGCATTTGTATGACCTACCGAAGAAGTCGTTTCTAAACTGCGGAACCGCCAGCTCTGAGGTGATCGCTGGCGATCTTCGTGCCACCAGGCCAGTGGCCAAGGAAACCGTCGACGACATCTTTGAACAGCGAGGAATGACAGGGAATGACCTGAGATGACCTGGTATGGCATGATGGTAACTTGAAGGAACTGAGAACGGCTTCCGAATTTGCCGAATAGTACCGCGCGTGTCCTGTCAAAATCGACATGACGTGGTAGAAAATCCCACATTCTTGTTTCGTGCACAAACGACGTTAGAAGGGAGCGAAGGTCCAGATGGCGAAACGCACGAATAGAGCTTACGACGAGTGGGTGCAGCTAAAGTAGCTTGTACAGACCTGCACGAATGGGATGAGCAAGGATGACGATTTTACAGAACCTGCGAGCAGCCCAGTAATTTCCCGACACGTACACTCGCAGGCCTCGCTATCCGAGGTGTGAGTCTTCGAGATCCTTTACTGCTCCTCACCGCTATCTAAACTTCAATTTCTCCTGGCGCAATTCCGGTGTCCAACCACATCAATCAAGCAAGTTGCATTGGAAGCAGTGGGCAACTCTCCTATTGTCTTGTAAACCACCCGCAGGTCGCTATCCATGCGAGCGCGGGGGGCGGAAGCTTTTTTCTTCACGAACGAGTAAGAACTCTGTAAAAGCTCGGTGGATACGAGACGCAGAGGCTACGGGCCGCCGTGTCAACCCTTGTTAACCCGACCGGCAAGTGCCACTAGCAGCACGGACACCGAGCGTATGTAGTGCGGAGGCGCACGATGTCTTGTGATGTCCAAGGTCACCAACTTGACCCTCCCGTGCGCGTGATCTTTGACCGACGCTGTAAGTGCCAGACGCCAGACCCGTTCCAGTGGGCGTCTCATTGTTGAGGCACTAACCGACGTCATCAAAGAATGTAGAGTGGTTATTCGGACGAAATGCCGCTTAGGGGCAAATGTGAGGCTGGTCGGTGGTTTGATTTGGGTAAACTAGCGGGCTCTTCTTAGACGCAGATGAGGTAAAGGAGTCGAAGCAAAGCTCTTCAAGGTCAGCAAACAGCGACTTGCTCTTGGGACACGCTTCATTTGTGCATCCGAGATCTAAAATGCATATATTCAAGATAAGGTTGGCGCTTTGAACGACGAGTCAAAGTCAATACGTTACGCACCCAAAGTGTCTCCTTGCGGCGTGACGGATAGTCGTCATGGATGTTCCCTCGTACACACTACGCTCAGCAAGATAGACACCGACCGAAGCAAGTTAGACGTAGCATAGCCTGGCAAGGAAGTTGTTTAGCTCTTCTGAGGCAAATAAAAGCAAGCTGATAAGCATGCAAGGAATAGAAGCACGAACATATGAACGCGGCAATAGAAGAAGCCACCCTCTACACCTCGTGGAGTGACACATTACCTAGTAGGTACTCAAGTACCCACCTCGAAGCTCCGGTGAGACCAGAGCGCACATTGGGGAACTCAACTATGCTCCACGAGCGCGTTGAACCACTGTCACGCCTGGAATGAACCAGTCCGCAGCACACTGACCACTGGAGAAGCAGAGATTCGACCCCCGGCGCCTACGTCCGCGGCGTCAGCCGTGATTAGCCCATTGGACCGATAGGCCAGTTGTCGTAGCTGAGAACGCCGCGCTCTCAGCATCAGAGCGCATAAGAACCAAACTGGCATGGTGACGAGAGACCCGGACGGTCCTTCCCCACACGAACGTGCACCAAAGAACAGCCTGAGCCAAAAGTTGGGGCAAAGACAAGAACGTTGATCCATGGATAGCTCCGAGCGCGCCGGACGTTCCACTAGCAATTCCAGTTTCCCGAAGAACTTGTTTGGTTCACTAGCAAGCACACAGGTTGACAGCAACGTAAACAGGTTCGCGAGGCTCTTCGGGGCAATGAACCAGGCACAGTCACGCTCAGCGGGAGCGATTCGGCCCCGGACGACGCGAGAGCGCAAACATGTGGAGGTTACCAACCGGGCGCAGTAGCACGGAGGTGCTTCCAATGCGGGGTAGCACGAGGATGAATGCGGGGTACCGTGATGTTCTAAATTTGCTGCCTAGCAGTGCCTAGTCCGAAATCCAAGGTCATCAGAGACGGGCTCAAGTCTTCTCGGGCTCATGAATGCATAGTGAATGCCGAGATGAGCAAGTACGATATGAACAACTGGGACGCCAAGCCTGCACATGACGGAAATGTCGACGTCAGTCTAAGCAAAAAGGTTGAAACGATGCGGCAGGATCTTCAGGACATGCTAGACCACTTCAGACCGCCTGTCGCCTTCAGTTCCACAGACTTGATCTTGTGCTTCGGGAACGTGGTTGTAATTCGACCGACATCAAAATGGGTGACGAACAAGGAGCCTAGTTCTGAAATGGCCTTCTGGAGTAATTTGCTCCAAGACGCGTCACTAGCAGCAGCCGGCCCTGAACCAAGTTACTTGTGGAAATCAAAAAATCAAAAAGATGTGATGAGAGTGGGATTCGAACCCACGCCCTTTCGGACCAGATTGCCTCAGAGAGTGCAAGATGTGTTCGCAATGCGAACTGATCCTTAGTCTGGCGCCTTAGACCGCTCGGCCATCTCACCAGTTGAAAGGGGGTCGTACATGCTCATATTGAACCTCTTGGTGTTCATGACCGTCCCAGACAACCACTCGAGGTAGGTGCACGAACCACGCGTTGCAGTCGCACAGTAGCAGGGTGTGTGCGATAGTTGGACGGATTGTCAGCTGTGGAAGAGCCTGGCTGGTGGGTCAATAATGACGCACAACCTGATGGCAGTTGTACCCTCTAGGAGAACTGACTTAGCTCATACCCCTTCCAGACATTACTCCTGTCGACACCGACTCAACCTTGAAGCCAAACGACGTCGTCGAGTTTAATAGGTAACGGATCAAAAGGTGGAGGTTACGAAATAGCACCTGGCCCCGCAAGGACTAGACTTCCTTCGTTGGTCTACACGTCCGGGGATGCCTAGCATTTTGATGAAATACGACGAATCTCGAACGGGGATCGCAACGAGAGTGTCACGTCCTGTGCGTTGGCGAGATGAGCTGGTTCATATAGAAAACGAGTATGCTGTTCAGCACTGTACACAACGGCTAATCCAAGCATTGGACAGCGTTATCCCGAGGGCGGTGTGAACGCCGTCTTGGTAGTCCCCGAGGAGAAAGGAACCCCGGCCTGCGAAGGCAGCAGCTTGGCGGCAGCCCTCCCGTAGGTGGCGAGCCAATCGTGCATGGTGCCGCATGGTGCTGCGAATCGACCTAAGAAGCACCACAACTAGAGTCTGAGAGAGTGCGACGGCCTGAAGCATCGCAGTGAACGTTACCTTGCAGCCACGAGCACAAAGATAGCCGCCACAGCTCAGCTAGCCATGGCCGCCAGGCGTTCGGCCGACACTTGTCACATTAGTGTGTGACACTTTACTCAGCTCCCGGCTGCGGTCTTTCGTCCGAAGCGTGTCAGACCGTCAGACTGGTGAGTGCGGGGAAAGCCGATCTTGCAAGATGCCGACCACTTGCCGCCCCCACTTTCTGCAGATCCGCACATTCCCCCGCATCGCGAAGCATCTCGAAGCCCCATCTGATGTCAGATATAGGTCAGCATCTCAACATGACACACGTCACGGCTACGTCTTACGCGATATCACTTCATCGAATGAACGTTGAAACGTTGATGCTTGCGGGTCTGATGACTGCGCATGACGGAACAAGTGCGGGAGGCGAGAGGCAGCCTGAGGCAGCAGGAGGCAACGTTGGTGATAGTTCATTTACTGCATCAAGGTTCACGGCAAGGCGTCAGAGCGATTTGGGCAATGTAGTAGGCAAAATGACGGCGTAGAAGTAATAGGCACTGGCAGCACGCACGATCGCCTTTATCGATGAGCACGAAAGGCGGGACTCGCGGTGGCGAAGGGTGGCGAACACCGCGATAACGGGCCTCGAAGCTGAACGTGCCTTGTCGAGAAGCCTACGGATCGTCAGTCGGCGTTTCGGATGCATTTCGAAGTACACGTACCGGTACGATGAGCCGCAAATATCAAATCGCACGCCGTATGCGCGATGAGATGGGTAAAACAAGGCAGAATGAGGTGCTGATGAGGCACAGATTCATGTCGGACATGGATTCGAACGCGTCGCGCTGCAGTCTTCTGCGAGTGAGAGTACTTATGAGGGTAAACGCTGGTTGGTGCACTTCTTGCTATTTCGGATCTTGGGACAGAACCACCGTGAATCTCATCAGGTCCTCGTTCGTTGAGTGAATGGTCGCGAATATATAGTGCGTGTGGCGGACGTGCGCAGTGAAATGCGATAAGAGAGAATGCGCAAGGCCAGGGGCTAGTGCGCCCTTGTGACACTGAATCCGCTGTTGAGTTGCCCCTTGCTGACCCAGTCTGGAGCCCTTTTGTCTTCCTCCTGTCCCCGAACTTACGGGGTTCTGCCCTGAGATAGACGAAGGTTTCGGTGCTTTGATCTCGCGATAGCTGACTCGCGTAAACGCGTCAACCGCGTTGGAAGTGCCTCTAGGATGCGTTAAGGTCTACGCCATAGAGAGTTCAATAACGGTCGAGCGTCTGCACGCGGGAAGCTCCGAGACATTAGTTCGAGCCCTCAGCGCTGTCTCAGAGCACGGTCTAGGTTAGTGCTACTGCGGATAGGGCAAGGAATGGACGCCGAGCGCGGATGATGTTATTGACACTGCACTCGTGCGGTTTATTATTGGAGGACTGGCGGTCGTGATGGTCAGATGAACAAGGGCCCCGCGTGAGTCAGGGGAATGTACAATAGAATTGATCAGAGGTCGTGTACAGGTTGCCTGTGATATGGTGCTTCTGAGCTTCCGGAAGATGTAGAAATTTGTTCCCAGATGTAGTACGAGTGTCCTGTGTCAGCACACGAGGAGGCATGAGGGGAAGTTCTTGGGGTTCACTTCTTTTGGATATGTTCTGCGGGACAGGACCGCTTGTTGATTTTCCCGTTACGGCCGAGGACTGTTCGAGAAGCTTGACGATGCGCAAGATGAATTGGATGATAAGCTATGATAAGTAACACTTGACGGGGGGATGACGTTAGATGCGGGGGGTGATATTGAGAGAGTGGGCTGGATTTCTCGGAAGTTATGTCAAGAATTACGTTCTGAACCGAGCTGATGCGGCGGCTGGGCCGGTGAGTCACATGTGACAGGAGGGGTCACGGTTCTCGATCACGAAGCTTGGCTTCCCCGCATATTTATCCACTCCGCTAGCCGTTCTTCTTCTCCCTCCCCTCCACAATCAACTAACGTTTGTCCCCCAGCAATCCGTCCATTTTCTTTCTCCCCTCCATCCATCCCTCTGTTCTCCGATTTTCTCTTTTTCTCTATCAACTCAACTATCGCATGATTTCGCTATGAAGGCACATCGCTCTTCATCCCCTTCCCGGATCCTCAAAGCCGCCTCGATACCCAGAACCGCTACCTCAAGGTCTCGGTCAACTTCTCCATCTGCCGCTTTCCGCAAGTTTGCAACTGCAGTCAGCATCCCTTCCCCTCAGTACCTCTCCATTCGCCCGCCCAACACCCCCGCAGCTCCAGCTGTTCCATCACCACGTGCGTAGCCATCGACTAGCTGCATTTTTCATCGCATGCTTATCTCTTCCTCCCCCTTCTAGTGTTCACCTATGGTAACACGTCACCCGTGAATGAGGACCTCTTCCGTTATACGTCAGGTCGATGGCTCTACAATGAGGCAGAACAAATGGCTCAACGCTACGTCAAGTTCGATGTGGCTGCGCTCCACCAAGTCATCGCCTCCGCTACCGGTTCGCACGTGGTGTCGATGGAAAAGAAGGAGGGCTTGTTCAATAAGTCGTTCATGGTCAAGCTTGCGAATGGAAAGCAGGTTGCAGCGCGCATCAAGGTGCGCACAATAAATTTTAACGGCGCTTCTCATCAGCTCATCCCACCCTAGAACCCCATCGCCGGTCCTGCGCATTTAATGACCTCGAGTGAGGTCGCCTCGATGGATTTCGTCAGAAACCATCTTGGAATTCCAGCCCCCAAGGTGCTTGCATGGAACTCTAAAGCGGAGTCCAGCCCGGTTGGGGCCGAGTACATCATCATGGAGACCGCCAAGGGAGTGGAGCTTGGCAGCGTCTGGCGGACGATGGACTCCAAGCAGAAGAAGAATGTCGTCACATCCCTCGCCGCGCTCGAGCAGAACATGCTCAACGCCAAGTTCTCCCAGTATGGCAGTCTCTACTACAAGAATGATCTCCCTGAGATGAGTCGCGCCCGTGGCAAGCTCCTCGCGTCTGGCTCTCGCAGCTTCGGCAACACCGAGAAGTTCACAATCGGGCCGATTGCTTCCCGGAACTTCTACGAGGACGAGCGTGGGGCGATGAACCTCAACCGTGGACCATGTAAGCCTCTCATCTGTCACTTGCTCCATCGACCGCAATGCTTATCAATTCTCCTTTTCAGGGTCTACTCCCGAGGAGTACCTCAATTCGCTTGCCCTTCGCGAGGAGGCATGGATTTCCAAATTCGCCAAGCCCAACATCCACGACGACCCTTTCCGCAACGTGTCCGGACCCCAGCATCAGGAGGAGCACCTTCGTGCTCTTGAGCAGTACCGTTCCATTGTTCCCGCTCTTGTACCCTCGTCCAAGAAAGTCCTTTCGTCGACTCTGTGGCACCCTGATCTGAACCCCGGAAACGTTTTCGTCTCTGACGACGAGGAGCGCCGGGTCGTCGGTGTCATTGACTGGCAAGGCTGCTGGGCTGGCCCTGCTTACCTCCAGATGAGCGCTCCATCCTTCCTGTACGCCGGTGACGTCGATTCTGGCCTCGAGTTCCCCAAGCTCCCGGAGGGCTACGAGACCATGAGCGCCGACGGGCAATCTTTCGCTCGCGAGCACCACCGCGCCAAGATGCTGTACAAGCTATACGAGATCAAGCAGTTGTACCCTTACAGGATCGACCAGCGCGAGACGCGCACTATGCCCGTGCGCGCGGCCGGCCGCACGTGGAAGGACGGTGTCCTCCCGCTCCGCCTCGCACTGCTCGATGTCTTCGCGCAGTGGCACGAACTCTCAACACCGGACGTGCCGTGCCCTCTCCGCTTCACGCGCGACGAGGTCCGCCAGCTGAAGGAGCAGCGCGACCGCTACCTCGATTGGCACGACCTACTCGAGGACATGCGCGCGACGTTCGGCCTGCGCCTCTACGGATGGGTCTCACCGGACGAGTACCCGTCCAAGCGCGCGCTGCTTGAGGGCACGCGGAGTCGCCTCCCAGTCTCGCTCACGAGCGAGCTCGATGCCGTTTTGCCCGAGGACTGGTGGCCCTTCCGCGACACCGTTCCCTCGGCTATCGCCATGGCTGCGTAGACGGCGCTTCTTCTTATTTGCTAAATTTTGGGCCTCGTGGATTTTTGGCACTAGACTTCTTTTCCTCCCTTGACTTATTATTTATCCTATCCTTCTTCCCTTGTCCGTCTTCCTCTGCCCGCAATATCACCCCACCATCGTCACCCTCGCACCGCATCGCCTTTCAACTCCATCGGCACCGCCTCTTGTAATCCTTGAACAACATCGCCTTTATCATCCACACTCCATCCTCATCGTCATCTTACACATTCTGCGCATGATCTCTTTTTCTTCTCTTTCTTGATCTCGATTGTGTTGGGTGGCGGGGATACGGACCAGCTTTTCTTTTTTCTTTCATATATAGACGAAATCACATACTACGTACATGCATACGTATACGTTAGATCCATGGATAATCCAGACACAATTGTCGACAGCCAACTTGTAGATCCCTATAGAGTTTTTCTTCTTCACATGCACATACAACCCCCTTTTTTCCGCACCTTTTCTGATGTCTGATTAACTCCTCGTCTGCGGGATTTTTGGTTAGATTTGGGTCCTTGTTCACTGTAAATAGCCTCCCCATTTTTCTTTTATCCCCCTCCTTTTCCATATCACTCTACCCACGCCTAAACTCGGTGCGGATTGGAATTTTCTTTCGCAACACCCTTTTTCTTTCCTGACCCCTTTTACTGACTCCCCCTTTTATTTGACTCAACGTTGCTTGTCTTCACAGTTTAGACGCTCATTGTACGATAGATGCTTTCACGACAGTTGTTAGTATGTTGGTGGTACTGTGGGCTGGTGTAGATAGTTTTTGTGTGTCGCAGCCGGCGCCAAGTCCGGAGTCTGTGCTTTGTTGGATGCGGAGCTGCGATTGGTCTTGTTCGGATAGTCGTACGTTTCGTGTTTCTGTTTTGCATGGGCTGGCGCTGGCACAGCGTAAAGACGCGGATTATGACGGGGGAATAATGAAGGCGTAATCATCAAATATACCTTGATTATGCTCGTGATATGACTAAGATGTGACATTTGGAACAATGATGGATAATGACGAGTTAAACTACTGTTATGCCACGAATAAGCCTACCATTATAACGCCAATATGCCAGAGTTAAGCCTGGCAGGATATGCCCGCAATATCAGCTTCTTTTTCCGCTCGTTTGATCAGCGCGCCGCGCGCCGTGCCGATTGGTGCGCGCCCGCTTCGCGCGTCGCAATCGTAGCTTACAACGAACACGAATCACACTGAGGTTCGATTGAAGTAACACAGAAGCACTTAGGCATCGATTAGAGCAAAGAAAACTATGTAAGAACAGGTGAACTCGCGCTCGGGCGAGCATAAAGTATCGAGATGTTGCGAGCGGTCGTCCTTGTTGATCCATCATGTCGTCCCCTCCTGCGTAGGAGAGCGAGGCGCTCTATAGCAACACAGAATGTCGTCGGCTCAACCATCTGCGTTTGACTATACGACCATTGGTCCAGGGAACTTCACAGAGGCCTTGAATCACCCGGGTCTAATTTCGGACTGGGACTTCAACAGTTTATCATCAGCACTCGACTCTAACGGCAGCATTTCGAGCCCGGGAGACGCACATACCTCTGGCGCGAGTAGCTTTGTCATCACGACACCCGCCGGACTTGGGGCTCAGAACTCCAGAGCAAGCAATGCTCGGCCTCCAGTCTCCAAGAGTACGATCAGCGCGCCAGGGTCGGGTGCTGCGATGCTCACCAAGATTATGAAGCTCGAGAGTGGGATGACGGCTATGCGGGGTGAGGTTAGCAGCCTTCGCCAAGGTCTTCTAAGCCTGCAAAACAGTGTACAGAACGCGCTCGATGCGCTGAGGGCAAACCACGAGGCTGGGATGGAACTGACGATGCAGGTTGTTGAGGAAAAGGTCGAGGCTGCCTTGAGCGCGAGCAGGAAAGGAGGAGAGAGGGAGCAAGAAGTGGGCGGTGATGCAGGAGATGGAAACGAAGCGGACACAGAAGACGACGACGATGACGACGACGAGGTTAGTCACAAGGTGTCGGAACCTGTGATGCTTGTGAGTACGCCCATGACAGTGTCGAATCTAGCTGATCAGTTATGCAAGGCGATAACTCGAAAAGCTTACGAGATCCTGATGGATGTCCCAATGCTCACTGCTGCCCACCTGCCTGCTTGGCCCGTCGATGACAGCGAATGGCCTTTTGCTGACGATGAAGATGACTTTGGCAGTGCTCTGGAGGTCGAGGAGGATGGCAACAAGAAGAGGGTTCGCCTCCTGCGTTTCCGCTGGGACGAGATGTGTGTTAGGAACCGGAGGTTCGCGTCCACCGCGTCACGGTTAGTGCCATCGGCAGAAGCACTACCGAAGCGTCAGTATGGAATGCTGGTGAGATATACTCGAACCAGCGTTCCTCGTCTCTCTTCCCTCACTCGTTATGCACCACACCGAGTGAGGGTAAGCACGCTCTCGTCTACGATACATGACCACGACGCTTACATTGCTCTGTACCTAGTCTCACATATCATAGGTACAGAATACACTCGTTATGCACCACACCGAGTGAGGTCTCACATATCATAGGTTTTAAAAGGTTATGAGCCCCTTGCGTTTCCTTTGACCGAGACCTGGTGCTGGAGTCCCTGCTTGTGCAGGTTCTGTTTTTTTTGTGCTACTATGTCTTCTCGTCGCGGTCGCGATACTCCCCATAGCGGTTCTTCCATGGACTTGACGTCTGTCTACAATAGCAGCCCTTATCTGCCCTTAGTCTCTGTCCCCCATCCCACCTCTTCTCGTCCCCCTCGAGGACCTCTCTCCAGTATCTCGTCTCGTCGCCCTCGCCGCCCTACCTCTCGCAGTTCGTACCGCACCGCCGACGCGGGTTCTGACGACTCCGGGGATTCCCCACCTCCCGTTGTTCGACCCAAGCGCCCAACGCGCCCTCGGCGTACTCGTTCTCGCACGCGTCGGGCACCTTCTCCCGCCCCTCGTATGCCGTCTCCTGCACCTCGCGAGTCTTTCCCCGCTCGTCAGACACCTCCTCATTTCTTTGACACTGTCGCTCCCTCTGCCTCGCGTGACCACGTTCGCACCAGTCTCTTCGACACTTGTCAACCGCTTTTTGCTCCCGTTGACCCTCTCCCTTCGTCGCAGACTCAGCTTCCCCAACAGCCTCTCCCCCAGCCCGATATGCATTCCAATCCTCTCGCTCCACAACAGCCTCCCCAACAGCAGACTTCTTTCCCTCCGCATCAATTTCCGCAGCAGCATTTCTTTCCCTATGCACAATTCCCCTTCAACCCGTATTCCATGCCTTATTCCGCATTTGCATACCAACATCCTGTTCCGCCGGCTCCCCATTACACTACTGCGCCCGCGCCCGGCCTTGCCGCAGCTCCTGCGCCTGCGCCGGCCCCAGCACCTGCACCTGCACCTGCACCCGCGCCTGCGCCCGCTCCTGCCCCAGCAGGAACGTTCGCCTCCGCGGTGCCTGCGCCCCTTGGGGTTTTGCCTCGCGGCGTCGGCCCTCGTGCCTACCTTCTGCCTCCGCGGCCCGGGAAACTGCACAATATCAAGATCGAGCTTCACCATGCTGCTGCTATACCGGTGCTCGATCGCTCTAAGGGGAATTGGCTGGCCTTCAGCGTTGCATTCCAGAACTTTCTTCGTATGCATAACCTCGACGGCTTCTTTGATGGCCTCTACCCCGTGCCTGACGACTCCATGTCGTACGACGACGCCGTCGTTTGGGGACAGCTTAACAACGCTATTTTTGGTTTGCTCATGGAGAAACTCGCGCCCGAGGAGCGCCAGTACATTGCATCGGAGGAGACTTGCATTTCAGCCTATTCGATCCTCCGGGATCGTCATGAGAAGCTGGCTCCACTCATGGAGGTCGAGCTCTGGCAAAAGCTCTTCAGTACGTTCTTCGCTCGGAGTGAGCGCCTCGACTCCACGGTCAAGTGGATTCGAGAGACCTGCCATTCCCTCTTGCTGATGGGTTCTCTCACCGAAGAGAAACTCATGGCTATCACTCTGATGAACGCGCTGACCCGCGACTTTGGTCACATCAAGCACGATGTTGCGACACTGCTCTCTGACGTCGAGTCACAGGCTGACTTCTCTGTCGCCCTGACCCGCATACTCCGTCGCATTGAGACGGAGCAGAGTGCGCTCGACATCGATCGTCGCGATCCCGAGGCCGCTCTTGCTGCTCGCATGTCTGGTGGTCGTCCTCTTCCTCCCTGCCGGACTTGCGGGGGACGCCATCCTACTGACCGATGCTGGCAGCCAGGCGGCGCTCTCGAAGGTCGCCGGCCCGAAGCGTCCGACCCACGTCGTCCTCGGACGTTTGCCCCCTCTTCTACGAGGGCAAACGCTTCCCCTCGAAAACTCTACTTTTTCGACGACGCGTCCCAGACCTTCATGCCCGAGCCTTCCGACGATTCTGCCCTCGTCTCTGAGTATGCCGCCGTTGCCGCCGAGCAGCTCACTGACGAACAGATCGCTGCCGTTGATGTCGACGCTAACGTCCACGAGCACCAGTCGTACTTCCTCAATTCTGAGGAACTACGTGCCTCTGTTGACTGGGCTTCTTTGTCCTCGACACCCTCGACTGCCTTCCTAGCGTCCACTGCCCTCAACCAGCGCACGGCCACTGTTGTTGATCCTGACGTCGTCCCTTTCTACCTGGACTCCGGAGCGTCCGCGCACATATCCAGCGACGCCTCTGACTTCTACCAGCTCTCGCGCATCACTCCGCGCGAAGTCCACGGCGTCGGGGGGACACGGATCCACGCTGAGGGCATTGGGACCATTCGCCTTTCTTTTGGCAAAGGTCTTCACGTCGACCTCGACAACGTGCTGTACATTCCGGCAGCATCTGTTCGACTGGTCTCTGTCTCGTCGCTCGCTCGCTCGTCCAAATTCAAGTCTACCTTCGATGACGCTAATTGCCTCATCCGCAATCCTAGCGGCGCCATCGTCATGCGTGGCTCGCTCACTCGCACAAACCTCTATCGTCTTCTCGGATCACGTCCTCTTGCTCTGCATGTATTCCTCGCCTCTCGGGTCCCCTCTCTGCTGACCTGGCACCGTCGTCTAGGTCACGCCAGCTACCAGTCGATCATTGACTTGGTACGCGGTCGTATGGCGACAGGGTTATTGATTGACCTCTCCGAACTGCCACCGAAATGCGACCACTGTATTCTGGGGAAACAGACGCGTTCGAGTGTGCCGAAAGTTCGTGAAGGCGCCAGAGCTACTAGACGGTTAGGACGAGTGCATGTAGACTTGATGGATAACTCGAGTAGCCCGTCATCTCGCGGTCATCTGTACATTATGAACATTGTCGACGATTTCAGCCGCTTTTCTTGGTCCATCCCACTTCGCTCTAAGGCTGACGCCTTTCCGGCACTGCGCGACTGGGAACGCGCAGTGTCGCTTGAGACTGGACTGACCGTTGGCGTATTCTGCTTCGACAATGGCGAACTCAAAAGTACCGACCTGCGCGAGTGGCTAGCTACGAGGGGCACCCAGGTACAGTTCACAGCGCCGTACACTTCAGCTCAGAACGGCCTTGTCGAGCGCTATCACCGCACCGTCATGGGACGCGCTCGGGCCATGCGTATCGCCTGCGGACTTCCTCCCCGCTTCTGGGACGAGTTCGTCTTGACTGCGACGTATCTCGCTGTGCGCACACCCTGTCGTGCTGTCCAGGGTAAGACGCCGTTCGAACTTTGGCACGGTCACAAGCCCGATCTCTCGAATCTTCGAGAGATTGGCTCTCGAGCTTTTGTCCTAGCTCAACCGCATAACCCCAAAGTTCAAGCTCGTTCCATCGAATGCGTCCTCGTTGGCTACGCTGTTGACTCCAAGGCGTACAGATGCTACCACAAAGCCACCGGTCGCATGATCACGTCCTATCACGTCTCGTTCATTGAATCGCATGATGACGAACGATTCGTACGTAGTCCTTCGTCTGTTCCAACTTTGTCTACTGCCCCCTCCCCTGCTCCCATCGAGCCTACTGCCACTAGCTCTGACTCCGTTGACAATTGTTCGGCGAGTCGTCCTGCGCCACGACCTTCTTCTTCTGCGCCTCCGACGCCGCCTCTTCCTCGTCGCTCCTCTCGTGTGTCGAAACCATCTGAGAAAGTCGCACCGGTTCGTCACCTCGACTGGCGGCAACGTTTCGATCGTGTTCTGGGGGACATCCACGCACACCACTCTGCTCTCGCCTTCCCCATGATCTCCGTCGACTCTAACTATCGCGATCCTCTGACTGTCAAAGAGGCTCTCGCGTCCGAGTTCGGCGCGCAATGGGACGGCGCGCTTCTTGAGGAGTTCGCCGGTTTTCGTGCTAAAGGTGTCTTCCGCCTCGTGCCCGAATCCTCGGTCCCTCCTGACAAGACCATCATGAGTGGTAAGGCGGTCTTCAAACTCAAAATGAACGAGCTAGGAACACCCGAACGCTTCAAAGCGCGGTGGGTTTGCCGTGGGTTCGAGGCCATTTACGGCCACGACTACACCCGCACCACTTCGCCCACTGCCCGTCTTGAGTCTTTCCGCATCCTACTTAACCTTGCCGCCGCTTTTGACCTCGAGTGCGAGCAGATTGACGTCAAAACTGCCTACCTATACGGCGATCTCGAGCCAGAGGAATACTGCTACATGTATCAACCCAAAGGCTACGAGGAACCCAACTCCGCGGGCATGGTCTGGCAGGTTGAGAAAGGACTCTACGGTATGAAGCAGGGGGGACGCGTCTGGAACAAGACCATGCACAAGGCTCTGACTGACTGGGGCTACACTCGCCTGTCTTGCGAGCATTGCGTCTACTACCGACGCGAGGGCTCTTCTTTCACAGCTTTAGCTGTCCACGTCGACGATTTCGCCGTCGCCGGGAAGACGCAGGCTGACATTGATCGTCTCAAGGCGAAGATGAAAACGCTGTGGGAGATTTCAGAGCTCGGACCCGTCAAGTTCTGCGTCGGTATTGGGATCCAACGCGACCGCGCTCGTCGGACTGTCTCGCTCTCGCAGACCGCCCTCATCGATAAAGTGCTCGCCCAATTCAACATGACGAATGCGAACCCTGTCGACACCCCGATGGAATCTGACATCGTCTCCAAGATTCGCCGTACTCCCCATTCTGCCATGGATCCTTCCGTGCTAGCCGAAGTCAGCAAACTCCCTTATCGCTCGCTCGTGGGTTCTCTCAACTACATTGCTGTTGGCACTCGACCGGATCTCTCCTTCGTCGTCCAGTGGCTGAGCCAGTACCTTGATGCCTATAGCCACGAACATTGGGCTGTCGCCAAGCGTGTTCTACGCTATCTTCGCGGTACTCGAGACTTATCGCTCACCCTTGGCGGCTTCCGTCCTTTCGAGCTCTCAGCCTGGTCTGACTCTAACTACGCAGCTTGCCCCGACACTCGCCGTTCCGTCACTGGTTACTGCACGACACTCGGTGGCGGCTGCGTCACTTGGTCCTCTCGCAAACAACCTATAGTCACCGGTTCTACATGCGAGGCCGAGTATGTCGCTGCTAACGGCGCCGTTAAGGAAGTCATGTGGATTCGGAACCTCTTAGCTGGCCTAGGCCTTCCTCGCTCCGGCCCTTCGTCCGTCTGGTGCGATAATCGCTCCGCTGTCCACACGGCCGAAGACCCGTACAACTTCGCCGCCACGAAGCATATCGACGTTCGCTATCATTTCATCCGCGAACGCGTCGAAGACAACACGATTCGACTCCTCGATATTCCTTTGGCCGACAATGTTGCGGACATCTTCACGAAGCCGCTTCCTCGCCCAGCCTTCATGAAGCTTCGTCGCGACCTTGTGTTAACTCCGTGCCTGCCCGGAAGTATGCGGGACGTTCGAGCTAAGCTCCACTAGGGATACCGTGTCCCGGAACGCTAGCGTAAGGACTCGGAGGGCGAGCGTAGGGTAAGTAGTCGACGGTAGCGACGCGGAGGGGATGGGAACGATACCGGAGGACCGGCGTGTAAGGAGCGAAGGTGACGTAGGCACCGGAGGTTGACGGGAGGGTACCGAAGTACGAAGCAAGGAAAGACTTGAAGATAGATGAAGACACAAGTATCGCGGAAGACACTTGGAGTAGGAATTGGCGGAAAGGACTTAGAGGCGAAGAGGAGTAGAGGGCAGAAGTAAGTCGATATTCATACTGAGGAATACAGGCTAAACTATACGAGTATTTATACTACTGCTCCGGAGTCGGAGGTAATGTACGATGAGTAAGGAACGTGCGGAAGGAACGGATCGTTAGTAAGTAAACATGAGATAAAACGTCGGATGCAATATCGTAGCAACTGCGGAATGATAGGAACGTCAAGAAGTGTCAAAAGTAGACAGGTAGCAACGAGACTAGTAGAAAAGGAGGTAATAAGGAACGACACCTGTCAAACATGAAGCGAGGAATAGTAGCGAGGTGGCTGTGTGGATCGGAATGTCGCCGTAGGGACCGGAGCGGGACCGGAGCGTGACACCTTGGCCTGCAGTGACTCAAGACGTGCGGGGGGATGTAGGGCTCAGGAGGAGCATGTGGGGGTGTGGATGGATAAGGAGGAGTGGTAGAAGGGATCAGGGAGTGGTTTCGCGGTGAGGAGGAGTGTTAGGAACCGGAGGTTCGCGTCCACCGCGTCACGGTTAGTGCCATCGGCAGAAGCACTACCGAAGCGTCAGTATGGAATGCTGGTGAGATATACTCGAACCAGCGTTCCTCGTCTCTCTTCCCTCACTCGTTATGCACCACACCGAGTGAGGGTAAGCACGCTCTCGTCTACGATACATGACCACGACGCTTACATTGCTCTGTACCTAGTCTCACATATCATAGGTACAGAATACACTCGTTATGCACCACACCGAGTGAGGTCTCACATATCATAGGTTTTAACAATGTGGGAGCATGCGGACAACTTCAAAGGTATCAAACAACTCACCCGCTGGATCAAACAGACCGGCCCAACCGTCTCTCCCGATGCAGCGGCATCTATCGACTCTGTCAGCAAAGCAGCGCTGCAGGACTTCGTCACAAAGAAATTCAAGGCCCTCGTAAAGGTCCTTCGCCAGGCCCGTCGTGACATGAAGAAACCAGCTTCGTCGGCAACAGCGGTCAGCGCTACGAACCTGGCTGACGCAGCAGGGAACGGGGGAAATACAGATGGTGAAGGAGGGGACGCACCACCACCACTGCCTCAGTCCGAAGCACGGCCGGGACCGTTGAAAGCTAGCACCCGTCAGAGTCGTCAAAAAGGGGTACGTATTCACGTACCTTTCCGTCGAGATGATACGCTAAAAAACTGTTAGAAACTCGCAGTACGCCTGAGGAAGTTTGGCGCCTTACCGCAAGATTCGCCGTGGAAACACGACAAGTTCCTGCAGGTGCTGCGTTATCAGTTGATGTCGGACGATGAGGACGGGTGGGATGCTGAGAAGGGAAAGAAGACGAACCATTTTGTGTCCCGTGCACCGGTGTATCGATCTAAATTAGTGAGTTAGTTTGACAGCGCGTGAACCATTACTGACCGGCATCTGAAGTTGAATGACTTCTTAGCTGCTGTCGACACAATCCCTGACCCCAATGGGAAACCAAGCTACGTACTGCGTGTTCGAGGAGAACCAAAAGAGCAAGAAGTGCCCGTGATAACTGACATATCCTCCCGGACGCGACGCTGGATGGTGGACATGGAGTGGTTGAGCCAGCCAGAGAACAAGAAGTGGGATGTTGAGTCGAGGATCACCGGGAATGGTAAGGTATGGGGCGATGATGACGATCCAGAGGAGCTGAGAGACAAAAAGAGGAAGGTGAAGGCAGAGAAGAAGGACGGCCGAGAAAAGAAGAGGGCGAGGGCTGGTGCGTTGGATGTAAAGGGGAAAAAAGCGAGAGTGGGGACCAAGAAGAAGGATGCGCCTAAAGTGGGCACATCGAAGTCAGCTGCTGCCATTGACGTGGCAAGCTCTGACGAGGACTGACCATAGCATCGTAGCAAGTCTTCTAATCAAAAAAGTCTTCGGGTTCTGTCCCTGCCTAGACAACTGTTAGTAGTTCTTGCAATTGAAACAAGGTTCTTGGCACACATGATCGAATGAAACTGCTGCAACGAGTGGGCGCCGTAGCTCTCGGAGTGTAAAAGGGATGAGGCCGATCGAACACTGGATAGCAGATGAAGGAAAGACCTCCAGGGAACTAAACTCGTCTGCATAACAGACATGGATACCGAGTATAGATGAACTTGAATTGTAGACAGTTAATTAGCACAAGGCAAGGAATGAATACGAAGACTTACAACATTGACCATGGGAACATAGGTATGCGGTCATCGGAGTAGAGGCGCTGAACGACTGCGCATACATGTGGAAGTTTGTCGCCCACACCCACCACAAAAAGCGAGTGGATACGAACGGGGACACGGGAAGACTCGCTATCTGAAACAAAGGCGTACACGTCAGACTGAGTCCGACGATTTGATGTGCATCCATAACGGATGCCGTCCTTGCGAATATAGGTCAGTGAGCGAGCAACCCTCCCAGAAACAAAGGGTGTGGTCCCAGCATCGCTGCTGCGATCGCTGACGAGGTTGAGATCAGGCCATAAGGCTCGGCAGTACGCCAGAAGGAGGCGGTACATCTGCGGTGGATCATATCGGCGCAAGTCGACGAACTTGGCTGCGCGGCTGGGTAAACGAACATTGTCTACAAACATTGAGTGTGAATAAGAATGAACCAAAGTAAAAACTCACCCTCGGAAGTCTCACTCTGATAAAACGCGATCTCCGTCATCATTGCGCCGCGGTTGCGAGCCTGAGTCTTGATCATGTTGTCGAGGGTTCTTCGTTCAACGTCGTGAGCCTCGGGTGGAAGATTCAGCAGATACTCATAGATAAGGTGAGTTTGAACCCACGCTCGCATGAGCGTGAGTTCCATCTGCCCGCCGTCATGTCCATTGTGCTTGACGCGTTCCAACATGCCGTTGAAACGCTCAAAAGCAAAAAGCCACCAGGAGTAGACGGGGCCGAAGTGTTTCACCATCTCGGACGTGTGCATTGAAGCGTGGTGGTTGGGCCGAAGGGGGATGTCAAGCGCAATACAGCGTTGGCAGTACTGGGCGAGAAACTCTTGCGCAGTTTGAGCCTGGTGCATCGATATCTCCCGTGATGAGAAAATGCGCACAGCGGCGCATAGAAGGAGAATGGCATCATATAGTTGATGCCGATCGCGAGAGAAGCCAGGGTCATCAGTGTTGGGAGGGAGAGGTGGTGGAGCGCTTGGGATTTCGTCATTCTCATCGCGCCATGCCCACCACAAGAGCACCGGAGTGATTGTGATAAGACGACGCCATTCATCTGCTTTTTTGAGCGAGTGGTTCTCGCCTAGCTAAAATAGAGGTTAAACATGATCTGGGAGTGATTATAATTGACACTTACATTCTTCGGGAGACGGGTGATGTGGCTAGGCCACAAAATCGAGTTAATTAGAGTCTCGAATCGGGACTTGGCTGACTCTGATCCCCCAATCCCCGTCATCAGCTGACCGTTGAAGATGACAACGTCAAACAGATGAGGGACAATGCCTGCGAAAAGGGATTAAAAAGTAAAGGCGTGCATAAAAGCACTCACCAAGGTATACAGCGTGCATGAAGTCCAAGGCTGTCTTCGTCTTGGGAAGCCAGCCCGGAAGAGCGTCGAGAATAACAAAGCGTTTACCATAGTCATCGAGAAGTTGGGCTTGACGTGCTAGTGGTGCATCCCGTGCATAGAAGGCCTGCCGGAGGAGCTTATAGTCCTCCTTGGGGCGAGTAGCTGCAGCGCCGTTGAGGTTAATTCTTGGACAACTGTAACCAAATCACAAGATACTCACAGCTGTCGTATCCTGACGGCTTGTTGAAATCCGTGACATTGGCATCGCATGACACGCACGGGTGCATGTCATGTGAATGAGAAGCCGTGCCATTGGTCTTGTGAGATGCGGGCATATCACAGTCAAGGCACGCCAAGTCGGCGTGGACATCGGCGAGCTGATCCTCGCTGTAGACAGCCATTTTGACACCTGACAATGCGAGTGGATGGAGATCAGTGATTACCATTAGACATGAGACACAGAGTGATACCGTTACGAAGGATTGAGATCTCCTTCGTGCACGGCTCCATGCAGTGACTGATTTGCCGGACATCAGGCTCTTTGGGGCCTGGCATGACACTGGCGCATATGACGTTGGATTGAAGGAATCGGTGCTCGCGGGGAAGGTTGTTGATGGCAATGTACATAGCTCCCGTCGAATGCGGCCGGTTTTCGAGGACACCCATCCTAAAATAAAATAAAATTAGCAATGACCGCGCATGTCTGAGCCGTACCAATCAATATTGCAGGTGAGATGAAGCCCGTATCGGTGCGACGTTAGCTTTGGAGCCGTGTCGTGGTCATCTTCGGGGCGATCGCGAACATGGCCGTGTTCACCAACTTCCCGGACTGTATGCGTGTTGAGTTCATGCCAAAGCGAGCCGTCGTGCATGTCTCGCATGACGAAGTGCTCATCGACGTCTCTGTCAGGTACATCAGCTCTGCTGTCTCGTATCATGCGAGCAAACCCAGGACGCATGAACATGCGTCGCAATGACGCAATGATCGACACTTGAGGGTGAAGCTTGAACGGTTTGCGAATGTGTTTACATCGAGCATTGATAAAGTCCTCGTATATAACACCCGAGCAGCCGTCGACAGAGCAAACAGGAGACATCAGAGTCTGGAGATCGGTCGGGTGGTAATGCTTCCAGCAGTCGGGGCATACCGCATATTTGATGATGTATTGGTCGGGGTCAATGCCGAGACGCTGCTTGGCACTCTTGAGGGTTCGAACAGGGCGCGGGTGATCCGGTAGAGGTCGAATGATAGACGCGTTGTCGAGCATTGCCGACAACAGATCTGATGCATCCGCGACCGAGACCTTACTGAAGACGTTGGCAAGCACAGCTCTGAGGTACGCATTTCGAACTTCTGGGCGTTCTTTGAATGCCCGAGGTAACAGGGTTGGCTCTTCATCTGGTTCATCGTCATCGTCGTCTAGATTAATCGCTGTTTCTCCAGGTACGCATACACCAAGGTCGACGCGGTGCCAGCGTTGTTCCAGAGGTGGAGTCGGCAGCCTGAGGGGCGACTGAGGCCGGGGAGTGGGTGGACGCAGTTCGAACTCCTCGTCCTCGTCCTCGTCAAATCCACGAGGTGGTTCTAGCACAAAGTCCAGGTTTACGTCTAAGAGATCGAGCAGTCGACGTGAGTGAGTCGCCTGAGCCTGAGGTGCTTGAGTTTCCGAGCCCTGAGTCTGCCGAGAAGGACCAGCAGTGCTGGTTGCTGCCTGGGTCGCTAGAGTAGCATTCGTCGTGGTGCGTCGTTGAGTCTTCTTACGGCCATATCTATCATTGTGTCTTCTGATCTCCTGCGCCGTTTGCAGAACGTAGCCCGCTGACGTGAGCGAGCACCGCGCACAGATACATTTGAAGCGTGGGGTTGATCTGGATGTCTTGCTGCTGGATGGGTTGGAAGGGCCGGATTTCGATGGGCGTGGCATGACGAACGAGATATAGGATAAAGGTATGGATTGCTTCAATTGCGACGCCGTTGTATGCGTGAGCGGCGGCAGCTGCGTGCCAGTGCCCTAGTGCGAGCGCTCGAGCACACAGCTCAAAACGCGCCTAAGTCCCCGCACGCTATACGCGACCTCGACACGGGCCGATTATGCCATGGGATAATTATATCTATTCTATGAATAACCTTCAATATGCCCTGGCACATTTCAGCCGGAATATTGCTGCGATAATCTACGTATATTTCCAAAATTTCCCACATTGTGCCTGGAAGTAATGCACGTCTTTACGCTGTGTGGCTCGTAGGTAGCTGAATTGAAGATATATTTACCAGAAATTGCCAGAGTTAGTACTTGTGATAAGCCGTTGTTGAATGTTTATGATAAGTGTTTGTTTGTTTCTTACAGTCTACTTTGAGTCTACTAATATTACGACGCGGCATGCCTCTTGCAAGCGTCCTCTAGTACCGTCACGTCATGATGTGGATCTGTGATGCTCGGGCTCCCTGCGTCCATTTGAGCGTCCTCTCGCGCTCCCCCCCACAATGGAGATGACCAACGTTACATTTGAAGACCGAGGTGATATTTTCTTCACGCCTCGACCTTCACAAAGATAAACGGCTAGACTAGTGGTTTCAAAAGTAGCCTTTGTGGACGTTTCAGGGTTGACTAAACACACCGGCATTATGCTATGCAGAAACGAGCTGTGGTGGTGGTCAGAAGTCCATAAGAGAACTATTACTAGGGCGATAGATTCTCAGAGCATCTCATCCACAACAGCCGTGGTTGGGGTACGACAAAATGCGGCCTTCGTTGTTGTTTACCGCTCTTATTCCACTGACGGTTCTCAATACTGTTACATGTTGTGTGTGGATCAAGTCTATCTAAACCTCAGTCTGTAGGAAACGACTTATAACCTCCAAATATCTGTCCGTCTCCTCGAGCTGTGCAAGGTGCGCTGAGTTAGAAAACTGCAACCATCTGACCTGCTTAATTTTTAGGAAGAAAGGATCCATGGCTTTATCCTGGACTTCGTCGTATCGACCATTGAGGAGAAGGGTGGGAACCTCTATATTATGGATTTCGTCGATTACGCTCCAATTCTTCAGTGAGCCGATGACGTGGAACTCGGAAGGTCCGTTCCTACAGGGAAAAGGTCGGGAGAATATATATTGCTAACTACAATGTTTGGGGAGGCACTTACATAGTGTGATAAACGGTCGGATCATCCTCCATGCTCTTCAATGCTCTCACTAAAAGTTCGGGAGTTGGCTGCAACCTGCATCCAAAACGAGCGTCAAATTCGTCACAAGCCGCTTTGTATTCCGGGCTGTCAGTGGTACCAGCCGCCTCGTGCTTGTCCAGCGTATCTTGGATATCCTGCGGAAGCGTCTTCCTCAGCTCGTTGCATATCTCTATCATCACCGGCATGCTGGCTGGCGCAGACGATAAGATGAGCTTCTTGAGGCCTTTCGGCTTGCGCACAGCAAAAGAAGCGGCGAGCATCCCGCCCCAAGAATGCCCCAGGACGTTGTAGTTGTCATGGATTCCGAAGAAATTAAGGAGGTTGTGGAGCTCGTCAATGAACAGTTCAACGGTCCAGAAATCGGTGTCTCCATTCTTCTCGGGGAGGTGGGTAGATAAGCCACAGCCAAGTTGGTCGTAGATGACGACGGGGAGGCCGTACCGCTCGGCAATCTCTGCCATCGGCTCGACATACCAGTGGGGGACGCCCGGTCCGCCATGCAAGATGACGGTCGGTGTACGAGAGGTGTCTGACAAGTCGCCATAGACCTTGTACCACGTCTTACAGGCCTTGCCTGACTTGGGCACGTCAAAGGCGATCTCGCCTTCGGTGATAGCGATCATGATTAACGCAGCTAAAGAGCAAAAGAATATCGTTCATGTCAGTCCGCAGCAGCTCGACGTCGTAGGTAGTAACTCACCAGTCTCGGACGACAGCCCGAGGGAATGAAGGGGAACTCCAAAAAACGCGTTGTATTTATATGACGCGCGTAAGCACATGACTCCTCTCCACGCATACCGTCGCGGCACTTTTATGCATGCGCACACATGCTTCAAGTGAGAACGGGCATGAAATTCTTGGTATCGTAGAGGCTAAGTATATGCAAGAAGGCATACGCAGCAGTGCTTATCATCAACGAGAATTGATGCTCTCAGATGTTTCCAGATAAAATGTCAGCCTTACTGCCCAGGTAGAACACTGGGATTTCATCAAGCGGAGCGCTGACGTTCACCGTGTTTCCGCATTGTCCGTAGTCTTGGTTTGTCCGCCTGTATACCAGCTCAGTATTTGATGCCTCGCGCCCTGGATTTGACATACCAGTACGTCCATGAGTAATTTTGGGCTATCATAGACTGTGTGAGGCGCGGAAGGTATACCTCTTTTCTCCGTCGCGTTTTCCACACTCACGGGGGCCACGAGAATGCGAGGGCCTACAGTGAGCCGAAGCGATATCATTGAGCTCACACGGATTGTAATTGAACTGGGAAACTGGCTTACCGAACATATACTGTTCCACGACAAGTGGGTTATTGACGCCGGTGGCTTGGACGACGAAAGGATCAGAGGAGAAGTCGTAGTAGAGCGCACGCATGATACTCTTGCCGGATTCATGTAGGTGTTGGAAGAGGGCTTTGACGTAGGGAACCAGCTCGTAGCGCTGATTGATGTACTAGAACATAGTGCACGGAAATTAGAAAAACGAATCAGCGTAGTGAAGGGTTGTTTTACCTTCTTCAGGATAACGAAGTTGTCTTCGCCGTATGACCAAGGCTGCGGGCATATGTCATTATTTATCATCAAGCATACGTCAGAAGAGTGCAACGAACTTCGTTGGGGCAATTATTAGCAGAGTAAGGCTCGGCGGGAGAAGTAAGGTTGCAAATCCGGTCACTGATCGACATTGAATGTCAGCGAGTATCCAAGAAGGTTCTTCACTTACCCGTGAGTACGTGTCTGTCATGTTATGATCGGAGTGATTAGACGATAAGAAAAATGGTACAAGTTAGTTGACGTACGTATGGAAGGAGCACAGCCATGCCAAACCACCGTACGTAGAGCTCCTTCCCCTGAGACAGGTATTAGCATGTTTTTGCACGCATGAGAAAGTGAATAACGCACCCAGTCAGCGTCAATATCTAGCCCTGTAAACCCACCAATATCAAGTGTCCAGCTGGATATACCTGCAGCTGCAGCAGAGACTGCGCCAGTGATTTGCTGCGTGAGCACGGGGAACTCTGCGAGCGTGTCGCCGCTCCACATGTACGAGCAGTAGCGTTGCCCGCCAGCGAACGTGCTGCGTGTGAGTGACATATGCGGGCACGTCTCCGTCAGAGATTGTCCAGTTAGGTTCTGGAAGCCTTCCTGGATGGCGGCCTGGTGCAGCCAGGGGTATATCTTCCCGGCGCCTTCCTGCGTACCGGCGAAATATTGAGTGAACGAGCGGGGATATGGGATGTATTTCATTGTCGATCCCACTGTATGCCATGATCTGTTAGTGACAGAGCACGAGAATGTTCAGAGTCAAAACGCACTGTTCTCCCAAGGTTCACCTACGGATCCACCGTCGGCTTGGTCGATCCAGAAGTTATGGATGCCATTAGCGTAGTAGCTCTCATTGAGACGTTTCCCTGGGAAGACAATGAGCTCCGCGAGAACTTTGTCCCAGAGGCAGCAACACACAACTTACACAAGAACTCCCTCGATGCAGGATTAGTCGAGTCGTACAGCCGTGTGTAGACGTCTGGAAACATGTCCACTATGCCGGTGCCGTCCCGAGTGGCTGCCAGCAAGCCTTGCTCTTGGAGTGTGATATAGTTGGCAGAAAGGTCTTCGACGCTAGGCCAAAGAGATACCATCATCTCAGCACCAGTCATGTTCTTCACGAAGGCCGCCATGGCTGCCGGGTCAGGCCAATACTCGGGATCGAACGACCTGCGTATTTCAAGGGGTGTTTCATAAATTCAGGTCGTAAAGCTTAACAATCGCCTTGATACTTCCAGTTGAAAAAGTCTGGAAGGTGTCTCATCAGCATTCTGCCGACCACCCAAAAGTCTAGACTAACCGACAACGATCAATGAAACATTGACCTCTCTATCATGAAATTCTTGCGCCAGGTCCATAACTTGGGTCTGGTTCCAATATCTCATTTTTGACTGTTGGTAACCGAAGATATAGTCTGGCGGCATTGGTTGACGCCCTGACCATGATGTTGGCTGTCTTCGATGCAGTGCCAGTAACTGCTTCACTTACCTGTGACACCTGTGTATTGTTCTTGCAAGGTATCGTAGTCGCCGGGTTCGGCTGTGGTGCTACGATACGAGAACCGGTAAGACAACGTCTCGTTCACTGGGAGGGACCCGCTTACATCCAATAATCGACAACTGTGGCTTCGCTCGAGATGAATCGAGTCCGATAGGAGCTAAACTCTGGGCGACAAGTACAATGTCATGTCTAGCGCACCCATCCTCCCTTGACTCGGCATGTTGAAGAACTGCAAGTATCCCTGTACACATGGCAGGTAAGCGCATATGTTCGAACCCCAACGCAGCCCGACCCGCTTTGTTCGACATATACACCGGAATCGGCACAAACGAATTGAAGTTGATCAAATCAATACTCTGTCCCTTCTTATTGACCGACGCATCCCGACAACACGCCTGCTGACCCATCCCATAGATTTGCTCGTCCAAGTCGCTCGTGAACGAGAACTCAGCCTCGAAGCTCGGGCTCTTGTACTCCTGCACGTAGTATCGCGAGTAGAGCGCCTTGTCGTCCGTGTACTCTTGCGTCAGCAGGGTCATGGAGCCGTTCGTCTCGGCGCGGTAGAAGGAGATGACGCCGAGAGAGACTTGTGCGACGATGTTGCCGTTCTGGAGTGTGCCATTACCTTGATATCCAACGACCTGGTCATAGGCGAGGCCTTGACCGCCTCCAGGTCCTTCGAGGGGTGGATCAAGGAAAGCGGAGAGTTTGTGACCCGTCGGGTCGCGCATTAAGCTCGCGCGAACCCGGATGCCGTTGTTACCATAAGGCTATCGCAAATGAGCAAAGTTAGAGAACGGAGTTTGGTTTGGGAGGTGGGCGAGGCCTACCTGGATATAAACGCGCTCGAATCCGTTCTGAAGCTTGATGCCTGTAGAATTGGACGTGGTGTTATTCGTAGCACAGACCACCGAGGCGGCTGCCAGTATCAAAGCTAGCGCGGCGAGCATCACTGGTGCACTGACAATGGGGGCCCCAAAGAAATGTAGACGGTCGCCCTTCTTACTCCCTTGGCCTATACCTACCTGGCGGTCTGGCGGGCCGGGAGCAGCATCATACGTAAATCTTGCCGTCACGCGTCGAAGTCTACGGGTATCGCGAGAGATGATGCAGGTCAAGAATAAGGCAAATGAAGAATGTATTGGTCATATGAGCAGCGGAAAGTCCAAGCGAACGCCCAAGGATGCACGTGAAGACTTGTGGCTCCAACATGAGAATAGAGAACCTTTCGCAACATGCTGGTGCCATTAGCCCTGGAACGCGACGCCCTTTGTCGATGTTTCTGCAATTCCTCCACCAGCAAACCCGGTTCCTGGAGAGTCGTTGATGATATATGAATGATAAGCCAGTCACGGCTTATAATGCGGATGAGCTTACCTTCTCGCTTAAGGCCGATGATATCCTTATCCTTCAATACAATATCACAGACAATACACTGCTTTGCCGGTCGCACCAGCGAATCCGTACACGTTTTGCAAACGACATGTGAACACGGCTTCATTACTAACCACACACAGTTCAGGATCAGCGATGTTCAAGGCAAGGAGACGTAAGGTGCACTCACCAAACATCGTTTTATGATTAGTCAAATTGCTTTTGCACGACGTGCATATGAACTGCTCTTCATCTAGCCTCGCCTTCCCGTTTTCGGATGGAGTGGCGTCTGGTGACTTGACTGAGCCATTGGTCAGCGCGGAGAACTTCACGGGGAATAGCGCTTTGAGCCTGTCAGCGAACATTCAGCGTACTTGAATACGTGAAGGAAGTGGGAAAGGGCATACGCTAATGGGTGTGGTGGGTTGCCTCCTCGGCAGGTTGTTTGGAGCTTCACGTCCTTGAGTGAGCTAGGTGCCCCGTTCGAGGAGTACGTTGGCGTCAACGACGGCAGCCAGAAGTCAGGGAGTTTGTGTTTGAGAGCCTCAGCTTGCTCTTTCTCTATCTGTCGTAGGGCTGCCTCCTCGGCCTCCCGCGTGAGCGTCTCGACCGTCGAGGTACCGAAGTCGAGCTTCCGCTTGAGACCCCGAGCTAAGCAGAGTCGAACGTTGGTTTGACCACATTATTGTAAATGAAGATGATGAACAGTCGACTCACACTCTCCGCCTTCTTTATCCGCACCTGAAGGCGTCGCACCTTTCGAAGTACCACCCGTACCAAGTCCAAGCTGCCGCTTCTCAAAATCCTGCAGCACACGCTCCCTTGCCTCCTCCTTTGCCCGTTCCTTCTCTTCCTCCGCCTCCTGCTTGAGCTTCTCTAATCTAGCCTTCTGCTTTTTGATGTCGTTCTTCTGTGTCACTGGCTTGTTCAATAATACCGAATTAGGTGGGGAAGGTGCTACTCACACAGGTCAGTGTACACGCACTCCTTGCAGAAGAGATGGCCCTCGTTGCACGCTACGGGCTCGCGCGCACGTTGGAGGCAGAGTGCACAGGCGTCAAAGTTACGCATTGATTCATTTCCGAGACGTTGCTAGTTTGCAGGTACATTACAAGGTGTGAGCTGAGGTGTGGGATACGGCGCACAGTCGCACCACCGCAAGGTTGCGTTGACGTACCCGCTTGCTCCCATACTCGGTTTTCTGTTTCTCTGCATACGAGAAGACAGATGACGCTGTGTTGTTCTTGCTGTGCTTCGTCATGGTCGATGAATGTAAGTAGTGATAAACTGGGGCAGGCGCGCGGCGAGAACGCGAGAGTTCCGTTGTAACATACCTAAATATGGAATGTTGCAATGCTTATGTTACTACTTGATACAATATCTGTCCAGGAAAGTCGCGTCTTGGTTGCGTCTCGCTTTGCCGCCTTCGTACTGGTTATCATGGTCAACTCGACAACGTCAAGCATGATTCCGCACATTCCGTAGACACTGCAGGCCCGAAGAATAGTACTAAGCTCAATCCCTCTCGTAGCGTCATATCTTGGATTTGCTGAATGCTCGTATCATGGACCTTCCACCAGACCATAACGGGAACGAATGTACTCGGTACACTATCATACCATCGCCGAAGTCGCTCCCTCTTCCTCGACATTCTCGCGCCTCCGACGCGGCCGGTCAATTTGCGGTTTGCAATATTAAATCGCTTGTTGGCACCAGGAGCGAATTGGAGGCTTATTTCAAGTCGCCGGCATCCTGCACATGGAGCTCTAATGCCACAACGCTACATGCAAGCTCCTGATCGTGATCTCAATCTCAGCCTGAGCTGTTGTTGCTTTCGTCTCTTGAACTCCCATTTTAAGACCTGTTTCCGTCTTTTCAGGATCAATCCACGATAATATCTCTATTTCCTCGATATGTTCCCCTTGCTATCCTGGACAATGCGTACTTGAGCTTACGCTAGGTGCCGTGGAGTCGCTTCAAGCCTTCTTGACTTTCTCTGCTCTGCATCCCCACCTTAAATCTTGGACGGCCCTTTCCCGTAACATCTTCCTGTCTCCCCGCAATTCACTGTTTTCGCTTCACGCGGGTTTCCAGCAATCTTTCCTTCGTCCGGCCTCGCCCCCGTCCTTCATTAAGATGGCTTTTGTGACTGCTGTTCTCCTCATCTCCCAATCATCGCTCGCATACGCTCAAACTCCCTCAATCCCGGACATAAACAGCCTACCCGTTCCCTTTCGCATTGTCATTGGCATCATAGTTGGTAAGAATACCATCGCCCTGTCACACCATGGCAGCTCAGATTTCCTAGGCATCATTGTACTCGCCATCGTCTCAATGCTAATTCGATGTGTACGACGTTCATCGGCCAACGCCTCCCGCCCTAGGCCCTCTACCGCGGTGTGGCATGGCCCGCCTGCTCGCCCTATGGCCAACAACTGTTCAAACCGACTTCCACCACAGCAACCCCGTACGAGCGTTTCCCATCAGACACCAGCAGAGCCATCGCGACTGCATCATTCCAGCGTTCCACCCTGGCTACGTGATCAGCCCCAGGCTACCACCGAGTCAGCCCCTCCAAGCCAATCCCTCACTGCTTCTTCCAGTTCCAACACTCAAATGTCGGGTAACCCTCAAATTTACTCTCCCGTACGTTCTTCCGGTCCCGAGCTGCCACCATACGAGGAATTCGAGGCATCCTCGCAGCCACTCCTTCCGTCTAGTCAAGATGCTCCCTCGCACGTCGTAAATGAGGCGCCGTTAGTGAGTGAAATTTTCTGAATATACTCTAAAAACCTTGCGAAATGAATACCATTTTATTTCGCTTGCTATCCTGACTAGCCTCCACTTCCTGCGCCTGCAGTATGTAAACTTCCTTTTACATTATCGATCTCACCATGATTTAACGCTGGGCGGCTTTTCATCTACAGAAGAGAGACCCGAGCCGCTTCGTTGGCGGCTTCAGAATCGTCTGAGTGTGATCACCGTTGCATTTCTTGCAGGACTTCGTAAGATAATCATACCCAATAACCAAGCTCTGTCTGCTATAACTTGTCGGCTCAAGCCGCTTTTAAATGATTACATTGTCCTACGCTATGCATGACTGTAGGGGCTTTGGCCAACTCGAGGTTATCGTTATTAAGCCTCAACTTCAGAGTTCCGGAGAAATTGATTGCAATATATAGATCTAGAGGTGATCTCGGAAATGTGCAAGGAATGCGAGGGAAGACTCGAATTCTGTCATATCCGGATGAGGAATGCCGCAATGTGTATATCATAGCTTAGTGAGATAAGAACCTTGCAATGACTGCGGCAAGCTAACTGCTACGATCGACCACCCGCACTCGACGTTGAAGACGTCATTTCTTAACGTCATCGCCCGTCTCCTGAATACTCAGTGTACTCCCCGACTGCCCACGAAGCTCAACCTGAAGATGACACGGGAGCCCCCCTGAGACATATAAAGAACGCTCCCGCTCGGCGGCCCGTCCTCATTGTATTCTCTCGCAGCGTCATAACCTCCACTTACTGAACTCTCCTGCATCTCCAACAAGGTTCAACAATAACCTCTATGCCCTCTATCACCGACGTCAAGTGTATCCTCGTCATCGGCTCGACCGCCGGCATCGGCCGCGCGCTCGCGCTCAACATCCTCGCGCTCCCGACGAAGCCGACTGTGATTGTCGCTGGTCGTCGGCAGCAGCGGCTTGACGAGATAATCAAGGCGGAGAACAAGGACGACCGCCTTCGGGCGGTTCGGTTCGACGTCAATGCCGATCGGGCGACGCTCAAGAAGTCAGTTGACGAGGTGGTCAAGCAGTACCCCGAGGTATGATCACCGTTTGCTCAGTTTGCGAGGGGCGAGTTCTTAATATCCGTGATCCTGTCATCGCACAGCTGGACGCTGTCATGTTCGCCAGCGGTGTTCAGCAAGAGTTCGATTTTACGAAGCCCGAAAGTGTAGATCTCGACAGTGCGTACCGTGCATCTCAGCAACCAGCTTGAAGATCAATCTTCTAATGAACGCCTCTAGAAATTGCGGAAGAGCTGAACACAAATTACACCTCCGTCGTGAACATGACCACCTTCTTCCTCCCCCACTTCATCCAGCTCAGCGTGAGCATTCCCTCTGCGCGTATCCCACGTAGCCCGCCTGCTGACTCTGGCTGAACGCAGTCGTCTGGCCGCCCCTCGTTCATCTATGCCATCACATCCTCTCTCTCCATCGTCTCGGGTCCCTGGGTACCATGCTACTGCGCCTCCAAGGCCGCGCTTCGGAGCTTTTGCCAGAGCATACACGTCGCCCTCAAAGACAAGAACGTGCATGTCGTCGAGATTCTGCCCCCGTAAGCCATCTCAGAGAATAGGCCCTGTCCCGTCCATACTGATCGCAACCTCGTGCAGGCTTGTCGAGTCCGAGCTCCACGATCGTAAGCGTTCCACCCAGAGTCTGATGGTTGACAGGACTGACATAGGCATCGACAGATCAAGGCAAGAGGGAGGCATTATCCAAGACTTGGATGCCGCTCGATGACTTCACCGAGAAGACAATGGCCGGGCTGCGAAGCGGCGCAGCAGAGATCCCCATCGGCCAGGCAGAGACGTATCACAAGCAGTTCGAGACGGGGAAGCTAGAAGCTGTCGCCAAGCAGTATGAGCAGCGCAAAGCGGCGGAGAAGGGTAACTGATAGGGAAGAAGAATGACGAACGTTAGATGGACTATGTATACTGTACTTTATCACTGTCACGGACGAAAGTGTGAGTGTTGGGCATAGAGGCAAACACGCCTCACCTCATGTATGCCCATGTGGTGATCTCTCCACGTTCGAACCCTCTACTTTGCCCCGTCCCGTAGCAGCTCTGACCCCGCACGGATCCTCCTATCTTTCATCGCCCATCATAACCCTCAACGTCAAGATTATCGTGTTCGCAAAGGACAAGGTTACTCCACTGCGCCCGCTAAGATAAAGTTGAGGAGGCTGTCGTAATTCAGCGCGTCGCATTCATGAGATTGTACACGGCGCCGGTTCCGAACATATCACACTTCCCCGCAGGGACACGTTGTGGGGCCCATGCAATAGCAGCGACGACCGTGGCGTGGGTCGCAAGATGGCCCATGCATCGCCGTGTGCACAGACACCTATGACGAGCAAAGGGGGTCAGCCATTGGAGTGTGCTGCTAAAAGCACTCAGGAACGCGCTACAGACCTCGTACCTTGGGGTCGGCTTTGGCCTTTTGGGCGCGTGACGTGGGTGGGACGGACACGATGACGAGGGCAAGATGGCCGGCGTTCGATGCCGCATGTGCCGCTGCGTGTGTGAAAGTCGCTATCGACGAGTAGCTGGCTCGCGCCTACAGGTGTTCGGGTGCACGACGAGGAAGACATTCCAGGTTGAGGGGTCGTTGCGGGGAAGTTCATTCGTTCGCGTTACTGCTGGTCAGGAGAATATGAATGGAAATGGCATGGTCGCCTTGGAGCAAAAGTCGAATCGCGTTCAGAAGGTTGGTTCACCGCCAAAACAGGGGCTGCACCAATTGCGGGGGCCTTCTGCCGCAGCAACCCCTCTTTTCTCACGATATCGTTTCCATTTGAGGCGTCCGCAGCACCCACTTTTGATCAAAGAAAGATGTGATCTGGCGTCTTTAGATCTTGTTGATCATCTTTTCGCGTGCGATGATTTGTTCCCGTCTCAACATTAGCGACGAATAAGGCATATCAACGCCAGTCAACTTATCGAATCGAGACAGAAAATGACGAGAAACGTTTGGCTGGGCAGGACCGCAGCCACCAAGTTCCTGGTGCGCTATCTTTTCGGCCGGCCCCCACCAGCCTCCACCTACACCCCCTCGAAATGTGGTATTCCTGGTGGGCCCCACCGACGCACGGAATTGCGTACCACGCCAGACATATGCAAGTGGCGACAATTCCCATCTGGTGGGTATGTCGTTGCAATGTTGTCGTAAATACGGAAACAAGCTCTTGGGAACGATGTTCATGACATCACGTCTCGTTATCTTTATCCGAGGCGCGGTCATCAATGAGTTTACGGCATGTTGAGATTTTCGAACTGAGCTGGCTTCGCGGGGATTTTCTCAAGCATGATCATTTCTTTGCAGCTCATCAGCAATAATAGCGACGATATCTCTCGCTTGAGCGCCGCCACGTCTGAAGAGGTTGGGAGAGATAACACGGACGATCGTGAAAGGTGTTGCCAGCGCTCTTGAGAGGCGTCGAACGGAGGGTGGGCTCACAGCCGCCGGAACGGGATGAATGGTGGAGCTACTGGGATGCCAGCGTGGTCAGCTGATTCCGAACTGAAAATTGGGTTCGAGTTCGCGAAGTGTTCGCGACTGTTCGCGAAGCCGCTGCGCAGCACCCGAGAAAATTTCGCACTGGCGGACAAATCGCGGCTAACGGAGATTGAAAGGCTGGCAATTAAGAAGTCTAGAAGCGGTTACGAGGGTCTGTCAAAACATTTGTCAAAGTCGTTATTTGTTTTGCAAGAGGTCGAGGAAGGAGGTCCAGCGGTAGTGAAACAGGGTGGGCAAGTTGTACTAACAACGGCTGTGTACATGTGAGGGCCTGAGGAGCGTGGAGCACGGAAGAGGGGGCTGCACGGAGGATTGGTTTGGTTGACCCAGAATGGTGGTTCGGGCGTTAGATGAATTTTATGAACTTGCGATGCGAGATCTTGCCTTTTGAGAAGGCGACGTGACGTAAACGAGGGAATGGGAATAACGCCGGCTGTTTCCGGTGATAAAGGGCGGCGTGGTCGTTGGTTTCCAAGTGTCGCGCTGCCCCGTCCCTAGCACAGCTTCCTCTTTCTCCTCCTCCTCCTCCTCTTCTTCATCCTCAGCTCGCGTGCCCTTGCTGACGCTGTGTCCTTAAGCACCGCGAGCGCACGACGCTGACCGGTCCTCTTTCTTCTTGTCCTTTCATCTTCGACAAACCCCCTTTCTATTCGTTCGCCTGTCCGGCAACCGGTTATTCGTTACATGCCAGCCATGGTCGCCCTCGTCCTTACAGACTCGCCCAGCATACGTGCTGTTCTTGTTTCCTGCGCTGCCTCCATTCTTCTGCTCGTTGTCGCCCGCATATTGTTCGCTGTTATGCGCCTCAGCCTCTCGACCGTCCAGAACGAAGCCAAGCAGTCGCCCGTACCTATCCAGTGGAAGCTCCCTAACCTCGCCTCCCTCCCGAGCGTTCTTCCCTTCGAACTTACCCTCGACATCAAGCAGCCCGCGGTAGTTGGGGCTGGAGTTGGCGTTGGTATGGTCTCGCCGGGCTCTGAGCTGCCAATAAACTGGCAGCACAGTGCCTCCCGTTCTCAGTTCCGGACACCACGTGAGTCATACTATGCTACCTCTGTTACCCCATAGTTTTTAACGGGTTTCGCCTCTCCTAGAAGCTGCAATCTACCAGAGTCGTATGCCTCTGTCAGCCGCCAAGATCATCATGTCGCGACATACTTTCCGTCGTCCGGACCCTAACCGTCAACGCCGCGTATCGACCTCTACGAACCGGAATCACGTCCCACAACAGCCTACCTCAAGCCTCATTAACTCGATTGCATAGGCGGCGCTCTCTGTTGGGCCACTCTCACCCTCGGCCCTCGGCATCGCCTGGCGTCACCCCTACTCGGCCTGCGCAGCATTAGCATCTACAACTCAAATTACGCATACCCACACATAACTTATTATTGCCACGCTCCTGCCCCTGGCCGCCCTCACCCTCGACTCGGGATCTTGCTTTGCCTATACACCCTCCGACACGACCCCGAGCCCGGAATAACCTATTCTATTGCGCTAGTCCGTGCATGCCTGCACTTGGCTGTCTCATGGCACGCATCACATGGGTGCATACGTTGGCTAATGGAAGTAATACGACCCGACGCAGCACCTCTTTCTCCCTACCCCCTTTCCTCGAGTCACCAGGATGGGCTCTCAGGCCTGCCCATTCAGCCCTTGTCTGGGACTCGGGACACGGGAACGCGGTAGTGCTCGTCATGTTTCACGGACTGAACCCACGGACAAAATGAACGGACAAACACTTCCCACCTACGGAAACCTCTTCGGATTAACTTATGAACCTTCAGGACAGTGATGAATCGAGGACTGTTCAGCTCCCCCGCCCTTCGTACTACCCCTTACCCGTATGGACCGTATTGTATAGCCTTGTACATAGTACGAGTGTGTGCATACGTGGCGTCGGATAAAATGTTGACGTATGTGCTGCAGCCACATATGCCTCCAGCCCCCTTCAAGGCAGACTACCACGCCCTCACCTAGTTTCGCCGGCTTCGCGAAGCTACGCCATCGTACCGCAGCGGATCCAAGACCCCTTTGGTCGCAAGGCTCCCAAGTGGCCGCTCCATGCACATCATGCCAGTTCGTATCGTAGCCCCCACGGTCCCACCAGCAAAGCTCCAGCAAGCACCCCATTCCCTAGATCTCCAACCTGTCGTTTTTGCAGTGTTTCGTGTCGCTTATTCCTGGACCGTGCTATCGATCGACATCATTTCTCCCATGGCATCATCGCACTCGCACCTCGCATCACTCGCCCGTTACCCACGTTTCAGTGTTGGACCTTTTGTTTCTCCTACACACCGCGAACTAGTCTATTCGCCTTTGTTCTCTTTGGACCTATTTTTATATGGCTTGATTTGATTACCTACGAAATGTGTTTTTGAATTTGTTCGAATTCGAGTTCTAGCTCTAGTTCTATTACGACGTCGTTTTAGTCGATTCCTCTTTCCTGTGGACACCTTTTCTTTTCTTTCGTTCTTTTCATATACCCAGCTAATCACGTTTCTTGCATACTTCTACTTCGAAACTTCGTGGATGGATAGGGGGCAGTGACAGCAATGACAGTTGCTACGCTACGATGCGTTGTGGTGGAGGTGTGGGTATGAGATTGGGGTGGTTGGAAAATACCAATACCAATGAAACTTTCAAACTAAACTCTCGCTTACGCCGTGTGTGCGAGCTCTTGTCGTTGCGACGGTCTTGCAAGGGTGTGACTAATTCGCAAAACACTGGGGTTTGGCTCTTTCTGGCTTGACATGCATCTCTCACGAACTTCACCGCGCTTTGCAAATACTCAGCGTTATCTTGGACCCTCGACGAGGAACGCGACGTCTATTATAATCGAGGTCACCACTTGCCAGCAGGCATGCTGTTATTTCCGACGACAAGCCTGAAACTCGGATACTAGGCTTTTCGGAGCGGAGGTTGTTGGCGGTGGCTCCGTACAGCTATTCTAGTAGCTCCTGGTCTCGTTCCGTGAATCGTGATCCCGGATGAACATGGCCGGGCCAGCGTACACGGCACCACGGGTGAGCGCATGCATGTGGTTTGGCTCCGTTCCGTTCACAGCTTATCGCGAATGATTATACAGTGATACAACTTATCTCCAGGGCACGGTGGCAGGCCTGTCTAGATACGACGGACTTGGTTCACCGACCGGTGTGCACAGTGCACAGACCTTGCTCTTCACTGCCTCGCTGATAGTGACGTCTTGCTGGCACCGCTGCCTGCGCCGGCGAGGACTTTCCGACGACGTGTATACCAGGGAACCGAGAAAACGGGCTGTTCATTCCGTGCATAACCATAGCACAGCACCGGTACCGGGGATTATTCATTGAAGCCTCGCAGCTTGAAATTACGATGTAAGTGCCAAATGATGATCTATTGACGATAAGCTCCATGGATCAGCTAAATTCCGGGATACTAACTAGTATCGCCGTGCAGCGCGCTTTGCGTAGATCCGACGATTGACGTCCTACTACTATCGACAAACTAGTAGAACTCCGGGACTGCAGCTAGAAGCAGACATCATTTTCATAAGGGTCTACTAGGAGGTGCGATGACCGGATCCGAGAACGCCGCAACGTTTCCGGACTTGTACGAGGCGTCGATCTCGGAGCTCCAGAATGGCCTCGGCCAGGGACTCTTTACGAGCGTGGACCTTGTCAAGGTACGTCGAACGTTCCCTGATATCCCTGTATCTTTTATTCCGTCAAGTTTGCGAAACGACTCCTTGTTTTTTGAGATAAGATAAGCCGAAGTTAACCTTGTTTCCCCTTGGTAGGCGTATCTCGCGCGGATCGAGGAGGTGAACCTCAAAGGTGCTACGCTGCGTGCTGTAATCGAGACGAACCCGCCTGTGCTCGAGCAGGCTAAGGCGCTCGATGAGGAGCGGAGGGTCAAAGGCCCGCGTGGGCCATTGCATGGCATACCAATGCTGCTGAAGGATAACATCGCTACTCTGCACGAGGAAGGTTCGTCTTCCATTACTGCGTTCACTAAAGACATTGACAGATCACGTCCTATTTAACCTTTCTCGCCCCTTATTCTCGCCCGCGATCGCCATCATACAGGCATGAACACCACCGCTGGCTCGCATGCCCTCGTCGGCTCCGTCGTCCCGCGCGACGCACACGCCGCACACCTCCTACGCGCTGCCGGCGCGCTCTTCCTCGGTAAGTCGAACCTCTCCGAGTGGGCCAACTTCCGCGGGATCGTGCCGTCTGGGTTCTCGGGACGCGGCGGGCAGGCGCACTGCCCGTACGACCCCTCGGGCAAGGGCGACCCGAGTGGCTCGAGCTCGGGCAGCGCGACGGCCGTCGCGGTCGGCCTGTGCGCAGGCGCGCTGGGCACGGAGACGGATGGGTCGATCGTGAGTCCGAGTAGCAGGAATAATGTGGTGGGCGTGAAGCCGACTGTGGGGCTTGTTTCGCGTGCTGGAGGTCCGTCTGAGCTTACTATGGGACGGGGTTGCTGGGAAGAATGTTGATCTCGGATCTGATCTTGTGCGTTTGCAGTGATTCCCATATCTTCGAACCAAGACACTGCGGGACCTATGTGTCGGACTGTTATGGATGCGTCCCTCATCCTGTCAGCTATAGCAGGTCGCGACACTCGGGATGCAGCGACGCTTGAACAGCCCGAAAACATTCCAGACTATTCTGCTGCTCTGCGTCCTGACGCGCTCAAGGGAGCACGGTTGGGTGTTCCACGAAAGTTATTCGATCCGAAACGCAAGCCGATGTACGAAGAGTTTGAGAGGGCTCTGGATTTGTTCCGCCAGCTGGGCGCAGAGGTAGTGGACAACGCAGATCTACCGTCTACCGACGAGATGAGGGTATCAAAGGCAGAGAATTATGTTATGACATGCGACCTCAAGGTATGGTTGACAACCTATCAGCTTCTCTAATCACCCGTGAGCTTAATTGCGCTGAACGAAACCTAGGCGGATGTCAACAAATACCTCGCTGAGCTCGAGGAGGTTCCGACGGATGTTCATACACTCGCCGACCTGATCGAGTGGAACAAAGCACACGCAGACATCGAGCTTATTTCACCTCACTACGATGATCAGTCTCAGTATGTCGCCCTCATAATTCATGACTCGGATATGGACTGCTACTTATACTCAAACGCACTAGATTCGTCACGTCGGAGGCCAGCACCATCGACGAAGCATACCATGAGGCACTTAAGAAAGATCTTGAGCTTGGTCGGAATCAAGGCATCGACGCTGCGCTTGAGAAATACAACCTTGATGCACTCATACTCCCTAAAGATGGTACGGTTCATTCTCTTTAATTTTATGTGTCTCTGACGAGTATACCTCAGCAAACGCGTCGAAGCCAGCTGCCATAGCAGGATACCCCGTTATCTCCGGTATGGGTTCGGGAAGCCGGATTCTATGCTGGCAACTAACTGTTCGGTGCACAGTACCCTTGGGTTTTATGCCAAACGATACCCCATATGCCCCAGAGGAACCCAAGCCTCTGTACCAGGACGGACCAGGATACCCGTATGGAATCGCGTTTCTAGGAACGGCGTGGAGCGAGTCAAAGCTTCTGGGGTACGCGTACGCGTTCGAACAAGCGACCATGGTTCGCTTGAAGAGACGTGCATACCCAGAGGCAGTTCCGCAGACTCAGCTGGCAGATGTTGTAGAGTGTACTTGAAAGCCTTCGTGCTTTAAAGTTCGGTGATTACGGTGACATGGACCATGCATATGCTTTACCCAATGTTTTATCTCAACTGCGTCAAGCATCCAAATGCTCGAGGAATCTAGATTCTCCACACTGCATGAATCGCATGGCAATCTGCCTTTTGAGTTTTGAATCTGTCATTCAAGTGACAACCTCAAGGGTCTGGTGATCACAATGAGTCCGTTCAGAGAACATAACACCGAGCCTTGAAGTCGATCTCCATCATCCAAGTCACTCTCCTTGTTCAGATGCAATGACATTGACTGGCAGCATCCGAGTCAGCTAATGGGCAAGCTCGTCATCAGATTGACGGTGTGAGTTTTCTAGCAATTTCTACAAAGCCTGCCTTTTGCGTCTAATCCCGGTAAGACCATTTGCGGACCAAGAGAACAGCCGAAGAGCGTTTTCGTGTGTGCGCTCGCTTAGATCGCACACCATCTCTTTTTCCTTTCTCCTCTGCACTCTCTGAATCTCCCCTCGACGCGCTAATCCTCCTCACCCTCGTCCTCTGCCGAAGATCCGCGTCTAAAACGCGTCCTATATCAGATTCTAAAAACTCCCGTTGATAAACTTGTCATCATGTCTGGAGAGCCGAGCACCGGAACCACCGGCGACGCTGCCAACCGCCCCTTGACCTTCTTTGATATCTCCATCGGCGACAAGGAAGTCGGCCGTATCATCTTCTCTATCTACAACGATCTCGTCCCCAAGACCGCTGAGAACTTCCGTGCGTAACTTCCCCAGATCGCTCTCTGGCAGACGGACTTACGCCAAGATTTCGCGCAACAGGGGCACTATGCACGGGCGAGAAGGGCACCGGAAAGTCAGGAAGGCCTCTGCATTACAAGGGCTCGGGATTCCATCGCGTCATCAAAGGGTGAGCTCGTGTCGATCTGCAAGAGGGAGGGCGCGAGCTGACGTTGATCGTGTATTACCCCAGGTTCATGTGCCAGGGAGGTGATTTCACCGCAGGCAATGGTATGCATACTTTTGAAGCACTCTCATGTTAACCAGCTAACCCGTGTCTTCTTCTAGGGACTGGGGGCGAGTCGATCTACGGCGAGAAGTTCGAGGATGAAGCCTTCCTCGTGAACCACACGCGTCCATTCCTTCTCTCCATGGCGCGTCGCCCAATCCTATCGTCTCCGCTGCTCCATCGCTAACAAACCAGCGCTTAACCAGGCAAACGCAGGCAAGGACACCAACGGCTCCCAGTTCTTCATCACTGTTTCCCAGACGCCGCACCTCGACGGCAAACACGTCGTCTTCGGCGAAGTCGTCCGTGGCAAGTCCGTCGTCCGCGCTATGGAGAACTTCCCCACCTCGGCCAGCGACGTGCCCACGTTCCCGATCACGATTACCGACTGTGGCCAGCTGAGCCCGGACGACCCGTCCCTCGCGATCCCTTCCGCCAGCGTGGGAGCCGAAGACCCATACGAGGACTACCCGGAGGACGACGATCGCGACGTGCAGGACCCCCAGGTCGCGCTTAAGGTTGCGCAGGACGTGCGGGAAGTTGGGAACAAGCTGTTCAAGGAGGGAAATGCGGAGGAGGCTCTCCAGAAGTACCTCAGTATGGACACCTACTTCGCTGGTCCATACCCCTTACTGATATGGACATTCTCGCACAACAGAATCGGTGCGCTATCTTGACGTGCACCCGGTCATGCCGGACGAGTCGGGGCCTGAGCTGAAGGCATCGTTCGACGCGCTTCTGACGCCGCTCTTGCTCAACTCGGCTCTGGCTGCACTGCGCGCCCAGCCACCATCAGCCTCAAACGCACGTGTCGCCGTCGACAGCACGACGCGTGCGCTGAGAATTCAGCTGAGCAATGCTGACAAAGGTAGGCTTGATCGTCGTATTCACGTTTCTTCCAACGTTTATCGTTATCACCACAGCCAAAGCACTGTACCGCCGCGGCCTCGCACACTCGTCGCTCAAGGAAGAGAACGAGGCGGAGCGCGACCTCGTGGAGGCGAGCAAGCTCGTGCCCGAAGACCAGGCCATCACGAACGAGCTTTCCAAGATCCGGCAGCGGAGGAAGGAGAAGAAGGACAAGGAAAAGGCGGCGTACAAGAAGCTTTTTGCATAAATGGGTAAATGGGGACGTGCATGGATTGTAGATAGCATACGGAACCGGAGTAGAAGACTAGTTGTATATTCAAGGGTACCAACAAGGGGAGGCTGGCCTTAGAGGCGGTCTCTGTAAATGGTTTGAGAGTGCTCTACATGTCGCTCGGGGTGATCAAGGGTATTTAATCAGATATCCGTGTATATGCGTGAGGCGGTCCACGATCAAGACTTCCAAATACTCAGCTAATGAAATGAAGCAAGAAATCCCTCTTCTGCAACGGTGTAATCCTTCCCTGCTTGTTATCCGGATCATCGCGCATGATTATGGGGGCATAAACCAGGGCTGGACGTGAACCCAGACGTCAGTGAGCTAGAGAGGAAGTGCCAAAAGTTCCACTCACCTAGATTGTTGGCAACAACCACCTCCGACGGTGCCTCCCTCTTTTCCGAGTTTTCCTCTTCCGCTGTGCTGACTGCCTGCTGAACTGCATAATGCAGGAAGGCCGTGAGGGATATCCACACCTGCCATGACCCTGTCAATACTGATGAGGCAAGGTGCATGCCGAAAGAAGCTCACGTTGACCGAATCCGGCGGGAACTCTTCGAGTGCCTTCAGAGCATTGATGTCAACCACCGCTCTGCTACCATAAATTTGAAAATTCAGAGACTCTCACTTCAAATGCCTCGTCCCTATTGGTAGCCCCTGTCAACCGTGTATGCAACTCGGGGGGCACAACGGGCTCGGGAAGCGCGCCGAGGAACCGGAGTAGTGTCACTCCAAATGCGCCTGCGAGCTGCTGCTTCATCTCGTCCGAGTTTGCCTCGGGAAATGCGTCCCCCGTGTCGAGACTCTAAACAGCAACATTAGGGCAGGACCATGACATGCCAAGGAGAGCGAACATGGTCACCTCTTGGATGGACGTTGCCAGCTCCTCATTCACCTCGTGCGTCATCAACAGATTCTGTTGGAATGTCCGGTCCCAGCGTAAGCATTCACCGGTGGCATGAGAACGAGATTCGTACGCACGACATCTTTGACATTGGACATCATCCAGTTAATGAGCCGTATGAACTCTCTCGGCGCGTTGAACGGGTTTCCTGAGATGACAGCATCTGGTTTCTCGAGGGACCGTATCGACGCAGGGAGTCTTGTGAGCCGAGAAAGTTTGTTTGCGAAACAGGTATACTCTAAGATAATAGCATGATGAAGGGGTGAATCCTCAAACGAGTAAGTCAGGATTAAGCTGACGCACGATACTCTGCGCTGACAGGGATGAAATGATCCTTGCCAATAGCAGTGTGTAGAATGAGCGTGCAGTCGATTGGTTTCGGCCCAAGGTTGAGCTTCGCGGCAATGCCGTTGTCAACCCAGGCTGTCAGCTCCACGTTCGTAGTTTCTCCCGGACACAAGAGACCCTATGAATCAAGATTGAGCGATGAGAGGAGAGTCATCAGGAGAATTACGAACTGCTTGTGTACTGATCTGAAGCCACTCTGGACCTGGTCATGGTGAGCGGTTTCCTTGAGTAGGGATGATTACTTAAGTACTTACACGTCGGCTGACCGATATCCATTGGCACGAATCGGAAGACACATGGTATCTGCCACAAAATATTAGGGACTCATACCGGCCAGAGTGAGAACACCTTTTACCTCCCCAACATTCCGAATCTCAAAGCACTTCCGTATCGGCTGACGATAGCTTCCAGAAATCCTGCCGTCAGTCCACGCTCAAACTAGAACAGTATTATAGTCAAAACTCACAAAACCTTTCCGAAGTCCAAAGACGTCGTCTCCCCCAGACTGATCTTCGGAATCTTACCGCTCTCCTCGAAGCCCCACATCTCCCTCTGCAGCCGACGCGCCATGTCTTCTGCCCGATCCTTGTTCCGTACGGGAACGTCAAGCGAGAACTCAGCGGACACAGGGCGGTGGTCGCTGAAGGTAACTTGAGGGTGGCTGAGGTACGAGAGCTGCTGTACCTTGAGATAAGGGCTTGCCATGTGCAGGATGCGGTCAGTCCAAGCGGGTTTGCGCCTGATTTGGACGGTTAACAAATGCATAATGGAAGAAGTGAAGCACAGACTTTATGTCATATCCAAGCCTATCCTTGAGGATACCCGACGAGAACCGATATGAGCTGCGACAATGATTCAGTAACTAATGAATAAGTCCCATCCATTCTCGACTGACGGCAAATGCGTGATGTCGTGTTCTCTGAAGCCGACGAATGCAGAACCGGCTTTAATCGCGTTCTTAAGCTATAAAGAGATCTCAGCTGGGTGATGATAGTGCTTTACGAGGCCGACATACCTGATCGTACTCCAATAGCTTGTCTAAGTTGTTGTCATTGGGCAGTTCCATGTTCAGTAGCTCCCGTATCTCGCTATCCGGGAGGTCTAACCTGTAGTTCAGATCTTGCAACGAAACGATTATACAAAGGTTAGTGAGATCCCTAGCACTAACGCCACTCGACGCATTCACCTCCCTACTCTGAGTTAACGAAATGAAGACAAAGACGACCGCGTGTACTCGTACCATCCAAAACAGGGCGTCGGAATCGTATATCTTCCATGGTGTTCGTGGCATGGTCTCGAAGTCGGGAACCGCCGCCACAGGATCATCGAATTGGAGACGCTTCTCGAGTTCCCGGAAGTCGTAGTTCCGCTTTTCGGCCATCTCGTCAAATGCGGCTAAATGTGCGTTTACGAAGGTCAGGACGACGGGCTTCGTTTCGCCTGCTGAAGCATCTTTCGTTGGTGGAGAGAACTTGAGACGGATCCCAACCGCGCCTTTGTTGCCCTGACAATACTGTCAGTAACTTATTCATATATAGAAATCAAGAGTGAATATACCGCAACACCAAGAAAACCCGCACCAGCAGCGGTGAGGCTGAAGTCGCTGAAGCATCGCTTGACCGATTTCTTCACGAAAGCTATGATCAGCATACCTACGAGCTGCTTAGAACCTAGCTGGTTATTGCATCCGTCAGACCTTTCATACTATTCGAAGTCGGACACCATTACCTTTTCATACTGTTCTGCCTTCTCTCCGAGGCCAGCAAGAATCGCAGTGACCCACTGCTGCTCTAAGGCGTTATTCGCAGCATATACCAACGCCCCCGTCGATAAGTCGAGCTCTTGGAAGCCAACCACGATCAGGTCCGGGTCAGCATAAGGGGCAGACTCGCTTCCTACGCGCGTGCGGTCCGAGTTGATCAACCCTCTAGAAGGAGCACTCGGTGAGCTCGTGGACGACACTGACGTGTACGTAATAAAGTATAAGTGCAATATGAAAGGGAGCGGCCGTTGACCTACTGTAGTCATCCAGCTCCCGGAAGTGCAGAGGGGACACGGGGTGGAGCGGAGGAAGCTTTCCTGGATGGCTTTGCACCCATTCGGATAGATCTTGCGAGGGAAGCTGGCCGTTGACATTAAATGTGCCAACGCGAATCCTGAACACGGTTGAGCGTTACGTTGCAAGGAAGTCCATCCATATCAAGTGTTCATCTACCTCAAATTGTAGTCTGAATCATCTTTGTCGCTCAAGACCTGGTCATGAATCCAGTGCTGCCGGACGATGTCGATGTCGGCTATATCATCACTTGACATACCAGCCGTCGCTGACGACAGCCGGGAGCTTAGGGGCTCATTCAGGATCCGCAGATCAGCAGGCCGCAGCAGTGCTGCAGGACGTCAACACAAAGTCACGCCGCGAGGAACGGTCATACATGTCAGGGAGTTCTGCATGGATGTATAGGCGGAGAGCCATGTGAAGGTGCTATTCGTCTTCACATCCTCTAGATAGGATAACAAAATACCCTGTCAAACTTAGCCTGGGAAGCAGAGAACTTCACAAACGTTGCAATTGCCTGAGACGACGGCATTCGGAGACGACTGCCTGCAGGCTGGTGATATCACGAGTCCTTAGTGTGACAGGAAGAGACGAATCGCCATCAGGTTTGATTACGAGTGTGAACTCTTACACAATGTGACCGCGTTAACTCAAGCTATTCCATCTTCAATGGCACACACCTGATCTGGACTGGTCAATCTGCGCGGCCGAGTCCAAGTTCAACGTGGGCCTTCTGGCTTGCGCGACATTGATTGAAAGGAGAGGCTTAAATGGATATGCTCGCACTATGTCCAAGACAGCCTTATCGGAACCTTGAGGCTTGGCTCTCAGGATGAGGATACTGGGATGAGACGCGTAAGGACCCTCATGGTATGCACGTGAACTGCACGGTGACTAGTCGAACGTGTCCCCGTACCCGTGAAGAGGCGACAGCGACGCAGCAAGCCGCAGCATAATACTGCAAGTCGTGTGACAAGAGCTAAAGTAAGGTTCACTCACCAGCCTTCCTCCACGTTTGTTGATGCATCTGTGTGGGTCACAACGGCGACCACCCGTGCTAGATTGCCCTGCGACGCGCGTTGATTATCGGAGTTACCATCCAAGGCGGGCGCGAGGGTGTAGACCGCCTCTACCAACGCTGTGAGCTTCTCCGTTGGACGTAGTTGTGCAGATACGAGGCCGTGGATTGAGCTGCTCATCTCGTGACGACTGGACGAGAGCAAGGAGGGTGCGGTCATAGGCACAGCCACATGACAAATTAAGTTCGCACGTTACCCCGCATTGGCGCGACAGGGGTTGACGTTCATTTCATGGGGATGTGCACAAAAAACAAGACTTGTAGACCCTGATAAACTTTCCTGCTTGTTGACGGGGGAAGTACGTAAATTGCGAGAAGTGAAAGGTCGGGCGGGTCTGGGTTCAGGATGATTGAGGGGACGAACGCGGTGGAAGGTTCGAAGGTTGTGCCAAGGTTGTGCTCAGGAAACGGTGTCACGCGAGCGGGGTCGACGCCACTTCCAGACCATTTCACAACGATATAAAGAGTCATACCCGCCCCGCCCCTTCTCCTCAAACACCCCCATCTCATCGATTTGTCCCCGTATCTAGAACCCCAAATTTCACAGCCTCTTCATCTTCTGCTCTTGCAGCTCATCACACAGACCCCAGAGCCATGACCCGCACCGAGCGCGCTGCCAACCCCCGCGCCCTCGTCAGGGATCGCTCCGAGTCCAAGTCGGGTCTGGACAAGTCGATGCGCAAGAATGGTAGCGGCCAGCACAACTGGGGCAGCCTCGCCGATGAACAATACCTTGAGACCGCTGGCTACGAGGACGAGCAGCGCGACTTTGAGAACGCCACCGGCGTCAAGCCTGAAGGTTAGTTGAGCGTTCACGAGCATCAGTCTCATGATCCGGCATCAATTGCATGGTCATGGTGACCTCATGATCTGACTTTTGCGTTTCTCATAGCTCCTGAGAAGCCTGATCTGCAGCGCAAGGATGGCTCGTTCACAGAAGAGGAGCGCGAAACCGCAAGGAAGTTCAGGAAGAACATCCTCAAAGGCCAAGGTTTGTTCGGCACGAAATATTCTGTATGTGCAGATCGAGATGCTGATTTCCGTTGTGATACAGACGTCGATTTGTCTGCCATTGCGCGTACTTCACCTGCCGTCTCCACTTCCCCACCTACCACATCTCCCATTGTCCGTGATGCTGACGTACGTATTGATAATCATAAGCATAACCTGTCAGAGCTGACTTGGCCGTCTTAGACCAAGACCATGAAGGAAGCATAAAGAGTCTCTTTGATCCAAAGGACGACCTCGAATTGCGGCCGAAGTGTGAGCTGTTACCGTAGTAGCCAAGATGTATTTTTATTGAATGATCAATGTCAATAACCCTCATGCTAAAAGTGGTACACATGATGACGACTGAGCATACGCTGAACATCACAAGGTACTCCTCTAAGCAGATCCGGAGCCAGTCCGGGGCCCCATCCGCAGTAGTGGATGCAGGATGGAAAATGGCCGTTTCTCGGCAGCTTTGCGCGCTACATCAGAAGAGTTTGACTACCTTGAGAGAGAGAGATTCGCGCACTCCACAGCATGCTCCTACTCTACGAGGGTGGAGTGGTATCCTCCGGTATAGGTGTTGCTTCTAAAGCCGATTGGAGGCATACACGCTCAGCAGTAAATGCACCCAAACTGAGACCATCGGGCCATCCAGCTTCAATGCTCTCCGGGATATGGTCCAAATCTAGGTGAGGATATATGCGTTGCTGGAGGGCCAGACAGCTGGCAGCCACTTCCGGTAGTGTAGCATGCATCGCGAGTGGGGTCACAAGGTATATGTCCTCGTGCGCCTCGGCAATGACGGTGTACAGAAGGTCTTCTTTAGATGTCCCAGCCATGTCAAAAACGTTCAGCGAGCGAACTATGCGTTCTACACATTTAGGGATGGAAGTCAGTGGCGAAGAGTGACTGAAGTGTGTGACTTTATTGTACCTTGTTCGGTGAGCCCGAGGAGATGCCGAGGAGGCATGTACGTCTTCCAATATGCGATAGTTATGTTGGTCGTAGGGGACGAGGCAAGCTCGCCATGTAAATACATCAATGATGGTACAACACCCCCCTGATGCAAAAATCCGAAGAGGACTGCCACCGCAGCATTGAATATCAGCCAGATGGTCTAGCAAAGAATCGTAGTTAGAATAACTACTAGGTATGACATCATACAGAAGGCTTGCCCAGAATTGTTTCTCCAAGTTTTCAAGGCGCCTTGACTTAGCCAAGAGTACCACTATGGGTACAAGCAGGGGAACCAAGAATCGCGTCTCTTGATGGGGTTGCATGGACAAAACGCCCAAGGATGTGACGATCACAAAGCATAGAGCTGGCGAGAAGTTAGCTTGGTGTGTGTACAGATAGCTACACTTACTTTGCTCGAAAGGACCATTGGCACTTTTCGTCCCTTGCTGGTTGTGGGTCCACGCAGACGGAAGAACCTGCGTCAACGTCCGAACAAGGAGGTAGAACATGCCTGGGCCAATGATCATTGGCAGGTTAACGGCAAGATGCAGCCATCGAGGATGCAGCCCATGGTCAGCAAGATTATCAGGATCGAGGTTATACTGTAAAAAGTTGAAGGGTGTTAAGACGGGAGAAGTCAAGTCGCCTTCGAAATACGCTGTGTCCGCGGCTACGAACAGCACAAGTGTCGCAAGACTAGCCAACGTAGGTAGACATGAGAGATAAATGGAGACTTTAAGCAAACTGGGCGAGGGCCGAGCAGACGAGATGACGCGGTAGGTATGTGACAGAGCTTGGGCTGCGATAGGCAATACGAACGCCGGAAAGGTTGGCCTGACGAACGTTCCAGCGACACAGAACGACCCTAAGATAGCTAGGTCTTTGATGACCTTGATACATTTGAACGTTCAGATAGTTCCATGATCTCCGATGGATGCTGCTCACCTTGGCATCGAATGTATCAAGCAGTCGTCTCAGCACTAGCAGAGAAAGGGCAAGCAAGACCGCCTCCACCGAGTTGGAAAATGGTCGGACTTGGAAGGTCAGCACGACATGAGACGAAGCTAGAAGAACAAGGGCGGCCCATCGAGAGCTCCTTCCGGGTACGAGGTGGTAAACGCAATAATCTACTTACTTGAGAACCTGAAAGGCTAGGCTAGTCTTGGACTCACCTAAGACGTAGGAAAGAACGAGATATACCAAGCGATGGATATAAAATATGTGCTGAGGTTCAATAGAAGTAGTATCATGTGAACCTTATCTAATAAGGCTGTCTGGACCTCAAACCAAAGAACATTGAGGACTCACTGTTTGAACACTGCTTGACCAGCCAGAGAGGGGCGCCAGTAGTGATCAAAAGAGGCACAATGGAGCGTACGGGGAACGAGTGATCCCACTCCCATGTACGCAAGACATGGAGACCCAGAAAGTCACCTTAAGACCCCTTTAGTTTAAGCTTTATTTGAGATCTGCAGAGCTTACCCGTCGTGATCTCGCCATTCTGCATATACTCATCCGGATGTATGTACCCTGTCCCTTTCAGAGCGAATACGGCTCGAAGGACTAGAAGAGCCAGATAAACCACCTTCATAGAGCGGAAATCACGGCCCATGTCTCAATAGCATCTAAAGTCGAATTGGATGTCCTTTGAAGTTGCTCTGAAGTGTCAGCGAGCGGTGAGCACAAGACGCGAAACGCGATCGAAATTCGCGTCGTCGTCGGTGTCGGAGTTCCAATCCCTTGTCTTCCTCCTCCTCGGACGCATTGCTCAGCATGGTCTGTCCCCGCGTTTGCTCTACCACTCGGTCTTGCTAACGTGTCCCCTCTTTCTCTTTCTTTACATTCGGACGTGTCATTTCGACCGCAACCATGCGCCCTTGCGACTAATTCTGGAACATGGGCTTGAACTACGACAGGCCTCTCTTCACTTCTGCTCGGAATGCAACAACCTACTCTACCCCAAGGCTGACCCGGCGCGGCGCAACATGGTGTACGCATGCCGCATCTGCACCTATGATGAGGACGTGGACAATGCGTGTGTGTACCGGAATGACTTGCTCACGGTGACGAAGTGAGCCTTTCACCATTTAGAACAGGCTCCCCTGTGTCCTTCCATGCTGCGCAGCGTCAGAGCCCCATCTCACACCCTATGCGTCAATGTGTTTCGCGAGGTACTGATGTGCATCACCAGAGAGCAGAAGGGTGTCGTCACGGACCTTGGCACGGATCCAACGCTGGTGCGTATATCCTATCATTCACACTCAAGTGCCGCCACGAACGCTGACAACGCCATGTCTGTAGGCACACTCCAACATCCCATGTCCGCGCTGCCACAACGAAGAGTGCGTCCTTCAAGTTCCTCCCTGTGTAGCATCACACTGACAATTCGCGCCTTGTGACAGTGCCGTGTACTTCCAGGACCAGTCGAAGCGGAAGGAAACACGGATGATCCTCTTCTTCGTGTGTTCAAAGTGTAATGAAAGCTTCTCAGATCCATCACTACCACAAGATGCAAGACCAGAGATGTGATGCGCATCCTGCGCACGTCTAGACCTGGAGCTGAGCGGGCCTTTCATCTCGGACCTCTTGTTGTCTGTTTCCTGCTCTTCAATAAAACCCTAGCCATGTTGTCCACAAAAAATGATAGTCGATCAATGCATGGCTTGCCATAAACTTGATATGTTGTGGGCTTCTTCTTGGTTTCTTCTCCCACTCCGTACGAGGTGGGTAGCCCGATTGCTACTTTCACAGACGGGCTTCTCGTCGTATCTGGGATTCTTGCGCTGTTGATCGGTCTATAATGTTCCGTTGGCGTCGAATCGCGAGCGAGTATATTACTCATTTGAGTGGTACAATGCCATGATCGATTCGCTCATCCTGCAAGATCCTCCTGCTGCCGAAGAGAAGCGTCTTCTAATTTCTTCTTCCATCGTACGAAGCACCCGGTGCCTTGAATAGTATTGCCCCGACGGCAGGCCAGATGTTCGAGGCCCGGATGTTGCTCGCCTCTATTGATTGTGCGGCAATGTCTTCCAACGCAGTATGTTGTACATGGCAGGAGCAACCTTTGCTGAACTACACTTTCAGCTGCGCAGTCACCGTGTAACCGCGTCACCCGCGAAGGCTGCTAGTCGCCGTCGCCCCGAACATATCATTCATTAACTTGAATGTATTCAATGTTCCTGCTGCGACTCAACGGTGCCTCGACCATTTCCGAGGTTTCTGCCCGTCTCAATGAAGGATGCATGAGTTTCAGAGGCGAGATCTCGGCTCGAAGTATCTAAACTGTGCTCGAGGCCTTTCGAGGCTCCTCAAGGGTGGTCTGGCCAATATGTATGCCTCCATCTCAGTCCCGTCTCTCTCCATAATGTATTGTCGAGACGTACGTATACACCATTGGCTTCGCCACACAAGGTTTACGAGCCAAACGGATGCTAAAGAACTTTCTGTAAGCTGTACTTTGCGCTCATCCCCGCACTTCCCCGCACATTTAGCGCGTCGGCCGTTAGCATCTTATGCATAAGCCCCTTTCCAGCAGCTTATGCCAACGCCAAAACTCAAGTACTCACGGGCTAATTGCGTCTTTTTTGGATTTTTGTATGCCGTAAGTGCTAGTGAGTCTCGGGTCAGATCTTCAAGGTATCAATTCAGGTCGATGGCACTAAGCTTATTTGCACGTTCTGGTGTCAGGCTTAGCGTAGTATGGGCGTCATGCACATATTCTGGGATCGAGTTTGAACCAGGCAGCATTAATACATGCTTCCACGCAGACTTGACAGCCAGAAACCGTGGGTCAATCCTAAGTCATATGTGGCTCATCGGTTTGGAAGTAAGACGATTTCGCATTGTTCAATAGAGATATTGTGGTACCCTACGACGGTTGGATCCTAGTGCTGCTCAGCTACTGTGTGCAAACATACAGAACCGCTGATTATTTTTGTGAGGTGCGTGCCAGCGTGTAAAGGGTGAGATGGATGTGTTCGCCGTCAGCCAGTGTTCGTACCTGATCGGTTATCTTGGAGGCCCAGTGAAAGCCTTGGTCTGGGATTCCTAGCTTTGTAGGAATGGATTTCGTCGGGTCTTGCGATGCAGGAATGCCTTGCGCAGACGCTGCGGCAAGGCTATGAACCAAAGCTCCAGTAGTTATAGGGAGCAGTTGAGACACAGGAGATTATAGGGGGGATCATGACGCGAATATGAGCCTGTCTCTCCTGGTAGGGAAGAAGTCATGATGGAGATCATCGTGCCTAAAGCAGCTCTGGATCCCCTTCAACATACTGATCTTATCTGGGAAGATTCTCGGTGACACCTTCGTCCTAACTTTAAGTCCTTTTATTGCAGGAATACAAGGCTGTCCGAATGCTTCGGAGGGAAAGTGGTCTGAACCTCGGAGCCGTAAGCCCGGGCGTGAAAGATGTTCTCAAGTTACTTGGGAAAAACGAGTCATCGCACCATGTTCTATCGGCGTTTCTTGGAGCAGGATATGGGAAGAACTGGCCTTTGACCTGCCGCGTCCTTGAGGCTTTGATACCTCAGCTTGTGAGCGCCAAAGGCACGCCGTATCCTCGTTATCTCTCACCAAGGGCACAGAGCAAGATGTGCGTCATAGTATACGAACATGATGACCACCAGGCAGAGCATGCCCTAGCATCATAGCGTTGTGGCTAGTTGATGCTCGAGGACCTTCGATCGATGGAAGAGTTCAATCAGAATCGCGTGTACGCTAGAAGGATAGAGAGTTTGACAGGGCATGTTCATGCAAACGGCGATAAAGGGAGACGAAAAGCCTCGCCCTTCCAATCGACGTCCTATAGCCGTGGCCCGTAGATAGCGGTGCGGCGACGAGCGCTATCCTTCGCGCTGAGCGCGGGGCGATCCCAGCAACGATTCCCAAGACGGGCATAGACATGCCGAAGAGGTATGGAATACGTTGTGGAGTCGAGGGTACTTCGTTGAAAGTGAGCGTAAAACACACCCCGGCGGAGGTCCTGTTCTTTGTCGGAGTGCTTGGCCAAGCCACCTTCGGGATACGTACGCCAAGAAATCCGCAGCCTCGTCAGGCCGGATTCATGAAAGAATAGTAAAAATAGCCCTGGCATATATTGACCACCCTGAACGTGTTTGCCGAACCACAAGCGGCTTGGGATCGCGACGCGTGCAACAAGGATGCACTCCGAGCCGTAAAGTGGAGAGTTGGCTGTCTCGGAGGATGAGTACGGATAAAGAGAGAACTTTTCTGGATATCATGTTGGGGCCTATGGATGATGGGATTCGGCCTAGATCTCGTTATTGGCGTAGCAACGCCGACGGGGCTTGTAGCAATTTGATCAACTCTGCCCGTTTGGTTCGTTCGTTGACGGCATGGCACTCGCGCGTGATCGGAAACCGGAAGCTCGGTGCCCTTTATTCGAAGCCGAGATTTGTGTCCTGCCAGAATTCTATCTTCCTTACCGCCCACTATAAAGCAGGCCTATTCGCCGCTACCTCGCGCTCCTTTCACCGACCTTTCGTTCAGTCGTTTCGTCCGTTCTCTTCTCGCAGCCTCTGCACCGTTATTCTTACCCGTCCTCCGTTAATAGAGCCCCCCCTCCTCCACAATGAAGTTCACCACTGCCGTCGCCATTGCTGCTGCCGCCACTGTTGTGGCCGCTGAGACCAACGCTCACCGCATGGCCCGTGGTCTCCCCCCCAAGGCTCCCATCCGCCGCTCCAAGACTGGTATGTTGCATCCGATACACGCGTGGTATCAATGTTCAACATGATCTTTTCCTTTCTTTTTAGCCGCCCCCAAGGCCCAGGCTTCTGGTGGCTCTGGCGGTGACTGCAACACTGGCCCCGTCCAGTGCTGCAACTCTGTCCACAAGGCCGACGAGAGCATCGTCCAGAAGCTCCTTGACCTCCTCGGTCTCTCTGGTATTCCTGGAGATACCCAGGTTGGCATGAACTGCAGCCCTGTCTCCGTCATCGGCTCTGGAGGCGGACAGTGGTACGTTGATTTTCAATGAGTATTTGTGCTTCACAAGCTAACCAACCAAACTCTACAGCAACCAAGAACCCGTCTGCTGTGAGAACAACAACTTTAGCGGCCTCATCAACCTCGGCTGCTCGCCCAGTATGCTCCCTTTCTTCTTACCATACGCGCCCATTCTGACAAAGCTCCCTTAGTCAACATCAACCTCTAAGTGCTTTAGTACTTAGCGCGTTCTCATAGACTCGTCGCCAGTTTGGCTGCAGCGATGTCCTCTCGTTATCCGCCCCTGACGCCGGTTACTCATACCCCCCGGCCGCGGATTTGTTATTAATCGCGGACCGTGTTGTTTAGCTCTCATGTGTCATGCTTTCCTTTAGTTAGTTATTTGATACATGTTTGCTCCGTTTTTCATAGTGGTTATCATTCCTTGGGCTTCGTTGATTGTGATTGTAAGTATTTATTATCAGAAGCATTCTCTTCCGCGAGCAGAGTGAAGTGAGTCATCCTTGACGGAAATTCGGGGAAGGTGAAGTATAGTATGGTTCAATCGTCCATGTCAGAGAGCTTTGCATCATGTATCACAGGCACAACAGGGCGTGGTACGCGTGTGAACGACGTGTCCAGGTACTCAGTGGCAGAAAACATCACTGATCGTGTTGGATGTATCATAATGATATGTCCATTCCGTGGAATTGATTTTCGCAAGGGATGAGATGGCATGGTTGTGGAGCTCTGGTGTGAATACCGAACTATACTGAATGGTTGTGTAGGGAAGGTGTAACCACCTGTAACCACGGTTCGGATGGGTTGGTGAACACCTCTCGATACGCCCCCGTCGCTGTAGCATCCGTAATTCGCGCGATCGGACTCAGTCCGCTCGCATCACAACCGCAACAGCGCATAATATGCTCGCGCTGCCTTTCTCCCATGAACTGAGATGCGATGGGGCTGTTCATGGCAAGGGCCCAGACGTTATCAGTGACCAAGCAGCCAGGGCAGCTGAGTTGCAATGGGTATGTTAGGATGGTGGACGATGAACTCTTCAATCGTTCTTCCCATCGCTACCGGGAGGTATGATGGGCAATTACGGGGAACCATCGGCGCCAACTGCGCAGCACCTTCTCGAATTCGAAGCTTTGTTCAGGCGCTGAGTGGAGCAGGCCCGGGACGCCCGCATCAGTTATTTGTGAAGGAAGAAGATATTTTTAGGCATTGCCTCCGAAGCAGCCGAATCAAGATAGATAAGATATGATTCTGCGGGCGCCTATACTTCGAGCACGTGACTGAACTTTATTCTGCTCAACTATCAAGAACCGACCGGTGTTCGCCGGGTGGCTTCGACCGAGACAGCTGCACCTCGAGATCGTCACAGCAAGCAGTCCCGCCGCCCATATCCTCAAGATGCCGAAAGGTACGCCCCATACTTGAACCAGATACAGGAGATATGCTGACCCTATGATCTAGTCTACAAGCCAGGAAAAGTACGTTTTCATGGCACCCAATTTGTATGGACAGGAGAACCGATCGACATGTGTCTGTCTTTGCTCTGGAAATAGGTCGCTATCGTTCTGCAGGGCCGCCAGGCTGGAAAGAAGGTCGTCGTGATCAAGCAGAATGACGAAGGTACTAAGGACCGGCCCTATCCCCACGCCATCGTTGCGGGCATCGAGCGTTACCCGCGGAAGGTCACGCGGAGTATGGGTGCTAAGAAACTGACGCGGCGGAGCAGAGTGAAGCCTTTCATCAAGGTGTGTGTAGCCCACTAGTTAGAGAGGAGAAGGACGGATCTGACCGATAGTGTGATATGATATGGTGTCCATTCTAACTATGAAGGTTGTCAACTATTCGCATCTCTTCCCAACACGGTACGCCCTCGAGCTTGAGAGCTTGAAGGGCTCCGTCTCTGCGGACACCTTCAAGGAGCCATCGCAACGGGAAGACTCCAAGAAGAACATCAAGAAGCTGTTTGAGGAGCGTTACCAGTCGGGCAAGAACAAGTGGTTCTTCCAGGCACTCCGCGTACGTCGTTTGTTGTTCTTTCTCCGCCAATACTAGGACTAACAAACACGGTTTTCGCGTAGTTCTGAGCGCATCGTTGTTTTGTTGTGATGGGGGGAGTGGGGATCCAAAACGCTACATGTACATCACATGTTTCTATGATGCATGCGCTATCCTCATATTGCATTCATGTTGCTCCATGGCATTTCATCTAATTATCTGAGTGAGCTCGTAAGGCGAGGCAAACCTTGTGTGTCTATGTCTTGTAGATATGTGGGATGATATAATGCCGGACAGAGTAGCGAATGGAATACGATCACCCGCCAGAGCTTAGTTTTATACTGTGGAGAGAGAGACTGTGTTTCCCGGACGCGTTCATCCACGTGACGAATGGCGAACGGGAAGTTCGCGAGCGCGCCTTTGTTTCACGACGCCGCGAGGCAGATCCGCCACCCCCCTGCCCCTCTCAAATCGTCACCCCATCACCTTTGTCGTTTAGTTTCCAGTTATGTTCGGTGGATTTGGGCAACAGAACCAGAACCAGAACCAGGGCCAGAGTGGGACCCCTAGCATCTTTGGGAACACGCAGCAGGGAGGTCAGAATCAGCCTTCAGGAGGGACAAGTCTCTTCGGAAACACACAACAGCCCTCGACGGGTACGGGTACCTCGCCATTTGGCAACACCGGAGGAGGGACTGGCAGCAGCCTATTTGGGAACACCCAGCAGCAACAACATCAACCCGCTGCCGGGGGTGGTCTCTTCGGAAACACTGGCGCTACGAACCAACAACAGTCGTCGGGGAATAGCCTCTTCGGCAATCCATCGACGAACACCCAACAGCCTGCAGGGGGTAACCTGTTTGGAAACACCGGAACGAACGCAACGCAACCTGCTGGTGGCAATTTGTTCGGGAATACACCGTCGACGAACACCGGAGGGAGTTTGTTTGGAAATATGGGCACCGGCATGAATGCGAACCAACCTCAACAGCAGGGGAGCAGCCTGTTTGGCAACACGGGCACCACCTCCGCTCAACAGCCTTCGACGAGCCAGTTTGGAAACACCGGGACGCAGCAGTCAACGGGCAGCAACTTGTTCGGCAATCCCAACACTAACACTCAAAATACACAGCAGTCCTCGGGTGGGGGCCTCTTCGGGAACCCCCAACCGTCAGGTAGCATGTTTGGTAATTCATCGACCAATAGTGCAGCCCAATCGTCCAACGCCGGTACCGGTCTCTTTGGGCAGTCCACGAACACTAATCCGCTCTTCGGAAACAAGCCTCCCACAACCTTGTTTGGTCAGCCCCAACAGCAGCAGCAGCAACAACAATCTGGGCCTGGGGCAAGTACCACTACTTCCTCCCTTTTTGGTCAGTCGACGAATCCTGGCGCGTCGCTGTTCGGTCAGTCCACACAGCAGCAGCAACAACAACAACAACAGAAGCCTCAGGGTTCACTCTTCGGAGGCGGAAATTCGTTATTTGGCAGTACCCTCGGCCAGTCAACGTCGAACAATTTTCTCGCGTCACGGGCAGGGAACGCGTCTTCACAACAGCAGGCAGATCCTCAGGCGCAGTTTGCTGCTTTGAGCCAGCGTATAGAAGGCGTTGCGCAGGCATGGAACTCGTCTTCGCCACAGTGCCGGTTCCAGGTGAGCATTAGTACTACGCGTCTGATGAGTATCGATGGATTGATTCATTTTATAACAGCACTATTTTTATAATCTGGTTGATCCCGGCACTGCTCGTTTGTACGGACGTCCTCCAAATGCTGTAGATGAGTCGCTTTGGCAGCGCGCAGTTCGTGAAAACCCAAACCCTGAGTGGTAGGTGACCAGACCACTATGCCGCATTTCCCGCTAATTATATGAAAAGTCTTGTACCTGTCCTCGCAGTAGGATTTGATGACCTTCGGTTACGTGTGGATGCGCAGTCAAAGCAGGCGGCCAATCAACAAGAGCAATTGAAGGTACATCAGTCGCGTATCAGTAAGAATTTAGAACCGGCACTCATATTATCACAGGAGCTTCAAAAACGGTTACGAGCACTCGCCGAACTCCACCAGGACAGCAACACCTCACGGCTCCAGCGTGCTGCGCAGCTGCAGGTTCAGATATCACATCGGTTGATGCAGCTGATTCAGCATTTGCATCTGCTGATCCCTGCGGTCCGTTCTTCATCCCTTACGCCTGAGGAAGAGGCACTTCGGGTGGCATTAGAAGAGATGGAGGAGGACATCCGGCGGCCGGGTGGCGCGAGCAAGATGCGGGGCAAGTTGAACGAGCTATGGGCTTTGGTTGGGGCCGTCACAGCCGCCAGAGAACGAGGCCGAAAAGCTGGGACGGATAGCCAGGCGGATTGGGCAGTTGTGGACGAGGAAGGCCTCAAGCAGATTGCTCAGGTAAGTTTCAGGGAACAAGAATCAGCTTCATTTCTACGTCCGAGGGACTCATGTGATTCGTTGCAGATACTGGCTGACCAGCAGGCCGGGATCCAGCACCTGACCAAGGTGCTGCAACGTAATCAGAAGGACCTCGCGGTGATTTATGGGCAGACACCAGAGGCGCAGGAGTACGAGACCGTGAAGGACGATCTATTCAGCTCGACATCTACCCTGAGGCTTAGTACGCTGCGATGATGTAGACGATGGCATCGACTATGATGATATTGTCCAGGCCGTCGGTTGACCCCGTTGGCCTTGTTTTTAAATACAATAGGCAGTGCGGGCGCTAGTAGACATGGCATCGAGCTGGGGCTGAAGGAGCCCCTTTACAATTGGTTCGGGGCTTGTTATTCGTGGTCACATTATACTACAACAACTATAAGGAGGAAATATTGATCAACTGCACTCGATCACCCCCCTACCCGCCCCGACTCCTCCTCCCACCGCCTCCTCTAGCACAACCTCGTCGCTCGTAACGGCCGCCGTTTCTAGTTGTTATCTGCTGCTGCGTCTAGAAGAGCACGATGCGCTACCGCACTCTCGAGATCCGCTGGCACGACTCGAAGCCCATTTTGAGCTGCGACTTCCAACCCGTCCCGTTCAAAAAGGCGCGTCCAACACAAGACCGAAATTTCGCCACTCAGTCATACAGACTCGCCACAGCTGGAGAAGACAACCATGTTCGGGTGAGTGCTCGTGCGCGCCAACGTAAGCATGTGCAGAAGGTTCTGAACCTCTCCCCTTCCCTCTCGTGTCTCAGTTATGGATGGTGCACCCAAACATCATGCCCACCTCGCTCGCTGAGGACGGCGAGAAAATCACGCCCCGCCCCGCTCGAGTCGAGTACCTCGCCACGCTCAGCCGTCATTCGGCCGCTGTCAACGTCGTCCGCTTCTCCCCCAATGGTACGTCCCCCAGCGGCTCTTTCCCACCCGCGCACGCCACCTTGCACCGTGTCTAACACGCTCTTCTTACGCGTATTCAGGGGATCTGATTGCTTCAGCGGGCGATGGTGAGTCTGCTACGGCCTGTGCGGCGGTCTATGTGGCTTAATTGACGCAGATGGGATGATTATTGTGTGGGCGCCTACGAGTAGCCCGCCGACGGCAACGTACGGGAGTGACTTGACGGCGGACGATATGGTGTATGAGAAAGAGTATTGGAAACCGCGACTGACTCTCAGGTATGTCCTCTGCTACTTGAAGATGGTCTGGCATGGAGTACTCATCGGATATCGTTCCAGCACCACGAGGATGCAGGTATATGACCTGGCCTGGAGTCCAACGGGAGAGTACATTATTGCTGGAAGCACGGATAATTGCGCAAGAATTTGGAGCGTGACGGACGGTACGTGTGCTCTGATGAACAGCTTCAGCAATATGCCAATTGTTTTTTCTTGCAGGTAAATGCGTGCTTGAGATAGCGGAGCATAACCATTACGTCCAGGGCGTCGCTTGGGATCCCCTCAACGAATATGTTGCCACTCAGAGCAGCGACCGTTCGATGCACATCTACTCCATCTCAACCAAGAACGGAGTCTTTGAAGCCCATGCGGTAGGCAAGAACACTCGCATGGCATATAATCACAGCCGTACGCCCAGTTCTCAGAGCCGAATTAAGCTCGCCCGTCGGGAGTCAACGGCAAGTGACGCAGAATCCAGCGTCAGTGATCAGTATAACAAGGAGTCAAAGGACCCCGGCAAGGATGATCTTTCTAGTTATGCCCCGCTCACTCCGGCTACGTCTGTCGCAAGCACGCCCTCTTCGATGTTTCCTCCGCCGCCACTGGAGAAACCTTCCTCAAGGCGCTCATCCTTCAGCGGTTCGAATGCTCCCAGTTCGCCTTCGCATTACGGTCGCTATGGTCGCTCTCCATCACCCATGCCTCCTTTACCTGCTATTCGAGCCCTCCCCTCCCCAGCTTGGTCTACCATTAAGCTCTATGGGGAGGAAAATTACACCAATTTCTTCCGGCGGCTGACGTTCAGCCCGGACGGCGGCCTGCTTATGACCCCTGCTGGCCAGTTCGAGGACCCCTCAGTCGCCGCTGGAGCGTCAAAAACTCAAGCTGTGAACGAAGACGAATCAACCACCCCAACTCGCGGACGCAAAACGCGACCATCCATCAACACCAAAGACGCTGGGAAAGAGACTCCTTCCTCCACCTCCTCTGTGTACATTTACACCCGCGCCAATTTTGCTCGCCCGCCTGTAGCGCAGCTCCCTGGGCACAAGAAAGCCAGTGTCGCTGTTAAATTCTCCCCCATGCTGTATGAGCTCCGCAACGAAGTTCCTGGCATAGAAGCACCTTCTCAGACTCCGAAGACGGGCACGGTGGAGAAGGGCAAGGAAGGTGACGTCCCAGTGAACATCACTGGCCCCGTACCTCCCCCATCCCTCCCGGCGTCTGCGCTCCCCTCACCCAGGACCGAGAAGGGGCCCTCGGGCGCCCCGCTCGCGGCCCCTGCGCCTCAGCATGTGCCGCCCGAGTCGACGCTGCTTCAATCCCCTACCCATGCGCTCAAAACGCCAACACCATTAACATCAGCGCCACCCACGCCTGCTCTGATCGCAGCTGCGGGAACCTCATCTGGAGCCTCGAGTTCGGGATCGGTGTTCGCGTTGCCGTACAGGATGCTTTATGCCGTGCTTACCAACGACACCGTTACAATATACGACACGCAACAATCCGGGCCTGTTTGCATGCTCACGAAGCTGCACTACGATGAATTCACAGATGCGACTTGGTAGGCCCCCCATTGAACCTCCTTAGCAATCAATACTTGATAAGTGACTAAATGGTTGCGCGAACAGGTCACCAGACGGCCAATGCCTCATGATCTCCTCGCGCGACGGCTATTGTACTATCGTCATTTTCGACGAAATACTTCCGACGCACCATACGCAGCAGCAGGCGCTCCAGATGCAATCCATCGCGCACCACAATTCCGTGCCGCTCACGTACACGCCCTCCTCGCAGACTACCGGCCTCCCGTCATCCACATCCTCCCATGCACCAACACCGTCGTCGTCGTCGGTGCCCCTCAAGCGGAGCGAACCGTCGACGCCGCTGCAGACGGCGGAGGACGCGCCTACACCTGCCCCACCTGCATCGGGACCAGGTTCAAGTAACAAGCGGGAAGAGGCGGTGGACAAGAAGGAAGAGCCACCGAAGAAGAAGCGGCGCGTTGCGTTAACGCGGGTGGGGGACCTCGCGAATTCGTGATCCATGATGCACGATGGCTTTGCCTGACGAAATGTGACGCTTGTTATTTACGATGTATGACTGACTTCCGTTCTGCCTTTTCCTTGTTCTCTTCTTTCTGCATTTATACTGCCTGCCTCTTGTGACTCAACGTCGACTCATCGCGTTCCGATTGACCAGCTACCTTTTTTGCACCAATTTACCACCTAGTTCAGCTTTTACGATATGCTCTCCTTTAGTTTCTCAAGTCTCTTAGTAGCATTCATGCATCTGCCACGTTTTACGAATTGCATCGCAGATCACTCATGCTCTACGCTTTGTGTACGTCGAAATGGCCATAGACGATACGGCACATCCGTCTTCATGAAATTATCCTAAATCGAGTGGATTGAATGTGTGCATGACTAAAGGAACAGTGATATGCAAAGCGTGGACATGATGTACATGAGAAGTACATGAGGTGATGAAGAACGGCTTGTAAATAAAGAGCACGATAAAATCTATTTGGCCTTGTTCTTGCTTCTCTTGCCGACTTGGGCCTGGAAACCACTCTTGATGGCGTTGACGGACCGCCGCGAGCCGCAGGACTCGCAGGACATGAAGAAGATACGGTTCTCCTTTGTGAGGAGCGTATCGGGGGACTTGCATGTTTTGCAAGTGACATACTCGACTACAACCTCGTGAGTAAAGTTCTTGATATAGTCAAAAACACTAACGGCTCACCGATATACCGTCTGAGCACGTTCTCGATCTGCTTGGGCTGGAAACGACCCTTGATGACGAGACGACCGGAACCGTCGACAGAACCAGTCGTACCCATTTCGGCAAACATGAATTGAATGACGTGCTCGGGTTGACGGTGCATACGCTTGCAAATGTCGGCGACATTGGCGAAGATGGAACGCTTGTTGCCTTCACGCAGAATTTGAGGTGGTGCGATGGTGTAGCGCTTGCCGGTGGACATGAGGAGGGCGGGGTTGGAGGCGTGCAGAGAGGCATAGAAGCGTTGCAGAAGCTATATGAATTTACAAGATAAGTGGGCTGGCCGTCAATTAGATATTATCAGAAAAGAAAAAACCAACCTCTGGGTAAGTGTAGTCGCGGTCACTGGATAGCCAGGGTTCGCTACCAGAGTCGATTCCTGTGGGTGCTTCCGCCCCGCGAGCGAAAGGATCGTCACCCAGATCGGCGTCATCCAACTCATTCAAATGCGCCCCATCATCTGCTTCCTCATCTCCTTCAATGTTAGCCTTAGAGTCGTTGAGTTCCTTTTCGAAATCCTCCATCGCCTTCTTCTTGGAGGACTTCTTTTTCTTCTTGAGGTCAGAGAAGTCGAGATCCTCAGTCGCGGCTGCTACCGTGGGCGTGGACGTGCCAGACTCCTCGTCACCCTGATAATTATCTCATTAAATTACGAGCAGAAACACTGAAATATCGGAGACGTACGAGATCCATAGGAATGTCCTTCTTCTTTTTCTTCTTCTTCAAACCCTCCGGGAACATCGTCTTGAAGTCATCCTCCTCCTTTCCATCAGCAGCATCGCCATCCAGGCTTTGCTTCATCTGTTCATGTAAAGTGGTAGGACCGAGGTCGACGGCATCGCCATTGGTGGTAGTCGCGTCGATTGTTGTCGGGGCAGGGGTGGTGGGGTCAGCATCAGCACCCAGAGGATCTTCGGTGAAGGCGACAGTCTTCTTTTTGCGCTTCTTGAGCGAAGGATCAAAGAGAGGTTCCTCTGAGGCCATGATGTCGTTGTTTTGTGTCAAAGGACTCGCTGAAGTATGCAATGACACAGCGTTAGAGCGAGTGATCGTATGCGTCTGACTCGAGGACGCTGCCAATATCTTAATCAGGAGGGGCGACTTGCCGAGTCAGTTTTGGCTCCGCTCTAAGTGCGGCATGAGTTGAATGTCCGCCCGCGCTCCGCCGAGAGTGCCCGAGTGTGGTGAACGACTTGTAGAATACATAGAAATCGTTTCCCCCTTCCCCTTCCGCTGACCACCCCGACATGCTCGCCCGTCAGTCACTCCTTCGCGCTGCGGCCAAGCAGGCTCCCCAGGCGGCTGCGCCCCAAAATGCCCGCAACATGGCCACCCTTCGCGAGCTTGAACTTCGGCTGAAGTCGGTCAAAAACATCGAGAAAATCACCAAGGTACGCTTCGGAGCGCGTCAAGTCGCTAAACGAACATGTTTTGACAACAGAATCATGTAGTCCATGAAGATGATTGCCTCTACCAAGCTCGCCAAAGCCCAGCGCGCTATGCAGAGCGGCAAGGAGTACGGTTTGGCCAACTCTGGTATGTCCTACTGCTCCTCATTTCCACATCTGCCATAATGTCTTAATGCATCCCTCTCCTCGGGCAGAAATCTTCCAGCACACCATTGCTGAGGAGAAGGACGCTTCAAAGAAGAAGCTTGTCATCGTTGTCTCCTCCGATAAGGGCCTTTGCGGCGGTATCCACTCTTCCGTGTCCAAGTTCACCCGCCGTGCGCTCGGCCAGACTGGTGGTGAGGAGCCCACGATCGACCCGGAGTCGCCCATCGCCGTCATTGGTGACAAGTCCAAGGCCCAGATCCAGCGTGTCCTGAGCAAGAACCTTACCCTCACGTTCAACCAGATCGGCCGTGACGTGCCCACGTTTGCTGACGCCGCTAGCGTTGCGGACCTCATCCAGAAGAGCGACGTCAAGTACGACAGCATCGTCCTCGTCCACAACAAATTCGTCTCCGCAATCTCGTACGAGCCCACCTCCGTCGAGGTCCCTAACGAGGCCCAGCTCAAGGAGTCGGGTGCGTAGAATTTGGCACGGAGATTGTGCGCTTGGCCTACTCACACGGTCTTTTGCTTGCAGCTGGCTTCCGGTCGTACGAGATGGAGGACGACGTCACCAAGGATCTTGCTGAGTTCGTCCTTGCCAATGCCATCTACTCCGCCCTCGCGGAGGCCCACGCTTGCGAAATCAGCGCTCGGTGCGTACCGTCTATGCGCTTTCCATTATTACTACTAACTATCAAAATAGTCGCAATGCCATGGACAACGCGTCGAAGAACGCTGGAGACATGATTGGCGCGTTGACCATGCAGTACAACCGTGGCCGTCAAGCCGCAATTACGAACGAGCTTGTCGACATTATTACTGGTGCTAGTGCACTGTGAACAATGCTCTCCCATAGACTCAGCTACTTGCGTGTTAGTAGGTAGTGGTAATTTTATTCCTTGCATACTGGAGCCAGCGGCCTTCACCCCGAAACAACTGTATCGTCGGGTCGCATCATCTCGAATGCATTTAAGCGGTGCCACATTCTGGGAAGCAGCAAAAGGCAGCCACAAAAGTCTAGAGTGGTGTTCATAACGAGTTACAATAATTTTGTCTTCTTGGCCCAACGTCGACACGTAGATAACTTGACAAACTGCCTCAGCTCGAACATATAGGCATGTTGCCGAGCGCATCCGATTGTCCCCCGCCTTTCCCCAGAGTCCATGTTCACATACCGGCCGCTTAGACGTTGGTGTACAAGCCAGCATCCTTCCGAATCTTCGTCATGGCTAAGCACCGCGTCAGAGAACCAATGATGGATTGTCACAAGAGATGAAGCTACTCACCAGCAATGATTGCACTACCAACACCGCTGCCATCTTCGGCGTGGTGGGTAACAATATTGCGTCCCTTGTCGCCGAAGATGTCCACTAGGCCCTCGTGCACGCGCTCGGGGAACATGGGGTATTTCTGTATTCACCACGACTCAGCTCACCACGAAGCTAGACAGACCGACTGAAAGGGTACTGACATTGTACAACGAACCGTCAGCACCGACGGCGCATCCCTCCTCAATGTAGCCCATCTTGTTGACGATGGCAGCGATACCGCACGCGGACATGCGTGCAGCACGCCGCCCGATGAGCTTGGCGAGCGCGCGGAAGAACTGGCGCTCGGCTAGCGTCGTCTCAATATTGAAGAAGTGCGTGAAGATACCGATGATCATGAGAAGCTCGTCCGTTGGGTCGCTGAAAAGCGCATACATATATGAGCTGCCGGCAAGATGTGAAAGTGGTTGATTGGGTAGACGTACCTCTCCATGAGAGACAAGAAAGCGGTGTCGATGATGTAGGGCTTTTCAAGCTTGTACGTGTTCTGGCCCAGGAAGAGGACTCCTTCATCGATTAGCTCGCACACGACAACACGGAAGATCTCGCCGAGGTAGCGCCCGGAGATGAGTTTCTTTGTGAGAGGATTAAATTACTATACGACATCATACAAAACAGCAGCTAACCTCGAAAGCTTGTTCTCCAGGCTTGTTTGACGCCTCGTCAACGACGACATCGTATTTCGTCCGTGGCAAGTGTTCATGCTCAAACGAGTCGAAGGCGCCCTAGAATATCCTCATAAAAGCTTATCCTCATATGTCATTGAGGCACACTCACCCACTCGCAGTTAATCGCCATATCCGCGTCCTCGTCAATACCCAGCGACTTAATCTTGCCAATGTCCTTGACGTGCTCCATATATGCGGCATTACAACCCGTTCCGAAGATGACAGCGATCTTCGTTTTTGGATTCACGTAGTGGGACGCAACCAATGTTCCAGTCGTGTCGTTGATAAGTGCAGTCAGTGTAATGGGAAGCTCCTGCGTATCAATGTTAGCATGCGCATTCTTCCGTGGGATGAAAAATCGCACGAATTTTGCAAGGGACTTCTTAAACATCTCGGCCACGTCCCTGCCCTCGGTGTTTGGCGCGCCGAAACCCTTTGTCCAGCGGATAAGCTCGCCGTGGTCAATCCGTTCTTGGCTAAGCCTCCGTTAGCAATGGGCGTATGTGCGATCCGGAGACATACGTACGAGCAGGGGTACGAGAACTAAAATGTACCGTTAGTACGAGATAAGCAGCTCAGCCTCAGAGGGCCTTACCGTAAAACCAAGAGGTAAGATCTGCCCAGGCTTAAGCTGGCCGGGCCCGTCCCCGGAGTTCGTATCGACGAACGTCTTCAGGCATTCCGCACAGAAATCAAACAGCTTCTGGCCATCATCCTGCTTCTGCTCCTCGGTAAGGCGGTACTTGGTCTGCGTGATCTCGAATTTGCCCTCGCCTTGGAGGGTAACGAGACAAACGCGGAGGTTGGTTCCACCTGTGAGTGCAGATACCTCATCAGTGCCACGTCCGCCCGCATCACGATGATGTCCGTATCCCGGGGCGCGCGAGCCGACGCTAGATGCGATAAATTGTATATATGATATCACTGCGGGTGCAGTGCGGCAACACGGCATCGAAGGAAGGATACGGAAGGCGGTGGAAGAGAGAAACTGCTGAGAGAGTACACACCAAGATCAAGAGCAAGGAAATCTCCCTTTTCTGAGCCTGTTGGCCAGCCAAAGACGAAGGTGGGGATCATGGGCTACAGGACAGGGTCAGCACACGCGACGATTGGGGTTGACACGTGATCAAATATTCAGGAATCTTGGAATGACTTCATAGATACGACATCAAAGGCGAAACAGAGCAAAAGCGACAATGTACTGGCGAGGGAAGTAGGAAACCGAGTATGTTTCGGATGGGACTTCAGAGTTGTGTCATATGCACCCGAGGGTCCAATTATAGACCAAGTAGTGTTCTGACGTCTCGTCCGATGAAGGAAATGACGAACGGAAGGGACGAGGCTGAATATGACTACTAAGTATGACACTCACCACAACCTGGTTTGGCTTGTTCAAGCCAACCTCAAGTGTCTCTGTAAATGCTTCGACGATCATGCGCATCCGCTGCGGGGTCAGCGTAAACCTTAGAAAGGCATATGTTCAGAGTCAAGAGAACAGCCCCTAAACACATTAACGCCTACAGATTCTCGAATCTCCGCAGATGGTCGGCCATCGTCCTGCACAAAGTAGCCAGTCAATTCAACGGGATGTCGTTACTTGTGACATTAATTGGTTTACTTCTTGGTAGCATGGGGGAGATCCTCCTCATCGTGGGTCCTTGTGTGCAACGCAATCGTCTGCCCAGACGGCAAGATGACACTCCCGCTTCCTCTACGAGACGCAGGCATGATTCGAGGGTGAAGTCAAGGAGCAAAGAGATGGGAACTGATTGTGGTGGGTGGAGAACGGGAAGCTGGCCTGATGCGGATCCTGTGGGGTTCGGTCAAGTGTTCTGTTCAGTTTGGAAAGACTCGCCTTGGAACGTCTGGTGAGGATCAACGTGGGAAATCTCCTCTAACGACGGGAAGCGTACGTAAGCCGTGGCGGTCATATTCCCACGGTTACGCGTGTGCTTTTTGCAAGCTCGTACTATTGCTTCGTCGATTTCTTGACAAGCCTAATACCAACGCGGGGATGATTGGACTCAAGGGTAAGCTCAACGTGCGTCTTACTTGTCACTACTTCGCGCATACACTAACCTTTCTCGTCTTAGGTAATAGACAACTCCGGCGCCCTCCTCGTCGAGTGCGTCAACGTGCTCAAGCAGAAGGTGAACAACGGCTGGGGCTCCATCGGTGACGAAATCGTCTGTGTCGTCAAGCGCGCCCGACCCATTGGCGCCGCAGCGGCTGCCTCCGCCACCGCCGTCAAAGTGCGCCGAGGAGACGTCCGACGCGCCGTCATCGTCCGCACGAAAAAAGTCGTGCGCCGACCAGACGGCCGCTTCATTCGCTTCGACGACAACGCCGCTGTCCTCCTCAACAACAAGCGCGAGATGCTGGGAACGCGGATAGGTGGTGTTGTCAGTGCAGACCTGCGCATGAAGGGGTGGGGGAAGATTGTCAGTTTGGCACCCAAGGTACGTCTGCAACTCTGCTCTTGAGACAGACAAAAGGGACTTACATATTTCTAGGTACTTTAGACGCATATTGTCATCTCAGCATACTATAGAACGCAATGTTATATGCCATATAATGCCAACCTTCGCAATTGCCACTCACAACTGCAATAACTTCTACACGTGTGGTGACCTCTGTATTTGCATCAAGTTTCTCAAAGGGCCACTCGATGCGTAACAGAGGACTCCGGACCGTGGGTCAAGCCGAAGATCCTCGTGTCTTTCGTTCACTTTGCCACCAAGGCAAGCGGGATAAAAAGAGCCGACAACTTTATTCGTGACTGGAGTCTGGAATGGTTGCGTCGCAAGGGGATGAACACGGTTTCTTTTATGCTTAGCAGGCTTACTCCTTTTCTTTTTGGCGCTGGGCAGGTTAAAACGGGTTTGCGTACGGTCACTACACTCTCAGTTATCTCAAGTCACCAACCCGAGATGCTTACGCCCACCATCTATGTCATGCACAGCCGAATATACCTCGCTGACCAGTAAATCAGTTTCAACCCGAAGAGAAGACGACGCATGATGAGCGCACATTCATATCGACACTCATAAAAATAGCTCAAATGGCCTTCACAGACGTCAATACGGTATCATGATGATTTGCCAGCAGTGCAAAATATACATTTTAAGGGTGCTGCACGCTGCTGCACGCTGTCATTACTACTGCGAGACTTTTACGGTGACTTGCAGACACCTCGAGAGACCTCGAGCTAATAAACTTCACGGCATTCTGCCCCCAGTTGTGTCAGGCACCCGGAAATATACGGTCTTCAAGCTTCCGTTGCCGGTGAATCAGTGACAACCGTTGTGTTCCGCATGGTGCTTATGGATCACGTACCCAGCATCCGCCTATTTTGACTGAGAAGTAGCAAACCTTTGAATGAAGACCACAAAAAAACGACGTGACGCGGCCATTTTTAACTCAGCATCATGACGACCGAGGGAGGCCGAGGGTCATGGGACCGGCACCATTCTATGCTGCGTCACCGGCGCAAGTTCTGTGTGGCTGTCATGCAAGGTAGACTCGGAGGTAAGAACTTGAACGTTGGTAGACTTGTGTTATGTACGACAAGCTGACGGCACCTGTGGGCATCTACTCAACATTCGCGAACACCAATGTGACGATCCCGAGTCTCTTTTAATGAAAAGGTGGAGCAAAGTGGAGCATTGCAATGACCCGAGGCAACTTTGCACTCGCTAAACCCTGCTAAACCCCACTTGCTCCTCCGCGAGTCAGCGCCGTCTGACTGCATCTGCCAGCTCACGATTGCTTCCTTCTCTAGTTATTTTTAGTTCCACCTCCGTTGCTCGACCACATGGCGGTACCGCACAGGCCATCGCGGTCAAGTTGATGACGGACCCGCTCTGGCATAGTCTGGCATGCGCGTTAGAGCGATCATTACTAGTGGTCACGTCTCCCCGCGTAGTACAATCCGTGGGCTTTGTTCCTGAATTTTGTTCCAGGATGGCTGCAGCTTGCTGTTGATCATCCATCAGTCTGACGTTTCGCAGCGGCTGGGGCTCGCTGCCGCAGCTTCACGTGAGGTTCTGCGTTCGCTGGCACCAATCGGCCCATGGTGCGTAGGCTTTACGCCCTTGTGCAGCACTGCGGGGTATTTTGGGAGCTGCGGCTCGAGTGGATGCTCCAGACGCGCCTTGACGCGTCTCCATAATCCATAAAACGTATAAAAGGTCGCCCGTTTTCAAAAGCTAACACTCACCACTCCTCGGCCAGCCAGTCTCCCGCACTCTCCTAGGAAATTCATACACCATGTCCAAGTTCGCTGCTCTCGCCGCCATCGTCGCCGCCGCTGCGGTCGCCAACGCACAGTCGCTCAATGTCGTGAACAAGTGCTCCGAAGGTGTCACGATCTTCACACAGACCTCCTACGGCACGATCGACAACAACGTCAACATCGGCGCGGGTGCCTCTGCCGACCTGAACATCTCCAACAACTGGGATGGTGCCGTCAACGTCGGCACGGGCTGCAACGGCTCGCAGTGCACCACCGGTGGTCCCACCTGGGACGGTCAGACGCCTTTCTCGCGTGCTGAGTTCAACTTCGTGCGTTGCTCATTTCATTCTTCAGAGAATGAACACCTTGAGCCTGACCATCTTGTTTGAAATAACAGTGGGCCGTCCCGGGCGAGGTCACCTATGACATCTCTTTGATCTACGGCTACAACGTCGGTATGGAGATCTCCTCCGCTGACGCCAGCTGCGACGCCTACGCCTGCACGATCTCCTCAGGCTGCGTAAGTACATTCCCTACGTCACTTTGACTTTGCCCCCATCTAATCGTCATTACGTTTATTGTGTACCTAACAGCCCGTCCCCGGCCCCGACAACTCCTGCTACTCCCCCTGCTGCTCGTCCGTGAGCGCCTGCTCCGGCGGTGCTCTCCCCGCCGGCGGAGGAGGCTGCGTGAGCAACGCCGGTCCCGGCCCCAACTCTCCCTTCTACTACAACACGTGCACCAACGCGTACGCGTTCCCCGACAACGACGGTGCTGGTTAGTAGTCTCCCTCCGCTTGTCATGCTCGCTAAATCGTTTGCTGACATTGTGCCTCCCTTCGTGTAGCCGGCTACACACCCGCCGACAACGTCGACTACACGTGTGGTAACACCGCCATCACCCTCACGCTCTGCCCCGGCACCACTTCCAACATCCCCAAGTAAACGGCGGGCGATGATATTTGAAGCTCAAAATGCTAGAGTTCAACTAGAGCTGGGAGCTAAATTATGATACTTGTACTGCACTGGTTTTAAAGCTCGGGGTTGTTGTAACTTAACTAGTTCTTGGGAAATACCACGGGGGTGACTTTGGGTTCAAGCTTGTGCTTGTATTGGTTTTTTTGCAGCTGAAGTGCTACCTTGTTTTCTTCCCGAGCCGGTCTGTCGTTTGAAGGGTAAACAGCAGCATGCACATCACGCATTGTAAGTACACCCTCTATCTAATCTACCATGTTCATGGTAATGCTGCTCAGTATGACCTCGCCAAAGATCGGGCTACTAGTCGCTTCGCCAAAGCACGGCTTGAGGTGTAGTAGTGTCAGCGTCATCGACCCCACACTGTAGCGGTAAGAAATTTCAATGAGCCACGGTGATCCGCGAACACCCCACGCTAATAAAGGCGTATACGCGCGTAAAACTCAGGCCGTAACACCGATACAAAATAGCGAGAAGAAGCAGCAACGACTCATAGCGTATTGGGTCCCGATCTCTGAGTGGGGCTGACGATATGTCCACGTTGCCAAGTTATTGGACGTGGGATTGGTGAGATTCCCATTTTTTCCGACGGTTAAGGGCTTATGCCTGACGTTGAACGGGAGATATTTCTTGCACGCGAACTTTACCATGTGCCTACGAAGAACATTTCGGTCAACCTAGGATTCTAGCAGTGCTTAAGACATTGCCTTGTCAGAATGTCTTCAGTACACTTGAGTCATGCAAGCACGGGCGTGTCCAACGCAAGCAGAACGCGTAGCCCTTGGCATCAAGCGATGTCACATTTTGTCGTAGAGCCCGCAGCAGGAGACGCGACGCAGATCAGGCACCAGGTGCACCAGGGACGATCGCGCCCACATGTTGACCCCAAGTTGGTAAGGGTGTGGACTGCGATGGCTTAGCGAAACGAGAAATTGCGGGAGAAAAAACGTGTGCTTTCAATGTGCGTAAAAACGCAGACACGTTCCGGGTCGAAATCTGCGTCCTGGTGAGTGTCTATAACGCATCAGGTTTAGTTCGAGCTGGGACGTGAAAGAAAGCAGGTAGCTGTAAACCGAGGATGCACGGTAATTAACTTTTGACTAGCTGCTTTGAGAGAGCGGTGAACTAGGGCCAGTTAATTGAATCGAGGAGCGATGATTGAAATATTGACGTGTGGTGAACAAGTTACCGGTTGGACGGCGTGTGCCTCGTCGGATGGCAGCTCCGTCGACGTCTTCCCACCCGCGGGACCCATGGAACGTATGGTTGACCCATCACTGATTCAGTCAGCATCGGCCGTCCGCCATGCATATCCCTCCTGGACCCTTCCACCTTCCTTCACCTCCATTTCCCTCTCCAGCAGCTCACCAAGATGCTCAGGCAGTGTCGGCAGCCCTTTGCACGTCTCGCCCGTCCCTCGCTTCCCTTATCGTCCCGCATATTGTCGAGAGCTTCGGCTCGGCACCCTGTTCGGGCCGCATCCTCCAGTTCTGCTTCCAACTCCAACTCCAGCTCTAGTTCTAGCAGCGGCGACCCGAGCGCTTCCTCGACATCCTCCTCGTCCTCACGCGCAGCGTCCATCCTCGGTATCTCCCTTGCTAGCATCCTCGTGGGGTATGGCATCGCGTCGGTTTACCCCGCTCGCTCCCCCGACTCTTCCGCACGTTCCGAACCCCAATATGGCACACCTGAAGACTTCAAGCGTGCGATAGCAGAGCTCAAGGAGCTGTTTGGCCCCGACGCAGAGGACATCATCTCGACGCACCCGGAGGAGCTGCGAATACACGGGTTCTCGGAGAATGACTACCACCCCGGTACGTTGCCACTCGACCCTGCATGCGGGCTCTTGCCTCTATGCATTGTGTTATGTTAGCCGTGGTACTGACCTGCGTTTTCGCCTTGCTGTCGTGCTTATGCCCCACTGGTGTACACTTGTTACAGGCGCACTTCACACCGTGGTCTTGTTTCCGCGCTCGACGGAGGATGTAGTCAAGATCGTCAGAACCGCGACCAAATACCGCATGCCGATCATCCCATTCTCGGGAGGCACGAGTCTCGAGGGGCATTTTCGAGGCGTACGTGTCACCTTCCTTCCGAAAACACTTATAAACTAACTTACACTAATCTCTCTTCGGTTCAATGCATTTAGAGCGAAGTGGGCGGTATATGTCTCAACATGGCTTCAATGGATCAGATCCTCGAGATTAACGGTTCGTGATGTGCTGTTATGAAGTCCACTACATGCATTTATCTCTTCTGTGTTTGCCTGCAGAGCAAGATTCGGACATGATAGTTCAGCCTGGCATCGGCTGGATGACGATCAATGAGGAGCTCAAGGAGAGAGGCATCCCACTGTTCTTCCCGCTCGATCCTGCGCCTGGCGCGACCATAGGTGGGATGTTGAGCACAGGATGCTCCGGCAGTAGGCTCCTTCTTTTGTTTGGGATGTACGTTTGGTTGTAACGATATCCACCAGCGAATGCGGTGCGCTATGGTACGGCCAAGGGAGAGTGGTTCTTGAACGCGGTAAGTCTTCCGCATTGTTACCGTTGCATGAGCCTCATATCGCATTCAGACGGTTGTGCTGCCCTCCGGAGAGGTGATAAAAACTCGTCGGCGTGCGCGCAAGTCGTCAGCGGGATTCGACCTAACAAAACTGTTCATTGGCGCGGAGGGCACGCTCGGCATTGTGACTGAAGGTGCTTAGCCTAGCGTGTGGCATTCGCGCTGGAGTATAGTTCTGATCAATGGCTGCGCATATAGTTACCATTCGGCTCGCACCAGTCCTCCCTACGACCGTAGCGGTAGTGCACTTCCCCGACGTCAAGCGTGCCACCGAAGCCGTGATCGACGTGATGAACCGCGGCGTCGGCATACGTATGTCTTCTACCTCATTCACCCTCTGCACAGCCCCATTCACGCTTGATTCCGACCCAGAATGCGTCGAGCTGTGTGACACCGAGTTCATGCGCTCCGTGAACCTCTTTGGGTCCTCGCAGCGCACGTACCCGGAGCGCGACTCACTCTTCTTCAAGTTCCAGGGACCGACGCCCGCCGCGCTCGCCGAGACGGCCAAGATCGTCCGCGAGGTCGTCAAGAAGCACGGCGGGGATGGCTTCGATGTCGCGCGGAGCGACCGCGAGGCGGCGGACCTATGGGCGGACAGGAAGAACGCGCTTTATTCGGGCCTGGCGCTCGTGGATGGGGCGAGGGGGTGGAGTACGGATGTTTGGTATGTTTCGTTCGCTGATATTGGGTGCTATAACATGCAATGGCATTGCGGGTGCTGACGCGTCATCGGGCAGTGTACCGGTGTCGAAGCTGCCTCAGCTTGTTCTGGAGACGAAGCAGGATCTCGCGGAGATTGGGCTGGTGTCGACGATTGTTGGACATGTTGGTGATGGTACGCTCTTTTGGTTGCATCCCCCTTTTAAGCTTTCTTGTTAACTTTGTGTCCTCGCCACTGACGTCAGGCAACTTCCATGCCCTCATATTATTCCGCAATGACGAGGAGCTCGAGGTCGCGCGTCACGCCGTACACCGAATGGTTGAACGCGCGATTAAGCTTGATGGAACATGTCAGTCTCTCTTTCAGACCGTTATCTTTCGCATTTTGTTCCGGGTGCTTTCTCTTCTTGACATCAATCAGTTGTTGCTTCACCATCATTGCTCGTCTTCATTTAACTTTTACCAGCCTTGGACTTGACCTGACTTGACACCTGTTGACACACCCTACCTTTGCTCCCGTTCGGAAAAACCATTAGTCTAATCTTTTGTACTTTGGACAGGCACGGGCGAACACGGCGTCGGCATTGGAAAGCGGCAGTACCTGTATGAGGAACTCGGCGAAGGCACGGTCGAGCTCATGCGGACCATCAAGAAAGTGGTCGATCCTCTGGAATTATTTAACCCTGGAAAGGTGTGTGAGATTTTACAACGCTGATGACGAATCGCTAATTCTGGCTCGAAGTTATACCCTGACGCCTCGGATGCCCCAAGCAAGAAGAATACCCCACCTTCTCATTAGCGCTCTCGAAGTTCAGCTGATTTCTATGGATTCTACACCGGGACCCAGATACGGCTATCTATATTGCCTGTCTCATTATAGGCCCAAAACCAAAAGCATCAACCAAAATCACTCCACTCGTTCTCATCAGTGTGCATCTTGTACTTATCTTGTGCAGTAACTATCCTTACTATCTCCCTGGACAATTCCTGCTCTAGACTGCTTATTCGCACTGCGATTCGTTCCTGCTGTTTACCCTGTACTCGGTTATACCCGGTTTTACAACTATACAGCTCTGACATGGCCTTTGTGGTATATGGTTTTCACAGTCCTTTGGTCCAATTTGGGTGCTTATGCATATGCATACGGCTTCTTGCAGTCTCGGGGCGCGAGGCGTTCTAGCGATTATATGTCTCGGTCCGATGGTTGAAGCGCTCAAGCTTCGACTCAAGCTGAGGAGGACTCTCGGTACCGCCGCCTAGTTCCACTAATAAATCTGGTTTTGGCGAGAAGTTCTGGCTTCGGTTTTGAGCTGATACGGATGGCGGCCGCGTCGTTCTCGCCAATCGCGACTTGCAACGAATGTGCGGTAGGTTCATCGTCGATGACTGGCACGAACTTTCCGGCGCGCCGCAACGCGGGTACGAGGACTTTGGGCTCTGGCTCTTATCTGGGATAGATGAGGCCATGCCCCGTTCGAGGGATAGCTTCTCCAGTTCTTCCATACGGCTCCATACGTTTTCGCTCGGGAGTGTGTGGGGAACGACATGCTTCGGCCCGCTTAGGCTAGGGGTAACCGGATCGCCATTTGCCGACTATTCGAGGACTGATCTCATTGACAGGAATCTGATGTTTCTGTTCAAGTTGAAATCGATCATCGACATGACAGAGGTCGTTGAGACAGTGTCGAGATGTTAACCGACATCATTGTCGCTGTCGTTAACTTCACCTGCGCGCTTTTTCAAGCTCCGCAATAACAAGCCACTGTCCGTCCCCGAAGTGTCCCCGACCAAAAGGGGTGGACGAACAATGAATCCGTGATTCTTACTTCAACATCATGTCATCGTCGTGCGACATCCATCTACTGTCCATCTCTCACACAACTCCTTGTACCCTGATAATCACCCTCACGGCAGGGAAAAATGACTGTTATCACTGTCCAATACATATGCCAGCTCGAGCTAGACGCCCTGTCCATGAATAGCACTCACCTTGCAAGGCAGCGGGTTCACATGCTCTACAGTCTTTCATAACACTGTTGCCGTGGTTGGATGAAATCTGTCAGACTGGAGAACATCTCCACCCAATGTCGAGGTTTGATATGCGCACGATCCCATGTGCTCGGATTCCTCCTCCAAACCTTATACTCCCGCTTTGACAGATTAGTGTCCACCTAGCTCTCGTAAAGCTAACCAGGGTCCCTCGATAAGGCCAAGGGGACACGACCTATATATGCACAGATACCGGGCACTTTCTTGAATCTTCTTCCTCCCCCCATCACAAATTAGCATCTCCTACAGCCGTGGTCTGCTCTCCTCGTCGCCACGCGCGATGTCCTACGCGCCGGATGAGAGCCCGGCCGCGCTCTATGCTGAGGGCTCCTGGCTCCAGGGCGCTCTCGTCACCTCCTACCTCTATGGGATTGTCTTTATCCTCTACATCATGTGCATCTCCTCCCTCTTCTCTCGTCTGTACCAGGGTGGTTCCTATAGCCACGGGCGCCAATACCACAAGACCATTTTCTTCATTGTCTACGTCACCCTTATCTTTGTCATTGGGACGGTTTACGTCGCTTTCAATAACTACATCACTCAGGAGGGCTTCATCAATCAACGGAATTATCCCGGAGGACCTAGCGCGTTCGAAGAGAACACGAGTAGCGTACCACTAAACGCTGCTTTTACACTGTCAGATTGGCTGGCGGATGTGCTCATGGTATGTGCTGGCCAGTATAACGTTTTTCTTTTCTCCGGGAGCCCGCTGACCATCAACGCCCTTAGATCTGGCGTTGCATCGTCGTATATCGCGACTCGCGCTTTTATTGGGCTGTTGCCGGATTCATTAGCCTCCTCTTCATCGCCTGTGTAGGACTCGGTATTGCATGGCTCGCGTCCATCTCCCAGAACACACAATGGATGGTTGGAAGCTTCTTACTCGCTTACCTCGTCCTCTCCCTCGCCGTCACCATTATTCTTTCCCTGCTCATTACTCTCCGCATTTTATACCATCGTCAACGCATCACGCACGCCCTCGGCAAGGGGCACACATCCCTGTACACAAGCATAGTGGGCATGGTCATCGAAAGTGCGGCGGTGTACTCCGTGTGCTCCGTCGCGTATCTTGTCAGCTTCCTCGCGGACCATCCCTCCGAATATGCATTGCTCCAAATTCTTGGCGAAGCACAGGCGAGTCTCCTCTGTCAAATCATTATTAGCGCCGGACTAATGCCTGTTATGCTTGATGAAACCCAAACAACAGTGCATCGCCCCACTCCTTATTATCTACCGCGTCACACAAGGGAAGGTCTACACCGCGCACAGCGCCTCGGGCACCGTGCACTCGCCGTCGATCTCGCACCTCGAGCGGCGTAGCGGCGTGACGCGCGCCTCGACGCGCGGGAGCCGCCACCTCAGCGTTCCCTACCCGCCCTCGCTCTCGCGCGCCGCGTCGCAGCATTTCGTCGGCCATAGCAAGGCCTCCGAGGGGCGGCTCGCGGGCATCCCGGACGACGACGGAGACCTCGGGCTGCCGCACGAGCTTGCGCCGTACCAGGCGTACAGCCGGACCAATAGCCATAGCCACAGTTACGGCGACGTGGAGGGTGGGGTGGGGATGCCGCTGCGCAATCTGCAGATCGCGGTGCAGGTGGATGTGCACAAGGACGACGAGGAGAGCTGTATGACGGCGCAGACGTCTCCTGCTTTCTTGGCCAAAGAGGATGAGCAGTACCATGGGTCGATGGCGGTGTGAGCTACTGGAAGTTTGTGCTGTCGCAGGAAACTCCCTCTGGAATATCCCTTGGGAGGCTGGCTGGCACTGGCTGGTGATACCACCCGTTCATAATGTACATGCATGTGTATAGTACAACATGACGTAGTTGGAGGTCCTGTAGCAACTAGCGGGTCCTCTGAAGATGTATCTCTTCGTTGTCAGGTAACACTATTGATATCAGTGACGGATACCTTCACATGGGACCTTATATATCTCTGGATTTATGGAACAACTTGACTTTCATGTCTTGCATCAATCTCTCGCTATCGGACTCGGGTGCTCAAGCTCAAGGGCCACCTCCAGAAGCAGCGCCCCGACGTGTTCTCGCCTCCATGTCCATGCGCCATAATACTTGGTACATGGAAACAATGATCGCCGCCAACAGCTTACTGTAGGAATACCCGTGTCGATTTTCCACACGTAGGGCACCATGTCAGGCCCGACAAATGTCCGTTTCCTGTACGTTCGAGTTAGTCAGAGGGCAGGCACTTTCCGCGCGCACTCGAACAGCAGATATAGGTAAACGGTCATACTTGGGGAAAAATCCCTGAGAAGGGATGAACGTGTCAGCGTTCACCACACGACCTCCTATTCGAGATACGCTCGACTGCAAAAGACGCCATTCGATAGTCGCGATGGTCTCCGTGCTGAGGTCGTACCCACCCTCACCCTCAGGTGAGCCGCCCGTGTTATCTAGTAGACCATGACCATAAGGCATTTTCGATACGGTGGTCGTGCGCGAGAGGGCCATCTGAACGGTGTGTCGACCCGGTATTCGATCCGCGCCTGTTCGTCGAGAATGGTCGTCTGTCTGACGGAGTCGTTGGAGAGTAAAAGTTGCCTAGAAGTCATCTCAGGGTTTGAATGGAGAGCGTGAACGCGTTGGAGAGACTCCTTCTGAGATAGGATCTTTATAGAAGAGTTCGAACTCGTAGCGTCGGCGTTCCTAGCCTGCTCTCGATACTTGCTGTGTAGAGGTGACTTGCTGTGAATATAGATGGTGACTGCGGATACAGAACCAAGCCAGGTTGGTGGAAGGTTTAGAATGGGAAGGTCTTGGCATTGATATTGAGGTACTTATACTTTGCACCTTACCCTCAACCGCAAGCTCCCCGTCTGTTTGCTCAGGTCAGATATCCCTCTGTCTGTCCCTTTGCATAAGATTAGCCTGCATGAAGATGAACATCCCTATCTACTCCCAGAAACGACTGCGAACAGTCGCACCTAGAATTTGCGAAGCTGTGCCTTGTATCCCTCCCCACTGGTAATGAATAGCTAGGGAGGTAGCTATGTTGCTGGTCGAAGCTTGGACGTCCAAAGACGTCCAATGTTTATCACGAGCATCAATCATCGATGTCAAGCTGCGAGAAGCTGGACATTCAACTCCGATCGTGCAATGCCTGCCACCCGCCCTGGGCGTACGAATATGACTACATTGGTAACATGAGGGCGCATTGGCAAACAACGGAAGGGCAAACATACCGAGCTCGGAGCGCAACGAGGTTTGCCGAACCAACCGATATGAAATCACGTACTTTGCGTCGTAGGCAATTAATCAGGCTGTAGACCCTAAGGACTCGAAGTACCTCCGGAGGCAAGGGCGCGTGCGCGAGCCTCCATATCCATACGCAGCTTCTCCACGTAAACGAAGGTGATCACGATCATGTCGATCATGTGTTCGCCTTCGGGGGTGATCTCCAGGCACCCTGGGTCTCGCGTGTCAAACACGCGGACTTCGCCGCGTTTGTAGCTCGCAATGCAGGTATCAGAGTTGTCGTCTCGGTAGAGTTCGAGGCTACCTTCGACTTGAAGCTGATGCTTTGAATCAGCGCTTCAATTCAAGACACAAGTTGGCGTCAGGGGCTCACGGATGGGACACCCGTATCCAGTTTCCAGAAGTATGATATCATGTCGGGTCCTATAAAGTGTCGCTCTCTGATAAACTACAGGTCAGCATCTGTGACATATGTTGGATATGCGATCTTACAACCTACCTGGAGAGATGTTCCCGAGAAGGGATAAAGTTGCGTGAGCTCACCACTCGGTTTCCAATATGGAACACGGTCGCCCGGAGAGCGTGCCATTCGATGGTAGCAATGATCTCTGAGTCGAGATTGAGCCCTGAGTGGTCATCTTGCTGTCTGCAAGGCGCTTTGGAGATGGTAGTGGTAGGGCGCGAGAACCACTTGAACGGAGTGTCGATATGGTACTCAATCTGAGTGAGCTCGTCGACGATGGTCGTTTGGCGAGCGTCGTCGCTGGAGATGGTGAGGTGTCTGGAAGTCATTGAAATGAGGAGAAAGAGGCGCGAAAAGGAGTTGACGATGAGATCTCGTTGCCAGTTGGTGTTCGGTGTTGCATCTCAGGACTGAGACTGATCGAGTTTAAGAAGTGTTTCGGGTTACACTCCGCAGTGCTCGCAGCCATGGATTCGACGATGCCTTGTTCTTCGACCTTGAATGCTGTGAGTGTGTACGACTTAGCTGCGCAGGAACCGTATCGCGAGGACATAGTATCTATGTCGAGCTTAAGCTGAGGTTGCTTACGAGGTGAACAGCCTTGATGATGGCAAGACGTGGGTGCCAACCTGTGCCAACTGAAACCAGAATAGGGGTTTTATCCTATTCTGGTTGCGGCATGGAAACTTCATCTCTGACGTCGACGCGCGCACCTACCAGCCACTGGTAGGAAATTTGAAGGCTGTATACTCTGCAAACCTCGGGCGCGCAAAGGTCTACACTTTTACATATAGTCGCTGAGAGCACACCTGTTTCCAGACTTTCTTCCATGGCACAGAAATTGCCGCCTCAAGCTCAACGGCTGCGGATAATCATCGTAACTGTACCCATCATGGGTGCAACAGCGTGTGCGTTCCTTTCGCTGTCGGCCGCCATCTCATTGACGGAATCTTTGTGCCTGCAGACGTTTTGTATGACCGCCTGGTGAACGAAAAACCGCAGCGGACACTCCCTCCTCGAACTGGCCCCGAAGCTCACGGGCGTATAGGCGACTTCATGCCCGAGCAGGCACATCACCATCCACCTCCTTCAAAGGATGTTTGAAATGCTCTATAGGATGCACACAACGGGGAGCATGGGATGTCTCTATGTAGGCTGGAACAATGTTTTAACGTTGTAGTTGCGTGCCCGACTCTACCCGAATGAAGATTACTTGCTCGCCTCCTCCTGAGTTATGATACGCGTGCCAGGAATTCTAGCGGGGTTGAACGAGCGATCGCAGTCAGCGTAGGCTGCTCCTGCTCCGAAGCCGGTCGTGAGGGCAATGGGCCATGTCCGTCCTGCGATAGTTTAGGGACGAGTTGAGTACTGAGTGGTGCAGATAACACGAAGCTACAAACTCCGGAAGAGAATGACGGATGCGACGACGCCTACGCCAAAGCCAACACCGCTGAAGAATATGTTAGTATGACCCTCTAAGGTTCTGAAGACTATAGGGACGCACGCTTTGACCAGTAAGTCCGCCACTATGTGAAACCCGCATGTTTAGCACGTTCCTTTTCAACAGAGCTCAAAACTTACAGCACCGGTCGTACTGGTAAGTCGTCAGCACCCTGAACGCGCTATAAGTTGATTAAGCGACGTACCTTCTGGCTGACGATGTTTTCGCTGGACGTTGGTTTCTGGGACATAGCGGTTTGGGAGTGAATAGCCGGAAGTAAACAGAATCAAATATGCGCGAGTAACAGGCGGTGACGCTATAGCCCTGACATCCGCCAGCCCGACGGGAACATCATCAACACCACCACAGCTGCGCACATCGTAGTCCGCGCCTAGTCGCTGCACACCACCACATCCAGGCCACCTCATTGGCCTTTCTCATTCACGACCAGGCTCACGACCCCCTCAATTGTGTGCAGGCACCATGTCGGCCCAGTCGCCTATGATTTCCATTCCCAAGAAGAGCACCGAAGACGTAGATTGGACAACCCCAATACGCAATCTCATTGCCAAGTCATATGGAGAAAGTCCAGACAACTATGCTTCAGAATGTCAAGCCCTCCAGCGGTGTCGTCAGGATGCAGTCAAGGGCGCTGGCAGCGATACAACCGGTGCGCCCGCCGAGACCCCCTTGAATCGATGACATTCTAAGGCCATCCATCTCAGCTCGTGATTTGTTGTACAAGTACTTTGGCCAGCTCGAGCTCCTCGAGCTCAGGTTCTCCGAAATCCGCGTCAACTTCCCATGGAACGACGCATTTACGAATAAGCAGACCACCCAGACTTCCATCGCATACGAGAAGGCGTCCGTGCTCTTCCAGATCGCGGCAACGCAGTCTGCGATAGCGGCTGCACAGAACAGATCAAGTCCGGAGGGTCTCAAGCTCGCTTTCTACTATTTCCGCGCCTGCGCCGGTATGCTCACGTATATCAACGAGAACTTCCTCCATGCCCCTTCCACCGACCTCAGCCGCGATGTCATCAAGTTCCTGGTGGGCATCATAGTTGCACAGGCGACCGAGGTTTTCTTGGAGAAAGTGATTGACGAGAAGAAGGCCCACACGCTGATATTCAAGATCGCCTCTCAGACTGCGTACCTATACACGTCGCTGACTGAGGAGGTCAAGGACTTCATGGGCAAGGGCATTTTTGACCGTAATTGGGTGACGCTCCTTCAGGTACACTGATTCGCATTGTGTGAGTAATGTGATTTACTCATTGTTCCTTAGATCAAGTCCAAGCACTTTGGCTCGTTGGCGCAGTATTACCGTGGCTTAGTGGACGATAAAGCTGGCAACCACGGAGAAGCCCTTGTCCGTTTCACACTTGCTGAATCATTGGCCAAAGAAGCCAACCGGAACGCAACTTCCTTCAACGCGCTCTTTGTGCATGGCGCACCAACGCTCCCTGCTGATGCTGGCAATGCTCTTCTCGATCGCACCAAAGCGCAACTTGCGCTATGCACCGAGCGCAAGAACGAGTCTACGCGCGAAAATGACCTGATTTACAATGCTGTCCTTCCGTCTCAAGAAGCGCTTCCCGTAATCGAGAAGGCAGCCGTCGCTACTCCTATTTCCATCCAGGAGGTATACGGAACACCGGACGTGCAGAAGGTCATCGGCCCGGACATTTTCCTCAAGCTAATTCCTCTCAGCGTGCACGAAAGCGCCAGCGTGTACTCGGAGGAGAAGGCGAAGCTCGTCCGCAGCGAGGTCGAGAACGCTGAGAGCGCCGACGTGGAGGTGCGCAGCGCCCTCGAGTCGATGGGCGTGCAGGAGGGCCTCGCGCGCTTCAAGGCGATCGCGGAGGGAGGGATCGGCGCGCAGGAAGAGATCCCGCTGGACGTGCGGCGGTGGCGGGAGGACATTGGTGTCATGGAGGACCGCGAGGGCGTCGACACGCTCATGCAGGAGCTTGGCAAGCTCAAGGCTGGTGTCAAGGCCAAGCTTGACTCGATCTCGCGCGACCTGGACACAGAGTCGCGTGACTGTGAGGCCATGCGCGTCAAGTATGATCACTTGTGGACACAGGAGCCCTCTGCGTCGTTGACGAAGTCGATTCGGTCGGATTTGAAGTCACATCTGACCGCGCTCGAGGCTGCTTCTTCGTCGGATCAACAGGTCAACGCACTTTGGGATTCTGTCAAAGGAGATATAGGCCTTCTGCTTTCCGATGACCTGGAGGACGTATTCAGGTCGAGTGCCCAGGGTGGTCCGCCAGCGGACAGCCTCTTGGACTTGGACCTGTCGAGCGATACTTCGGATGAGCGAGAACGCGCGAAGATTAAGCAATATACGAACGAGATTGAGGAGCGCCTGGGAAGGTTGAAGAAGATACAGTACGAGCGGAACGAGGTCCTCAAGGACTTAAAGGAGAAGGTTTGTTTTTGAGACAGGTCCCAAAACTCAGCTAATTAATACCTATATATCAGATCCAAGCGGACGACGTATCCCACTTGCTTTTGCTCAACAGGCGGAATACAGGCATCGAACCCACGTTATTTGCCGCCGAGCTCGAGAAATTCAAGCCATATCAGCAGCGGATAGGTGCGACGTCTCATCACCAGCAAATTGCCTTGCAGGAGGTGGAATCGCTTTGGAAGAGTCTGCGAGATATCGCAGGCCGAGGACCAGGGGCAAAGAAGTGGGAGGAGAGGGAGAAGCGTAAGAAAGATGCCGTGAAGAGGTTTTCGCGGGCACGCGATGGGTATATGGAAGTCAGAGACGGTTTAACGTGAGCACAGACCCAAGATTTGCATCTACCTAAACTAACGCTTCTACAGCAAAGGACTTCAATTTTACCATCAACTCACGGATCTCAGTGGGACGCTGAGCCGGAATGCGAAATCGTTCGTGAACGAAAGGCGCAGCGAACGCGACAAATTGGTTGGCGAGGCCGAAGTCCAGCGGCGCTTGTCTGGTGGGCCACAGTCACCCCCGCCCCTGGCTGACAAGCCACCTGTCCCACCACCGCGCCCTCAATCCAATCTCGAGTCATCCTTCGCCTCCATGAGTCTGCAAGGACATCGAGGACCTGTGTCACCGCCTCCGAGACCACCCCAATCGCAGTACATGGGTAGTCCGCCGCCTCCACCTCAATCTCAATCCTCGCGTCAATCGTCAGATTTCCATCCACCCCAACAGCAGCCTCGCTCTCCGTACAGTCCATCGGCACCAGCGCCGGACCCTTACGCAAGCCTCGGGGCATTCGGTGGCGGCTCCCAATCCCCATATGCTCCCTCCCCTGCTCAGAATACATCTTCCTCCGGGTCACAATACGCGCAACCACAGAAACAGGGGTCGTTCCCTCCGCCTCCGCCCCCGCCATCCCAGGCGCAGTACCATCATCAGCACAATCACTCGCAGTCGTACGCACAGCCGCAACAATACTCATCGCCGTCACAATATGCGCCGCCTGCTAACAGCGGGTTCCCACCACCTCCACCGCCGAACCGGTATTCAATGCCCCCACCTCCCCAGCAGCAGCCATCGCAGGGATACCCGGGCATGCCGCCGCCGCCGCCTCAGCCCTCGCAGGGATACAACCCGGGCTACTATCAAGGCTACGGGCGGTAGGGAGTCGGTTTGTGAGATCACCATGGGTGTAGTGCGCCGTGTACTCTTAGAGCAGAATGTTGTAAACCAGGAAATTGTCGGGCATCTGGAATGGATGGATGGATGTATAGTTCCGGTGACTTTCTATAGGTAAATTATGAAATGACACGAATGACAGGACAAACGAGATACGGCGGGAGTTCCTGTCGAGCCCGCAGGCGTAAGATATCAGCGAGGAGGTTACGATGAGTCGCCCCCGTAGAGTATCTTCCTGCTCCATTCCGCTGCCTGCTGCTCCCACCGGCCTGCGCTGGCAAATAGCTTCGCGACCTCGTCGTTCCACCGCGACTCGACGAGGGACGCGAATGGGCGTTCTCTCACGTGCGTGGAGGCGGGTGGCGGGGTGGGGACGTATGTAGAGGCGTTGTTCAGCCTCTCGGTGAGTATGGCCATACTGCAAAGGAGCGCAGGTGTGTCAGGAAACAGGTTGAGGGTATGGCAGAGAGGAGACGCACTCAGCGCGGTGCTGGGCGGTCCTGCGAGCATGAGGTGTAATTGTCAGGATTTGGAGGATGGAACGGTGAAGGTGAAGATATACCTGCTATGTATGAGGTTGGAGAACCCGTAGTAGACCTAAGGTGCGTTAATAAATACTGGCTCAGCCGGCATTGAGGATATATGCGTATTGAATGCTCACCCCGCCCGTCATGACTGCTCCTGCAAGTGTACCCACGAGGAAAGACATCGCAACCTCCTGCCAAGATGTGCACCGAGTGCTAAGTGTTAAATATGCGGTTTAGGAAGGATCTAGTGATAAATGTCAGCTAAGAGTGACTCGAAGCGATAGCTCAGCAGTCTCACAGAGCAGGCTTGTCCCGGTGTAAGGTATAGATCGCTTGACTCGGCCCTAGGCCGGTGTCGTTTGTAATGTGAGGTGAGATTTCTCGGACTGTGACGCCAGACTTACGCATGTCGCGGGCAGCCGGGACGAGTATTTGCAGTTATTTACCAAAGGCTTCTAAATTCAATAGATACAAACATAATGCGTATCACCGCCGGCACCTTGCCAAGTTCCTGACCGACCGGCACTGTGATATCGACGGCGACATCCTTATCATCGGGAAAACTGCGAACTGCGTAAGCTCAAACAACATCAAGGGTATTTTTGGTGTCCAAAGCTGTTCAAGATGAAGCACCTGTCACTTGCCGCACCGACGTAAGTATTTTCGTTCTTCTACCAGACGCTGGCAACCAAAGATAGCCCTAGGACCCAGACGGCAGTGTCCCTCATGTGCTCTCTCCATGCTTTCTCGAAGCCTCTTTTTGGCGCCAATCTTACTTCTACGCGGGCTCTCCGCGGACCGTTGCCACGGCTGTGGTGGTGCCTCTCATGGTCTGGCTCTATGAAAACGAGCAAGCTTGTCTATCGAAGAAACCCGTGATACCCCTCCAGAGCTAGTGCTGGACTTCTGCTGGTTGCATGAAGATAACAAATAAAAGCTTTACTGAGCTTCCTTTGGTGCGCAGCTTTGTACATGTCCGCCCAAATGGATTTTGGCTCGAGCAGTACTTCGTTCCTGTGAAAATGACATTGAAACATAGCAAATGCTCTCCTCTCACACACGTTGCGTTTGGACAGATTACGCAGCCTCCGGATATCCCAGTGATTGATGGCCTCTGTTGATGTCTCTATTGTCATACTAAGACGTCTCGTATTGAAACAAGCTAAACCAGTAGATCCATTCCGGGCCGCTATTCTTGTCGGACTATCTTTAAGGGTGTTTTGGGGGCGCCCCATCTTTGTTCGCGTTCTCGCCGGCATAGCCGTCAGAACAAACTTGGGCGTTACTGACACCATTGTGTGAGTCTTTCCTCCGCTATTTGCATTATTGCAATGCAGAACTTTAGGCGCTGACGCCTCAACCTATCTACAATCAGTCAACGAAACAGATGTCCTTGACTTGTTCCCGCGACGGTGTCTGTGTGACGACTGTTTGGAAACCCGGAAGGCATATCAGCACCGCTTGAAAGATATCGCCGCCACATATGGCCTATAGGACCATGTCCCTTGACTCGTAGTACCCTGTACTCATGGGATACTTCCGGCCTCTCCGGCTTCGCATCGCAGTGCGATGCACTGCATATGCACGTTACCCAACCAAAGAACCCGATTTTATCGATGGAAAGCATCGGCCTCTGTACGCAGTATTGATCTTACCGCAAGACCTGAATTACGTGTGAGGATAAAAGGCCTTCAGGCCTCGATAATTTTCAGCACCTCAGTTTCGTTTCTCCTCATCCAACGTAGTACTAGCAACGTTAGGCATGAGTTCCCCTTCAGACCACGAGCCTGAACAACAGGTCGCGCCCGCGAGCATCGAGGAATGTTTGAATCGTTTAAGTACGTCGAGTCGCTACTTTGTGGAAGATCATTCCTCACCAATTATCGTAGACGACTCTATACCACGGGCGCAGAAAGCCCTCGACGAGGCTTGGCTCTGCACTAGTGAAATCCAACATGGTAAGTACCCTCATATTTTGTCTCGGTTTTTGTTAGGCAAACTAACAGTGCCTCAGGAACTGTATTAGTGCCATCCATCAAGGCGAAGGTGGTGAAAATTGTCAGCTCAGAACAACAAGTAGTCAGGGTCGTGAATGATGTTTCGAAGGCATATCAGGTTGCAGGGGTAACCTTTTCTGTACTTCGCACAGATATTGTCCCGCTGACCGATGATGTTACGGTGGTTGTAGGATACAGCCAGTTTGTACGCAGTATGACGTGTCTCATTATAGCTACCACAATCTCGATTACTGATTGGACTTCACAGAAGCTCATAGAGGTCGAGCTTCAGAAGAAAACTGAAGCTAATCATCAAATAGCTATTGTGTGCTGGGCCATGTCTAACGCTGTATTCCGACTGTACCGGCTGCACCGGCTGCTTCAAGGCCACCCAGAGTCTCTCACCGAGGACTTAAAAGGCGAGTTGGAGGATGCCCTCAGTAACCTGTATGACACAATGTATGGCTTTGGTGTGTATTGAACCATTCTTTTCTTAACGTCTGTGTTGACCAGCTGCCAGGTAACTACTCCGAGTAAGGCGCAATTGCATAGATAATCGGTTTTGGCGTTCGACTGACTTGATGCGCATCCAGCGTTTGCTACAAAAGTGGAAGCACCAGTAGGTCATTCCCCCATTAATATTGACAGATTAATACTGATGTCACGGTGAATGTAGTGGCCGTGTTGCGTGCCTCTGAGCTGAAGAAAGATTTTATGCAGTACTGGGAGGATTTTGATCATCACCGCCGTCGGCTCGATGAGCTGCTTGGGTCTCAAGCAGTTGCGTCTAACTTCAATATTGACATTATTTTCAAAAGAATTGGGCGGTCAAATCCCAAGGAAATAGAAGCCTCTGATTGGGTCAAGCAGCAGGGCGGCGCGAAACGCGTCTTGGAGGTATGTTTGTCTCCTCTGGCCTATGATTTATGAGTTGAACTTGAGTTGGATTCACCGATTGATAGAATACCGAACTATTAAGTATACTTGCCAAATTTCTTGGTGATGGATCCAACGGCAACTTGCGCAAAACTCTTCGTCAAGATATGGATGAAATACTCAACAACAACAAGCAAGTGATTAGGTTTCCTTGGCTCCTAGTATCAATAACTTTTTTAGGCGGTCATATGAATATAAAATCGAATGTGCTGCGCGACAAATCGAGGATGCGGTGAAAAGTAGCGAAGATACTATCATGAGTCAGGTACTGGATTCCATAGCCTGATGTCATGCTAGAGATTTTACGAGGACTATCCTGACCGTCTTCCTACTGATAGCTCAATTCTGGCCCCCATGATCTGATCAAAGACGACGGTATCAAATTCATATGGAAGGGTCCGTCTTCTCGCGACCTTCTTGTCATTTTTCGGTTCATGACTTTTGTTTGCAGAGAATGTGAGTAGTGTAGCGGTTGAGAAACCATGGCTAGTACTTTCTAACCTCTTCCTCAGCAATGGCGCATGACTGTCAAGAACAGAATATTTATGGATGGTAATGATATACGCCTGTAGGCGTAGGTTACCCTGGGACTGACCAAATCCAATAAAGCCGTTCAAGAGTTCTACGAGAAGCGAGTACAAGAGCAAAAGCAAAAGCAGCCCGGATCCACCCACCCTGATGAGTGGACTCTCCCATTCCTTTCCAAAGTTACATGTTCGTGCCAAGCTGTTTGCTCCGGAGTTGCGTGAAACCTTATGTCTATACCTTGACATTACAGACCGGCCAGCTATTTCAGATGCAATCGACATTGACGGCAGCGGGTACATATCCGTTGACGAGTGTAACACCTTCCTCGCGTCTAGACCACAGGGACTGAGGTAGTGTTATTCCACCTTTATTTTATTTGAGTTTGTCACTCTGACGCTTTTCAGTGTACCGGGATGGATGGCCTTGTAAGTGAAGACTAGATGTAACTCCTCAAGATATTGATTATACCATTGCTCCCAAGTTGGGCTATTGCGTGGTTGATGAACAACGAGGAGTACGTGGATGGCACACAGCATCTTTCCAATTTGAGAACTAATAGCACTTCTCCAGCTACTGTGAACGGATCGAGACTATGATCAATGGAATCAAGACCTTGATGGAGAACATTAACGTCAAGGAAGAGGAAGCTGTCGAGAGCTACTTGAGTTGGATAGGTTTCGTCGATCCTATCGTGCTGCAGTCGCTCAATGCAGGAGCCGCTGGTAACACTCCCATTGACTTCGAGACTGACGATCTGCATCGTGTACTCGAGGTATACAGGAAGAACGAAGAGGACAGACTCTCCGCGGAATTGCAGAAGCTTGATTTCTACATTGAAGATGCAGCCACGCTGAGGTTCATTGCGAGAGAAGACCGAATCGAACTGGTGAGTTTTCAGGCTAAGCTCGCTTCTCTTGGGATGAAGCCAATTGTATTAAATGCACTACAGGTGATTATGCCGTTGTTGTACCTGATTGTACAGCACCATAGTACTGTCATCGAGCAGTTAAAGAAGAAAACTGTGAAAATGTCCGAGCTTTGGGGTCTCCAAAACACACTAAACCAGGTCCTCTTGAGCTTCAATCGTCGCCTTGATGAACTTGAGCGTGCGTGGAAGCAGCAGCGCATGGACGTCGATGTTCAGGTTGAGATTTTTGCTGGAGGTATTTTCAATGGGTGGTACACAAAGGTGAGAACGTAGTTCAAATGTCGGTGAATGGACTTACGTTTAAATCCCATTGAATTTCAGCGACAAAACCCCGATGACGAAATTGCTTCCCTTCTTGCATTCTGGAACCCCCCTGCTAAGGGTATCAATGGCGAAAATGCCAAAAAGCCCGCTGCTAAAGTGACGGTAAGACTGCCTGCGCATGGCCCACATCCATGTGGCATACTATAGGGAAACTCACCCTTGGCTCTGTCTTTCAGCTAACCACCCTCAACAACCGAGTTAATTCTCTCGAAACTCTCTTGCAGGCAAACGAGGCTCTGTTACAGTCAATCGCGAAGAAGTTTGGTGTCCCAGCCTCTGACCTTGTCCAGAAAGTAGGCTCTTTCGCGCAGAAGACCGAAGTTGCTCCACAGGCGCGGGTGAAGAACCAAGATGATTCGACTGGGCAAGACAACGATTCACAGCAAGACCAGGATGACATTCAGGACCTGAATGACGTTCAAGACCAGGGCGAGGAGCAGAACCGGGACCAGGGCGAGGAAAAGGACCAGGCTGAGGAACAGAACCAGGAACAGGAACAGGACCAGGACCAGGACCAGGATGATGATCAAGACCAAAGCGAGGGGCAGGACCAGGGCGAGGAAAGGGATGAGGATGAGGAAAAGGACCAGGATCAGGATGAGGAAAAGGACCAGGATCAGGATGAGGAAAAGGATCAGGATGATGACCAACACCAAGGCGAGGAACAGGACCAGGGCAATGAACAGGGTTCTGAGGACGATGAACAGGGGCCGAACGACGACCAGGACCAGGACGATAAATAGGGCGAGGATGACGAACAGGATTCAGCAACACTACCAATACTAGTACGAGAGAATAAATTTAACCAATCGATTGATCGACTAGAACAAACGCTAATTCGATAATCTGCGTTGTCTATCGATGATGTACCCTGTTTCAGTAAATGTTGTTATGTAGATGTGCAAATGCCCCCGACAGTGTGTGATGAGATGTCCCGAACTCGAAAACATGTAGTCAATTTGGTCGAAGTGTGCTGTTCTACACCTTGAAATCAAGGATAGAAAAAGAAAGAGACCATGAGGGGAGTTTCTGTAAAGGTTTATCTTCTGAATGATAAAACAGGTTGAGCGAAACCTGTTTGGTTTGAAATTTTGATTGCAGCGTTGTACAAGGGATCGCAAATTCGACATGGCTCCTATATGGCATTTAATAGGCGTGGCTCGAGAAAGAATGAATTCTCTAGGCATTAAACCCCAAGTAATCTTGCGACAACCTCGCCTGCAGGGCTATCCCCGTCTCCGAGCTCGGGCTCGGCACCAGGTCCGATCTCCTTTATCACGTAATAGCCAAAGAAGAGGACCTTGAAGGTCAGGGCGACACCAGCATGGACTGCAATGAGGGCCGGTATAAGGAGGCGCGTCGCCTTCTGCTCAGCCTGCGTGATGACTGGGTACACATTCATGAACAGGAAGTAACCCGAAAGCGCGAAACCCACTCCGACCAATACCCAGCGGACGATGGGCACGGGGATGACGCACAGAATCTGTGTGGTCAAATGAGTTCTACTGCAGGTGTGAGGGGATATGGAAAGACTCACCGCAACAGGTATCCAAACGAAGTGCGCATACCCCCATACGCTCACCGCCTCTATGATGCTCCATACGCCAACGCCGAGATATCGAAGAAGCAACCAGAGTAATACCGGGATGCCGAGACCATACGCATAGACCAGCGTCACAGCGACGGACAGGAGGGTGAAGTTATAGTCGTAATGTTCGGAATCTGGGGACGAGAGATAGGAAGCAATGGACGCCGCCAAGGACGAAGACATGAACAGGGTGAGGATGAGGGTAGTGAGGACCCAGAACGGGCCGTAGAGGTCATCGCGTGGCGACATGTAGTTTGGTGACATGGGAAGGAGGGTGTTGTAGCATCGCGCGAGGACTGTCGACGTGTCGACATCAAAGTATGGGGTGTAGTAGTCTAGCGACCAGAATGCCGAGCTGGTCTGGCGTGTGCGCGGGCTAGTGAAACCTGCACAGAAGTGAGATCGAATATATCAACGGAGTGAATTTTTGCGCACCAGGGTCATAGTTTGTCGATTGCTGACCTCCAGCGGTGTCTGTCCCCAAGAAAGCTGTAGACAAGGGTTAGCGTGTCAGGCCATCGAGTGTACAAGGCGCGTTGGCATGTGGCCGTACATTTGAACTCTAGACCACTTTGATCCTCCAGCCTCTACACACAGTTCAGCGTAAGTAATGTCATTAAAGAGTACGACGACATACCTCGTCGGCCTCTACAGGTGCATATGACATGGTTGATAACCTGGTTGGCAATCGCTGTCGGGTCCACGAAGCAACGCGCTCGGGGCGTAGCAAGTGTGGGAATCATGCACCGCCACTGGAAATCCATTCCTCTTTGCTGGTGTTGTGTGCCTTGCCAGCTCTTAAAATTCAAGGACCCGTGGCGCAGTGGTAGCGCGTGTGATTCCAGTAGTTGAGCATCCACAAGGTCATCCGTTCAATCCGGGTCGGGTTCACGCTTTTTCGTGCTTGTAAGCTTCGAGGTTTTTCGACAAGAGGATAACGGCCAAGAACAACGACCAGCTTGTATAGAGCGATCACTTTTGAAACGCATGAGCAGCCTACGTTCGTTAGCATCTTCATGCCCTGCAATACGATATTGATGGTCCGCATCCAACTTAGGATGGTGTATAACGTTATCGAGATTCTTTTGGTATGTCTTGACCAAGTCTTGACGGAGCAATGACTCGGAGTCTCCAAGGTCTCCGGCGGATCCGGCCCGTGCGGTGTCCCTGAAACTTGCCCCTGAAACGATCGAGGCATCGGTTGCTGGGAAACAGAAACTCAAAATCCAAACGAGACAACTCCTGAAGGCCTCAGGCCTCAGGCTTGAGGAACAACCTGGAACAACGCTGACGCTTACTGCGACAAACAAGTTACAGGCAACCTCCGCCGCCTGCATGGACACCTCGCATTCAAGCGAACCGACCCAATCATGGATTGCGATCCAGCCACCACATGCCAGGCATCCTTCAATGAACTCGCGTGAGTCATACTTATATTGTATACGACTTGCCAACAACGTGCTCAAGAACTTCTCCCACAAATCCCTCACTAGACGCCAATGATGACACCTCCGTGGATGCCTCGCCCCCATCCTTTGAAGAGTCCCAGTTTGATGTTATATACCGCCGGCAGCGAATTCACGACGGCCCGAAGTCTTCTTCTGTCCCCTCTCGTTTCCTTGTTCTGCCTAACAGCTTCGAGTTCGCCGGATGGGGGTCCGTGACTAGCGTTAAGCTCGACAAGGAACTCAGTGCTGCTGAACCCAACAAGATTGATCCATTGATGGGCCCGTTTGTTGCAAGTGCGCTTGCGGGGAATGACCTTCTGGGAGGCGTGTTCTATACCATCCCGGCGGTCTTGGCGGTATCTGGCGCCTAGTAAGTGACGTCCGTATGAGCATTTCATGTCATAACGCTCCTTTTAGCTCTGTAATTTCGTTATCCATAGCCACCCTGATCCCTTTTCTTTGGCGGCCCATGATGGAGGAGCTAGGGTCGGCCCTGCCCATAAGTGGAGGGTCATATGCGTACTTGTGCGTTATTTATGCACATATCAGTACTTCGCGGCATAGCGATGACGCTCTCTAGGCTGAACGTCTCGACGAAGTTCCTCGCTCTCATCAGCGCAGCTTTACTTTTACTGGACTTCGCGGCGACGGCGGTGGTATCTGCTGCAACTGCGTCATCATACCTTGACGATGCTATTACTATGTCTGGTTCACGTAGTGCACCCTTCCCGATCTTCGTCGGTGCATTATTGATACTGGCACTCTTCATGCTCGTCAGCTTGTGTGGAGCGCGAGAGTCCGCGAGAGTCGCGAGCGGTGTTCTTGTGTTCCATGTGAGTGACCCTTGAGTCAACTCCGCTTTGAGCCAACCCGTCTGAAGGCAACTCGTGTACCAGCTAGTGACCATGATTGTACTCATTATCGTGTCTGCGGTGGCTTGGGGCCACTCCGGGAATGGTGTTCTCGCAGCGAACTGGCATGCCGGGTCCCACAACGGTCATTCAATAGCTAAAGCCATATGGGATGGAGTTTGCATTGGTATGCTTGGCTTAACAGGGTTTGAATGTGAGTTTTAATGAGCTTCACAGATCAAGGATTATTTACGCGTGCTAATTCGTGCAGGCACTCCATCTTACATCTCCAAGATCAAGCGCGGGGATTTTCCACGTGTACTACGTAATCTCCACTATCCAGCCATCGTTCTCAACGTAGGCACTATCCTGGTCGTCTTGGGTTTGCTCCCATTACACGTCGCTCTAGACTCAAACACGGGTGGTCAGCACGTCCTGAGCACGCTAGGACAGCGGGTGAGTGATAAGCTCCCAACATGTGTTCTGGGTGAGTTGATCGTGTCAAGGCAGGAGGAAAGTGGCTTCGAACTTGGGTCGTTATTGACGCAATCGTCGTACTCTGTGGCGGTGTCCTCACCGGTTTGTTTTTGGACATCTGTTAGGGTAGTGGTCAACTCATGCTATGATAAAGGGATCCTTAGCGCAGTTGACCTCTTTATGGAACTCGCTCATGACCGCGTCCTTCCACATTTCTTCGCCCGGACGCTGCCAGTGACACAATCCCCGTACATCGCAGTGGTCATCTTCGTCGCGTTCTCTGTGGCTTTGTACGCCAGCTCAGGCGCCAATTCTGAGATCATCAGTGACATGTGAGGTGCCAACAAGCTTTGTGTGTAGTAGCTCACGCCTCTACGAACAGGTTCTCCGTAGTGTGGCTCGCAGTGATGGCTCTCTTTCCGATCTCGCTCATCCTGCTCAAGTTCAATCGGCCTCGTCTCCCGCGGGAGCCAGACACGTCCATCTGGCACATATTCTTCTCTTTGTCCCTCGCTATTGCGATAATCGTCGGAAACATCCTCATCAAACCTGTCGTCATTGGGTGCGTGCTACCTCGTCCTCTCTCATATCCTCGTTCCTACTTACACGACCTAATCGGGGGTAGATACTTTGCGGCTTACTTTGTCGCGTTGGTGCTGTTTTTCGCAGGCACGCACAATAAGTCCAGAGTGCTGAAATGTGTGTACTGGGTGTACGACCAGACTCCTATCATGCACCCCGACAGAATGTGGGGACGGGCGCTCGGAAGTCGGCGACATCGACGGCGCGATCCACAAGTTAACATGCAGGAGCTTGACCCCGGAAAGCCCTGCATCGATGAACGCATGGTACGCGCCATCATGAAGCTGAGGCGACAGCCGGTCTGCGTGCTCGTGAAAAGCGACGAGGTATGCTTTACTTCTGACCGGGTTACTGGCCCCCTCACGTCGGAAACCCATAGATGAACCACCTGATACAGATGGTATTTTACGTTCGCAAGAACGAGGACACTTCAATGCTGAAGTTTGTGCATTTTTATGGCGATGACCGAGAAAGCATCCCTAGCGAGCTGGAGGCGAACATTCGGAGTAAGTGTTAAACTTCTTCGTGATGATTTCGGCCACTCAAGTTCACTGTGCCGGATTTTGTCAGTCATTGATGAAGCGTTTCCTGAGATGACCATCGACCTCGTGCTGGTGGAAGGCAATTTCAGCCCACGTAACCTTGATGCTCTGTCACAAAAGCTCGATGTGCCTCGTTCGCTAATGTTCATAAGTTGTCCGGGCAAGGACGCACAATGGCGAACAGAAGAACTGGGTCGGATAATAGGGATCTAGCGTTATCGGAGGCGCATGTACGATATCTGAGATCGTGTTCATCTCGTAGAAGCGCTGCTCACATAAGGGAACCGCTTCCTTCGCGACATTAATGCCCCTACAAGTCAACTACAAGTCCGTCCTGAACTTCACAAAAGTGAAGACGGGTGTTAGCGAGGCATTGCGATAATCAAAACTCTGAGGTTTTGCCAGTCATACTCCAGGATATACCTGTCGCAGATGCCGCAATTAGAGACTGAGATGTTTGTTGATTTCTTCTCGAAGCTGTTAGGCTTAACTCTACCGCCGCCGGCTCAGACTCCGTGCCTGCCTGTGCCGTGCCGTAAGTATAGTGGGCGCTTCTCTCGTTTGAGTTTTTGGCATGGCAGCTGAGTTTCAACGTGCTCATCTTCGGAACATGTGTTCACTAACATCTGACTAAATCCCATCATGCTGACCTGACAGTGACAGTATCATTCGATGACCAAGGTCTCTGCCACCCTCTCTGGGAAGGCGCTTTACCGCCTCTAGCTGTCATGGGTAAGTGAACCAGCTCGCAACGTTTCACCGGGGAGCAAAGTTGGCCGATGTCTGGCAGGCGGAGCTGAAACGGAATCAAAAACTATCGCGCACACGTGACTCGGACATAGTCATGGGTAGTGTTGCCGCGGCTCGGCTCGGCTCGAAGCTGAATCGCTCCCTAGTGAAAATAACAATTGAATTTTGTAGCGTAAGGTTTATGTTTCGAAGCGATGACTGGCAGCGACGATGGCAACCATGACATGACAATTACCTCACTAAGTATTTTGTTGCCTTTGTCGTAAGCCCACCCAATCGGCTTGAGCCAGCTCCCGAGCCGCGGCAACACTAGTCATGGGCGATTGGCTCGAGCGTCTCGTGTCAATGAATCAAGTACTTGTCAAGCGTCAAGCAGTGATATCAGAAGCATGCTGCTTATTCGCTTCCGCCAACCTATAAGACAGCTCCTACCTCGGGCGCGCGACGCTCTTCTTTCTTTGCCTCCGCCTCTGTCTCTGCCGTCGACGCTCGCCCAGCTATCACCATGCCCGGTGTATTGACCAAAATCTCTGTGCCGTTCGTGGACCTCAGCATCTTCACCTGGGATTTCTTCCTTGCCCTTCTTAACCTTTTCTCGAGGAAGAGAAAGGTTGGTCATGTCACCCCCGAGGGCCACCCCGGCTATCGCGGCCATTGGCCTGAGTGGAAGGCTGCAAGGCCAGAGGACTCGCGCTGCTCTTGTCCTGCACTCAACGCCATGGCAAACCACGGTGCGTGCTTAGCTACGGTTTTATGCAGCTTTTGCTGAAACGACAGGGTATATGCAGGCATTATCGCTCGTTCGGGCAAAAACATTTCCTTCATCGAGATGAACCATCAAATCCGCGCTACCTACAACTTCGCGGCGTCTTTCTGCTCCTTTGTACCCCATTTTGCCGCGCGGATGCTCGATAAGAGCTACAACAAGGACAACTTCGACCTCCATGATCTTGACAAGCATAATGGTATCGAACACGACAACTCGATAACTCGTGCGTAGCTGATCACTGTATCTTCGATGTAGCAACTAAAACCCTGCAGGTCGAGATTTGCACTTCCAGCCCGACCAGTGGATAAAGCACCAACCTTTCATTGACGAACTGCTGGACTCGGCTTCGGGCAAGGACAAGGACGGGCATACTTTGCTTACTGTTGAAGACATTGCAAAATTCGCAGGCAGGCGCCGGCTTCAGGCCAAGACCCACAACCCGAACTACACTCGCAGCTTGTTCCACGACGTCTTTGGTAGCTCAAAGTGCGTCACTCAATTGTAGACTCTAACCATTTCCCCCTTGCTCACCGAGATTCGTAGCAACGCTACCCTTTTGACCATTTTCGGTGGCCGCGTTGATGATCTCCGCACGATCCTCCATGAGGAGCGCCTGCCCGAGGGATGGGAGTCACGGATCCGCAAGCCCCACGGCCTTACCATAGCTGCTTTCAATGCCTCCGTTCTCGCTGTCGAGCGCGGTACCCGCCGCGTTGAGGCGGAGCTTCGCAAGAAGCATAAGGAGGGCGGCACCAAGATTGAAGTGGATCACCATGACGAACTTGCAGCGGCGAAATGATAAATATTCACTGAAAATTTCTGCGTATCTCACGAACCGAAATATACGACCTCTTTGCTCTTTCGTTGCTTCTGGTTCTATCATGTTTACGATAGTTAAATTATATTAAAAGATACGCAGTGCTCCCCATGTATCAGTGACGCCGAAAGCTGCCCCGAATACCCTCTAAAGGCCTACCCATTCGCGATACTTTTGAACCTCAATGTTATTTCTTTGCACAATTGCCTCCACTTCATCTCCCCATACATCACTCGGTCGCTTCTGAGGCTCATCCAAGAGTGTCTTTAAATGCTTCTCTGCCTCAGGGAACTCCATGACCACCACATTTTCCAGTGTAAGAGGTTTATTCAAGTCCCAGCGAACTAACGTTGGGCGAGCCGGGACTGGATGCGGCGGAATAAGTGAACGTCCCTTGTGAATGTCTTCGAATACTAAGGAAACATCGTCTTCATCAATTGGCAGTTTACTGAGCAAGGATGTCAGCACTGCATCTGCGATCAGCATAACCGAACTGCACATACTTGATAGTCTGCCCAGCCAACTTCGTTTCCCGAGACAACAAGTCCCTCAACAGCCTCTCATACACCTTCCTCCGGTTCTTAATCGGCAGCGGATTAACGATCGGCTTGCCCGCGATCTCGCACAGCACATAGGTCGCGATGTGCAGGCCGAACATGGACGGCAGCGGGCCGATGACAGGCAGTATGCGCACGCGGAAGTCGTCGAACACGCCCAACTCCTTCACGTTCCCCTTTTGAAACTCGTCCTCGGGCAGGGGCAGGAGCTTCACGTCGCCGGGAACCTCGGTCGAGTACACGACGGGGATGCCAGACGAGACGCCCTCGAGCCGCAGGCGCCGTCGCACGGAGCGCGCCAGCGGGTCGTAGATCGTGTGTGAGATGTCGCTGATCTGGATGCGAGTGGGGTCGCATTTGGCGCCTGCGCCCATGGAGGAGAACACCTGGGTCGGGTAGATTGAGGACAGGGGCTGAGGTAGGACAAGGGGGCCAGCCGTACCTTGATTCCGTGCGAGTGGCAGTATTTGAGCAGGTCTACTTTGGTGGTGATATTATCTATAGCATCTGCATACCAACACATAAGCACGCAGCTCATGTCATGAGCAGGGAACACACCTATGACCCAGTCCGCTCCCTCAAGCAGCTTTCCGCCCTCCTCCTTTCGCCATATGTCTACGCAGCTCTCGACCTCGACCCAGCGCGAGAACTGCTTCAGTGTGCGCTCGATGCACTTCACCTTGGGCGTCCCGACGTCCGCAAGCGTAGCCGTTGCGTGGCGGTTGAGCGAGGAGAGCGTCACGTAGTCGAAGTCGACTAGTCGAATTTTCGCTATTCCACTGCAATAATGTCAACAACATCCTGTTAGCCTCCGAAGCTGAGCTCTGAAGTCCAAGCATGGTGCAAGAAGAGAGGGAGAGAGGAAACAGGACATACGATCTGACGAGCATGACAGCTGCCCAACTACCGACCCCTCCACATCCGACGATAACGACGGTGCCCTTGCGTATGCGCGCCATGCCTTCGTCTCTGAAGAACGCATAGTTCCGCGCAAGCTGCTCACGGATGAGCTCTTCGTCGTACTCGCCATCTCCTGCAGCTAGCGTAGCAGCCTTACTTTCCAGACTGTCTGTTGTGCTCCCTAGCATTATCAAGTCCTCCGAATGCGGACGCCCACTCAGGTTGGGGAGGTCCTTGCTCGGAGGGAGCGTAAGAGAGCGCTTGACATCATCATCGAGCGCGCGCCGGCGCTTGCGGTAGGTGTACGCATTATATGCGGAGAAGAGGCCGGAGGTGACAAGCGAGGCGGAGAGCGCGGCGAGGACGAGTTGGACGCGATGCGAGTGAAAGTCAACTGTTGTGGACATGGAGGACCGGAAACGGGTAATCCCCCCTATGCTGCTGTTGTTAGTAATAAGGAAGACAGTTAACGTTAGAGTCTTTTTGGGGTTTGTTTGTAGCAGCATTCTCTCTCCTTGAACCTTCTGTCGTTGCTCTCCCATCCGCTCTCTTTCCTTTTGACTCATCCACGATCATCAGCGTTCGCTTTTCATGTCCTCCCATGCAATCACCAACCTCCAATATGACGAGGAGCATGACGAGGTGGCTTCCCTTAACAGCTGGCTTGAATCAAAACGACAAGAGGCGCTCCAGGACCCCGAATCAGTTTCACCTGTCTTTTGCCTTTCCTTAGATAATCTTCTCAAGAGCCCAACGCTGTTGAAATTTACTATCTTTCAAAGTTTATGGCAGTTCATGGAGGGGGGTATTCCGGAAACGTTGAGCAAAGCGCTACCCCAGCCGCCGATCCTGCGTTGCACTGAAGATCTAGAGGCACTCCTTAGTACCAACAACGAAGCATATGTACTGCTGAATGCCGCCGAACCCCGCGTCGGTACGTTACGCCATGACAAATGAGAGCCGAATTAACTTCTCAAAACCCTGCAGAGACAGTCTCGGAACCACGTTCTGAGCATGAGTAAGCTTCATCAGTATCACTCTCTTCAGTTCTTGCGACTGAAGATGTTATGCTTAGATCGGAAATGGCACAGCGCTTGCACCGTGTATTCACGCGCAATCATAAAGGTGATGCGGTCGACAGGTTTGTGCAGGGTCTTGATGAATACCGCAAAATGTACACGAGGGGAAAGTATTACGGCAAGAGTATAGCCATATTACAGTCCAGTGGCGCTGGTAAATCAAGGCTAATGCACGAACTTGCCAAGAAGGTATGTAATGTTGCAATTGTCATTTCGCCATTTAATGAACATTATGTAGGTGCCCTCTCTCACCGTATGCTTGCGGGGGGAGAAGAAATTCGATCCCAGGGAGGGATGGCCTCCCCAAGATACGAGTGCAAAAGAGTTCCTACTGAAACGACGTCTGGGGATTAGGGTACGTTTTAGGTGCGATCTGGAAAACTTAGACACACTATGACACCCTGCCTTCCAGGCCGAAGTGGTTGCAGCTGCATTTTTAGGCGCGATATTCCAGTTTCTCACCCAGAAGTGCGTCTCCGAGGCGGAAACCCTTGCTCCTGGACAGGATCCGACCTGGGTGACGTCTTTCTCGCTACAAAATCCTGCAGAGCCACTGCAATCAAAGCGGCACCACTCTTTTCTTAGGATCAGTGAGCTCGCGGAGACCTTACTTGAAATTCACGCTGAGGAGCTGTCCTCTAAGGCTCCCGACCTACCTTCCGCAACCATCGATTCCAACCATAACGTCGACAAAACTTCGGCCGATCACGCTGCTAAGACGACCAAAGACAAGCACATCGTGTCGTGGTGCGAGGAAGTCTACGAAGTAATGGTCTCCGGAGCAGCTAACAAGCTAGCTACAACTCTTAGGCAGCATGGTCATCGTTATTTTGTCCTTGGCTTTGACGAGTGTCGATATCTAAATGCTCGCAACGGCAAATTAGACGCCGATTATCATCCCATGTCCATTCTCGCCATGCAAAGAATCATCACCGCGGCAGACCAACTCTCACTCGAGGGCTTCACTTTGTGGTTTACGTTCATCGACACTAGTTCCTCAGTCTTCGAACTCGTTCCACGCAGGGGAATGTCTAAGTCGGACAGGCTCGCTAATGACAAAGATCCTCTTATCCCCTACACCTCCATCGGCTTTGATCAAATGATTCCCTCTGATCTTTCTTCGTCACCGCATGCAGCGCTTTATATCAGTAGACTTAAGTTGTACGGTCGCCCGGTATGTTCGTCGCGTTTTGTGTCCTCCGGGGCTCGGTCTCATTTACCCACAGCTCTGGGCCACGGAGGAAGACGATACTGTCGGCCGACAGGCTTTTATGAAGCTCTTCCGTGATGTGCAATTTGCGCCCGCCAGTGACGACCACGTCTTTGCAGCCTTTTCTCAACGTGTTGGTCTTGAACTCGCCAATTCAGAGGCTGCAACCCGCATCGCGCTGGAAGCCGTCCGATCTCATATGAGATTCCTCCTCAATGTTGTCGATCGCACTTTCATCGAGACGACGGTTCCGTCAGAGCCTTGCCTTGCTCTGGCGGCTGCACAGGCGCTTCGTCCTACGTCGGAAGATTTTGATGTAGCGCTTCGAACGCTTGTTGACACCCTTATCTTGCAGGAAACGGTCCTCGATCGAGGTGTTCAAGGAGAGCTTTATGCTCGGATCCTTTTGATCATGGCGCGTGATAAAGCAACAGACAAAGGTGGTCCGATCGAGGATTACTACGTCAACACGACAGCCGACGGAATTCACGTCCAGACTATCACCCTCGCTGATCTTCTCATTCAGCTTCACGGCGATGGCCTTGAAATGAATCAACAGCAGGGACAAGGTCTTCAGAAACAACAAGCTCGGCATAAAGAAGGCGCCTTGGACGGGGACAATGAGGACGACGCGTCAGAGGAAGATGAAAGCGAAGACGACCAACGTAAACTGTACCAAAATCTTCTGGCAGCGGCGCAGGAGAGGCATGTGAACTTCACGCACTTTATCCACCTTGAAGAGAGCGTCGGGAACCTCTCGGGTGACTTCCTTCATTACCTATGGGACCGCCAATGCGCTATTCAGTGCTCGCATAATCAGCCAGTTATCGATATCATCATCATCACCTATTCAGGCGCTCTCTCCCTAGCTTGGGATGACAGTAAAGTGGGCACCTTCTGTATCCAAGTGAAGCTGAAGGAGTCGGCTGTTTCACTGACCTTGGCTGACGAGCTTGTCGGCCCTCGCATTAACGGGCGCAGACCTTGCGACGAGGTTGTCATGTTGATGGAATTTGGAGTTGAGTCTGAATTTCAAGGGAAAGCCAGGAAATCGCGCTACCAGCATGAGGTCGCGACGGTTCGTCCGAAAACTTGGAACGGTTACATGGATCAAGAGACTGAACCTCGTTGGTGTATCCATGTTCGAGGACACGGTCGTACCGAATATCCGATCCTCAGCCGATACGAACCAATTTTCGACCGTGCTTTTGGGCATCTGTCTCCATGGCCGACTACCGGCTTCGCGGCCGTTGGGCAACCCTTCAGAGAGGCGCTGTCTACAGTCACTTTCACGAAACACATGGATGATAAAAGCGAGGCTATCATCATGGACTTGGACGCCCATTCCAAAAACGAGGCGCGACGAAGGGTCAAGCCTAAGACCCAAAAGAGAGGGGGCCCCAATTAACAGCGATGCCTTAGGTTGGGATCACCCATTACATATTATATTGGAAGGTTGGCCGTCACATCTACCTACATAATTATATAGCGAACACGGGATCCCCCTCTTTGGCTCAGGTCTCATGTATGCATATCAGTCTCACCATCAATCAAATATTAGCCTCAGACTTTCACGTTGAAGCTTCTGAAGCCTCAGACGAGATTTAGAGAGGAGTTGAGCACGCGGGCTCCAAAAGAACAACTGCATAGAGGTGGTGTGGGGCATACGACTAGGTAAACATATATCTACAGGGCATAGAGTGGTGGGGACTTTGCCGCGTGCGCGCTGCGCCTGCGGTGTGAGGAGTGGAGATACAACATAACTTTAAATACCAAATAGATACCGTCCGACGAGAGAAAGGAAACCCTCTAGTAAAACAAGCTCTAGAAATACAACCTTTGATTTCCTACAACAAGGATAGTCTTTTGAGAAATACAACACCAGAAATACAAAGAATACGAAAACAACACCCGTCTACGCCACCACTCTAGGTGACGTAGATGAGCGTGCGCCGCTGGGAGTTGACCACAGCGAGTGTAATGAAGGCGCCAACGACGAGGCTTGTGATAATGCACCCCGCGGTCTCGACTAGCGAGGCCGAGCGGCATCGGTGGTAGTGGTGCAAGTGGATTTCTTGAACCTCGGGCTCTTGCTTCTGTTCGTGCTTGACAAGAGCAATCGACAACGCTTCGGAGGGCTGGGCGGTGACGGGGGAAACGGCCTTGGATTCCGTCTGCTTGGGCTCGAAAGGTTCGGTTTGCACCTCCACCTCGCAGCCTTGCTTGTTGTCCTCTTCGGTGGGTTTCTCTACCTTGAGAGTAGGGATGAACATGGGCTCGGCGACGAGCGTCATGTCAGAAGCGGAAAGGTCTACATCCTCCTCGTCTGAATCCATCTCCTCGATGATTGGCGACAGGATATGTGACTCGTGCTTGGCGAGCGAGAAGTCGATGCACTTGCCCATCTCGCTGAGCGAGTCAAGCTCCTCAACGTCGACTTCAGTCGACGAGTCCGAAAGCTCGCCCTCAGTGGACTCGTAGTCCTCCAGGAGACGCTCGAGCTCCGAGACGATGCCCTGGAGGCGCGCGACCTCCTTGACCGAGTCGGTCTGGTGCTTCTGGCGGATCTCTTCGGCGATGGCCTCGATCATCTGGCGTAGAACGTCCCGTATCTGCGAGTGTTCACGAGACCACCACTGGGCGGGCCACTGGGCAACGATGAGTGCCAGCCGCGCGACGGTCGAGGTAGCCTTGTGGAAGTCTTCGGCGATGGTGTGGTGGAACCACGGGCGAAGGAACGCCATCGCGAGTTTCAACGAGCCGCTCGTTGCCTCGCGCATGCGAACCTCCTGCGACAGACTAAGGAACTGGTTGGACATGTCTTGACAGAATTGGCGGAAGCTAGCCTTGCGATCCATGGTGTTCCACGAGAGGGAGTCGAATGGGAAAAGCGAGTTGTGTTCCTTGTCGGAGCGGAAGTAGGAGGGGAGCTTCTCAACGAGCGAGAGGAGGGGCACAGTGGCGATAACGGCAGATCGAGGAACTGAACCATACACAAGCACGTCTTGCGACTCCTGAGCAAATCTATACCACTTCCAGTGGTCTGCATGGCGACTGTGGGTTCAGGGTCAGACATAATCAAGGTCCTGAGAGATGGCAAACTCACTCGCTGGGATCGCTTTTACGTAACAATTCGAGAGCGGTCGCTGCCCGCCCTTCTAGAGCCCGAGCATCAATGACGGCGATGTGAATGTCATGCTTGACACCATGACGATATCTGCGGGCGGCCTCCCAGATAGCCCAGGTGAAGCTGAACGATGACGAGATGTACGGCGACATGTGCCTCTGTGTCCAGTCCATATGTTGAACGACGTCTCGATATGTGCTGAGTTCAGCGACCGATGCCCCTGACGGGGACTCCAAGGTCTCTGGAGCGTCGGAGTAAGAAGAGTTGTACTTCTGTCCAACAAAAAACGGCTCTGACTCGGGGCGAGCATGGGATTTGGGAGTATATACGCGGAAGAGGAAAGGGTTTCGCTCGATAAGACCATCGAAGCAGCACTCGGCACCGAAGCCGTGCTGCGGGAGAGGCGTTAGTGGTGAAGGCGACTTCTGTGACCCATGGCGGGGAAGGGAATCGACAGAGAGAGTAGAGAGGGTAGTCATAGTTGAGGTGGGCCTTGGTGAGCGTCGAAGTCAGAGAACCGGGAGAGCTGGGAATCTATCCAGGTAAGGGAGGTCACATATTTCTACCTTGTTTGTGGGTGCCTCGTGTATGCCAGGTGTGATCGTTCAAATCGGAGGCTTATCGAGGTCTCCGAGGCTATCCAAGGGAAATTAGGGGAATTCAATGACAGCCCGAGCCGGCTCGTGGAGGGCATGAGGAAAATTAAGGGCAACACGTGTCAACAATGAGGCATATGCGTGACATATACTTCCGTTCAGAGCCTCAAAACACTCATGAGCCTCAAGGCATGCTCCAAGGCGATGCACAAAGTCTGCGAGATGAGCGTGAGTGGACTGGTTTCACAAAAAGTTGAGACAATCTCTCACCTTTAGTCAGACATAAGACCCTCGGACCTAGATTAGGCAGGAAGCTAAACCCAACTATCATAAACGCTGTCAAGCCGGACTGAGACGCCAAACAAGCGTATAGCTTGGAGATGGTAGCTGTTGTCGGGCTATACCATGAGAGCATGAGAAATGTGTTCTTGGATTAGGGTGCATAACAAGGGAGTACCATAGTTAAGGAAGAAAGAGACGAAGATTAGCTTGATATTGTTTGCTGAAACGGCAATTGCCGGATGATCATATTCGCGGAGATCAAGAATTGGTTTCAGCCACAATGCTTCCGCTTCGAAGTTGCGCTCTTCCCAAAAAAGCCAAGTCCGTGATTTTGCCGTGATTCAAGGCTTTCAGTCAGGCGCACAAGTCTATTAGACAAGGTCCTTCTCAATACGCGGCATTCAAGATGGTAAATGATCCTCTAATATAGACTCGTAGAATACTTGTTCTAATCAGACCATCTGCCGTGAAGCTTCGAAGATCAAACTGTTCCATTAGAAAACAATCACTAAGCTTTGTGGGGAGCACGAAGCACGACGGCGACACCAGGTTTCATCGAACTCAAATTTCAGTCGATACCTTGGTGTATGTATCTTTCAAGTAAGAAACAGCTTATGATATCATAGTTAACCTAACTCACACATGAGATGCCTAGAAAGTGAATACGGAGAGAATACGGAGAGAGGGTATGTCAATCGAAGCTCTATTTGAGCTCTCAATGAACCGCCGGCGCCGTCATCGAAGTCTTCCTTCATTAAAACGGAGCCAAGCTCAGAGCGTCTTGGCTCTTGGCGAGACCGAAGGCAGGACTTGGCGTCTCCAGGGCGTTCTCCAACGCTAATTTTCTGACGCAGTGCTGAGAAGCCGCTTGGCTCTAGCAATTATGTATCCGCGATGCCAACCCCTTGCCAAGTTCCCGTTCTTCCCTTGTCATCCCCGGCCCGCGCATCGACGACATACTTGGCCCCCTGTATCATTAGGCACCATGACTGCATCTTGCCAGTCGCCTGGACAAACTGGCTTTGCATCTCATCGATGCCATCCAGGTCCTCATGGTGGTCGTCGTGGCGTTTGAGCGGCTTCAGAGTCAACCTCCTCTTTCAGTGCTTGTAGTTCTCACTGCCCCATTATTGCGGCCCGGCAATAATCTATGACTGTCCTCCAAAAATGAACTACTCTCGGTGACTTGGCTTCCGCTTGGCCCTGGAGCGATGCTACTTAGCACGACGACCATTGTCTCCACCGCCTCCCAACCATTAACCGCCGCAGCGCGCGATATGACGCTGAAGAACGTTGGTGAAGTCGCTTGAGGCAACGTTCTTTGCGGATAATCTCTTGGCTCCTTCGCTCTGAAATGAACCCACGGTTATTTACGGCTCACGCTTGTCAATCCTAACATCACGGTGGCTCGGTGAGGCTTCTGGCCGAGACGGTGGTAAGGGAGACGATACGGGTTTCTGGGCACTAATCCCGCATCAAGACCGCCTAGGACCTAACGCAATCCCTTCATACATGGCTGCCTTGGATGCTGTCAAGGCTTATCCTTGGAGATAACATCATTCAGATTCGATCGGGTGAATGAGCTGTATCCACACGCTTGTGTGATACCCTGACTTCCTGCAACACTGCGACGGACACAGGTAAGCACCCGACCTCAGACTAAACGGTATATAACTGTGAGCAATGGAGCTCTATCATCTCCTCATACCCCTCTCTATATTCCTTGACTGCTACTCATCATGCTTGCGATGCGCCGTTCTATCTTGAACAAGGTTGCCAACGCTTCGTCATCCCGCTTGGTAGCCCGGCCCACCTCCTGTCCTCGGAGTGTTGCATCGATTTCGTCTGCAGCCATCTCTTCAGATACGAAGTATGAGGCTGTCACCCTGCAGCCTATCTTCGACATTTTCGACGCCCCCGTGCGGCTCGGGGAGTCGAGCAAGGCGCTCGGTCGCACGGGTCATAGTGCCCCCAAGCCTATCGTCAACGCTATCGACGAAGTCGACGGTGAAAAATCACGAAAACTCAGCATGTCCATGCTGCCGACATCTCTTCCCCCTCCCATTACTTTCGACGGTCCTGCACGACCTCCCCATCTCGTCGGCCTCGCATTTGAGAAACGCCGCAAAACCCGCCTGCACCTCTCGCCCTCGCTCCGCCGTGAGGCACATACGCCATCGGTGCCTCGCAGCTCACTTTCTGATGCTGTGTTCACCATCTTTGACGGGCCATCAAGGATCACTCGATACCAGTACCCTTCTTCATCTCAGGTAAGACTTGCCTCTCAAGCGCTCGTCGGCGTTACTGACGGTTCGTCTTATTAATTCTTAGGGGTCATCATCACAGCCTTACTTGCTGTTTGGCTTGGTGCTCTCTGGTGTGGTTGGCTGGCTAGCCTACCAAGAACACATGCAGACCCGTAGACCCACCTCCCGCTCCTTGTAGGGCGCATGGCGATTTTCTTTGTAAGTTTAATATTCGTTTTCGGTTCACGCCCACGTTCTGATCGGTATATCAGACGTCGATTTTTCCCCGTAGAAAACTACGTCAGCTCGGAATCTCAGCTGACCGGTAGGCTTCATATGGAGGTTCTCATACCTTATTTCCTCGGCTCCCTTGAGCCAAGGGAGCCACGATCGCCCTTTGCTTATCTTTATTTGGATACCACGCCGCCATTTTCCATTGCATTCCCCAGAGAATACCTCGCATTGATGTACAACACCCTTCACACGCTTGCAGCGGTCCTAGAACTTGCTTGATGTATTTGTATTGTCTTTTTTGTCTAGATAGAACGGCGTGCTACAGCTACACACTGAAGTCTTTGTACATGACACGATTTCGCAGTAGTTAAAATCGGTAGATGTCACACAATTTCAAAGATAACTTACCCGAAGCAACACGTTATTGCGATGCTTGAGATCTTGCCAGCCGGGCTTTTCGGTAACTCGTCGAATCGACTTCGGAGTCGGTGGTGCTTGGCTGCCGAGGAATACGAATATTAACTGCACTGGTTCTATGGTGATAGCGCTAGTTACTGGCTGTTATTGGCCGCCTCAGAGGCTTGGCATTGATGCAGACGCTAGGCGCCCGACCTTCCCATTAATCGGATACGCACACGCTAGCCATTCCTATGGTCCACCGCACTGCTCGATTCGCCACTCTAACTCCTGACGAAGACACACGTAAGCCTGGGAGAAGCAAGGAGGCTGACAATATTTACATTTTAGATTGCAAACCTTGAACCTTAGCTGCGAGAAGCATGGTATTTTGGATGGATGGACAGGTACGCGGGAGGGCCAGACCTGTATAAGAATAAACGGGCGGAGATAATCCCAAGAATGAGGACCAAATCTTGTCGTACCCAGCTGCTAGCCAGTACGAGACATAAGATCGCCGTGTCAAGATAATCTAGAATTCTGCGTCCGCTGAACGCGGGGCGACGAACAAGGTTGCTACGCCGAAGGGGTCATTCATCGGTTTGATCGCGAAGAAAGTTGCGAAATCGAAAGAGTAGCGTGCGGGTACCTGCCACCTCGCTGCAACGCCAAGCCATGTGAACTCATGATTATCTGAAGCAGTTATCCCCGCTGAATGGCCAGAGCGCTCCTACAGCCTGTGCAGCAGCGCTTGTTATCCCAGGATGCTTCGATGTCAAGACTCACCTGCGCTTTGATTCCTTATATTTTAAGGCATGCAGCAGAATCAGAAGGTGTACTTGTGTAGTTTACATGCCACATACAGTTCATCAGATAGGTGTGTGTAAGTGTCAGTGAGTGTTAGAATAAGTGAGTCCGTGAGATCGTCAAGGTGGTAAGATCTAGAGATCGACGAAATTGACTTGCCTCCGATCATCAAATTGATGTCTATCCTACCGATAGAATAAATTGGAGAAACCAATGTGAATAGGGTAGAGGGCTCACGCAGTCTCTGGCGTGAGACCTCAGGCCTTGAGTCTCATGGGAAGCACACTGACGCTCGCCGGTGATACGCTCATGACCCGCTCCTCTGAGGAGCGATGCATCTGCATCTAGCCTGGGCCTGTCGCGTATCAGCGGCCCGCGGGAAGTACAACAGTCGCATCCCATTGATTAGAACGCAGAGCATGAGTAGAGCACGCTGAGATTGAAGGACCAACAATACGGATCACCAAGCCAGCCACCTTCTTAACGACTGGTGGAAACAGGATGTACTACATCCAAGGGACCGAGGCACCGAGAGGGTCGCGTAACAGTGCATGCGATTAATGATCAGCGGGAAAGAAGCCCTGCGGTCCGAATTACGCGGGTGCGCTTATGAAAGCCTGACGAGAATGTGCCTAGTAAGCATTAGCAGGCGTCAGGCTTCTTCGAAGGATACCCCGCATAGCGCTCTGGAAATCCGGTTAGTCGGACGGTTCACCATTGGTTCAGCAATTCACTTACCCCGCATTTCCACTATTGGCTTGGACGCGCCTGAGCGAAGCTGACTGAGGTTAGCTCTCCCATTCGAATGGGGTGGTACCTATTTGGTTGGTCGGGATTGGCCATTTCCACTATCTGAGCTTTGCTGCGGATTGAGTTAAGGCGAGAGAATGTTGCGTTTATCTGAGTGACATCCTTGCACCATAGACAGTCGAAATCACGATAGGCAGCCGGCGGAGGAGTACGTTTTACCGAGCGTTATAGAGGTTTCACAAAACAATAGCCTGCAGGGCATACTTTTAACCAGCATTGCCGAACGTTGAAACGTCCACTGACAGGACAACATCAACCGTATAATGTGTCTAATGTACCGTGGCGTGTTCAGATTCGATACCACACCATGAGGTACATCACGGAACGAAGAAGTAAACGAAACGAAAGCTCACGAAGGGAAGATACTCGGCGTCAAGGTAACATCCTCGTGCATTCTTTCTAGCGCCGGACCCTCACTCAATCATCCTGACAAGTCAATGCACCAAGAACAATGAATCAATATAACAGGGCAAAGCAGAAACAACGTGGTAGAAATACAAAATTAGCACGGGCGCGACGTCATACCCCAAGATCATGCTTTAGTCGTTCTCATCGCTTAGCGACGGTGGGGGCCAGAAACCACTGCTTGGGCATCCCGGAGGGGCGTTTCTGGGGCGTCACCTTCGAAGCATCCTTGGTTCGCCGGAACTGCTCCGCCTGCATAAGCAAAGTCAGACAAGGGTCGCGCGATACAGAAGGATGTCTCAAGATCAACGACTTACACTCCACAGCCGTCCATCGCTCATGACGAATTTAAGACTAGGAACTAACATCACCAGCTCCCGCATCGCCTCCCGCGTCAGGACGACCTGGTGGGAGGAATGCGATTCGGCAACGTCGACGAGATCGCGGATGGTGTCCGTCATGGCCATTGCCACCGCAAATTCGCGCTGTCGAAAAAAAAAAAGAATAAGCGCCCACCTATAGAAAGCAGGAAATCGAGACGAGATAAGCTTCAAACACTGACCATCTCCTTCCTCGGGAACGGCACCTCGAGTCGCTCCAGCAAGGTACATTGCCTCGTCACCTTCCTGATGGAATCGATGGACAGATGGCAGTCAAGGAAGACAAGCCGCGTGAGCGTCATCGAGAATGCGTTCACGAGCTCGTCGACGACGGTCTCAGGCCGCAGCTTGAGCGGCTCCGAGAACTTTACAATCAGCGTGCGCACAGGAAGCACCGAGGTGGTGCAGATCTGGAAGAGCGAGATGACCGCCGATGGCAAGAAGCCCTGCCGGACGTCGAGTGCGAGGTGGTGCAGACCGGGAAGCTCGAGGCGGGATGGAGTAGGCGGACAGGTGTCCTATGGGTTGTTCCTGGTGAGTCTCAAGGGGACGGCAGCTGAAAACAACCCAATGCTTACAAACATCGTGAAACCAAGCTCTTCAAGTCCAGGGACCATGCTGATGAGGGACAGGAGAACGTTGTGTGTTATCTGGGGACAGCCTATCATGTATAGGGATCGCAGACTAGGAAGCGACGAAAGCAGCTTTGACAACACCCCCTCATGAATGTCCAGCGAGTTCTAAGCATATTCAAAGGCAGTGACATAAGAGTATATCCAGCCAAAAGGAGCGAAAGACCCACATAAATCGACAGCCGTGTCAAATTCCCCGCCAGTGTGCTCGTCCAGCCCGGCAAGACGTCGATAGTGCTCCACGTCGGAAAGTCCAACATCAGACGACGCACCGAGCGCAGCTGCACGAGAATCTTCGCCTGCTGGCTCGTGAGCGGCGCTTGGATGTGCAGGTGGACGAGGCGCCCTTTGTTCTGCAGCGCAGGGAGCAGGGTGGGCATGATCTTTGGGTAGCATATGAACGTCGAGAGGTTCACAGACAGGGAAACCGTCTTGGCGCATTCGGCGAGGAACTGCGGGTGTATCTGACCCCGGATGCGTGGGACGGCTTGAATGTCTATATGTAAAAGAGGAGGAAAAAGGGAGGGTTTCGAGTGAGAACGGGTGAGACACGGGTAAACTGGTTGAGATCTACCGATGTTACGAACATGCACGGCGAGATCGGGGTGATCCTGGATTGTGGTGAAGGGGCTTATTTGCTTTCAGTCAATCCCTAGGTCAGCTTCACGTCGTGTAGTGCCATAGAGTGTCGACGTACCGACGAATACTGCTTCGCGTGGCGTGCCTTGTACGCTATAGTGGCGTACAACATTGGTATGACACCAGCCAGGAAAGAGCGGCTGACGAGCGAGACTGAGGCGAGGTCATTTCCAGAGAGATATGCGAAGACGAGCTCGAGAACGTCGAGATGGAGGTTGTCTGCGGAGACCATGGCTGCGAGAGCCTCGGGCGCTGTACGCTGCTGTACTGCACAAGACGCGCAACAAGACACGGCAGAGATCATCCCCACGTGGCGGATATTAGCTTCAGCCCCTGTCTCGCTCACTAAGGTTGTTGGTCCACGTCTTAGTTTATCCACTTGAGCCAACGCCCTACATCATACTTTGCGTAAGGCCTCCCCACCGCAGGGGGAAGGTTGTCATGATGACAGACCGAGCTTGGAGTCACGGAGATGGTAAGTATAGCACATAACTAGTCCTACAGTATATATGCGTCTACAGCAGGACACTACCATGGCATACCCCTCCTTTCCTCATACGATGAGCTCACAGTTAGAACGCCCGTCTCACTACGTCCTCGCTACAGTCAACTACTTTGCCTCCACAGATAACAAAGCCCCTTATCGCTACGCTTCCGAACCTCCAGAGGGCGTTCCAACGACCAACGTCGCCGAGGAGCCGCACAAAGTGATTATACGCGATGTGCGGGCCAGACCCGACGCAACTGGACTCGACAAGACCGGTTTCGAATTTCTGCTATATCCTAGCAAGGAGGCGAACTTTGACAACGAAGAGAGGGTCAAAAAAGAGTACTACGCTGAAGTGGAAGATATTTTGAAAAAGCGCACAGGCGCCCATAGAGTCTTCATCTTCGATCATACCATCAGGTGAGGAATGCTCTCAGGAATGTCTCGAGCAAAGCTGATCAAACGCCAGAAAACATGAGAGCAAAGAAGACAGGCCAAGTAAAGAGTCGAGGAGCCATGTGGTAAGTCGACTTTAGTAATTGTTCACAGTCGAATGTTCATCTTATTGCTTGCAGCAAAGAGTCCACATCGACCAGACGACGGAAGCTGCTGTCCAGCGTGTGCGTGATCACATGGGAGACGAAGCCGAACAGCTGTTGAAGGGCCGCTTCTGCATTATTAACGTCTGGAGGTGAGCCTAAAGTGCCATATTCAGATCAGCTGAGTGACCGAGAGCCCTAGACCTATCGAGAACACGGTTGCCCACAGTCCTCTCGCACTAGCGGATTACCGTTCCATCGACAAAGAGAGGGATTTAGTGGCGACGCGGCTGCTATATCCAAACAAGGTCGGAGGCACATTCGATGTGCGATTTAACCCTTCACACGAGTGGAAGTATCTTGCGGACCAGACCATAGACGAGGTGACGCTGATCAAGTGCTTCGATTCCGACGCTAGCAAGGCCCGGATGACGCCGCACACCGCGTTCTGGGACCCGACGAGTCCGGCTGATGCACCCGAGAGGCAGTCGATAGAAGTCAGGGCGTTGGTTTTCATTAACGATAAAAACGAAAGTTTGCGGGCAGCGCTCTAAGAGAGGAAGTATAGAGATCAGCGTTTATTATCATGAGAGCACGATGGTGCAGCATGGCACAAGTATGGCAGGTTGTTTGTAGTGTGCCATGTAGACATACATTTGTACGGATCTAGCATTTCTATGATCGAGTTCTCCGATTAGAGCCAGCCGGGGTTAGGTCTGCCTGCCCGACAGATTGAAGTATTGAATATTCATATGCATGTCTCTGTGAATTGGCTCATTGGTGGATAAGCAAGGTTTCTCGGCCGGAGTTGTGACTCAGATACTAGAGGACACTGGCAAGAGGTGGTTCTCGTTGATATTAGGGAAGATGATTTTTAGTGGCCTGCTGTGGTGGCAATTGCCCTTTCTGAAATATTACTGAAGCTCCTGAAGACGTGAACGGGGAGGCAGTGGGCAGGGGTAGGGGGCGGAGAAGATCGACATCAGGGCTCGAGACTTGGGAAGGAGAAGCGATTTCCATTTTGGGGGAGTGTTTTTGGTGTTTTTGTCACGTGTTGTGATCTCACGTCTCACGCGCACGAGCCATGCCAATTTCCCGTTCGGGGTTGATCGAATACGCATCTTGAGTCCTTGTCCGTCGCCTGAGCCGGCAGACACCAGACAACTCCCTCTGCCGCCGTCGACGCTGACAACGATGGCCGGCTCCATTGCCTCCCTCGGCTCCCTAACCCCCTCCCTCTCCCCTGCCCCCGACGACGACCTCGACCTCCCCGACGCAGAACACACACAGGACGCCGGCATGGACGGCAGCTCAGAGCTATCAGAGCTCACAGAAGACGAGCAGGAGCAGGACCACAAGAAGTCCAGCCCTACCAAACTCAATGACAACCAAGACGAGGAGGATGACGATGATGAAGACGACGACGACGACGAAGACGGGAACGGCATACGCCAGTACGGCAGTCGCGCTGCGAAGAAAAAGCGTGGTGGGTTGGTCCCAGCGCCCATGTGGGGCTGGGCCACATCCAGGAGCAAGAAGGCCGACTCGCGCAGCGGCCCAGACGCCGAAGAGGAGGAAGAGGAGGAGATGGCCGGGCCACCCCGCGCCATGGAGGAGGAGGAGGAAGACGAGGATGGCGAGTCTGCCCCTCGGAGCCTCAACGGCCACCCCATCGGCGACGACTATGACGACTCCCCCTACCCAGACCCCTCCCTTCCAGGGCCCTCTAAGCCAATCTCCAAGTCCCATCACAGTTCCAACCGGGACGCATCCGCCGCCGATGCCCTCACCCAACTCCGAGCGCCTCGGAAGCAGGCTCCGTTACCGGTATCCGCCAACGACGAAGATATGGACCGGGAAGGCGACGAAACAGAGGACGAAGACGAAGACGACGAAGAATCCACCTCTATCAAACGTCCACCAGCCCCTGCGTCGCGGTGGCGACGGCCCTCCATCCTCCAGCCCATCCAGCCCGACGGGTCCGACCTCAGCGAAGGGGATGATGAAGATGAAGATGCCACCTCCACCCGCCGAAAACCGCCAGCCAACGGCAGCGATGTTGAACTCGACGCTCAAGATGATCCAGAAACCGAAGACGAAGACGACAACGCGCCACTGGCTGAAGACCTCGACCCGGACGCAGAGGCTCCAGACGCAGGTCTCATGGGTGTCGACAGCACTGCGCCACTTGCATCCTCCATCGGCCCCATAGCTGCAGCTGCAGCTGCGACATCCATTACTGCAGGTTCAGGAGTTATCGACCCCCCTTCACCCAGCTCATCCTCTGCGTCAACGCCCACATCCTCACGTTCTCCTTCTCCTATGCAAGATGACCCTCCTCTCGTGAACGGCAAGGCCAAGAGGAGGGACAAGAAGGTCGGCACAGAGGAAACGCCAACAGGCCCTTTTTCGCGCGGCACAGACGCGAAAGTGCGCGCTGAAGAACCCGATGCCGTTCAGGAGGACCCAGACGACCTCGACGCAGATCAGGATCTTGATGTGGAGCTTGAATCCGACTTGCAACCAGCTCATCGGGCTGAAGCTTTAGATGTCCTAGCAGCCATTGAGCTCAAATTTGCTCTTCTCCGTGAACGGATATACGTAGAAAAGATGGAGGGGTTGGCATGGGAGGAAGCTCTTGTCAATGAAGGTACGTTCCTCCTGTTATTCGCTTGAAATCTATATTCATGGGGCACACACATAGACATTCACCCAGAACTGCTACATTTACAAGACGAACTATCAAAGCGTCGCGATAAGCGGCTGGCTTTAGCGGCTCGAAGGCGCGACTATGACGTCAAAAACGTGGTCGCTCACCGAAAGGCCGACGAGAAGGGAGTCTGGAATTGGTGGACAGTGCGTTGTCTCAGATTTCACGTTTTTGCCTCGCGTTTAAGTGAAATGATCAGCATTCCCGCGACGAATTACAAGTGGAAATGATAGCTGAGACCAACAGAAAGCGCAGAAAGCTAGAAAGGGAGAGAAGGGCCTTCGAGAGGCCTCAACCCCGTACGCGTCGCGTCCTTAACTCTATCCATGTCATTTGCTCACGTCAACACAAGTGCGAAAGACACCTATCTTCATACGCGATATCCCCGAAGGTCCCTCGCTTCGCCAGGCGGCAAACACGCATCCTCTCGGGCCTCGGTCGTCGAGGAAGCGCGGTTTCTCCTTGGTTGACTTCAGCCCCGCGTCATTCCCCGACCTTTCTACCCTCTCGGCAAGCGATATCTCGGCCGACCTCGAGCTGGCTTATCAGCACAGGCGCCAGGCGTTTGATGCCGCCCAACGCATGCCGGGGCCGTCGATGAATGGGGCGGGGATGATGCAAATGCCTTATGACGGCTATGCACCAAACGGCATGCCCCTCATGGACGGCATGATGCCCGGTCCCGGGATGGGTTTGCCCCCTGAGATGCGCATGCGCCAGCCCATGGACATGCCTCCCCCCATGCCCAACCAACCATCGTCCTTCGCAATGGGCCAGCCGCCGCTTCGTCAACCTATGGGGATGCACGGTATCCAGTCGCCGTCGGCTTTCGTGCTCGACCGGGATCCAATGCACAGCGTAGGCGGACCGCCACTGTCGCACCACCCTCACCAGCAACAGCAGCACTACGGAGGCCCTCCCAACATGTCTGGCCTGGCAAGTGGCATGGCGCGTCCCATGTCTCCGATTCAAGCTCTTGCAAACGGCCCTGGCATAGTCGGCCCTGGCGTGAGCGGCGGACCCAGCAAGCCGGGCAGCGACTTTGGCGGCGTCGGACGTGTTCTTAACCTAAGCGGCGCTGAACACCTGCCGCGGCACACAGGTGGGATGGATTGGAGCGAAGGCCGCAGACGCGATCCGGGGCCAAGCATGAACGGAGATGAGTTTGCGCGGCCACGTGATCGTGCTGCTGGGGGTGGCGAGAAGGTCATTCTTCGCGAACGCGACTATGCCATGCGAGACTCTCAGGAGCCGGATCGTGGGATGGGGCAGCAACAACGCGAACGTGAACGGGAGCGAGAACGCGAAAGGGATAGGGAGAGAGAGCGGGAGCGCGTAGCGCAATCTGGTGGAACGCACAGGCACTCGCATCCGCATGCACATAGTCATGCGCCTGCGCCTGCGCATCATCATCATGTGGTATCGCATCATCACCATAGGCCGCATCACCACCATGTCGTGCATCATCACCACCCACCTCCTGGTGGACCTGGTGTGCCGAGCGGGAACGCGTCTTCTGGCCCGCCCCCGCCGCCTGGATATGCGAATGGACCTGTTCCTGGAGAATTCGAACCTGGACATTCACGCCCCAGTTCCTCGCACAACATCGAGATTATCAATGTTTCCAAGCCATCTCCGACTTCTTCCTTGCCACACTGGAAGCGGGACGAGCACGAGGGCCGGGACGCGCGGACTAAGCAGAGCCATAGCCGACCTCCGTCGACGAACCCAGCGTATGACGACCGTGATCGGCCGGCGACGACGCCATTCGCGATTCCGCCGTCGCAGCCCTTCGCTGGTGGCCCTGGTGGGCCGTCGCCTGGGCTCTCAGGTCCGGCAAGCTTGTCGCATGCGCCCTCGCCGCGCAATGCGTGGTTAAATAGCCAAGATGAGCCTGGTGCGCGTGGTGCACCTCCCCTGTCCGAGGCCGACCGCTTTGCCTCTCCGGTACCTCATCGCTACAGCGGTGGTGGTGGCCTTGGGCAACCACCGTCTTCTCGGCCCGCTCAGCCTTCCGCCCTCTCGCGGCCCAGCTCTATTGGCCAATCTCCACCTCGGAACAGAAACCTTCCGGGGCCCCCAAGCCCTTCGTCGCCCATGCCATACCCGCCTCCATCGGGCGGTGCGGGCGTTCATTCGCCCTCGAGGTTGTCCTCTGCGACGATGCTGAGTCACTCAGACGCGCCATCGACTTCAGGGTCTTCGTCTGCAACGGTTATCGGCGGCCCAGCCCACCCCCTTCCGCTCGCAGGCACTGGCTCGACCAGCCCGCATATGAAGCCCCGCCGGCCTGGGTCCCCCGTACTACACTCATCAACATCTTCGGTAAAGCAGACGGGACCTTCGGCCCCGCTCGCTGGGCCGGGCCAGATGCCACCTCCGCTGGTTATCGACAGGGACAGAGATAGGGACAGAGACAGAGACGGACGCGACAGCAGGGACCGTGCAGGCTCCGGCACCGAGCCCACGCACTCCTCAAGCACCACCACCACCACCACCACCACCACCGCACCGCGCACTGCGTCACCCTTGCTCCCGTTCGTGAACGGACCCGGCTCACGGCCGGGCCCGTCGCTGCACAATCCTGTCAAGGTGAACGCGATCCAGATGATGGACGGTCCTTAGCACGCTCCTCGCTCCTCGTTTCTCTCCGTTCTCCATTCTCTGCTTCCCCGCTATCCACTTCCACTCATACTTACGCTTACCCGGGTCATTACTTCTTCGGGGCTTGTTCGTCCTCGTCGCTTATATTTTATTTACAGTAGTGTTATCGCTGTACCGCGCAATTTTTTTTTTACTTTTACTGTTTTCCGATGTCCTCCGTACGTACTACGTGTTAGTGTACACCAACCGCAATCTATCGATGTTGAGTTTTTCGGATTACATGGTCGGGAGACCTGGGTGACAATGTTAGTTTCAAATCGCCTGGAATGAACAATGGCCTTTGTCAGAAGCAATCACCCAATTAATGTTCGTGATAATGCCGAATTTTCATACCCTTTTAACCTTAGCTATCCTCCAATGCCTCAACACTTTAGCTTCATCTCCATTAGGTGGCCGTCACTCAGTGATACGGATTTTTGCAGTTCATAAATATCCGTACTGCAACACGGTTCCTGGAGTCGCTAACCAAGATGAAGAGACCGCATCAGGAGTCTGCTGGGCTATTTCAAGATGTTTTTTGCAATAGAGGGCTCGGCGTGTGGATAGGTGACCCTGGGTCTCCGTCACGGTTTCTTGTCGAAGGATGGTCACGGCCTAGTATTTCCTCAAAACTAAAGCAACCCAACACATACCAAGAAACTCAGAACAAGATATCCCGATATGAGCACCAAGAGTTCGATGTGGGCTTCAGCAAAGATGCTACCAGACTGTGTTCCCGTATGCAGCGTGCACGGTCTTTCGCAGTGAATTATTTTATTCAGATACTTAACAAAAAAAGTACAATACATGGGAGATATTAAGCATAAAACGTGTGCTGATGAGCGAGAGTGGTGGCTTGCTAAGTCCCTCTTCATACCGTTGTTGTTGCCCCATTTCCGTCGAGCCGAGTGATTATGAAGAAGAAGAAAAAGAACAGAGAATTTGAAGCTAGAAATCCCCAAGATCCACCTCCACGGAGTCGATGACGGACGCCTGGAAGCTCTTCGGTTTGTCAGATGCTGCCGGGGTACCTGAAAGAGCGGACGGGGGAAGCGGTGACACGGGCCGGAGCGCGTCCTTCTCCGCTTTCACTTGGGGGGTTCCGTTTGCGTTCGGCGTGCCAGACCTGTCGACAAGCAAAATATAGGGAAGGTCGACGGAAGTATCCCTATTATCAGCCAAGCAACAACACGATCACGCGAAGAAAAACGGGGTACGACACGCACCTTGACTGATCGCTGAACATCTTTGGTATCGTGCGCAGCCTCGCACTCGGGTCCACAGGCGTGCTCACGCCCGACCCGTTCGCGTTCGCTAGCTTGCGCTCCTTGCGCTTTCTCTCCGCCTCTAGCAACTCGGCCTTGCGCACTGCCTCCATGTTAGCCTTGCGATTCCGCTCGTTGACTTTCAACAGGCGGGCGGCGAGGTCGTCTTCCTCCGCGACGCGCGTCGCAGCGACCTCGGGCAGCGCGGCTAGCTTCACGTCGATCTCGGCGACCTCGACGGCGTCCTGCCGGCGTAGGGCAAGTGTGCGCGCCTGGTTGAGCCGCGAGCGCTCCATGGTGATGGCCGCGGCGGACTGCACACCCGACGAGAGCTGATTCTTCCGCGCGAGCATCGCCGTGATGTCGCTCTGGGATTCGCAGGGGTGTTAGCAGCGTGCAAAATAGCGCGGGCAGGGGAAACAAGATCGGGTTTACGTACGTCTGTCATGCGCTGCGACACCAGCCTCGCCATCTGCTCCTTCTTCTTCTCGATCGCCCTCCGCGTCGGCATCGCGACGTGGTCCGTTAAACACGCGTACTTGAGCCGGTCCCACTCCTTCTCTGGGAAATCCGAGTTCGAGACCTTGTCCATGTTGAACGCGCGCACCGACTTGCCATGCTTGAGCTCGATCGCGCGGTCGATGAGCGTGTCGTTGATCTTGTACGGCTTCGTCAAGTTCATGGCCAATCCTTTGTGTCCATTTGGGGGCGTGAAGTAGGGGTCATGTGCGCGTCTGCATTGGATACTGACCTGAGATCTCGCATATCCGGTACACTGGCTGACCGTCCTTCTCGTTCCCGATGAGATATCGCACCCATGCGCCTAACACAATCCGTGAGCGCGAAAAGGTGGCGAGCTTGGTTAAAGTCCTGACCTTTAACATAGTCCTCAAACCAAGGAGCTAAGCAGTGTCTTGCAAGCATATCTCGAGAAACGCGGATAGCCATGAGGTCATAGCGGGTAATAGGCTCGTCGTTGTTGTCGTCCTTTGACTTTCTCGAGAACTTGCGCAACATATCGTCATCCTCTTCGAATTTGGATATTTGGCCGTCCTCTTCCTCGCCCGATGACGTCTCCATGTCCATGGGTGACGAGTCTCTGTCGCCCTTGGGAGAGTTTGTCCGTGTCTGACCAATAAGTCATAAGCACGCAGGAGCAAAAAGGTCATGAGGAGAGAAGCGCACTCTTTTCTTCTGCTCCTTGGCTCTCCGCTTCGCCTTTAGCTCATCCAGCTTACTTGACTTCTCCTTAGTCGCGCCACGGGCCGCGTGCTGACCTGCAGGTAACAACATACATAAGAAAATCATATTCACGTCGACAGGGATGATGAGACACAGTACGTTTGGCCGCCTTTACTATACTATCACTTCCATCTGCTCCCGCCTTTTGTGCCTTGAGCAAGGCATCGAGGTTTTTGCTGTCCTGCTTGCGCTGCAACTGTTCCATCCGCGAGGCGAGGATCTCTTCACGCTCGATCTCAGTCATCTCGAGCAGCCTGGTGAAGTTTGACATCGTTAAAGACCAGGGTGAATGGTAGAGGAGGTTGTGCATTACCTCTCCCGGTCCGCTTCATCAACATACTTGCCCTCCAGCGGGAAAGGGTTCAAGTCGTCCTCGCTGTCCACATCCCGATCGGACTCGTCGGATCCCATTGAAACACTGCGTATCATCAGTAAGCCTAGAGTAGCAGAGAACAATAGTTGCGGTGCAGAGACTCACTTGGACTTTGCCTTCTTGTTGGAATGGTTCGAGGACTGGCGTTTTCTGCGCTTCTTCTCCGTGGCACCAGCGAGCTCGAGGAGCTCGTCGGAGAAGTCGCCTTCAGAGTCAGACATGATAAGAAAGTATTAGCAGAAGAAGAAAAGAATGAAAAAGTAAGGAGAGCAAGATAAAACAACAGCGGCAGAGGCAGAGGCTGGATTCGTCCAGAGTTGGACAACAGCCGTCGTGGACACTTTCGGCATACCCGAGGACAGCCTGTATTTGGTCATGTTTGGATGTAATGGTGGCTGTGCATACCAGGTCGTGGACTGAATAGAAAGGCAAAACAAAACTTAGACAACAAGTGATCATCATTCTCCTGCTCATGTCTGCTCGGTAATGACCACTTTCTTCCGCTCCGCCTTGGGCTTGCTTTCTCCTGCCCGCGTGTGTTTCCGTCTCCGCTCCTCCTTGACCTGGCGCGCGTCCAGCATCGTCCGCTTGAGCTTTGCCGCCTGGTACACAGGCTTGGGAATGTTTCGCCGCCTGCGCGAAGAGGAAGAGAAGGTCATTCAGTCTTCTGTATGAATGGATGAATGGATGAATGAATTCATGGAAGTGCTTGCACGTGGAAAAGCGCTTCATATCCCACCAACTCCGTGCAGACGCAAACTCAAAAAGACGAAAGAGAGCACCCACCGAGCGATCTTCCCAACTTCGGAGTCGTACTTCCAGCGTTCCTTGAGCGTCTCCCGATACTCGATCGCAGCGCGTTCTCTGGCGGTGATGATGCCCAGCTTTTCCGATGCCTTCGCCTTCCAGATCCTTACGTTGCCATCGTCAGACCCGGTCATCACGAACCGCGCGTCTCCTGAGAAAAGCGAAGAGGAAACTCTGTGCAATTGGAGTCAGTTTCTACAGAACAGCCAGGAACGTGGTGAGATGATGCATTACCTCTGCATTCGTTTTGTATGGTAGACCTCCGGATTCGTTCCCTGCCCTTCCTTCCATATTCGCACCGTACGGTCCCAGCCACCACTCACGAACTCTAACCCCGTCGGCGCCCAGTCACAACTCATCACGGCAGCAACGTGACCCTTGTATATTTGTGTAGGGTTCGTCAACTGACGGACATCAAATGTGTAGAGGTTATGGTCCTCGGAAGCTAGAAGAACGGACGTAGGGAACGTTGGTGACCATGCCAAAGCATTGCTTCTCATCTTGATAAATACTGTAATTAACTGCACTGGTAGCTTGATGATGAACCGTGGCGTGCATACCTGCATAATCACCCTGCGTTCGGCCTTGCCTGTCCGGATGTCGTAGAGTGTGAACGTGCGGTCTGAGCCAATACTTCCCAAAATCGACGTTTCGCTCAGGTTAAATCGGACGGAAGTGACGGTTTCCGTCGAAGTGGGGAAAGTGAGATTCGATATGGCTGAACTCCTGCGAATGGATGGATTACAGCTGGTTCGACGCAACGCTGTGAAGCTCACTTTGTCTCATCCCAGATCTGCACGGTAGTGGAAGCTGTGGCGAAGAGCGGGTCTGACCGGTGATGGTCTATGGCGCTAAATTCAACATTATATGTCAGACGGTGGCTTTTCGGAAATTGAAAACACGGTACTTGAACGCGGATTTTCCAGGGAAAACGTTCAGGGGTTTTGGTTGCTGGGCGGCCAATATCAGGATTGGATGCAGACAAGCCAGCAGCGTGACAGCTTACCGAGACCTCATCTGATTGGGGCGATGCATCCCACAGTTTTACGCTGCTGTCGACGCCGCAACTCAGGAGCCTGTGGCCACCCGCGAAACACACGCCGGAGACCTTGCCTTGATGTGCGCCTTGTATGCGGCAAATTCTGGACCGCTGAGAGAGGTTATGGACGATCACGCCTGGAGCAGATTGAAAACGCGTTGAGATGCTGCACATAACAAGAGCACAAGCAAGCAGACAGACACGCACATACCTCCATCCCAGCTACCACTCGCTATTGTGTTTACGGACCCCGGTTTTTTGGACAAGACTTCGACGGCATCAATGTGACCGCCGAGACTGCCGACAAAAGGTTTTGCAAAGATACGCTCCATCTTGGCGGCATTGAGGGCGCGGGTGCGCTCGCGTGCGCGTGAAAATGGATGGAGGAGGGGATCGAGGTTGCGGGAGGTGGGGATGGGGTCGCCTGGTCTGTTTGGGAGGTGTGCGGAGGGTGCATGTTGCAGCACGGATATTTTCTGTTGCGGATAATATGTTATTTAGATGACAAGAGCATGGCCTGTGTATGTTGTCACTCACCACCATGATGGCCGAGACGGGAGCGGGAGCCCCTTTGGAAGGGATGAGAGATAAAATCGCCGGGTCGGACACCGGCGGAAGGGCCTGGGAAAAGGTGTCATATAACAAATACAGCCTTCCTTATCGGGGGAGGTCGTAGAATGAGAATGGCAATCATGGCAACGGTGCGGATTTGCTCATGGCCCCTGAGCCTCACTGGTAGTCTGGTAGCTGTGAGCCATGAGAGAGAGTCTCGTCCTCGTCTCCAATGGCCTCTTCTCTATTTTCCCATTTCTCCTCTCCCCCACTATCTGCTGACGCGCACTGGACCTGGCGTCCCCGTTTCCTTCCCCTTCTCCCTTTTGCAGCTTAGGTCCTGCATAATCTCCGCTCCTTCCAGGCAAGACGCTCCTTGCACCTAGGTCCATTCCCCACGTTTCGCTGGCTGGCCACCTTGAAATGCGTGTCTGCACGCCGACCCTTCAAGAATACAGTTGTCAATGGATCAACTGAGCTCTCTCTGCCTCTCCGTCACTCCAAACTTTCGCTGCGTCTCCCTCTCCACCCTCCAGTCCGCCGCTCTCATCATCCCCTCCGGCCTAGAGTTCTTCTTCTCCCTTTCGCTCGCCCTCACAAAAGGAAAATCTGATCTGTGCGTCCGAATTCATCTCGGCTCTTCCAAAACCAGACTCCGAGGTCCTATTTTTCTGACCGACCCAACAGAAACTCTCTTCTCCTTGCTCTTGACGGCATCTCCTTCTTCGCTGTTGCTTTGATTGATCTCCTCTCGCACGTCCTACGAGAACCCATGCGCTCAGAGACCGTCTTCAAGGCTCTCGACATCACTATTGGTAAGCTACTCTCCCAGGCAACCGCCTTGCAGGAACTGAGCTGATCTGGGACCAAGGCGTACTTTCTTTCATCCCGCTCTTACTATATACCACATTTCTATTCAAGGTTACCTTATTTCGCTTCCTGCCATATCTCCCGCGTAGGCTGCAGAGTCTACCCAAGCTGCTGTTCGTTCTACTCATTCCTATAATTGTGGCGGCCAACGAAGTTGCATCGTTCGTAGGCTTCAAAATCGGTGGGTATCCTGTTTGTTCAGCTTCACTAGAATTTCCCTAAATTTGTCTCAGAAATGGAAACGGAAAATGGACGCAATGTCATAGGCATTCTGTTTTCCAATCGAAATCCGATGCTCTGGTATTCGCTCAGCGCGTTTTCCCTGGCCACGTTCACTGCTACTCAGCTCTTATTCTTTCTATTCGCGTTCTTTCGGATGGGAAAGGCCCTCGCCAACCAGCGGCGTATAGAAACCGGCCAAACAGATGAACACCATTTCTTGAACGGAATAGTCTGGATGACAGGAGGGATAAAGATAGGAGCGATCGAGACCATCGTAGGTTTTTCGCCTGGTCTTTTCGCAGTCCCACTGGCTCGCAGGATACTGCGCCTGGTAGGGCGTTCCTGCCTTATAATCGGAGTCTTGAAAGGGTGAGAACACGATGCGCTGAATTCTGTTTTTCTTAGAACGCGTGGATGTACTGATGGTTGCCCTGTAGATTCGACAAGGTGGAAAACTTTGAGAACCTGACAGACGAGCTGCTCCGGGCGTCTCGGGCTTCGCGGACAAAAAGCAAGCGCTTTTCTAACTTCCGTGGGCTGATCAGCAGCCGGCCCTTCAGCTTTCTCAGGAACCCGAATGCCGCGGAGCCCTACTCGCCTATTCGTGAGCTCGCCAAGGAGACGAAGGGACAGAGAGTCACGGTGCATTACGACAAGGGACAGGCGCCATATCTCCAGATACGCTTCTCAGCCCTGGATCTCCCCGAGCCTGTGGTACACAGCAGCAGACGGCGCTCGACATCGGGCATTCTCCAGACCTTCAGCGGCAGCGGTCGGTCCAACTCCCTGCCCCACGTACGGTATCCTCCTCGCGCCAAGTCCGCAATGCCCGACATCGGTGACCCCTCACATCATCAAGTGCTCACCGGGCACTTCCGCGGCGTCGCGCTTGCCCACGAGCGTAATGAAAGCGGCGCGACAGTCTCAGACAGCCTCAGCGTTGTGCGTGCGCTCACGTCCCAGTTCCCCGGGCTCCCGCCCCGCGTCACGGGCCGCTACCGCGGCTCCGTCCTCGGCTACACGGAGGAGGAAGAGGAGCGCTTCCCCGTCCGCGACCGCCGCGGGACCGTCGGCACCGCTGGCGGCGACGGAAGCGAAGAGACCGGCGGCGGCGTGTCGTCTCTGTCACCGAGCAGCTCCGTCAAGCGCAAGCCAGCCCCCTCGGCACTCAGCGTCACACAGTTCCCCTTCCCCGATTACAAACCGCCGCGCGCGGCCACCTCCGTCGAGTTCGAGCCTGCGCGGGGAGACAGCCCGACGGAGCGCTCCATTCTACCGTGGACGCCCGAGTCGGGGGCGCACTGGACCGGCACAGGCACGACGCTGTACTCTCCACGACCCGGCCGCTCGCCGACCACAGCGGGCACGAGGTCCCCGATGAGCCCGCGCGAGCTCGTGAAGCGCACGAGCAGAGCGATCAGCGAAGCCAGCATCCGTTCCGCCGAATGGCTCACATCGCCCCGCGATGCACCGCGTCCCGGCCAGCTCTCGCCGGGGGACATCGAGATGTACAGGGGCGGACCAGCAGGGCGGATGGCCCCGGGCGAGATTCCGCCTGCGATTATCGACGAGGCTCGTCCGCGTGGCAATCCTATAGCAGACGCATGGCGGAAGGCTGGTTCCTCTGGCCAGACCAGTCCGGCCACGCCAACGCGGCCAGTGCTTGTGACGAGGGTCAGCATCGGACGCGTGCCGATGCGCATGACGCCTACACCCACCCACTCGGCGTTTTCGCAGCGGGAACGCATCATGTCGTCCCATGGCTCGGTAAAGGACTACAGCGAACCAGATGTACCACGTTCAGCGCGCATATCAAATGTGTCAACCCATAGAACAATGCCAGAAGAGGACTCGAGACCACGAAGCTTTTTCGAGGATTGATAGATCGATTTTTGTCAGTGACTTTTTAGGACGAGGACCTGAGCAGATCTTATAACCCTTTGTGTACTTGTAGCGTTTTTGTTGAGGTTATGGAGCAGTCTTCGCGTGTCTGGGCGGAGCGGCTCGTTCTTGTACGTAGTTTACCCACCTTCGAATTCATCGACCTTCCATGTGCGACAATTATGTTCTCGAGCTCAAAGGAGTGGATATGGAATCCCGATAAAAACACAACAATACATTAGATACAAAGGTCCACAGGAAGAAGCGCTTAGTTCTGGAGGGCGGCGTTAGCTCCAGGTACCTCAACGGAATGATAGAACAAACCTCTGGTATTCTGAATATGGTGATTTCCTATTCATGTCATCAGCGAGATTCCAGGTATAATTGAACGGTATTACCTGCTGCTTGAAATACCGACGATTCTCTTCGTCAATAAGCACCAGGTTGAGGTAGTACCTAGTGCTAAATTTCTTGTTCACTTCTCGGAACGTGGGCGTCATGTCGAAACCACCAAGGAAAAGGCGGATCGGTATAGTTTCGCCTAAGCGAGGTGTTAACAAAGTATCGACATGTCAATAATTAATGGACGTACCTCGCACAGGAGCACCATCCATAATCTCGAACTTGGTGATTGTTTCGCTCTCGTTATATTGGTTTGGTGGTGCACCCGTCGTTTCTCTCCGGATGATCGACAGCTCCATGTGCTTGATTTTGATGCGGACGAGGAGGAAGTAGATCTTGCCGACGATAACATCCTTTAGGTGGTACCTAGTAAGAAGACACCCTGTTAGCATATCCAGGGGAAGGAGAAAGGTATAGAGCACGTACTTGGACTTATTGTACTCGAACTCGATGTGCAGACAGTCCTCGATGCCGACCTCCATCTTAATGGAATTGTTGCTCTCGGGCGGCATCCGAAACGAGTGCACCCACAAGTCTTTCTCCTTCAAGACGTCCGCCATCCTTCGTGACACCGTCACCCGTACGAAGTACCTGTCAAGCATCACGTAGGATGAATATTCGGACATCGAGAGAATGTGGTTGGGACGGGGAAGACAGACCTGAGCTTGACATTGATACCCTGGTAACTCTCAAACTGTTTCTCCACATTTTTGAACATGAAATCATACGTCTGCGCTTGCCGCAGTTCGCCCGGCGCCGCGAGTTCTTGTGATAAGGAGAGGAACTCGTGATGGTGTCCTCGGTCATAGAACAGCTCTGGAAATAACCTGTCAAGACATAACGTTAGGCGAATAGTGTTGGGGAGTACGCACCGATGCTCCCTACAAACTCGACCTTGATCCCATCGTGCGTCACCCGCTTCCCGTCCCGAACGCGTATTGTTACCTGTACACGACGCGTCAGTTAGGAAGATACCTACGTGCATGAGGTCGGAACATACCTGGCCACTGATAGAATCCCCATCATAGTACACCGGACACGAGGTCATCTTCTCCTTCTCGCCTTTTATCTCCACCTGCTTCCGCTGCTCCTCTCCTTCCAGCTTGACGTCCACATCCAAGGTTGATGCAAAGAAATAGGCCATCACGGAGGTCGTCGAGAGGTCGTCTTCAGGTTGTGTGGTCAGATCGAGGCTTTCGGTTTAGTAGGGGATGACGAGATCGACTTGGAAAGGGATGGGGGTGAGTATGTGGTTCGGACAGTGCCCACCGTGGCTGCCGACCGCGCTTGGTCTAACCGAGGCGATACGTAATGCACGTGAACCCGCAACCTCCGAAGACACGATGGCTGTACACTGCCCCACATCTTGTCTTTTTACTTTCATCGTCGTTAATATCGTTGTCGTCACTCAATCATGCTGTCTTGAAGCCCTTCATGCCCTTCACTTCATATCATTGATGACATAATTTACTCTATAAGACTTGTGCAGACAAATCATCGATCGACCATGGATGTCAGAATGCTCCTCAGAACTACAGGAATATCTGCAGTATTCTTCACTCGGAATCCACGACCCGGAAGCTCCTTCGTTATCCTGTTAACCATCAAGTTAGCGTGGATACAAATTTCGTGTTTAGATCTGAACGCTCACCATGGGACTTCGGCCCCATCTCCAATACAAATGAGTGCCGTATGCACTTTGGGATCGCCTCTTAGCATGACTTTCTTGATCTCCTCGGGAGTGATCTGGTAGCGCCCGAAGTTGGCGTCCGAGATGGCAATGACGAACCAATCATCTGATACACCTCAGTACTTCATCTAAAGCCTGAATGAGATGATGATTCACCTGCATCAAACTTTGCCACTTCCTCGACTCCCTTCCGTATGGCTTCCACTGGAGCAACCTGTTAGAGAAACCGTCTCACTGGCAGACAACCTCAACATACCCGTGTAGTCACCCGAAAAGGCGTACTGTGTGACCATGTCCATCTTCTCAATGACCTTCCAGCGGTCCTTGAGGCTTGAGGGAGGTTTATCGGTCTCGACGAGAGGTATGGTGGGTTCGTCACCCGACTTCAAGTAACATCAGCACAAACATTTGCGAGGTAATCTTTTGCCACCCTTACATGGCCGTAAATCTAAGGTGAAATATTCGGTCATGCATTTTTCCCATACGAGCAAGGTAAGTACTTACATCCCAGGCATATTTCTCTTTGCGGGATAGGTGATCGAAGGATTCCATGAGCATGACCGCTATGGGAAGTAGGTCAATCACTATGATTGAAATCAGCAAGCAGATGGCTTACCTGTTTCCAGACTTCTCCTCAGACGACCATCATACTGGAAACGATACCTGTAAAATTGTGCTCAACAACATCCCGCAAATTATTGGAGTATGTTACTCACATAGATCCACTGATATCGAAAATAAATCTGATCCTCTTCGGCCTGGGAGTGCAGTAGAGGTCAAAACTTTGCCAGACCAAGTTGATACGGAATGCTGTACTCACTTTAGCTGTGGGCGACCAAGTTCAGGCTTATCCATTCCACGCCGTTTGTACACGGACTGCTCCCCGGTAAGACCTTCGGTCAAGCGGCTGTCATCCAGTTCCCCATCGGTCTGGCGTTTGAGCCAGACACGCTCTTCTTCCTTTGCTGCGAGGTCTATCGTTGACAAGCGTTAAGAGCACGACAGTTTGAAATGTCCAGAGAAGCACTGACGTTCCAGGAGGTCATGCAGTGAATTGATATGACCTTGTACCGCAGTGAGATGCTCTCCATACACAGCTGCGTCGGCGGTGCTCATGTCCAGTGCCTGCAGACGCTGCTTGAGCTCCTCGCGCGCCATCTCGCGAGCACGATCCCTGATGTGGTCCGGCACGTCCGCCTTGAGCTTGTCGGAGACCTGAGAAAAAATGTTTCAACGGTATTGGTCTATAGGCTATTGTGAAAACCGTACCTGATAGATGTTGTTGCCTTTTTGTAAGCGTTTGTAACCACCTCTGCCTCCAGTGCCGGCAGTGTCACGCCCACCAGTCTAGCAGTTTCATATCAGCAAATTTCCTCAAACGCACCAATAGAAGAAAATCTGCTTACCCCGCCAGCCCATCTATTTCCTCCAGTATGCTGCTCATTTTTGGGATCATGTTCTCCTTCCTTGGGTTCGTTGAGTTCGGTAGAGCCAGATGGTTCGTATTCAATGTCTACGGGTTTCTTCTTCATGCTTTCACGCGACGCATCAAGGCCAAGTGGCCCAGCTTCAAGCCTAGAACAAGTCAGAATCAATTTCTGAACATACGTATGTGATCATTCCTCACCCATGCCGAGCAAGTATACGCAATAATTTGTCGTGAGTATCGGGTTTATAGATATCAAAATCAAATATGTTGCGGAGAGCTTCTCCCAGACTGTCATTAGGATAGCTCCGCATGTGCCGAACCAGGTTAATCAACTCTGGAACTGTAGCGTTAATCGAGATTATCTCAGGCGCAGCAGAAAGCGAACCTCTCAGTGAATACGGATACGTAAGTTCGCCACTCTCAAAGCTCTTGCGAAGATCATAGAAGACGCCAACAAGTCGGAGTATCGTGTCCTCATCCAACTCGGGCGCGAGTTGGGATATGAGCTTGCGTTCTGATGCTTGGTCGGGGTTCGTCACGGAATGGCTGCAGGATATAAGTTTAAAGACTGAAGTCACAGTATAATGAGCGCATTACCAGCTGAAAGCATCACCGAGAACTTGCAGGAAATGGTTTCCGAGGAAAGCTGTGACCAGTATCTTGAGTATTGCGCGGTTATAAACGTAGATTCAAAGGCTTACGATAGCCAGGCCGATTCGCCAGCAGAACCAGCCGGAAATTCGGATGAATTACAACATCGCTTTCGCGCTCGCTGACAGCGCGAACGCGTCTTCCGTCCGCCAGCGTTAATTCGCCCTGTCCCGCGAGGCTGCGGAAAATAGCGACGACATGTTCCGGGGCCTTGTCAGCTTCGTCAATGAGAATGACGCGCCCGAACTTGATAGCGCGGAGCAGCGGAGAGTCCTCGTATCGCACTTTACCGCCCTCGAGAACGGTGGTAAACATGAGCTGGTTCACTGTTGTATCGCGATGGAGCTGAATGTATTCCCGTGGACGGCGGAGAAGCTAAAAATCTTGACTTCAATTTGGGGTGTTATCCTCAGCCTGAAATATGTTTACCTGACAAAGCCTGCAATAAATATTAGTTTCATTCCAAAATCACTCGTGTGTTGTGTTGGTACTGACCTGTCGACAATCTTGTTCTTGCCAACACCCTAAATTTCTTTGAGTTTTATTCACTTGCGTAAGGAAAAAGATGTAAACTTGCCTGGTTTCCTAGTAAGACGACATGTTCGCCGAGAACCTCCAAGTCAATGGCAATGTCCCGCATAAGCCCAGTCTGCAGGCTATTGTCGTAGAAATGGTCCATGTAAGGCACATGCGAAACGTAGCCTTCGGGGTCATTCTCTGCCCTGAACAACGATATACGTGTTGGTCCTCCCGAGGCCGTAGAATCTACGCTAGTTGTCCCGGTCGGGAAGACAAGGTTGGCGCCTTCCACGACAGACGTCGGGTAAAACTGTAATTCAACAGAAAGATCAGACTTGAACCACGATTGCTGCCTGTGAGCATACCTTCTCAGGAGAATGAGAAATTTCGCTCTCCTCCATCAAGCCTCTCAACGTGGCCTGCTCAACAGACGGAAGAAACTCGACCAACAACGTTCTCTCCAGTACCTCAGCCAGTCTCGCTTCTTCCGGGAATTTCGCGAACAGCATCGCGATCCGCATGAGAGCCCGTGTCCCGAGCTTGCGCTGCTTCACAGTGGTGTCGGCCGACATGCTCGCGCGGTATTTCTTCGCAAACGCGATCAAGCGGCGGACGATGTGGGTGTCGCAGAGGGAGCGCAGGAGGATGGCCTCCTCTTCTTCGCCATCCATGGGCTGGCTGGGTATGGGGAAAAACATGTTGGCATGTTCATCGGAGAGCCAGTCTCGGAGGGGTAAAGACTTCGATGCAGTTGCAATTACTCTGAAGGAAGGATGAGCTGTAGAAAGTGTCGCAAACGTCTCCTTTTATTTCGGTTAGCTCGAGTAGAGACGCCGGCAATTTGGAAATCTCTTACATCGTTTTCGCCCTTGGCAGTCACTATGCGCTTGCTCTCCCATAATTCCATCTCTCTGTCCTGGGCAAGACGGGAAAGAGATCCCGCAGTCGCGCCCGTAACATCGAGAGAGGACAAGTGCATCAGCCTCCCGAGTAAAGATCCTTGGATGAGAGGGCTGTACGACAACAACATAAGTGGTAGTCCGCGAGAAGATACAAGTCAACCTTGCCTTGGTTCCCAAAATGTTGCCCCTCCATCCTCAATGCGTCTCCTTTGAATCATCTCGCGCCCTCCCAGTTCCTTGTACATATGAACAGCCTCAATCTCGTATCCAAGAAGCTCGCTAAAAACCCTTATCAAAGTGGATGTGGAGGACGAAGAGGTCGACGGCAGTACGGAGGGAATCAAGGACAAATCCCAGCCCAAAGCGTGGCCTTGCAACATGGAAGTGAGAAGACCAAGGAATCGCTTCGACATGTGCAGTTGGCCCGACTGTGTAGGAGGGAACGGCCGGAATTCTCTTTGACCGGCTGGAGCATCTACGCTGACGGAGTTGAGACCAGGGGGGCCCGTGAACACCAGCTTCGCAGTAGCCTCGCCCGAGCGCGAGATGGCGCTGATGGTATATCCCAATAATCCCGAGCCGTCCTCGTTGTCGTGCGATGAAGGACTCCCGAGCTCGCCCAGCTTCGCATCCGTCACTTGCTGGCCCAGCATCGCCCACGCCTGGAACGGCGCGTGCATAAGCACGGGGTGCAGTGTGAGGAACAGTCGCGCGAGTTGGTTCGGCGAGAGCGTCTTCGGCGGCGTGAACAGTTCTACGAGCGCGCCGAGTTTGATTAGGGCAGTTTGCGGAAAGGCTGGGATGGTGGGCTTGAGCACCGCCTGCAGGGAGTGACGCGATTCGCCGAGGAACTGGGTGGCGATAATGATCTCCTTTATTCGACCGTACAAGAATTCGCCTGTCGGCTGTGGTAATGGTGGTTCGGGTGCCAGTGCAAACAGCGCGCCGACGGGGTCGATGAACCGCGCTTGGAAGCGACTCCGGAATGGAGGGTCGAGAGGGTATCCAGGGTATGGAGGGACAGGCGCAGCTATGGCAATGACGCGGAAGTCCTTATGGGCAGGGATAAACGTCTTGTTGGTCACTTCTCCTTTCTCGAGAAGTTCATCGTACCGACGCGGGTGGACGATATGGGTTCCATCATCGAGGTTCCTTGCAAAGTCATGGACAGGTCAGGCGCACAACCAAAGTAAAGTTAAGAGAGGAAATTACATCTCGCGGTTCTCAAGCAGATTGTTCAAAACCTGTAGCATTATGCATGAACTTGGGTGGACATGAAACGAAGTACGCTAGAATATCGCAGCAGCGAATTCTTACAGGCATGATTCCCCGCTCGGCCTTCTCAACTCCTTCAAGAATGAGAATACGCCCTTTCTTGACAGCCATGACCGCTGGCCCATCGACGTAGACCAGATTCCCTCCCTTGCGAATCTCTCTGCCTTGCTTGAGTTCCGTCTCGCCTATATCCCTGTGCAACGCAATGTACTCGTACTCCGAATTGATCAGGCTAGAAATGGAGCAAAATGAGCTATCGTGGCATAACACGAAGGAAGAGTGGCGCATACCTCGCAAAGGTCATGGCAAGCCGCCGAGCATACGGCCCAGGCTGGGAGACCAAGAACACATCCTGCCCAAGGACATGCTTCTGCAGCATGAACCTCAGATTGTTCGCGTTAAACGGATGCCTGACGTCCAGGAGTGCAGAATCCGAGAGATGAGGAAGACGGCTAGGATCCAGAGAGTCCTGAATGTCATACTGTATGTCGCCGAGGATGAGGGTGCCTATCGACGGACGCTGGGGTGCGAGCGACCGCGAGAGTTTATCAAGGCGACGTCTGGCGGACATGATGCATGAAGTCTAAGGACAACGATGAGGGACTGCTGGGAATCAAGACATGGGGCGAGGTGCGGAGATGTCGATAGTTATTCAGCTGGGGAACATTCACAAGACGCGCTCGGGCAAGGCTCGGCGTTGCAGCGAGCGGATACCCGGCGTCCGGAACCGGTTCTCCGCATAACCGAGTTCAGGGGCTGTTTTTACGTCCCTTGTTGTCGCGTCGAACGGACCAAGTGCAGACACGGTCGAGGTACAATGTTATTGATACAGCAAACACCTCGGTAAATCCAGATATACAGATATATACACCATCGTCTCGAATCCTTGTCTTTCACTAGTTCAATCACCACCGGTCATAGTCAAACTTTCCGTGCAATCTAGGCAAGATCTCCATGAGTCTAGGTTCGTTGTCCGGGTTCAGGTATCCGTGGCGAATCATGAAGTCAATGAGGACTAAAGATACAGTCATGGATCAATGTTCATCTAATTTCGCAAGGTTAGATCCACTCACCCACTGCGCAGTTGGCCTTAAAGAGCCCTTGTTTCATGCGTATAACGACCTCTGAGAGAGGCAGGAGCTACGTCCCGAAGAAATACAATGAAGGACCATTCGAACACGATGGAATCATGATACGCACGTCAAAGGACTCGACTTCGCCATCCAGTGGCTTAGGTTTGAAGGGTGTTTTGTCCTCGATGTCGGCGGGAATCCGAAGATCGTAGACATATCTACGCATCATCTCCACAAGATGTCTCACGAGGAGAAACAGTAAGCAGGCTCACTCTACTTCGGGTTGCAGCCATCCTTTCGTTGTTCTTGAAAGTCCAGATGAGATATAAAGGGTATTGCAGTGGGATGACACTGACCTATGGAAGTAGCTTGTAGAACCGACTGACCTGGCGTACTTGCGTATGACTGACTCCTCGATGCTGGCCTCTTCCATGGACTCTTTGACGATACTCTCAAATATGGGCATTCCGCTGGGTATACCGCCCGCAACGGTGTTATCCAGATATCCCGGCCATCTTAACAGACTGCATGAGACAAGAAAAAACGCAACACACAGTGCAACTCACGTCTGCTTCGTCTTCGCCCTTGTCGGTATCCAAGTCATCACCTCCCCGCCGTCCTTCCCCTCCTCATACACCGTCATATGCACACCATACGTCACCACCCCAAACAGCGCCGCCGCGGCGCGCTCCATCTCAAACGCAAAGTTCGCCGCATCCCTGTCCACATCCTCCGCGTGCTGCTCGTACGCGCGGTGCGCGCCAAACGGGTTGCGATACACGGGATACATCTCCGCGCGCCACTTGGCGGGGCCGATGACGTCCGCGAACAGGCCCGTGTCGCGCCAGCGCTCGCAGAGCTCTGCCATCACCGCCGTGCGCTTGCGCGGCGTGTCCAGGTGCGTCGCGAAGCTGACCATCGTCGTGCTGCGCGCTCCGGGCTTGTTGGGCCCGAAGAACCACGTGGGCGGGGCTCCGGCGTCGACGCTGCGCGTATTCTCGAGCTGGAGCTGGGTTATCATCTGTGGGCGGAGGAGGCCGATGACGGGGCTGTCTAGGGAGGGGGAGAGTTTCCATGGGACGAGCGGTTCGCGATCGTAAGCGTTTGGGGAGTCGGTCAGGTCGAGTTGGTAGTTGTCGCAGATGCCGACGACTTCTAGGAACGAATATGGGGGCGAGCTGGTCATTGTGCCTACTATAGATAACAGGTTACTCGATCAAGAACTGCATGATGCGAAACGTGGATTCAGTGAAAGCTTCGCTACATGATGAACACCTTACGCTGCCACTAAAGCTGAACGCTGATCTTTGGTTGGATTGGTTCCGTACGCGCGTGGAGTCTATGTGCGGTGAGGAGAGCACCTGCGACCAGTTGCCTCTGATGGTGATGGACGCGTGGATCGATGAATTATACGCGCACTGAGCAGCTGTTTCCCTGAAATGTTCCACGACACACGCCTCCGGGCCACCACCAGCCACGTCGATATTTCGGCGCAGTATGTCTTGTGACGCCTGATACGGCCCCCTGGCGTATCAAGACTCGATGGATTTATAATTGATTATCTGAATCAATAGAGATCCTTGCAGTCTTCGAACCTCGCGGCCCGGCGAAGACTCCCAAAAGACTCCCACCATAACCGCGTTGCGGCCACGAGTGCCCACAGCCTATCACTCACTAAGCTAACGTGGATGTTGTTCTGCGCAGCACCAATGTAGCTTGAGAACATCGAGGAATGAGAGCGCTCAGGGCGCTCGTGGCGTGGACGTGTCCCGGAGTCACCGGTCACCAACGACGGTCCTTGGGACAAAGTGTCTCGGAGGTTTTAACCTTGATTACCAAATCAAGAAGCACGCGACGACCTGCGGCAGCGTGTTTGCGAGCGTGCACACTGCACTTACTCAGAGGTGTACGTTGACGTGGGCTCTTGCTCACTTCTACTTATTCCGTGTTATCGATCGTTCTCTGTGCCCATATAACGACCCCTTCTTCACTGAGGCATTTACCTCAACACGCCAGTTTCCTGCTGAACAGTTCACGAAAGAACAAGAAAGTATTCAGACGACCTTCAGGAACCCTGACCGAACCTCGTCCTCGCATCAAGGAACAGACGCACTGTGCGGATCCTCCGAGTCTCCGAGGTCGGGGCGAATCACTTAACCTCCATTACAGGAGACAAACTTTAACCGAAGAAGCACAGAAACGTCCACGAACCCCGTATCAATAACGTCACAGCTGGCCTGAAGCTGAGGCAAAGACAGAGAAACAGGCGCACGCCGTAGTCATGTTATTTTATCTCACGTCGCGCATCGTAAGGTGCGTCTCTTGCGCTTTCGCGCGGTTCGAGCGGTTCGAACGTCATGGGCTGACAGTCGTCGTTCTTGTTCCCACTTGTCCATCGCATTGGCTTTTTGCCTCTGTCTCGGGACGCTGTCACACCATGTCATGCGCTCATGCGCACATCATGTCTGATTGTACGGCTCTGAAACCCTCCGACGCCAATTCTCTTCGTCTGGTCTATGGTCCTCGAATTTGGTCCACAGCTCGGGAGTCGCGTATCTCTACCCGGGCTACGCGTCATACAAAGCACTCTCCCAGCGCCCTGCGAGTGAAGACGAGCTAGAGCGATGGCTCATGTACTGGTCTGTGCTCGGCATCGTGTTTGGCGTCGAGAATGCTGCTGAGTGGCTCATATCCTGGTGCGTCGTACCACATATAGTTGAGTCATCTTCAAACTGATGTGACGCATACATGTCAGGATACCGTTCTACTACACCTTCAAAACCCTCTTTCTCCTCTACCTCGTCCTCCCGCAGACACAAGGCTCCTCGTACCTCTACGTCTGGCACCTGCAGCCCTTCCTTGCCTCACACGAGTCCGAGATCGACGCTGGGCTCTCGCGCGCCAAAGCCCGCGCATACGAGTTCATCGCGGAGCGGATGAACGCACTTTGGAACCAGTTCGCGCCCGGGTTCCTTGCAAACGCGTACGCCGCGCAGTTTGCGCCTGCACCGCAGCCTGAAGCGGCCGGCGCACCGCCCAGCATGGGTGACCCCGCGTCCGGTCCGATGGCGTTCGCGTTCAACGCGTGGCGGTCGTACGCACCGGGTCTTATCGCCGCAGGCACGGCGATGGTGCAGCAGGGCACGGTGGCTGCTCAAAATGCGGCTGCGAACGCGAATGCCAAGGCGAGGGAGTCGAGGCCGAAGGGGTCGAGGATGGATTCGGGCGGATCTGCCAGGGATAGGCGGCGAAGGCTGGAGAAGGAGCTTGCGGAGCTGGGAGAAGATGAAGAAGAAGAGGAAGGGGAGGCGGTGCTTGTTCCTCGCGCGGCTGGGGCATCGTCGCGGCGCCGAGGAGCGAAGAAGGGTGAGGCCGAGGGGTACGAGGTGGAGGAACACGATGAAAGCGGAAGTGGCGGGGAAGCGTCAGGTGGAGCCAAGGCTGCAGGTGGCGGCTGGTGGGGCTGGGGCGCACCCGCGGAGAAGCCCTAGGCGGAACGATTGAAATCTACCTCGTCGATTGTTGTTATGAGACCCATGGTATGGACGCCTTTCGTAGGTAAACCGAGTAACAAGCACGGGCGTTATCAGGTGTTATTACGTGGACACAGGTGCACACGAAACATAGCATCGAAGTCGAATAGGCGAAACGGCGATCGTAAGAGCGCACATGGTGCGCGCCTGAAATGCTGCGGGATGGAAGCGGTGTATCAGCATCACAGAGAGGATCGGATGAGCGTCGGAGGAAGAGGAATACCGCCATATTTGTGGGCGCCATGAGCGAGTTGGGCAACATTGTTTCTCCCGGAAATCACCGAGCCGAGCAAAGAGTTCGGGGTGAGCTTCTTGATACTGCTTCGATCCGTGTGTTTGATTGTTCTTCACCGTACTGGATCCTATTGATCCTGGGTCGGGGCTGGACAGGCGTGAGCACCCTACACACTATTTAGGCTACACGTTCCGTAGTGGGCGCACTGACTTGAAGGAAGTTGAGGGATCTGGCAGCTGTTCGCTGACAAGTATCCATGACATGGGTGACAGGATGTCTCAGAAAGATCGATAAATGGTCGATTGAATGGTAATTGAGGAGAGCGTCGCGGGATGCTTTTGGACCTTTCGGGTAGAATGCAACAAGAATGCAGAATGGGCGCAGATAGGCGCTGGACTGCGCCGACTCGGACGCTCCCCGACGATGGCGAACAGGTGGAGGCAAGCGATCGCCATCAAAAGCAAGTGACAGCGTCAGTTGTCAGTGTCCGCGGGGTGCCTCAAGTGTGCCCAACCATCCCAGGGGTAACAGGGTTAGAGGGGTGCTCTTATTTCCACTTTTTGGCGGGGAGTTGAGAAAATGGATTGTGTCACGTTACCGTTTTCCTAAACTTGGCCTACCTCTGCTCTTGTCCGTTACGCATACCCCCAACACCGGAAGGGGTCGTGGTCGCGGCCGTGGTCGTGGAAGGGGTGGCCGGGGAAACCGTGGTGGCCGCGGCAGGGGTAACTCCAACTACAACTAGATAATCATTGATATTCTTAATGCTCTCACACTCGTTAGATGTAGTATTCACGCTGCTTGTTACCCTCAACGGTAACCCCTTCGATAGCAAACCTTCAACAGGTCATAGAATTAGCACGTGAATAAATTGTGTTGCCATTGATGATAGCCTCGTTTTTACCATCCACGTGTTTCGTGAAAGTGACTGTAGACAGCGCCTCTCTGAAGGGTTGCCCAGCGGCCGCGAAGCCGGTAGTCGGCCATGGAGATAGATGCCCAAAAGCACGGTCGAAAATTTGTTTGTATCGGCTGATGATCGGGTATTCGGTAGGACCATGTCCTCGAACATGGACACACCAACGAGGTTCAGTCTCTTTATCCATGTAACCGTTCCAAGTTTTCGGACGAACCGTCGCGACCTCATGCTGGTAGCGCGATTTCCTGGCTTTCCCTTGAAATTCAGACTCAACTCCAAATTCCATCAACATGACAACCTCGTCGCAAGGTCTGCGCCCGTTAATGCGAGGGCCGACAAGCTCGTCAGCCAAGGTCAGTGAAACAGCCGACTCCTTCAGCTTCACTTGGATACAGAAGGTGCTCACTTTGCTGTCATCCCAATCTGGGGAGAGAGCGCCTGAATAGGTGATGATGATGATATCGATAACTGGCTGATTATGCGAGCACTGAATAGCGCATTGGCGGTCCCATAGGTAATGAAGGAAGTCACCCGAGAGGTTCCCGACGCTCTCTTCAAGGTGGATAAAGTGCGTGAAGTTCACATGCCTCTCCTGCGCCGCTGCCAGAAGATTTTGGTACAGTTTACGTTGGTCGTCTTCGCTTTCATCTTCCTCTGACGCGTCGTCCTCATTGTCCCCGTCCAAGGCGCCTTCTTTATGCCGAGCTTGTTGTTTCTGAAGACCCTGTCCCTGCTGTTGATTCATTTCAAGGCCATCGCCGTGAAGCTGAATGAGAAGATCAGCGAGGGTGATAGTCTGGACGTGAGTTCCGGCGGCTGTCGTGTTGATGTAGTAATCCTGGATCGGACCACCTTTGTCTGTTGCTTTATCACGCGCCATGATCAAAAGGATCCGAGCATAAAGCTCTCCTTGAACACCTCGATCGAGGACCGTTTCCTGCAAGATAAGGGTGTCAACAAGTGTTTGAAGCGCTACACCAAAATCTTCCGACGTAGGACGAAGCACCTGTGCAGCCGCCAGAGCAAGGCAAGGCTCTGACGGAACCGTCGTCTCGATGAAAGTGCGATCGACGACACTGAGGAGGAATCTCATATGAGATCGGACGGCTTCCAGCGCGATGCGGGTTGCAGCCTCTGAACTGGCGAGTTCAAGACCAACACGTTGAGAAAAGGCTGCAAAGACGTGGTCCTCATTGGCGGGCGCAAATTGCACATCACGGAAGAGCTTCATAAAAGCCTGTCGACCGACAGTATCGTCTTCCTCCGTGGACCAGAGCTGTGGTTAAATGAGACCGAGCCCCGGAGGACACAAAACGCGACGAACATACCGGGCGACCATACAACTTAAGTCTACTGATATAAAGCGCTGCATGCGGTGACGAAGAAAGATCAGAGGGAATCATTTGATCAAAGCCGATGGAGGTGTAGGGGATAAGAGGATCTTTGTCATTAGCGAGCCTGTCCGACTTAGACATTCCCCTGCGTGGAACGAGTTCGAGGACTGAGGAACTAGTGTCAATGAACGTAAACCACAAAGTGAAGCCCTCGAGTAGGAAATGGTCTGCCGCGGTGATGATTCTTTGCATGGCGAGAATGGACATGGGATGATAATCGGCGTCTAATTTGCCGTTGCGAGCATTTAGATATCGACACTCGTCAAAGCCAAGGACTAAACAACGATGACCATGCTGCCTAAGAGTTGTAGCTAGCTTGTTAGCTGCTCCAGAGACCATTACTTGGTAGACTTCCTCGCACCACGACACGATGTGCTTGTCTTTGGTCGTCTTAGCAGCGTGATCGGCCGAAGTTTTGTCGACGTTAGGGTTGGAATCGATGGTTGCGGAAGGTAGGTCGGGAGCCTTAGAGGACAGCTCCTCAGCGTAATCTTCGAGTAAGGTCTCCGCGAGCTCACTGATCCTAAGAAAAGAGTGGTGCCGCTTTGATTGCAGTGGCTCTGCAGTATTTTGTAGCGAGAAAGACGTCACCCAGGTCGGATCCTGTCCAGGCGCGAGGGTTTCGGCTCTCATTTGTCATGGCGTGACGTACCGATGCGAGGTTCGGCGGCATTCAGCAGTACATATGCTGCGTTGCCGGTTTTAACGAGTGCCTCCAGATCTTCAGTGCAACGCAGGATCGGCGGCTGGGGTAGCGCTTTGATCAACGTTTCCGGAATCCCCTCCATGTGCTCCCATAAACTTTGAAAGGCACCAAATCGAGGACCGAACAGTGTCGTGCTCCCCAGAAAATTATCTAAGATCATGCAAAAGACAACGGAAAGTGATTCGGGGTTCTTGAGCGCCTCTTGTCGTTTTGTTTCAAGCCAGCTGTTAAGGGAAGCCACCTCGTCATGCTCCTCGTCATATTGGAGGTTGGTGATTGCATGGGAGGACATGAAAAGCGAACGCTGATGATCGTGGATGAGTCAAAAGGAAAGAGAGCGGATGGGAGAGCAACGACAGAAGGGGAAAGTCACCTATCGTTCCCACACTTATTCCCGTTACCCTTACGGAAGCAAATGCGATTACGTAAAATGGTTAATATCTACAGGCATCGGTCATCCGGCCAATGTCCTTGTGGCTTTGAGGCCTCCTCCAGGTCGTCGGCCCATTTATCGCCTCACAAAGCCACCCAGCTTCGACTCTCTTCCTCTTCGAATCACACTTGTTATCCTCGGAATATCTCATATCTTATAGCCAGGGATTCGCGACTGAACGCGTTCTCTGACGCGCTTGCGGCCCACCATGCCACAAGCATCCCGCAAGAACACGAAACAAGAGGACAAAGATGCTCAGAGGGCTCTCGAGAAGGAGAGCAAGCGCAATCGCGGCGCCATGTCCTGTGCCGAGTGTAGGCGGTGTGTGAATATAATATACTCGACTTCCTTTCAGCTCACGAGTGGCACAGGCTAAAGCTTAAATGCGATAAGACCGTTCCTTGCTCGTCATGTAAGCGCAGAGGCTGTTCTGCCATATGTCCCAATGGTGTGTCTCCATTATGAACTCTTTAACACTGCAATAACTCATGCTGCGATAGGCAGCCTCATCACTGGCCAGGGGACTCGCTTCGTCCTTGCGGACACGGAGAAACTTCATTCCAAAATTGCGGAGATGTCAGACCGGATCCGTGTTCTCGAGGATGCACTATCATTACATGAGGCCAAGCACCCCCTTCTCGCGCGCGAGTTCCTTACAATCAAATCTGTCATCGACCTCCACGCCGCAATCGACGCTTCACGCGCCGCAGGATTATCCAGCACACCTGAAGCAAACGAAGGCGAGGAGGAGCAAGAAGGGGACCAGCAAGCATACGTGAACGCCTTCGGTACCCTCGCGATACGCGACGACGGTGCTTCGACGTTCTATGGCCCGTCGGCTGGTTCAGAGGTGCGCGACTCTTCTTTGATGCATCAATGGCGTGCTAACCATCACCGTGTATCAGTCACTCCTCGCCGTAAGTTGTCCCGCGCTTTTCACCACAATCTCAGTTCTGATTACGTTTTGCTATGCAGGGCGAAGTTACAGAATCAACACCCTCCCCACAAGCCGAACCCCCCCAACACTACGCTATGCGCCCCGACTACCTCCCCGCTGGCAAGGCCATATCACACATGTCAGGCGCATTCCCTCAAGCACCCTCCGCCGTCTTCGACGGCATGGACGTTGATGAGCTCGCATACGAGACGCTGCCCCCGTGGCCGCGCGCCGCGCAGCTCACGGACCTCTACCTCGCCCAGGCCCCATGGTTCTTCGGCGCCGTCACGCGGCGGCAGCTCCTCGAGGAGTTGCTGCCTGCGTGGTACCCGGAGGCACGCAAGAGCTCGTCGCCAAACCCGCTCCCGGGCACATCGACACCCTCGAGCAGCAACGGCGAGGCGCGCGGGCCGCACGAGCTCGCACTGCTGTTTGTCGTGTTTTGCTTCGGTGCGATGACGGATGAGGCGCTCCCCGCGGCGCCGGCGAACGAGGAGGCGGACAAGTATCACGTGTATGCGCGGGCTGCGCTGGGGCTCGGGCCCGTGCTGGATGGGCCGCCGTCGGTCGCGACGGTGCAGACGCTGGCGATGCTTGCGATTTATCAGGGGATGTGCGCGGGCGAGCATAGTATCGAGAGCACTTGGAGTACGTTTGGGCTGGCGACTAAGCTGGCGCAAAGTGTGAGTCTGCTGCGTTATTTTCCGGTATATGCGAGAGGCCTAATTTCTGTTGCATCTGCGCTCCTCGTTGATTTCAGATTGGTCTTCGTAAGTGAAGTTTTACTCGTAATGCGGGATTGAGTTAAGCTAAGAGAATATCTAGATCGTGATTGTGCTCGATGGATGCTCACACCAGCCGAGGTTCAGAAGAGACGTGCCCTTTTCTGGGAGTTGTTTATCACAGATGGATGGCAGGTGCATTATCTTGCATTGAAACCTTCATTGATGGACGCTGACCAAACGACGATTGCTGCTATCTTCGCCTGCTACGACCATACTTGTTCCTACACCACCTGCAATTTTGCGCTCGAAAAAATATCTTGGCATTTCGTTCAACTTGAAAGAGTCTCGCTACCGGTAGACTGGCAACGTTTTATTTGCCTTACGTTGATTGTGAACTTCCTGCGGACCCCGACAGCAAGCTCGATGAGGAGGGAACTCCTGTCCTGAGCTGTGCGTTAATTTGTTGTTCCGTTGCCATTCAAATTTTGATCGCCATTCCTTGCTCACCTAGTCCCTGCCTGGAAAGCGCGGTTCGGCCATCGCTGTGTTGCTGCCGTGATTGAGCAGTCGCAGACAGCCAAAGTCCCGAAGTACAGCACTATTGTTGAACTTGACCGACGAATACGTGATATGCCCCTGCCCAAATATTCGGAAGACCGTCCGCCAGAGGGTGCGAATCTGTCGGAGACCATGGAACATTTTATGCCCCATAACTATCGTCACCTCAGTAAGCCTGAAATTTCTGTCAATTGTCGAGGGTCAAATTCATATTCGGCGGTAGCATTGCTCTACGTTCATCGTTGCTTCTTCGCCGAGGCTCTGTCGAATAATCCGTCGGATCCGATGAGGAGCCCATACGCTCCTTCTTTCCTTGCAGGATACAAATCTGCGTGTGAACTGTTGGGAAACTTGCGTTATGCATTCAAGCGTTTCCCTGCTCAGATGGCGCGATTCTGGGTATTGTGGACGCATTGTTTCTCTTCTTCGGTGCGCTTTCCTCTTCTGAGAAGTATGAATAAAATCCTTACTCATTATACCTGTTGTAGGTCATGCTGGCATCTATCATAACACATGCTACTGGAGCGGGAACGAAGAGCAAGATGACGTCTGCTGCGCTTACGGAGCTGCGTCGCGCTGTCGATTTGTTTGAAGAAGGCGCCAAGTATGGTGGACGTGCAGTCAAATTCTTGGTTCGTGCTGCCTTCTTTCGAGTAGCAGGTCTAGTGCTGATTTTTTTGCCCATATGTGCAGCCTATCCTGAAGCGTCTTTTGCAGAAAGCAGAGCAAGCTTATAGTAATGTCGCCCCTCAAGCCACCCCAGACATTTTCACTCCTTCGGTACCTGGTCCTAAGCCTAAGGATGAACTTTCTATATTCAGCGGACAGACGCACACCGTCAACACGAAGGCACCACCGATTGCGTCCAAGATAGCACGTACATCATCAGCGACCCTTTCCATGACCTCAACCTCAAGTCCCACCGCGACGGCGAGCTCGACAACCCAGATCAGCGGCGATTCGGCGCCTACAGCTGGTGGACCTGCGCCGCTTACGGGAGTGCCTGTACTACCGCAGCCACCTCTAGAAGGAGTGTTGGCGCAGCAAGCAAGAGACACGGTCAATTTGCACCCGAACCTTGTTGCGCAATGGAACGGACTCGAGGGGCACCTCAATGCGCAGCTGTACGATGCCCAGCGGGATTCGTATGACGATGAGGACACATACATGACGCCCGCTACCGCGAGTTTCCCGCATCCGCTCCTTCTGCCTGCGCAGCCGGCGGAGAGCTCTGGAGCACCAGTTTCCGAGCCACGGTATCCCCAGTACGAGCAGAAACAAGAACAGCACCGTACGGTGCCGCAAATCCAGGTGCAGGCGCCACCGCCGATCGAGGTGCCGCAGTTGCAGGCGCACGAGGCGCAGATGGAGCAGGGCACCTCGCCTGTGTACTCGCAGCAGGCGAACTATGCCTATAGGGATGCCTATCGGCCACCGCAGCAGCAGCAAGAGCCTCCGCGCGATACGAAGCCCTACCGGGACGAGCACGAGCGCCATCAGCAGCAGCAGCAGAAGCAGCAGCGGGAAGAAGAGGCACGGCAGCGCGAACGGGAGCAGGAAGAATGGCACCGTCAGCGCGAGCAGCAAGAGGCGTACGAGCGCCATGCCCAGCAGCAACGGGAGCGCCAGCAGCAGTACACGTACCAGTCGTTCGCTGCACCCAAGCACCAGCCTGCTCAGCAGCACCATCATCAGCATCAACAGTACCCGAGCGACCGGACGGAGTATCACCAGACTTACGTCGCCCCGGGCACTGGCGGACCGCAGTACGACGACGGTGCAGGGTATCAACAGCATCAGCATCAGCAGGAGTACGACCAGCGGTATTCGCAGCACTACAGCGTTCAGCAGCAGCAGCAACCGACGCAGGAGCAGTACTGGCAGCAGCAGCAGGCGTACGACGCGCAGGGCTATGCGTACCCACCACAAACGAGCATCGGCTATCCGCTGCAGTCTGGCGAGTTCCCCGCGTACCAGCACGATCAGCACATTCAAGAACGCTGGCAGAGTCTGGGCCATTATATTGGCTCGCCTCAGCGGCCGACGTAGTCCGCTGGCTCGGTCATGTTCACGCTGTGGTTTTTGTTGTTGATTGGCGCAAGACCACGGACGGAGCCGCTTTATTATGATTATGGCTTTTGGAAGTTGTGAGATTTATCTGGGCTTATCACTGTTTCTTGATATGCACGTTAGCATTGACATTGACATTCACCCATCTACGTTCGCGTTTCTTGCTCATCCTCGTTATTCGCGAAGCCGTCCGTTTTGTCTTCATTCCCTTTCTCGCATGTCGACTGCTTTTCTATCCGCACTCATATCATCTTCACCACCTTCCTCATCATCCCCCGCATATCTCATTTTTTGTTAACGTTTCACGTTCTTCGTTATTACCTTTGCCTTGCACCATAATTTATAGTCTTAGAGCACAGGCGTGTTTTGCTCTTGCAAGCACAGCGCGCCTTGTATTTCAATAATATACCTACGCATCTCTCGGACTCAACTGTAACCCGACTCTTAATCCAGCAGCTTGTGTAAATAGCATTCGACCATTATTCCTGATCCTATCTATCTACATTGTATTGAATTCTGCATACGTACTACTCTGTTCGTAGGGCGGCAATGATGAGACATCCCCATGGCTTCTCGCTCCACGCAATCAAGGCTAAGTACTACGGCGACGCTGCATTCGTGTTTGAACCGCAGTCGAGGGGGGAAGCAGGTGTGATCCGGGCGGGAGCAGCATTATTAAGACCGAACAAATAATTGATGAATTATCGTAGCCGTGGTGTCTCTCAGGAAGCCTACGACACGAGGAGTAGTGCAAAGCCCAGACACAAAGAGAGAGGATGAGAGGGAAAGGCTGAGTCGCTGGAAGGGCTATAGGCCCTTGCAGAGCGTCTTGCCCCGCGAGACCTGGGTCTTGCAAAGTTCAAGCTCGGTTGGGACGGCGAGCAGGGAGGCGAGCAGGATGCCTGAGCTGTCAGCGAATCCAATTGACCCGATCCTGAACTCACGCTCTTGCTTGGCCTGCTCGAGGTTGTGAACCGTAGACCGATCAGGTTCCTCTTGATTGATCCGGTAGAACACGTTCACGCTGCACACGAGTTGTCATAAAACAAATGGGGGGCAAAGTTAGCATGCAAAAAGACTGGGAAGGAGAATGTGCGAAGAACGTGTGGGTAGATAATAACTTACTATGCGAGTCCGCCGCAGATACCTTCTATTCCAATAAGCAGGAAAACAAGCGCAAAAGAGCGACCTTCACGGTCCTCTGAGAATATGCCGAGCGCAGACTCAATGACGAGCACGAAAAGGATACCGAGTTGGACAAACGCTGGTGCTGGAAGGAGGCGCTCTGGGATGGGTGGAAGTCCAAAAGAAATTGAAGAGCGCGAGAGGAATACAGACGCCTGGTATACGAGCTGCCAGAGGGGGTAATAGTCCCGGACGGAATGGATGATCTTGCTGAGTAGCCAATACCGACTAGGATCAGGCACGGGGTAGAGAAGGGTTGGTGCGACTCCCTGTGAATTGTATGAGCGTCCTGAATACTACTTCGTTCGCTCTGGATATCTCACTTGGTTAATGGTATATTCGAACTGCGAACGTCAACGAAGTTTCGTTAATCATTATCATCAAGTTCACTCACGGTATAGACGCAGACTTCAACCGAGAGAGATTAGGAAAGCATCTCATTGGCAAGAGAATTATGAAGTGACGTACACAACGGCAGCATATACTTCATTAGCATCGGCTTCACGAGCCTCCACTTGTCGGTGGCAGACAAACTGACAGATTTCTCCAAGCGAGAAGTAGCTGCGCCCGAGGGTTCGGTACCAAGTAATCTTGATGTTTCAACGCCATCTCCTTCTTCCTCGATGGCCTCTGGGACAGTTGCGGTAGAGTATGTGCGAGACATTCCTGGATGTAGGAATGTTGCAGGGCGAGGAAGGAGAAGGTAGTAGGTGAGAGGCAAAATGAAAGGGAGTACCTAAACCACCAACTGTTTATACATCGCCCAGTTTCGCTTGGAGTTGAGAACTTACCGACGAAATGCCAACACCGGTGCGTACACCCCAGCCTCTAACCTCCCACCAAAGGAAAGCACCGACAAGTCCTGCGCCGCCTGTTCCGGAAGCGAAGTATCTAGGGAATACAAATGAATATGGGAAAGGCGCTTTGTTACATGCTACTTACCCTACGCTGTGTCCGCCAACAGATGGTGGGCTATATGTCGTGGAGAGTTGCAGAAAGGTGAGCTCGCCAAGTCCTAATGCAGCCAAATTAATCATAGGTATTTTGGCATATGCATACATAGTCTTACCTGACGAGAATGATGCGAGACAGATGCCCAAAAGTCTGGCATATAGGCTTTCATATAGAGCGACGACCTGTCGAAGTAGATCCGAATTAAGGCGAAGATTACAGGGGAAGCTGCGCACATCGAACACTCACCAACATCCCTACAAAGCTGAGCAAACAGCATCCTATGACTCTCCGTGCATACTGGATCTTCCCCTTGAGCAAGTACGGCCACCCAATCTTTGCTGCGAGAGCCGGGGCGATATTGCAGAATGCGATGATACCCTTCGGTGTCGAAGGAGGGACGAGGTCGAGCGCAGCCGAGAGGATTATAACGTAGAGTACTGCGCGCACAAAGAAGACGATCAGTCGTCGCGTTACGGATCATCACCTGAATGAGAGCCGACCATTATTTATGAGTCCGAAGAGGAAGAAGGAAGCGCCTAAACGAAGGAGGCTCTTCTTCTCGGCTGTGAGGGAAGACCATTTGAGCATGCGGAGCCGACGAAGAGATCAATTATAGGATTATGGGAGTTATGAAGGAAATGTAATGTCAAGGAGAGAAGGAGAATGGTCAAAGTCGGATTGTGATTCGGGTGCTGGTGGGGAAGCAACGGAGGTGGCGCGCGGGGACGGTGCAGGGCGGGACCTCTATTATGTACAGGCTCGAGAAGCTCACCTGGATTGGGCACCGAGGCATAGCTCGAGTCTTCCCGAAGATCCCCTGAGCTGTCAAAAACAGAGTCCACTACACTGTATGATGGCCGTACGTGGGTCATTGGCGCGTCTTCGGTTTCGTCGTCGGGAAGCCCTGTCAACTCGTAGCTCTCTTCAGTCCTGGTCTGAATGTCGAGAGATGCAGCGCGCATTCAATGCATACGAGCCCTCAAACGAGGATGTCGGCTCTGAACCTGGCGAATGGAGCGTGCTAGTTCTCCCCTAGGTGACCTATCTATATCAGAGATAGCAGGCAGGATCGTCGCACAAGATCGTGAGCAGAGGAATCTCAAAAGTGTTGCGACACCACTGACAGCTTTTACGGATATAGTCAACTGACTGTGCTTGATGCAAGTCTGCTCAATGACCCCCCTAAAATCACAACAGCCACCAAAGGTTCACAAGCGCCTAGACGTCTCAAGACCGTTAACGACGCATACATGTTCAATGATAATAGGATTGGACCACCAAACATAGCATACTAGCTTGGCTAACTACGTCACTGTGGGCAATAGCTCTACGCAGAACGTCATGACCAGCATCATGCTGATCCATGTCAGAGGGTGGTCATCTTTGCCGTAAGAGACGCAAAGCCAACTCTTCCTCGTCGTCAAGGTCTGCTGATTGCTGTCTTTTGCTCTGGTCGGGAGTAACTCCTTTCCTTCGTTTCGAGGGAGGTGCCTCTTCAGGCTCACTCTCGCTTGCGCTTGGAACATCGAGATCAGGAGAGCTGTAGCCATCGTCTTCTTCAGTAGAAGCAATGGCAGGCCCCATGCCCTCGTCGCTCCCGCTATCGTCCGCGTCAGGACGAGACTAGAAAGTTTATCTTTAGTTTTAGAAGAGGGCAAAATTGCATAAAGGAACTCACCCCCCGCTCCCGCTCCTTCTGCTTCCGCTTCTTTTCCTGCTTCTTTGCCTTCGCCTCCAACTTGTCCTGCAAGTCCGCCACCTTCAGCTTACTCTTCTCTCCTTCCACAAACACCTTCCCGGCCTCCTTTGCGCCCTCCATGCCCCCCTTGTAAAACTCGGACGGGTCGACCATCTCGTAAATCTCGTGGGGCTTGCCCTCGTCGTCGAACACCAGTTTTTGGCTCAGTTGGCCGTACTTCGCGATCGCACGCTTCGTGCGCGAGAGCTTCTCCTTGCGCCTTGACAAGTTCGCTGCCTCGGCCTCGGCCATCGCGTCATCCTCATCGGAGCTCCCGGCATCGGAAAGGTCGTGGTCTGCGCGTTTGAGGGTGATGAAGTCCTCCTCACCGTTCTCCTGCCCATCTTCGTGTTCGATCATCTTCGTGTAGTGGGCTGAGAGGATGTTCTGGTTTTTGCGCTCGAACATGCGATCGTATTTAGTACGAACACCCTTCTACGATGAAAATGTTAGCACGTATCCAACACAACAGCAAACTAGGACGAACCTTCTCAGGTATTGATTTATCTTCTTCTCGCTGCACGTCGATCTGCTGTGAATTGTCATCAGATAATCGTTCTTCGTCACCCTCTTCCACGTCCTCAGAATCGCCTCCGCTTCCATCATCATCACTTTCTTCGGCCTCTGATGAGTTTGCGACCTCTTCCTTTTCTGTCGCAATGTTGATGTCGAGTTTGGCAACATCGTGCGATGCATTTTTCTGCTTCTTGGCCAGCTCGCGACTGAGGAATTTGATTTTTGGTGCTCCTGGCAAACCCAAAGACTCGGCAAAACTTTCCACAGGGAGCTCATCGAGCTTAAATATCGATTTGTCCTTCTGCAAGTGGACAGACCGCACATATGATACGAAAGCCTGAGAAACGAGCGAAATGTTAATTGTCAATAAAAGAATACATCCTAGGACAACCAGACGTACTCGTTGACCCAGATACTTAATTTCAGGCTCTTGGAAGGCAAGGTTCTGCAACTGATTTTGTATGCTCTGAGTTTTGCTATCCCGGATCTTGATATTCTCAATCTTGATCCCCTTCTTGTCGAGGGCGGCCTTCATGCCCTCCTCTTCGCTCGGCAGCAGCAAGAGCAGTCCCTTGCCCGCACTATCGTACCGCGCCGTTCGCCCAACGCGATGAATATACGTATCTGCGTCCTCGGGCGCGTCAACTTGCACGACCCAGTCAATCGATGGGAAGTCCAGCCCTCTGGCCGCAATATCCGTCGCAAATAGTACCGCGTTTTGCATACCCGTGAACCTCGCATACGTGTTCAATCGTGCTGTCTGCTTCTGTTTTCCGTGCAGGTGGAGGAGCGGCACGCCGGGCTGCATGCGGCGGAAAGTCTCGAAGACGAAGCGAACTTGCTTCCCGCTCGAGAGGAAAACAATCACCTTGGACTTGAGGTGCGTCTTGAGGAAGGACCAGAGCACGTCGAGTTTGCGGTCGAGAGGGACGATAGAGAAGTGCTGCGAGAGCGAGGAGGGCATGGTAGATGAGGAGGTGACGTCGCCTACGCCAATGGGGATGGGGTCATTGAGACTGAGACGGGCGAGTTGCGCGACAGATTGGGTCTGGGTAGCTGAGAAGAGAAGGGTTTGGCGAGATTTGGGGAGGTGGGAGAGGAGTGCGGAGAGCGTTCGGGCGAAGCCCATGTCGAGAATCCGATCAGCTTCGTCAAGAACTAAATGTGTTATGATGTCTGCGTAAGCGTCGAGATAACGGAGGACTAGACGTTTTGCGCACCAAGCATCTGCAGATTATCCGACTCAAAACCGAATGTCTGGTCCATATGCTGCAACAATCGTCCTGGCGTAGCTACAAGGATGTTCATGCGCGACAGACGTTCCCGCTCATCCTTGAGATTCTTGCCACCGATGACCAACCCAGCCGAAAAGCCATGATAGCCGCCTATTGATCTGAGAACGTCAAAGATCTGGACTGCCTAGAGCATCACAGGTCAAGGAGCGTTGGAAAGGTGTTGTCGAACCAAAGGGCGGGACGTACCAGCTCACGAGTTGGTGATATAATTAGTGCTCCCAACCCATCCTGCGGTCCCCACTTATTCCGATAAAGATTCTCCAGCACGGGGACGAGAAACGCGAGTGTCTTGCCGCTGCCCGTTCGTGCGGCGCCAAGGATATCTTTCCCTTGTAATGCGAGGTGTATGCTGGAGGCTTGGATGTCTGTCATATCCACGAAGAACGCCTTCTTAAGACCTACGTCGCGTGCGTATGTTAGCTTAACGCAACAGAAAGCCCCTAGAGATATGAGCAAGTACCGTACCACGTTTCGTGTAGTTTGAAATAGGTAGATCGGCGAACGCTCGTGAAGAACTCGTAGCATCCTGTATTCAGTCTTTTCAGTTTGACGATGAAAGCCTCTATAAGACTTTACGCACATATTCAAGGACAGCCTGCTTGAGTGCATTGAGTTGCTGTTGTTCCGAGATCTTTTTGACTTTACCGGCTTTGACTGCTGGGCGTTGCCTTTTCTTTTGATTCTGCTTGTTCGGATTTGAAGGGCCTGCTAGGGCAGGCATGGCTTTCGTTGAATGAAAGTACAGACGGGGAACGGCGAGACTGCCACGGAAATGACAAGTCTAGCGTCGAGCAAGAAGATAAAATAAAACCTAACCCTATGTGCATAATGCATCCGAAATCTCGGAGACTCAAGCTCAAGACTTCGGAACCAATCATGCACTTGACTTCCCATTGTCGCCTGCTCTGGGATATGCAATGTCTGACAGGACCACCCCTCCTGCCTTGTCTAACTTGACCAGTGTAGCGAGTGACAGTCCTCTCAGCTACCATTATCAGGTTGATGCAGGCGCCGAGTCCAGGCGCATCAGAGTCGCAATTATGTCCAACACCTTGATGCCTTGCTCTGTCGATTCTTGGTTCAAGCAGCATGCACAATCCCCTCAACTGAGCGACTCAGATTATGGCGAGATTCTTCGTGCTCTGGAACAGGAAAATATGTGGGACCAAAAAGGGTGGTCAGATATCTTGGGAGCCATTGGACGCGAGGAGACAGAGGACAACGCTTTCCTCTATATTTCGAAGATAGCCGCTGCCGTTGCAACACAGATTCACAAGAAAGGAATCCAACAAATCGGCCAGGCCCAGAATGCCCCTCACGATCGCGAAGTTCCTTTACACGCGTGGTTGCCCGATGTTCGTAGCACCCTCCTCCACTCTCAGATTGTCGATCCCCGCACAAACCAGTCTGATCCTATAGACGCGCCGACTTTCGCCGAGGTTGCTCATTAACATGCGTTTGGACAATATTCAATATGCACAGCTGCAGGCCGTGGAGCTGAAGGAACCTCGTCCCAGTGGTCGAAGCCGTGAAACGTCAATGAAATTCTCCGACGTTGTTGCCATCGGAGAGGTCAAGCTAGGCACTGGTGCAGACGACAAGCGAGACGTAGGCTTGTCCCGCGATTGATTGAATGGCGTTGTTCACGCAGTGCATGCCTAGAACGAGCTAAAGGTAACTGGTGGCGCCACCGAGATTTTGTATAACGATCCTTGCCGGCGTTTCGTCAATGGATTCACCATCGAGTCTAACTTGATGCGACTATGGCATTTTGAACGCAGCCACGTATGGATTTCTGACAGTTTCGACTTTCATAAAGTACGTGCATCAATTTTCCACATTGCCGGACGCGCGATTAACTGACCTCTCGAATACAGGAACCCCAAGTTTTTATACAGTTTCTCTTGTATCTCCTGTTTTCGTCACCCAAGGAACTTGGATTCGATCCCACTGTTCGTCGGTATATCAGGAAAGTTCCAATGCACTCTCAGGCGACAGAACAGACCGGCGACCCGCCTCAACCCGACGAGCATCGATGGGAGATTGCCTACCGCTATCAGGTTGGCAACCAATTCTTCCTCGCAGAGGGACCTCCTATCTATGAGGAAGCTGCACATCGGGTTACGTCTCGGGCAACGCGGGTTTGGCGTGCGCGGAAAATGACTCTTCCTGATCCCACTGATGGACAGGACTATGAGCTGAGCCAGGAGCAATACGTTGTCAAGGATGCTTATCTGTACGAGGATGCAGCTTTGGAGAGCAATATTTTGGGTCGAATTATGTCGGCGCTCAGGGCTGTCGAAGGAGTAGATCCAGATACCAGAAGGAAGTACTGCGAGGATGCACCTCGCTACTTCATGCACTACGAGCTTGACGAGGTTGTCAAGCTGCCAAATGAAAATGAAGACTGGGCGGAGGATGACTTGACGAGCGATAATAGCGCCAATAAAAGGACTACCTCTACTCCTACTCCATCTCTTCGTTGTCCACATCCGGAATCTGCATGCCACAGCAGCTCGCACCACAATGAGTTCCACCCGAGACCTTTTAATAGTGGTGCCGGGAAGACTACTTTCTCCCAGCAAGCACTTTTCCGCCGTCGCAAGCACGTCCGCACGGTGTTTACGCAAGTCTGTCAAAGCATGTATGAGCTAGACGACTGGGAGACATTTCTTCGTTGCATGAAGGATGTCACGCAAGGTTCTATCATAGACTCACTGTTCGTTCATTCTCTGATTTACCAATAGCTTTATATTATATGCGCCTTGCGGGATGGGTACACCGTGACATCAGTGGTGGGAATATCTTATGGGACCCTGTAGCTAGTCAGGCGAGGCTCAGCGACTTGGAATATGCTCGGCCGTACGAGGAAGTTGGAGAGGCCCATGACTCGAGGCCAGTGAGTATATCGAACCCTCTGTCCTTCAACAGAGCTTTACCTGACCATTTGCCCAGGGTACTCTCGCGTTCATGGCCGTAGAATATCAAGAACGCAGGTATATCTTCAATCCAATCGCAAATCGTCGAAAACCCATGGACGTCGTCAAGTTTCAGCAACCTCGGAACATCCCGCGTCCGTTTGCCTACAACTTCTATCATGATCTGGAGTCGCTTATGTGGCTCTATATCTGGTTCATGATTTATCACCCTCCTGTTCATTGCGTGCCAGAATCGAAGCTGGATTCGGGCGCCTCTGCCGAAGCTCTTCTCGCAGTGGGCGACGAATACTTCAGCTGTGGTATCGATGGCAGCATTCCTCGCTATAAGATGCTAGAACATGGCTGGGACACCATCGAATTACTCATGTACGAGGCCCCCGTGGAGATCGTATATGATAAATGTAGGTTCTTGCTTGCAGGGCTCGACACCATCACGCATATCTCTCAAGCGTATCGTGAGCTTGAGAGGTTCGCAACCTCCGACAATCGGTCCACACCTCATCTTGCCTGGAGGGCCAACCAATTCTCTACAGGAATATATAGGAAGTTCCGCGATGTCTTTCAGACGGTTCTCGATATGAAGGAGGCAGACTCAGCCTTTGGTCATGAAGTCCTTCTCATGCGTCAGCTGAGTAGCGATTCTCAGTCCAGGAAGCGGTTACACACTACAGCGGAAGATCCAGATAGTCCAAGTGAAAACAAGGCGGAGAGGAATAAGAAGAAGCAGAAAACTGAGTAGCTAACGCATTCACTACATATGCACAGGCTATGATACCCGTACCAGTCCGTATGGTATATCATCATATTTTCTCAAATGGACCCATGCAACTTCGGATATGCATTTAAAAAAATTCAGATTGAGGTGTCCAGATAATTATGACCAGTTGCGCTAATTGTCCACCAATACGACTACTGACAAAGGGCATAAACACTGGTGCAATTTTCTGTCGCTGTGCTTTTGACGGAAATCTGCTTTCCCCGTGAGCGTTTTCAAGCTCTACCATGTTGCCTGGTAATTCGGGAGAGCGTAAGGAACATAGGTAACATTCGATTGTAGCCGATATGTTTGAATTGCAGGCTGGTGCAATGGCCTAGGTAAACGTGGTGCGTAAATGTGGTGCGATGCGGACTTGAGGAGAATGTCCGTGAATGCAAATAGACGATGAGGCTATGATACACTAGCGAAGGTCCTCGTAATAATTATGTGCATGCGAAAACAAAGACAGTTGCAATGACCTTGATGGTGGGGAATACTTTCCGTGATATTTACCTAGTCGATATGGAACGAAAACAAGGCAAAATCAAAGTGGAACCGGAAGAAACAAAAAACTTCATGCGTGCTGCATCCACCAAACCTCCGAAGGTGTTGAAAGTAGTATATGTAGAAGTATATAGATAATGAGAAGGAAGAACATAGCGAAGTGATAGCGCACAGCGCCCGAGTGCAGAGAAAAATTCGAGTACCTAGAAGTGGAAGTCTAGTACGTCGACCATGTTCAGCGTGAGCGTAGAAAATTTACTCTTTGCCATAAAACGTTTATTTTATTTTTTGAGGGTAGACGCCGAACTTGCGATCGCCGTAATCGTAGCCCCGCCGTGCGTCTTGCCCACAGGCACCGGCGGTGGCTTCCGTCTTTTGGGAGGTGCAGGCGCTGGTCGCCTATGCGTCCTCGATGCCGTCGGAGAGCTAGGCGGAAGGCTCAAAGCCGATGGTGACGGCGGTAGTGGCGCATCGAGCCACGAGCTATCCGAGCGCAGCACCCGATCGTCCGCCGAGTTTCCTTTGTCTTTCCGCCTCGCTGACGAACCAGAGGCCAGGTTCATGCCGGAGAGGGCGGCCGTGGCAGTGGCGACGCCGCCGACGCTATCAGCACTCGGTCGCCGCTGGTTCTCCTGCGGTGCTGCGGTGCGCACGACCAAAGGTGCGGCGGACGAGGGTACACCGCGCTTGAGATTTTCAAGACTGCGCTTTGATTTAGCCTTTTGTCGCGACTTGAACGATGGCAGTGAAGCTGCCCCCCACTCCGAAGCGACGGCACCGGGCGATGACACAGAATCCTGCGATGTCGCGGCGATCACGTCCGCGCTCGGGCTGGGTTGCCTAAATTCCCCGTTGATCCCGCCGTTATTATGAACGCCTGCGAACTCGCGGTCTTTGGTCGTCTTTCGTAGCTGTACACACCATTCCCCAGTCAGACATCGCTCGACGAGCCGCTTTGTTGTAGGGTTAATATCTCGAATGTTTGCATTTGAAAGCAATGATTCAAGGGCCATGACAACCTGCGGACGCTTATATGGATATTCTCGTAGCTGTGTCTTCGTCAGCAGCGGGTTTAGCACCCGGAGATACGTGTGCCGCAGCTGAGGCGGTGATACCAGCGTGAGTAAGTTGGCGGGCATGGATTAATAAAGGGACCCACCGATTCGTTCTCCTCATCCAGGTCCACCAGCTCACGCAGGAAGACGTCGACAAGCACGCAAAGGTCGTTAGTATAAAAATACTCCGAAGTTCCCTTAGTTGTGAAGAGGTTGTACAGGAGCTTCAGGACGAGCAGTTGCATGCACAAATCTTCGGCGGACCGGGCTAAGTGGGTAGGTAAGCCCTTTCGTTCTTCGTAAACTATCTTTGTACTCACTAGCTCGGTTCAGCATAAATATTAAGTTTTCAGCAAAGGTCTTGCTTTCTCCTAGGCGAGACATAAGGATGTTCATGACGCGGTTCTGAGATGATGAGGCGTTCTGTTTCGTAGCGGGCTCAAGGCCGGCGACCATAAACTGTTCGTTGAGTGCGACCTGGATGCCGTGAGGTCAGCCGGAAGCACAGTCCGAAACTGGTATGTGGCACTCACAATAAGCTTAATAACAGAGTAATTAAATGTTTCATCTGGCATGAACCGTGTCTCCTCCACAAGATCGAATAGGAAATTGATGAACGAGTCGTCGAAAACGCCTAAAGTCAGATGTTCAGAGTGAGTGGTCATTCCCAAGGTTACGTCGAGTGTACCCACGAAGGTCTTGTATGGACAGCTTCTGGACTCTGCAGACCTCATAAAGAAGTTTGACGCCTAAGCTCCTCAACTTTGCTTCGATGGCTATTGGGCCGATGCTAATGCTCATTCGACTGGACATCGAGGACATCGACTGGTTTCCAACATAGACATCTTCGACATCCGGGTCTATTGCGACAAGAACATGGTCCATAAGAAGTGGGATAAGAGGCTGCCATCGCTTCTGAGAGCGAAGAAAATTGTTTTGACGTCGGCCATAGAGAAGTAGAATGAAGTAGAGGACAAGTTGAGAATGGGGATTTGTGTTCTATAGGCATAAGTTGAGAAACAATCTCAAGGCCAGATACTAGATATTAGTCGTCTCACCGATTTGATATCCTCAGTAATTAACTCGCACATCCGCTCCGAATGAAACGTAAAGAGCTCCGAGTCGAGAAGGAGGTTGCACGCATGCTCGAACTGTAGTGGACTTTGCAGGAACTGTTCTGCCGTTATGAATGAGCGAAAGTTCTTCAAAGGGGAAGCACTCAAACAAAGACATGCTAAAGATAGACATACCATGATAGGAAGCGCACAGAGCAACAAATCTATGAAGGGCAGCATCCAGCATCGACAGTGTCGCCGTATTGTCGCTGGGTACGCGCAGAATATCCTCGAGCTCTGTCAGTTGCGCACCACATTCAGTACGCGGCTACGAAGTGACCAAGCATGTATGCATGTGCATGGTGACGCACCGGACCAAAACTGCTGGGCATTCTCGATGAGGTAGACGATCCCGAAGCCGTCCTCTGCCATTAGGTTGACCTTTGAGTCCAAGGACCGGACTTGCATTACTAGGCTCCACTTGAGCGAGAGCGGTGCTGTGGGTATATTATTATATTTGGGATAGGCAAAAGCTAGGGCGCAAAAGTATGAAGATCGCGGTACGGCTCCAGTTGACGCTAGTTGCGTGCGATTAGGCAGATCGTGCCTGAGACTGGTGTATGGTAGAGTTTGCGATGACGTTGAGCTGCTTGTGTGGACTCAAATGCAGACTTCAATGAAGGCAGGGAACATGAACGTCGTAAAGAACCTGAAATTTGCGTGGGTGTGGTAGTGGTTCGGGGCGAGCGAAGCGATGAGGAGGCTGCCGTTCGCGCCGTGAGGTAAACGGCTGTGTTGTGTGTTACAAGCAATTCTACATTGATGGCTCCGCGCGCCGAACTTTCCGGTCCCGCCGATCTGCCGAGATATCCACTTCGCCCCTATGTTATCGACCATCTTCACGAGATTCTGCGACAAGCTTCGCGCCGAAAATACAATCCTGCGCACATCAGCCGCACAACACCAAAAGGCACGATGCTAGTTTTGGAGTACACTGCAGCAGCTGTTCCTTCCTCCTGACAGGATCCACTACCTCATGGCATCCAGGATTGCCTCGTGTACTAGTATCTTACGGTCGTACCGTTTCCTACCATTTCACACTTCCCCGCAATCACTCACAATGAAATTGTAACCCCTGAATATCTTCTGGCGTACGCAACGTTGTGTTCTAAGAAGGTAGCCTCATCTTCAGGCCCAGGTTTGGACCAACACAGCGTCAAATCTCATCCATATATTGGCGGTTTATGTCTACACCTTGCCTAGCGGCAGACAAACCACATCGAACCTACTTCGTGGTTGAACTTGATCGCCACCAAGCATTGGTCTATAATGCAGTGCTTCCAGGCGATTTTGTATTTGCTGGAATACGAATATGGGGACTGTGATAAGCGCTGAGCTCGGACGTTGATTGGTGTCTGTCTCGTATTACATGGGAATCGTACACTCTACTTTGTAAATCTAATGATAACAACAAATGCGACCGAGTCTTCAATGCAGGATATTAGCAGTGAGATGAGGGAATAATAAATGTAAGCAGTGAATATGTCCAGGCGAGCGAATGTTTCATCCTTCCAGGGCAGCGACTATGCCATACGCAGCACCAGCCGCCGCGCCGCCGACAAGTAGCGTGCTAATAGCACCCCACACATAACCTCCTGCGCCAGCGCCAGCACCCGTTATTCTTGCTTTCACGGCGCCAAAAATAAGTAGGACGAGGCCCGTGAGGATACACGAGTAGAGGAGGGCAACCTTGGCGCGTTTGATGAAGAAATACGGAATAAGAGGTATGATGCCACCAATGAGGTAACCAAGACCAATCGTCAAGGCCGAGATATATAGACGTTTTGTTGGGACTTCCTCTGCGCAAGGTGACTGTATAAGTCTCCCAAGTAAAAATGCATAAATACCAGAAACGTACCCATTCCCTCTCCGAACTTGAGCAAGAAGGGCGTCAGACCGACGTCCTTGCTCCATCGCAATGACGCGGACTCGGTATCTGAACTTGACGAGCCGCCGTCCATGCCCGTGTCGACCTCGACGTCACGCAGGCATTTGGTGACTGCCTGAGCGGTGGTCTCGTCGATACCAATAGGGCCGAGGACGCCAAACACCTCGCGTTCCATCTCGCCCTGACAACTCCGGAGCACTCGGGATGCTGTGTGCTTCTTGAGGTAGCGGTAGTGGTCACGCTCCGCCTGCGACGCGAGGAAACCGCCGATGCCCATCGAGATGGCGCCGGCAATGAGCTCGGCGATGCCGCCCAACACGACCAACTTCGACTCGCCGAGCGACGAGAGGCCGGCGGTAAGCGCGAAGGGGACAGTGAGGCCATCCGAGAGGCCAATCACGCTGCGAACATAGCCGAGCCCGGGTTAGCGGACCCAATGACGACATAGGATAGTTCAAGCCTTCGAGGGGGTACGTACACATCTCTGACAACATCTGGGTCGATGAGTGTCCGCTCGTCGTCGTCCTTGAGCTGCTTGCAGCATACGCCGCCTTCGCGACCATGCATATCGCATTTTGTTGGGAGTGGAGGCTCAGGGGCCCCATTGGGTGCCTCTAGTGACCACACCGGTGGCTTGGCGTTGGCAGAACCAGCGTTTTCACGTCCTGGGAGAGGAACAGAAGGTGCACCGTTGGAAGTGGGGGCAGAGGCCATTGAGGAGGGGAAGATTTGAAGTGCGTTGAATGTGTTCCGGAGAAAACAGCGAGGAGATGAGGTTATATACGAGGCCGCCGCGACCTCGGGGGCAAATGTGGAATCGTGTTTCGTCCCGAGGATGAAATGCCTCGACGCTCATTGGCTTTCGCTAAACCCTAACCCTTAGTCAGACGGTTTGTCTTATGTCAGGTTTCCTCTTATGGCGAGCGCTTCACGCCTCGATCTGTCCAGACGCTGTCAGTCCAGCCCCGTTCCAAACAACCACCTTTGCTCCCATACCACCCGCAGACGTTTACTAACATTAGAATATGCTTTATCATGTTGACATAGCCTTTGTCAAATTTCTTGATGCTTCGTCAAAAGTCAAAGGCGGGTTTACCCAAACGCAAGTTCGTGAGTTTGCACGCGTACACCTTCGGCTTCATGCTAGTTCTCAGGGCCTAGCTGACATTGATCAACTCCGCTCCCCATTTGCCACGTCTCAAACCAATTAAAAAACTGAAGCGGCTGCATATCGGTTCGTCGTGCCAGTAGAGGTCTCTGATTGGTTATCGCTCGGAAAGATGAGCGGACGGTGATAAATCACACTCCCAACGGCGCGCGATAGGCGTCGTCGGGAACTCCATGAGACTCCATGTGCTCCAGACCGCATTTTGGCTGCATGTTCAACATTTGCATCTAATAATAGGCATCTGCTGCCGTCAATCTATGCATTCACGGAGTTTGCAGGTGTCCATCACCATCATCTTCGTGTTGTTTTGTCGGACTCCGATGTCCTATCATTGACTTACTGTCTTCTTGATTCCAGCTAGGATCAACCTCATCGGTCAACCATTCATCCTTTGCATTCAGATGCCGTTATCAGAGTTTCATAAATGGCGGGGGCCATAAGGCTCTTTTACTCGACCTCGTTTTAGCGATGTCTCTGGGCGGCTCTATCTTGACGTCCTCCTGTGTCTTCTGGTATATTACGAGGACCACCAAGGAAGGTGATCAGCCCGTCGCGATACCAACGTCCATCTTGGTGAAGTCCTGGTACGGCGACTCCTGGTCCTTGGATGGAGCATCAACAGTGCCACTGTTTCACCCCGAACTTCCACACTCGCCTTCATAACTATCATCTCAGAGCCATGACACCCACCATTTGGCAAATAATAGGCTTAGGTTCGTTACATTAGGATTCCTTATTATTATCCTTGTCCAAAGCCCCATGGATTGGTATCGCCTCATTCTCGTAACAAAGATGGTCAAGGTCGTCGTGCTTCTCGCTTTACTCTTGGCTTTCATAGCCCTCTGCCCTCCGTCTCATGGGCACGCACCTCGGCTTGGTCTTATTCATCGTTTAGCTCCGCTCACTGACGCCATGCTGTGGGCCGTGCTTGTCGCAAACGGGTGTAACAGCCTTACTTGAGCGCCTGTGGCGAGGGACAGCGGCCCTGGGCGCCTTGCCCAGTTCCAACTTACACATATTATATCACAGCGCCTATTGTACATGGTGCAATCATCACATCTATTTCTATCTCGGCAATGTACCTTGCTCGTCTTCATCTCCAGACAGCTCTGGAAGTGCGCGGAATCCGTCGATGCTTGCTGTTGGGAAGCAAGGGACACCCTTGCCTAAGCTGCGTTAGTGTTACTTCCTAGCAAAGCGGTGCTTATACAGTGCCGCCGCACTAGCCTCAGGCGACCATTCGGCGCTCGCGTTTCATATGATGGCTGACGGTCTTAGCACACTAAATGCCAAACGAGCTCACGACGCATACTTCGGGTTCCGATACTCTTGCTGAGCACCTAACTCTTTTCTTTCTAGCACGAAACACCGTCCAAGCCAATGCGATGTGCCCGAGACGCTATATAAATCCAGCTTGAACAAGCGAGTGCACCTCATAACAGCCCATTCGAGATTGCCATGGTCAACGCTACAGCTCACGGACTCATAGGTGTAGTTCTGCTCGCCCGCCACGGTGACAGGACGGAATACTATCAAAATCCTTTAACATACAACTCCAACCAGTCGTATATCACTCCTCTTGGTTCGGTAGGCGTCATTCCCCTCGCGCCCTTACTCGACTCTGAACGAAGGGTCAACGACAGGTCCAAGAATACGAGCTCGGCTCGTATCTTCGCTCGGTGTACTTGAACAAGTCCTCCCCGTCTTACATCTCGAACATCAGCACGGATGTCGCCGACATAAATCAACTTTACATTCGCTCGGACGCTGGGGGCGGCAATGCTATCCTCAACTCAGCTTACAGCTTGTTGCAGGGGTTGTATCCTGGAACCACGGCCTCAAGTATCACACTTGCCAACGGTACCACAGTGACTGCACCTCTGCAAGGATATCAGTACATCCCAGGTAAGGTCACATTCTATGAGACCAAGGACTCGCTTCCTAACATACGATTAGTGGAATCTGTGGAGCAGGACCTTATACCTTCTTTGACGAGTTGGATGGACTGCCAGGTATGAATCATGATAACTCTCCTTATGCCGTCCAAAGCTAACCTAAGATGTTAATCCAGTACTTCCAATACCACGTCAACCGAACGTATGATTCTTCCCAATATTTGGAAATCGCACAGGAAGCACAGCCGTTCTTAGATGCAGTCGTACCTTACATTGATGGAAGGAGCAACAACTTTACCAACATGTGGAATGTAAGTGACATTCCTTTTCCGCAGGGTTCTCCGACTTTGACACGGGGTTTGCTAGATCTACGACTATATCAACGTGCAGTCCATACATAACAAGACCTACAACGATGCGCTTCCGCCGACGTTCCTGGAGCAAGCGCGGTACTATGCCAACCAGCATGAATACCTGATGTTCACCGACAGCGCCTCCAATGCCATAGGAGAGAGTAAGCCACTAACCCACAGTCTTCCTCAGTAGCTCAAGGACTGACTTGACGAACCCACAGTTCCCATTCGGACTCTCCTTCCCGAGCTCATCTGGTCCCTTGGTAATATGTCTGCCAACACGAGCCCTGTCAAACTCGCCCTCACCGAGCTGGACTACAAGCCGTTCATCAGCTTGTTCAACGTCACCAACGCGACGCTTGGTGACCCATCCATCGCCGGAATTGCGAACTACGCGTCTGCGGCGGCGCTCGAGCTTTCATATGGCTCCGGTGGCGAGCCCGAGATCAGCCTCAAGTTCAAGAATGGCACCGAAGATGACGAGCTACGCCCATTGACGATGTGGGGTAACTCAAGCGTGACGCTGAAACAGTTCATTACCATCTTGGACGTACGTGGTGCCCCGTCTGCATACTATGAGGGATGTTATTGATGGTCTTTCTTATAGAATACGACTGTTAACAGCACTCACAACTGGTGTTTCTCGTGCAACCAGACCATTCTCAGGGGTTGCTCAGTGTACAACTTTAGCACCGACCCTTTCCTGAACCCCGGTTCAGCCAACCCATAGACTCCTTTCTATGTTTGTAGCGTGGCAGATCAGGGCGACGAATATTCGTAGTTATTGTTGAATTAAACATGAGAGTTGAGGGTGTCTGGTACTTATTCATTGACATTAGCGTTGCTACTTGTCCTTAATTTTATCTTGGCCTAAATTTGACTCTACTAAGTATCTTATTACCGAGGGCTGTGTATGATCCAGCTATGACTGGATCTTTGGGCACTGCCATTAGATATAAGTAATGTATATCGACCTGGGGGCCATGGGACGAACAAGGTCGCAGAGATCTGATATTTGTATCTTTGCAAGATGTAACGACATCAACATGCATGTTATGCCTCGTTTGATCTCTTTCTGTCAGAGCCATCACTAAATCGGGGGAAAATTTTCGGGGCATAAACGAGGTTATCAGTGTTATAATATTACCGTTGATAGAATCCTGTATGACCGTAAATGGCGAGGATTCAACATTGGTTAAGCGTCAGCCCACAATATGAGAACAGAATATAGTAGAATATCATATCGTCGGGATCTTACCATCGAGTATCATATAAGTGTGAGCTTACCGTGGACCGAAACTCAAGGTAAAATCACTCGCAATATGTGGGAGCATAACAAGCCGGATCTCATTTCGAAGGCAACATGATCATTAGATTATAAGAAACTGCTCATAAATCAGTGAGCCACTAACGAAAGCACGCTGAGTAGTAGAAGACTGACCTCTACAATGCATCAAAGCCAGCCTTGTCAGCGAGCGCTTCGTCCTCACCCCAGATACTTCTCTCATCTGCCTGCTCTGCAGTATCCATCATCAGTAAAAGTACGGTGGGATAGTGGATCAAGTGGGCGTCACGAGATGGAGTCGATTTAGGCAAGGGAAGATGACGGCTCCCGAGGCCTTGTAGGACGAACAGTCAGCTCGTTCCGGATCGTCAAAACGCGGCCAGCTCGCAAGCGAATTAATACTGCTAGACGCTGGCACTTAAACGTTTAAAAACCGATAATTTTGATCGTCGCTCTCCTCAAAGTAGG